TATCACGTTTGCTGTGTGTCTACCTACCCGTGACACCAACAATTGATTGATTATTAGCACAATGAACAAAGCCATCACTTCATCGCTTTATGCATGTCATGGTCACGAAGTCGTTGAAGAATAGCCATAAAAAAAGCCGACGTATGTGCTTGAAACCCTCCATATGCTTCAATTTACCATCGAGACGGAACATGCTAGCGATAGCTTTGGAAGGACTCCCGGCCGAGTGGTCGTCTTCGTTCACAAAGGAGAAGCCTATGATGCCACTTCATGTAGCCCCAAGTCTGTCCAATACCCCTTTGAGATCCTAATCCGACAACGCGCGCGGGCGCCTTTGCCGAGGAGTGTGATGAGCATTGTGGCATAACCCTCCAACGATCTGAATGGGCAAACCATGCTCGAATGGTGCGGTCTTCTTATGGTCGCATGAACATGGGAGCTCGGTCTCTGCCAGATCGGTAGAGAAAAGAGATCGACGATGCGGCGGCAGATCCGAGCACATAGGTAGCGTATCTGCCCTTTCTGAGTCAGGGGCGTGGAGTCTTTGGCAATTTCTTCGCCCATAGGTATCCTAAGTTCCATTAGATTTCAGACACGAGCCAGAGGTGGACGGAGGTCTCTTACTCTATCCTTTCCGGCCGTGCAGAGGACGATAAGACCATCTTATTTTGCACCGATTCATATCGAGGCATGCGTGGTTATTGAGAGCACATGGGCAAAATTCCCACCACCTCTTCATCGGCGGGTTCTTCCACACGTGAACGCCGAGGAGATTCTTGACATAGTGGGGCTTCAACCCCATATCATGGTCGTCGAAGATCCTCTCGGCCATTAGATGCCTAAGGCCAAATCCAAAGGCGGCATTGGCCGTGCTAGCAGCTTTAGTAGGTTGATGTTTGAGAGTTCACGCTGAGTACTGCGTTGGCCACGCTACAGAAGTGGTGGTTGACTTGAGCCAGTGAGAGGAGGTCCTCACATGAACCAGTCGTAGCGAAGTTCTTTGACGATTTGGATATGGATTCCGTTCGGTAGGGAATTCATAATGAAGGCTTCTAGTATAAGCTGTGTATGAATGTATGGAATGAGGCAGACTACATGTGTGATTGTAAGTATGCGTTGGAGGGTAGGTGCGGCAGTTGTTCCTCGAGGACAGCGAGGTGGAAGACATGGCGCTGAATGTGTCGGGCTCCGCGCAATCGGTGCGATTTGTTGATGAAATTCCGAAAGCTGCTTGCGACCGATCTGGGAGTCTAGTGACTCCGTCATTGCGCTTTTCCTTCGTCGGACGACGGTATGGCTCTCTATATCAACGAAAGTAGCTAGTCTGGCTAATTGCTCGTCGTCGTTGGATGCGTCGTCTGCTTCGAGGCTTTGTATAACACTAGCCTCTTGGTCGTCTCAGATTCGGTCAGTCTGGTCTGAGAGCCACCTTGTTATATATATATTTATATTTCTTGGTGACGAAAATCAAGTGAATTACTTCCCCTGTTCTATCCCATTGGAGATATCCATTGGAAGACTTGGTTGTAAGGTCAAATTGAGGCTCGCAATAGGGCTCTGTTGATGTATTGTTTGACTGCTCAACAGCAAGCTCCTTGGTAAGTTGAGCAAACCTCAACGCGCCATGAAAAGACGAAAGAAGACAGCTCCATTGAATTTGAATAGCGTCGAAAATCCGACAATGGTTGTGCTCTGTCACTGGCGTCAGTTGTGCCAATTTCTCCACCATCTGCTAGATATGTTGAACAGTAGTTGTATTGAAGAATAAAGAAGGAACGTCGTCTAATTGATAGCTAGTATCGCTCGGTGGCGATGGTAAACAACCTACCCAGTTTACCACCTCAACACCATCTCGCTATGACGCTGAGTTGAAATCGTCCCTTGCCGTCTATGACGAGGATTGTGACTGTCGGCCTCTCGATTGCAGCCGTCGCCGATGTGGTCAGAGTCGTCGTCCGCAAAGTCTGACGCGTTGTTCGAGAGATCTCCGTTGAGTCCAATTGTGCATCCTGTTCCTGTATAATTGCAAAAAGACGCAGAGAGCCTCATTGCAACGATAACACACCAGAAAGTGATCGCATTATTCGGTCACTCACCCAGCTAGGCTGAGCAACGGTCGCCGGGAATTTTGCCTTTCCAGTGCTGGAGCTCACTATGGTGCGTCTTCTTTGGTTCTTTGAAGGAGTTCACCTTCGACTGGTACTGACGGTGAGGGAGACATCTTACTAAATAGCTGATGTAGAGCGAATGCTGCGGACTAATGTTTCCGTAGAAGACTGTAGAGAAGGCTTCTCGATAGTCCTGATGCGCTATGAAGCGGAGCAAGATCAAGGGTTCTGCGGATATGCCATGCGATAGCGAGATCCGGTACAGATCAAGATTGTGAACCACTCGCTAGTCTTGCTTTCGATGTTGGATCGATGAGGAGCGTTCTCAATGGTTTGCTCTGCTGTTTCTCCCGATGCTTGGTCCGACTTGAAACGGCTATGATAGCCGTGGACATCCATTCTCAACAGTCGAATTGGCTTCACTGAGCATTCGTCTCTTGAAGGGATTCTGTAGCACTCTGATCCGTCCACGTTTGAGATTGTTCGGTAATAATAGCTAGTCGCCTTTTCGCTAGAGAGGTTATGGAGACAGCTGTGCGTAACTCGGTGGATCCCGATTTTATATATATATTTAGATTCGATACACATAGCGATTCGATGACAGCCATCAGCGTTGTTGTTAGAGCATGGCTCAAAGGGTTTGATCGCCATTTTCGAAGGAACTTGAGACTGAATTCCGAGAGAAATTATTTGACAGTAGGGACGTATGGGAAAATGGCCAGATCGTTCAGTCGCGTGTTCATCAACGATGGCCACGGTATATAGACCAGCAATCAAACGTCATTGGTTCAGTGAGTTTGCGAAAAGCTCTGCTGGGGCCGTAGTGGAAGCGTTATTGCCTAACAAATAAAGGAAGGCTGTGGAGCAGGACGCAAAGTGGGTTGAGTGTCAGCTGAATCCTGATAATGAAGTAATTCGCTTGAGGGTGGTGAATTTTCCTTCCAAGAGCCTTCTGTGACGATTTCTTGCAGAAGGCCTTTCACTAGAACAGACATGTCTTGAGCCCAAGTGCGGAAAGGTAAATGCGGTGGTTCGGGAATGCAGTGATGGAGGTACTGTTGGAGGAAGCGTTTGTAAAGCCATCGATTGCTCGTTAGGAACTCTTCGGACGCGTCAGGGAGGTCTTCATCCTCGTCCTCCGTGGACTCTAGAGAGCTGTTGGCTGACCGATGGCTCCCTCGTCTTTACCCCCTGGAGACCAGATGCTCCTCAATGTGTCGCTCTTGTCTCAGAATGTTGTCCTTTTCCCAGTAGCACGGAGGTTGTGGTCAGCCTCACAGCCTCCAGAATTTGTTTGGTTCGGTTCCTTCAATGACGCCTTCAGCCCCAGTTACAGAAATCATGTCTCTTTTTCAACTCCGAGAAGTCTAAATGATCATCCGATTGCTCATCGCTGTCCCACATGTCGCAGCGTTCGAATTCTCATCTCCGATCCAAACAATTACTCCTTCATCAATTGGGAGTTGGAGAAAGCTCGCTCATGAGACGTTTATGTATCCATCCCTATTTGCGAACTTGACTCCCATGAACCGGGCTAGCAATGATCCGCTTGGTAGCAGCCTTTCCATCGACTCAGGTGCTCGTGCTCTGGTTTTCGTCTCTTCTTGCACCACCTGCATCATCTGATTGCTCCTCCTCCAGATTTTCACCCCCGACGAGATACATCGGCGGAGACATGCCGAAAAGGAGATTTTTGCCGCTTCGTGCCTGCTGGCGGTATTTTATATATTTAGCACCTCTTCGAAAGCCCGGAGACGATATCTGGGTCACGTGCCTGGCGTACTGAAGCAATACCCGTCGTCTTAATTATATCCTGCTCGTATCCGATGACTCGCACGGATCTGGCCAAGTCAGTGCGCTGATTCAAGCGAGCGGACGTCATGATTGATACATCCGGGTCCGAACAGCGCAGAACATAGACTGAGTGAGTGTCATCAAGGGACCAAGAAAGACGCGGCAGAACCATTAGCGTAAAACCCTACGCCATGGTGTGAAGTATATATATTTAATCCCTCACAGGATTGGAGAAAAGCTGTGAAGTAGGACTCCAGTAGCTTCGACGTGCTCCAGGAGACAGATGGTGGACAACATGACAAGAACTGCATCAATCCTTTGCAAGCCCATCTCTCAGCGTGCTCAAGATCAGAAAAGTGTGTATTTGGCAGCGAAAAGTCTCGACAGGCTGAGGTGGAGGGACGACATCATCCGCACGATTCTTCAAACTTGCCCCCTTAGACGGCCAGATGTATGCCGACTCAATATACAGATGTTGAGATGCTAGCTTGTTCAACGGCAGTCTTCAAAGAATCCGACTTTTAATGGTTCAAAATCATCTTCTTGGAATTTCCCGCCTGAGAATGTTGGGGAGCCACTGGGGTTGAGAGTCCGCGTGTTTCTCCTTTCTTTCCGGATATGATGATGACCTTGGAGTGACTAAATTCGAGGATCTGCCTCCTTGATCACAGAATTTCTCGTCGCCACAACAAGGTTCCAAGCAGAGATTGTCGCCTGGCTGCTCTTTTGACCTTTCTTGGCCCGCTGTAGCTGCTTCTGGGTGTATGCAACACGCGAGAAACCCTGGTGAAAAGTTCGGGTTCGAGTCGTATTCACGGACCGGCACCAGAGCATGTGATAATCGTTCAGATTGCGGTTCCATCTCAAGAGAAGTCACGGAATGACTCAGAAGTGTCAGCGTAGATCTTCGTATTAGACTCCGTCAACGGTATAATATATATTTTTAGCGGCTTCTGAAAAGCAGAGCTGGGGCGTCCGATGTTGCTAGCTGAGTCGGACTATCCCGTGGTTGACGGTACTGACAAGTGAAATAAAATTTCCCGTTGGTCTTCGACCCTGGTGCTGCCCGTAACTACGCCGTCTTGGGCATCATTTGTCTCATACTTCCTTGAAGATACGGCCGACCTCTTCCCATTTGACCGCGACTTCGGCATCGGTGAGTAGGCGGAGCGTTATCTGCACGTCAGTCCACAGGTCAGCTGTGCGGAGCGATGCCGCGGCTGTAGATAGGGGAAAAGCCACGTAGCTGGGGGCTTCAGCGGCGTGATTAGCAGCTGGTTCTATAGCATCCACAGCGGTAAGGACAAGATCGGGGCCGAGGAGATCCTTGTATGTAGGGCGGTCAATAAGGGCGCGGTCTTCGTCTCGTGTGAGGTCCGGAGTCGCGGCACGATCAGACATGGTGAATTCCGGGGCTTCAGTTGGGAGGAGGAGTGAGGGTGATGCACTATAAACAAGTAGATAAACCCCTGAGCGCTCCTCCAAGCAGCAAACGCTCCATCATTTGCGTCCTCCCATTTGTGGTAGCATCAAAGATAGAAACAGGCGGAGAATACCCGGCTGCCGAAAATGTACATCTTCAGCTGAATCGCCGCAAGAGACTCTGAATTGGCCCACTTGATATTTGGCGGGCCGGTGTGCTGGGTGGCTGGAGTTATAGAATGGCTTGAGTGGCGACATCTCTACTTCTTCGGTGCAGCGAGCTCTGAATCGATCTACTTGTTTTCGGTCGTAGTGTCACTAAGCGCCGCGAGGAAAATATGCGACTCGACATCGGTATCTCCGTCAAGTAGTTCGTAAAGGCGACGATGCTGTGCTCGAAGGTGCGGAGGCAATGCAGCAGGCTCCTCGACGATAATGCCTTCGGTATGGACTGTTGAGGGAGGCATTTGGAGGTGAAGAACTGAGGGCTGAGTCGGCCTTCTGTGAAGCCGACTTGGAGCACAAGGTCGAGATGTCCGGCGGGCGAACGTATCGGGGAAATGAGTCAATATGGTTGCTGTTACGCATGCTAGGGTCTGTCAACCGAGGCTCATGATGTAGTATAGCATGTGCCTCAGCCACGGTCGGGTTGAATAGTAGATATTTAAGGTAGTCTGTTCCATCAGGACCATCGCCATTACTTGACTCCCAGATTCCAGATTTTCATCAAATACCTCCTCGCTTTGTCAGAAAGATATGTGTTTATCCGCGGACTTACGTCCAAGAGAACCGGAGAGTCCGCGTGTTTCTCCTTTCTTTCCGTATATGATGTTGACCCTGGCATGACTAAATTCAAGGATCTCCCAAGTGAAGACTTCGTGACAATAAATGTAGGCTCGTCATCACTCCCAGCTTCGAAGCTGCCTTCTTCTGCTTGAAGTCCTAAGCCGTCTATTCCGTGTTCAATTGTCACGTTAGTAACGCTTCGATACTAGAACTCCAACTCTTCGGACCCAACCCCACGGTGTGGTAGACCAGGTTCCATGATGCTGGTATCGCTAGGGTCTCTGCACCCGGAAGATGGACCCACTTGAGGATCCAGTGCCATGTATCGTGGGGGTCTTGTGTAAGGGAACTTGGTGTATGAAATAGGCAAAGGAAACCGCGGAAATTTTTGTCACGTCTCGTTGTGGCTGCAGGTCGACGAAGTGATCATGTCGACTTGAACACATGATCATTGGGGCTGTTATTTTGTCATAGACCTTCACGCTTCCATTCCCACGGTCACCCAAATCTTTCTGCTCCTGCCACGGGCCGAAGGTCTCCTCGGCTTCTGTGCGAGAATATTCCAATCGGACGATGGCCAGCGTCGTAGGTAAAAGGTGGTCGCTGTACCGGTAGTACTTCGTCCTTGCACCACACACTCCGTTGGGTTCCCACACCTGAAGTGGACGCCTTCTTGGTTGTTCTCCCAGCAAAAAGAGACTCGACATCACCATTACTTCCCGAAGAGATTCGATGCCGGGTAGATCCACCGTGAAATTGACGGTTGACGCGCAGTATTTCCAGCACCATCCATCGATTGACATTCTGAGATCGGTCCAAAGATATCGTGAAGGATTGGATCAGTCGCAGCACTCAAAGAGAAAATGCGCCTTGACGTTCGTCATTGGGTTCGATATCCTGGGGCTGACTGGTGACCGAGATATCAAAGCTCTCTGGAACCATGAGCTTTGCAACCCACATTTTGACTTGATCAAAAGTGAGTACAGAACGGGTCGCTTCCACAGCGACTAGAAAATCTACCACATCATCTTTCGTCCATGTATAGACGCGGTTCGGGTCAATCGAGAGATTCATCTTTTACAGCCCATGGAGTTATTGTCTCTTCGATTCGCACTGGTCTAAAAATTCGTGACATTGTCGTACCCGAAACAAGAGATTTTGATGTGCCGCGTTGTCATTCGTCCCGGGAGACATTGGCACATTTGACATTCCCAGCGGCAACTTGGTTACTCTTTTGCGATTGTTCTTTGAGATCTCCGCCTGAATGCGTTGTACGTAGAGCAAGATGTGAGGACATCCAGCGTCGCAGTTGTCCTTGCGTGCGTAGTCAGAAGAGAGCCACATGTTGCAGCATCTTTATCTCGTCTCACGCGAGGAAGTCTGGAAGATTGGCGGCCCAGAGTTCTCCCACAATCCCTTGCGTAGTCAGAAGAGGGAAGCCACATGTTGCAGCATCTTTATCTTGTCTCACGCGGAGAAATCTGGAAGATTGGCGGCCCAGAGTACTGCCACTATCCCTTGCGCCGTCAGAAGAAAGCCACATGTTGCAGCATCTTTATCTCGTCTCACGCGAGGAATTCTGGAAGATTGGCGGCCCAGGGTACTCCCACGGTTCATGCTCAGGAGTCGTCGCCGTTGAGGAAGAGTATATATATTTTACGAACCCCCCTCATACTCTACCCAGCCATCAACTCACGAGTACGCTTCCTCAATACCATCAGCTCCTAAGAAAGAAGGCGACAGTACTTCGGAAGCCGGCTCAGAAGATGGAAGATGGAAGAGGAGGGAGATGGTATGAAGGAGGGTTGAAGGAAGAAAGAAAGAGAGGAAGAGGAGGGGGTTTATATACCCCCAGCTACCTTATACTTTCCACATCACACGTGCCGTCACGCATGAGACATGCAATGAAAATCGTCTGAGACATACACATTCAAGTTTTGGCGTGAATGGCAGGGGGCGTGATCACGAGCCGAGGCGAGGCGAGGAGGAGTGTGAAGTGTATTTTAGAATGTGATGGGTGAAACATACTTCACACTTTTCTACCTTTTGAGGAATGGGCAGTCATAGGTGGTGGCTGTGGCTTAGAAAGCGTGTGATTTGTCTTACTTCGTGAATGTATGATGGCAGTGAGGCGTCAACTTAGCGTTGGTATAATGTAGGTTTAATTCAATAGCCGTGAAGATGCTGTGCTCGAAGGCTTATGTGCAAGAGCTGGTAATAATGCAGTGCAAGCGCACCAGAACCTATTTGTGTGCTTTGTGTGTGCGTTGGAATTTGAGTTTCGCTTCCAGAACGTTTTACTCCCACAGCCAGTTCCTGGAAAACAACTCGGCGAAAGGAACGGTGGAATGCAAACGATGCCGAATACCAATTCATTGCTATTGACAGACTTACACATAGTGTTGATCCTCATGTTCAAGGATGATAAGACATCGTGGCGGGAATGCACAATTGCGCATATCGACTCGCTCTTCACAAAAGGAAAGATGTGGGGCCACACACCACACAAAGCACTACACATGAAAATATCATCAAACCTCGACCACGAATTCTGGTTGCTACCAAAAGAGGCGCACTTCTCACAGCCACCACCATCATACAGACGTGCGTCTCCAGACCACGGACAAGCCTTTGACTCATCGAGAGTGGAGACGAACACACATGTTTCTTCAACATCATGACACGCAACACGAGACACCAAGAGAAGAACTCACATCACACGATTCTTCACACAAAAAAGCGAGACATCACACCCTCCCCTCCTCCCTCAAACCTCCTCAAACCAGCAGAAGATGAATCACAAACAACGCCACCGCGACCCACATTCTCTCCACCACACACACCATCCCCCCACCCCAGAGGAGATAGACCAACAAACCCACACAAGAAACTTCACGCCCAAGGAGAAGTGCACACTCGCATATTAGTTTTGTATATGGCATCACTGATGAAGGGTGAAAGAAGGCCCGTCTCCCCTAAGACTAAGGTAGCATAACCAAAGGTATGAATGGGTACGACGGGCTCTCCCCCCCATCTCGTCCTTCAAAAGCGGATCCCCAGCACTCTCGCGAGGGCATTCGATGGACTGTTTGGCAATTCAGCCATCTATTTCTCTCGCGCCAACAACCACCACGCCACTCTTGATAAGGTAGCGAGACATATCCACCACCTTTTTGTTCTTCACTCCCCGCCCTTTCCTAACCCTTCCCACCCCTTCCTACCCCTTCCATTATCTCAGCAACCCCACACCCACACCCGCACCAGCCCGCAGCTTATCGAAGCAAGAAATCAAAATTCACATTCAAATTGCAAGCGTGATCTCCCCGAAAACGGGTTTCACCTGCATAATCTTTCAATACAGTACCACTGTAACCAATTCCTGGCGTCATCGATGGTGTGACTGACTGCCACCACGACATCAACACCCGATAAGGTTCAGGCAGGGCCAGCAGGCTGTCAGGAACGCGTATTGTGGGGAAAGCTGTCGGTTGCGGTGAGCTGTCACGATTGGTTGGGGTAAGGCTGGGCGGTGGTGTGCTGGTGGTGAGCGATCACGCCATCTGATAGCTTATGGCATCAACAGCCGCTTCCGGCCCATGTCAGCATCAATTTGGTGAGATCATTCCGACGGCTTCCGAAATGCAGGGGAGCGGTGAGAGGTGCAGATAAGCTTTTGCCCTGACATTGTTGATGCAGTATTAGTGATCGTAGGGTAGTAGTGGTATCAGAGGAAAGGGTCTGTAGCTGAAATGGTCAGGGGGGAAGGGGGACTTGGTTGAGGCAGCAAGGATGCCGTTATTGAGCTAGCTATGCATGCTATATACAAGTGCAAAATTTGATTACAGACTAGCAGATTTTTGACCAGACATGCTTTTGCAAAAATGAGGAATGAGGATGCGTACATGCTTTGCTATGACCCGCTCGCTCGCTAAACCGCATTGATGCTTTCATTCTTGATATGGTTATGGTGATGACATTTTTATCTATCAATGCTCTCGTTCGCCTGAGCGCGTGTCGTAGTCTATTAGTTCTGCATGTAGCTTCGCTTCGCAGAAAATGCATAATCAAGCAGACAGAAATAGAAATTGCATCACCCGTAAATGCCAAGATGAATCCCGATAGGAAATGTGTGGTTGTGTAGTGGAGCCTCATTGGTTGCAGGCGCCGGCATTGGCCTGTGCATGGCCTCGTTTCTTCTCCCGTCCAAGTTCGTCGACGGGTGGGTATCGGGCTTTGAGCTCCAGGGAGTCGAGGGTGGCTTGTGAGCGGATGTATCTGGACGAGCCTTGTTAGCAAGCTAATGATCGAGTCATACTACAGTTCAGGTGGAAGGCTCACTGTTGACCAGCATCCTCCTTTGGCTGATAGTCCCAACTCTCAAACCTTCCCTGCGTGAGGGCATTCCAGCATGCCGTCCGCTTCCTCTGACTACGGAGCACAGTGTCGGTGATCTGTTTCATGTTCCAGCGTTCAGAAGCTTCCTTGGTGAACTTCTCGGCGATGGCTTCGACCTCAAAGTTGTCCCTGACAGTCATCAAATTCTGTAGCTCCTTTGGGTCCTTCTCCAGGTTGAAAAGCTGTGGCGGGTCCGTGGGGCAGGTGACAAATTTCCAGGGCCCGCGCTTGATCATCATCAGAGGTGCAATGGTGCCCTCGCCCATGTATTCCCCGTAGACAGTATCCACACCGCTTTGACCATGAAGCTGGGGCACAAGGCTGTTCCCATCAAGTGGAAGACGATAATCGATTTCGGCACCCGTAAGCTCGGCGAGTGTCGGCAGGATGTCAAGGGTAGAGACGTTTTGAGAAATGGTGCGTGGTGCCCATTGTTGAGGGTAAGAGATCAAGAGAGGTACTCGTGCAGATCCCTCGAACCACGACATTTTGTACCATAAGCCTCGTTCCCCAAGCATGTCACCATGATCTGCCGAGAAGATGACGATCGTATTATCATCCATCTTGCATTCTTTCAACACTTTGAGTAGCTTGCCCACATTGTCATCAACGTAGCTCACAGCGCCAAAGTACGCCCGCCGAGCACGTGAGATAGCTTCATCCGTGATGTCGTCGCGCTCTAGGTCACATACATGTTGAAGCCGCTTGCTATGAGGGTCCTGCTCTTCCTTGGGAATACTGACTTGAGGCATGGGGATCTCCTCCCCTTCATACCGATCCCAATACTCCGAGTGAATCGTGTAGGGATCATGAGGATGTGTCAGGGAAACAGTGAGGCAAAATGGGCGATCACTCTCGGGGTTGCGAGCGGCGCTGTAGAGGTAGCGCGTAGCCTTGTACATGACTTCTTCGTCAAAATCAAGTTGATTGGAGCGGATGCAGGGGCCCGCTTGGAGGATGGAGGACGAATTGTGATACCATTCGAGTCGTCTGTCGGGCTCGTCCCATTTGACGCGCCTGTATCCCATCAGCATGCATGTCTTTCCGGTTGTTGACGCTCAAACCGTCATCCCGATCTTTGAACACCATGTTGAGCTCTTTGCTTGTATACTTCTTGTACATACCAACCAAAATCCCCCGGATAGATATCACTCGTCAATCGCTCCTCATATCCATGTAGCTGGTCGCCAACGAAATGCATCTTCCCGGCCAGCACCGTGTGGTAGCCATTGCCTCGCAGGTAGTGTGCATATGTAGGTTCCTCGACGCTCAGTGCCGAAGCGTTGTCGAATGCATTGATTCTAGTTGGGAGCTGGCCGGTGACCAGTGATGCTCGGGAGGGAGCACAGAGAGGAGAAGGACAATAGGCCGAGGTGAAGACGGCGGACTTCTCTGCCAACGCGTCAATATGCGGAGTCTTAATCCGACTCTCCTTATCGTGTACGCGCAGCAAGGGCGCTGCGATTTGATCGGCAAGGATAAAAAGAATGTTGGGTTTCCGCTCCTGGCCACTCGAGCTCACGGAAGTGGGCGGAGTGTTGGCGCCATTGACAGGAGGCGGTGGGGAGGGTGCATTCTTGTACATTGCGTAGAGTGTAAGGAGGACCAAGGGAAGACCAAAGGAGAGTAGTGTACCAGGTGTAGAGATGCTCGGATAGGAAGGGGAGAGGAGGGTGTCCGTTCAGGGCGATGGGAGCTTAAGTAGGGGACAGGGAGAGGTCAGAGCTCACAGTGAATATGCGCTCAGCTTCTGCATGTTGATTGTGTAATGTATCAGGGGAAAGTTACAAGCGTCGCGTATATGCAGGATGAAGGAGATGAATTCGACATTTGTCAAAGTGGCCGTCTTTTGTAAATCTGGAGGAATTATTGCGTGCTGATCACACGATCAGCCCGGCGTTAGGGCTTAAGGCACGCAGCCCTAGCGCGCGAACTGTGGAGAGCCGCGCTAGGCCCGTTCGGGAGAAAACGTCCATTCCGTTTAGCGCCGATTCTGGCCTCAGCCCTACGGGGCGAATTCCTCACTCGGGGTTGGAGTGAATGGCCATCATCCATCTATTCCCCCCGAGTCACTGCATCACCAGCCACCCAACGCCAGACATATAAGGCCGTAGATGGAGTGAAGGACGCTGAGCTATCTTCTGAGGATGAGTGCCACCCAACAAGAACGATAACCGGTCGCCACTATGCACGGTGGATCCATCCAACTCTTCGAGACACTGCACCCCAGGTTACGCTAAAGCCGCTCTGCCGCCTATGAGACCATGAGGTCGAGATCTGCAGACGAGAGACGCCCGCTGTTGGCCGACGAAGCCTTGGTCGATCATCCTCCAGACTTCCAATGCTCTACCAACCCGTTTGCCAATTTGCCTGTCTATGCAAACATTCACAGGGTCAGACAAGAAGTCATCGTCAGTCTTGACGACTCTTATTCTCTAGATCAACTGAGGGCACCCAGGATCAATGTCTCAGTCGTCAGGCCGTTAGTGAATAGATTATGGGAGATCCGCGATGTGTCCATTGTCTATTGTCTGCTCGTCAACAAACTGCAATTTCTTCGCGAACAGGATTTCGAGACACATCAGACGGTCCATACGACTAGGGCACATCTATGCGAGTTGGTGGCGCTCAAGATACTCCGCCGCTTCGATGAAGACCATCCTGGAAATGATGGCTTGTGTTTGCTATGCAACATCATGGTCGCCGGTTTCAAACCCTTCCAGAATGCCCCTCCAGAGATCATCAAGGAGAGCAACCGGGCAAGCGGTTGGGCTGCCCAAAGAGGCGCAGCCTACGAGAAGAAGTCAACAGCATTGGAGGTGGCGATCATCTCTGATAGCAAACTACTGATAAGCTCTCCGGCCTCTCAGAAGGTCATGGATGCTATCTACGTGGGGCGCATTATCTACACTCCCTCTTCCTTTCTTGATATCTTACCAGATCGATACAAGTACAAACCCATCATGCTCTATCGACCTGAAGATGCCCCCTTGCTGAATCAGTATCGGCTGATGGTCCCACGAACCAGAAACTTGCTAGACATCTGCCAATTCATCGTGCTATTGGTCCTCTACGTCTTGGTCATGCAGAATCGGAATTACGTGAAATTCACAGGCTATGAACTGATCTTCTGCATTTACGCCCTTGGCTGGGTCTTGGACGAGTTCGCATCAGTGCTAGAGCATGGGTGGTATTGCTACACCCAGAACCTCTGGTCATTCTTGGACGCTTTCTTCGCCGGGCTCTTCCTCGTCTACTTCGCCCTCCGCATGCATTCCTTAGCGACACACAACATTGCACGGTCTGCCGCTCCCGCTTTAGACATTCTATCCGCAGCAGCACCAGTCCTCATCCCGCGCCTAGCGTTCAACCTAATGTCGGAGAATATGCTTTTCGTGTCGCTCAGGACGATGATGTCCGACTTCCTGTTGCTCACAATACTTGCCATCTGGTGCTTCGGGGGCTTCCTTCTCAGTTTGTCTTGGCTCAGTGGTGATGTCTTCGACAATGTGACTATTTCCAAATGGATGCTCTACGTATGGTTCGGCCTAGACGGTACAGGCATACAAAAGTCCGTCGAATTCCATCCGATCATTGGGCCAACCCTGTTCGTCGCCTTTGCATTCTTGGGAAACACATTGTTCCTGACAATTCTCGTCTCGATGCTCAGCAGCACCTTCGCCAAAATCGCGTCCAATGCCTCATCCGAGGTCCAATTCCGACGCGCTGTCCTCACCTTCGAAGGTGTCAAGAGCGACTCCATCTTCGCTTACATGCCACCCTTCAACATCTTAGCACTCTGCTTGGTGCTCCCGATGAAGCTATTTGCCTCGCCACGCTGGTTCCACAAGATCAACGTCGCACTCATCCGCTTTCTCAACGCGCCTCTCCTCCTTGCGATAGCCATCTGGGAACGCCACAGCCTCTGGCCGGACTCGGACCCTCACATAGGGGGACGAAAAACGCTTTTGTCTCTATCCAAATGGACACACGAGCTCGTACGCTGGTGGGACTTCTCTCGCTTCTCCGTCCATGGCGACATAGAACTAGTCTTCGACTTCGACCCCCCGCAGGTCGTGGCGGATGATGTGTCAGAGCTGGAAGAGGCCAAGGCTCACCACACTCAAGCCGGGTCAAGAAGTGGCCCGTCATTGAAGCCGGAACCACCTCGCCGGCAAAGCAGTGGGAAGTTGAAACCATCGAAGCGGAAGGAATCGTTCGCTACGATGAACGGGCTCGCGGACACCGTTGCGGACTTCTTCCACGAGCATGGCGGTGCGGAGATCAATGCGAAGTTCAGCGCGCTGGAGAAGCAGAACAAGAAGATCGAAGCTATGCTGGAGAAGATTTACCAGAACATGGGTGGCGATGACAGTGAAGATGACAATCAGCCTAACGCAGATTAGGCATCCCAGAGTCTGCCGGAAATAGTGTCTTTTTCTTACGGGGAAATAAGGGAGTCTTCAGGGCTCAACTCTATTACCCGGGTCTGAAGACCCCAAGGGTTGCCACTGAGGATGAAATCGGAGGCCTTTGGAGTCCAAAAATGGACACCTCGAGGATAAAGTTCGAAAATTCGAAAGTCTCTCGGATTTACACGTCCAAGTGCCGGGTGATTGACTTTACAGCAAGCCCTGACCACGAGGAACAGGGGTTCAGCCTTGCTGAGCCTTGCTGTGATTGGTTGCCTAACACGTTACGAGGCTATGATATATGTCTATCTAGCTTACTCATACTTGGACTTCTAATGATTGGTCTCCACGTCGACTTTTGGCCAGAATTGTGCCGCGAAATCAAAATGTCTATCTGACTGGGCGTGGTCTCCAAGTCGACTTTCGGCCAGCATTATGCTGCGGACTACAAATGTCTACCTCACTGGGAGTGTTCGTGGTTGGCCTCCTCGACGCTTGATGGGCCTCATGTGGTGATATCTGCATTGAGCACATACGACATTGAATTAGCTTTCTTGATTTTGAATTGGATCTTGTCTCTATTGAGACCCCTTAACGTTTGTGGCTCTCTTCTCACTCCCATGATTGGTTTCCTAGACGATCTCTGAACCTTTGTGGCTCCCTTCTCATTCCCATGATTGGTGTCCCAGACGCTTGACGCGGTTCTGTGGGGATTTCTGCATTGAGTCTCCAACAACGTTGAAATTCCCTTCTTTGGCCCTCAATTAACTTTCCCATCCTCACGCGCCCAATCCCCCGTCCTATTTCTTTTTCCTCGCGTTCTGTTCTCTCTTTCTCTTCTTCACCTTTACCCAACTCGATGATCTTTGCGGACACTGTATAGCAGCATAGATCACTGAGCAATCAATACTATACATCCGTCCACTCAATTCCATCTCTGCAATCTCCATATTCCATTTTCTCTCTCTCGCTCTCCTCCCCCGTATCTCCCACTGCTTTTTTTTCCTTCTTCTCCCGCAATCTCCATCCCGCCCTCCAAAATGCCTCCTCCTCCGACCAGCGCCTTCCAACCAGGCGACATCCACTGGCTTCTCCCCTCCAGCCAGCTCTCTCCCACCATCCTCTCCAACCTCCCACTCGACCCCAACGCCCTCGACCACCCCGTTGTCATCATCTCTCCTCCCTCCTCCTCCGCCACCTCCACCGTCGAAATCCTAATCCTCTCCTCTCTAGCGGGCAAGACACTCTCAGTGTACGCCCAATCCAACCCACGCCTCCTTTACACCCACCTCCCCATCTCCCCCGCCCCTTCCGCCCCTTCCTCCCCTTCCGCCCCTTCCCCCTCTACCACCCTCCACCTGGCCGACAACCTCCACCTCCCCAAGCACACCTACGTCAAAACCGACAGCACGCACACGATCCCCCTCTCCCTCCTCCACCCCTCTCCCTACATGGACGAGGCTACAGGCCTCGCCTTCAAGTTGACGCCAGGCAGCGTCAGGGATCTGTGGGTCGCGCTGGGCAGGCAGGGACAGGTGGCGGGGTTGAAGCCGGTGCTGGTGGATAGCACGGTGGATATGGGGGCGTTTATCGCCAGAGCGAAGGCGGCGAAGGGGATGGGGATGGGGATGGGGATGGGAATGGGGGCGGGGACGGGCCCGACGTTGCTGGCGCCACAGTCGACGTTCTTTGGGGAGACGGGCGCCTAGGGCTATTAAGTGCTGAGGCGAGGAGGAGAGGAAGAGAGGGGGGATGGCATGCCCGTACAAGGGCGATGCGCAAGAGGGGGAAGTAGACACGTTACGGCACGGTGACCGACGATGTTTTTGGAGGGAACGAGGGTATTGGTGTATGGATTAGGAGGATGTACGATATTAGCGTGTATATAGCAGCGATTATGAGGGGACGGGGTGTGGGGAATATCGGCGTTTGGGGTTGGAGTTAGTTCGGCGTTTTGATTACCAGCGTATATAGTGATCGGGGGATATGTGCTTTTTCTAGCACATCAATCCAATGCAATTGGTTTCTCGGAGCATCATTACAGTAATGTCGAACAGCGAGAGTGTCCTCTTGAGATTGGAGCAGTAAACTCAGGGGCAGGATTCGGGGGAGATGGTCTGAATTATACGCATACAGTATTCATAATGCGCAGTTGTCGCTTGGGAAATCGCACACCGCGGGTGCGCCCAGTGGAGAAATGTGGCGTAGACTCAATCCTGCTTTGCCGAGGTCAAACGTAAATCGAGTACCGTTTAATCCTGATCGAGTGATGCTACTTTGGGCTAGCCGCCCAGAGAGTTGCGAATGATGATTGGTCAGGCTGGGACATGACATAATCAATCAGCCAATCAATTAGGCTGTAAGCAATTTCTCCTTCATCTATCCCAGTGGCCAGCCCTCGACGTACTTGTGTTGATCCCATCGAAGCGCCATTGCCCTCTATTGTATTTCTCACCACCTCTGATCTTCCTCCTACTGTCCACAAAATCCCAAGGCCTGGAACCTCAAGATTTTCAATAATGCGAGTCGTAGATTTTTGTTTGTTATAAGTGTGGGTGAGGGGGAGTGCTGGATTCTATTATAACGCTACTAAGGAGACCAATGGAAGAAGGCTGATAAGCGCCTACTAAGATATGAGGATGATATGGGCCCGGCACTCACGCTCGCAAGAGCAGCTCATCACCTAACAACAACAAGAGAAAGCACCGTACATTCTCAACCCCCAAAAAATACTAGCCGCGAAGACAAACGCTAGAAAGTATTCGTCCTCAGACTCATCAACACATACTGCAGCCTCAACCCGCCGAAAGAAGCAAGAGTGAGTCATACCCCCTTCCCCCCCTCACTGACGATCTACCCAAACTAAACCGCAGCCCCCCCTCCAAAAACGGAGCAACAGCTCTTCCCCCTCGGCTTAATGCAAGCCCCTTCACACCTCAATCACTTCCCCTCCTCAGCACCATCAGATATCGCGAAGTTGAGGCTCGCACATCCACACGCAACGCTGCGGGGTATCCAAAACCAGTTTAGCATGTGTGAGAGCCGGTTTTGTCGATGTGATGCATTGCACTGCGCGTGTTTTGGATGGAGGTTTCCTGCGCGAGAATTCTTCATGGCAGATCAGCCACGAGGATTTCGGCAATTCGATGGGCCCTGTAAATGGATGCCTGGTGAATAGTGGCCTCTGCTTGCTCTTGTCATCAAGACTTTGCATGGGGACGTGGATGGCTTCATTGCGGATTTAGTGCGGACTTTTGACATGGCATGTATCACTTCCCTGTAGCGTTGTTGCCATGATCTGGTCGAAGTGTTTTCGTACGAGACGTTGGCGATGGAGACGACGTTGATGGTGATGGAGTGTTATTTCAAGGAGGTGAACGGGTGGTAAGTAAGCGTGGTGGTGGAGATGGGGAGATAAGGAGCATATATGGGGGTCGTAGCTGTGGTTGTGCCGTTGGTTTGTGGAGAATTCTTGTCGAGGTTGGACCGGGTTAGGAGCTTTGTGATGTTCATGGGAGTGGAGAGTGGCTCCTAGATTATAGGCCACGAGAAAAAGTGAATGGAATGTGGAACGCATTTTGCAGTGATACTGTTTGCAAAATGGGATTTGTTTAAGGGATAGCCTCTCCTCCGAACCAGAAATTAAAAAAAAGCAAGTAAATTTTGTCGCTAAATCCCCCTCCGAATGAGAGACAACTGTTTATAGAGGCTGTCTGTTTAAATATTAGCAATCATATCAATGAACGAGAAGGGAAACCCTTCACTCAACCCCATGAGAGATTCCGTGGAACTTGCCATGTGATACCCTTCGCCAGCCAGCTTCCTCAAATACTTCGCAATGAATAATCGCCATCATCCCATCTGGCCCCCTCCCGGCTTCTTACAATCCTTCTTCTGCTGCGCAATATTATCGGCTCTCTTCTTCACACATTCAGTGCACTCCCAGGCCGTAGTGCGAGGCGTTTCGAGCGTTCCCTTGCTTTTGCAGCGCATGTTTCTCTTATTTTCATCACATTTTATCACGCCATAGGCTGTGTTCAAGACTTTCGCGCAATCTGGACCTTTGCAGATGATTTTCTCGATCGTGTCGATGCACCTGCAGGGATTGGAGAGATGTCAGCGCATTCATTTAGCTGAGATATGAGAATTTAGGTGGGGGAATTCGGAGATACTGAATACTACATTTTGTGACTGGTCAATCAAGTGGTTTCAAAGATACGAAAATGGTGACAGCGCTTCTCAGATCAGTTTGCTGTAAAAGAGACGGGTTCGGAGTTTTGACAATAATTCATTCACATGCCTGAGTTGGAGAGGACGTATCCGTGAGGATCTTGTACTTAGACAATGCAGCAGGCACTCAGTGTTCGCTTTCCGTCTCGGCGAATGTCCAGAGCTCACAGTTCAAGGCAGTCGTGAAGAGTGGCCGGAAAAGGCGGTGAGGGAGCCAATTCTCGTCGTGACCAGCACTCGACGCATGGTTGTGATCAAGCTCTATAAACAGCAGCGAAGTACTATTGAAATTCACTCAGGGGTGTGAGGCCATTCGGAAGGCCGTACATTTCCCTCCATATGATTGTATTTCGATCTACTTTGACACACCAAACTCGATGAGTATGAAAAGGGAAAACATGAAAAGACAAGGTATCATGCGGGCAAAGCTTCGGCCTCAATTCGCATTTTGATGGGCATAATGTTGAGAGAACGATCAATCGCTACATGAAATGATTCCGAGAAGTTAACTTGAAGACCAAGATGCGCGCTTGGGGTCATTCACTTCTACAGCAAATCACGATTCGCTTGGCTAGCAAAACGCAGCGGTCAGCAGGCTGGCGTGCAAATTTCTTCCTAGGCCAAGTAAGAGAGAGACCCAGCTTCTTGAGCATCCTTTAATAGGTCCATATCGCCGACTGGATGCAAAAAACCCCATTGCGACGTTCGCTAACTGTAGAAACTCGAAAAGGTACGCAGCCTAGGCTTGATATTCAAAGCATCCACCAGACTCTAGTCTTGATGACACAATATTCAACACAGGCCAGACTTCCTATTCGAGCATTCCAAGACATCTAGTAACGACACGGCTGAGGGAAGTATTCACACTCAGGAGATCTGCGGTGGAGCCTTACACGGCCGTGGCTTACCATTGTGGAGACACACATCTGGGGGTGTCGACACATGGACCCATATAACTCCACCTCCTCCCCCTCCCCCCCCCCCATCATTTCCCACAAGTATAAATACGGGATCCCCTCAGCAACTCCGATCTCGGAAGAGGAAAATCTCCAAAAAGGGATAAGGCTGCGTTGTGCACCAAGAAGGGGCATGAGACACGAATGTAGACCATTCATTTGCGAATTCGTCGTGCTGAATGTTCGTCCTAATTTCAACGTCCTTCGCGCTATCTGAGCCTATTGTTGTTGTCCCACCATACCAGCGAGCGAATCCCTACGATTGCCTGGAGGGAGAGCTAAATTAGCACAGAGCGTCCACTCGCTCCATTATAACATAAGACGCAGTTTTCGCGTCATCTAGCGCTATAGCTGTCGAATCAATGGCACTCCGCCAGTCAATTGAGTTTATGCAGACCGTTCTGCAACGTCCCTCCGTCCCTCCGTCGCGATGTTTTAAATACATAAGATACACTAGCTCTAGCGGCTGCTGACTCAGCCACCTTTTCAAATAAATTACCGCTCCTGTGCCTGTTTACCGTCAACACCGATCACAACCTTCGCCCTCCAATCCTATCGAGGCCACAGAATGCGACTGTTCTGACGACAGTGGTGGCTCCGATGGAAACGCCAAGCGTACGATTCCTCCTCACGACCCTTCCCCCTCAGCCTCATCCCTCAATCCCTCAACCCCCCCCCCCTCCCCCGCACTTGGGATCTTAGACCAAGCAGGCACTTATAACGGCATGTGAGAAAGAGCTCGGAGAGCGTCCTCATATATTCAAAGAAGAGAGGGATCGCAACCCTGAGGGGCTGAACCAGTGGATGGATTGAGCGTCTATTATGCGGCAGAGAAGAGCTGGGATTGGTACGTACGTAGGGGTGACAGCTGCGTAAGGGAAAGGGGGTGTTGTGGTAGGTTAAGGTAAGGGAGGGGTGGTAGGGTGGAAGAGCAGCGTCTGTACCATGCAAACGATTGCTTGGTTGATTGATTGGGTGGGTGGGCTGGATGAGAGGTTTTTTTTCCAGATTGCACAGATATTGAGGGGATTTGGATTAGAGATGAGCATGCATGCGTGCGTGCGTGAAGATGGTGTGGTTGGCTCAATGGGTGGGGTGGGGTGTACGTGTGTCTGCTGGAGGTGTAGAAGAGAGAGAGAGAGAGAGAGAGAGGAGGCAACAGTGGGGTTTGTGTTATGATGGGAACGGGGCGTGGGAAAATAAAGTGTGCAGATGGGTGGGTAGAAGTGTGGGGTGCTTTAGCAGCTTTTCTGTGATATTTTTGTTGGAAATTCAGGGTATGTTTTAAACATTTTTTATCAATCTTGAGAGTTGTGTATCAAGAAACATACTTATCCTCTGGCCTCCCTACAATCCCTACACCCCCTCCCCCTTCATGAGAGTTCTGTCGGCTGCGTATCTGGTGAGGCGCCGTCGATCCTATCCGACATGGGTGTGACATGCACGTCTCGAGAGATAGGTACAACATCCTGCGCTACGATCCCCGTATCATTCGTGACCGTGTTGCTTCTTCTCGAACGCAGGCTGCCAGTGCAAACCCACCCTATCCCCTCTTGGTGAACATCAAATAGCATACTCCTTTCCCTGGCCTCCTTCACGTCAATCCAATCTCCCAACGTCAGGAGCACGTCAGCGGCAGCTTCCATCGAGATATAGCCATCTGGGGGTGTTGGAGGCCCGATTTTGATGGCGATTGACGGGCTATTAACGGAGACGAGAGTGTCGAGATCACCGCCTTTCCTCTGCATTCGCAAGGCGAGGCTGCCCAGAGCCCTTTGGATGGTGTAGGGTGGAAATTGGCGAGCAGGTACTTTGAAGCCGACTGTTAGGGAGAGCGAGTCCTGGCGTTGGACGGGAATCCCTGTCATGGACGCAACGATTGGGGTTGTGTCGTTCGTACCTACGATGGACGTAGTTGTCTTCGTTGTTGTTGTGTCAATTGTGTCTTGCTGGCGCGAGACTAGTACGCTCACGGATGTGTTTGCGGTGTTTCCATCCGGAGGGAATCGCTTCAGTGCACCTGTAACAAGCCGCTTCCACCCGAGTTTGATTTTGAAGACGAGGTCTTTACACCTTGCATCGTCCTCATGTATCCAATCACCCAAAGAACGAATAGCGTTCGCTGCAGTAGACTTTGAAATTATGTCCTTGACCTCTCCTTCCGGTAGCAAGGAAATGGTCGAAATGCCTGGCTGCGTCCTGGACTCTCGTTCTCTAAGGGGACCACCTTCATCCTCGAGATCATGAGCAAATGCAGGAAAGAGTGGTTGGAGTTCAATACAATCGATTGTGTCATTTCCGAGATCGATAACCATGTGGAGCTCTGGCCGGTGCTGTATAGGTATGACGAAATGGTTGTCTGGACTGAACATGTCGCTGTTGTTAGTCTTGTTCGTGCTTATCGTGGTTATGTCATTCGTGTCTCTGTCTTGGATAGGTTGGCGCGATACAAGTATACTGGTCGACAAAGTGGTATTTGTCCCATTGTTACCATTATTGTCGGGATATAAGCCGCCCTTGGCGATCCACCCAAACTGGTTATGAAAGATATTGAAGACCAGTCTTTTATATCTCTCATCTGCATCTAAATCTATCCAATTACTTAGCGTCAGCATGGCGTCCGCAGCAGCCCATTCTGAGATCCAATGCTTTGGTCGGTCGTTTGGGGAAACGAAAACCGTGGCAATCCCCGGCAGGGTATCGGGTTCCCAATCTGTAAGCTCACCACCATGCCGTTGGAGGGCCAAAGCAAACCTACCAAGCAACTGCTGCACTTTCCTATCAAGAGTCGCTCTACCTGAGGTTTCGACCGTCATTGTAAGGTCTGGTTGTCGATCGACAGGGATGATTTCAGGATATTCCTGGTCAAGTGAGGAAGAGTTGACGGTCTTAACTGACCTTGTAGCGATGATATCTGTGTTGGTCGAATTTGAACTAGACGTGGAAACGGAACCATCCGGCTTGGATAACTCCCCCGCAACAATCCATCCTGTCTGCTTATGCAAGACATTGAATTTGAGCTCCTTGCTCCTCGCAACGCCCGCTTCGATCCAATCCCCTACCGTCAGAACGATATCTGCAGCAGCAGGACCTGATAGATAATGTATTGCACCCTCAGGAGGGCCTATCTCGATTCTAGCCACCTCGGGTAGAGTAACGAACTCAGATTCCCTGAGATCACCAAGACGCACGAGGCATTTGGCAAATGTACCGATCAAGGTCTGGACTCTACCTTCGATCGGTTGTTCTGCGAGATCGATCGTCAGTATGAGGTCTTCCTGGCGCTGTACAGTTATCAATTCTGTATAGAGCCCCCCAGAGACCAACTTCGCTCCTCCCGCTTCCAGTACATTAAAGCTTAAGACCTTGCTCCGTTGATTATCTTCCCTCATCCATTTCGCCAATGTAAGAATCACGGTGGAAGCAGTCCTGCCTGAGATGAATGATTGCGCATTCTCGACAGGTATGATAAATGCTCCAGCGAGGCCAGCAGTTGAGAACGGCTGTATGGTATTGAGATCCGCATCACCATCAAAAGCAAGATCAAGTGCGAACTGTCCTAGAAACCTTTGTACAGGGCCAGTGGGAATTTGCTGTGGTGCATCCGAGAGGACGACTTCTAGGCGAAGTTCCCTGGCGAGACCTGGGATAGGTAGAGTATCGCCGACATTCGTATTGTTGGCAGTGGCATTTAGAGAAGCGCTGATTGACGATGCCAAAGCACCAAAGCTGCTATTGGATGTCGAGGAGGGGTTAACAAGCAATGAAGCTACGCTTGTCAAGGTGCAAGAGTGGAGGATTGGCTTTAGGTGCATTTCGCGCTTTACAGGGGAATATCCCGAACCAATTACCGCTTTAGCATCGAGCTATTTCGCTGTCGAAATAATTTGAGCAGTATAATGATTGGAGATTGTTCAGCAGGTTATCCATTAAGTAGATGTTGTGACATTGGGCTCGTGTCGCGTATAACAGCTCTTGGTGTTGTGAAGAGAGACATCCAACAACCAACGCAGCACCTGTGGAGCCGCTCGAGCAGATACTCGCACCCCCAAATGGAACTTCAGGTGAATGAAATCTGATGTACGTAGTTTTGCTTGAAGGTCTTTCCTAGCGCCTGAGGAGTATTCAGGGGAAAAACTTCCATCGCTGTCCGTCGAGTCCATGGTGAATGAAGCCACAGAAATCATGTGGGCGCAAAGCCAGCTGCGATTTTCTCCAACACACCATCGTCAGCAATATCACTCACGTCCAGCAAGCGATCTTTAAGATATAGTCGATGCTGATTGGGTAGCCCAACAACCATGGTCGCCATCGCCAGGGGCCACGCCAAGAATGACGCCGTACTGGCCTTGACAGCAATTTTCAAGGAGCTGGGTACTTTCTTCAGAACGGTGGTATCTTGCTTCGCACCAACCTCGACCAATCCGAGCATGTACGGTATACTCAGGGACAGGTCATCCGCTAGGCTCTGGAGTTGGAGGGTTGCATCGAGTTGGATTGATGCTGCGGTGGGGTGGGCGTCGTGAATGAGAGGGGTGCAAAGTCGAGCTATGATATCGTTACTGATGAGACGAAGGGCTCGGTAGCGATTCCACATCCCTGCGTGACCGGCAGTGGGGTATATGTGGACGGTGCCACGAAATAACTTGCTGCCAACTCCGAAGTGGTCCTCACCCTTTACTGAAAGGGTGCTGTAACAGCTTTCGCTCGACATACGATCGGCCCATGAAGCTAAAGATGCTTCCAGAGCTTGACCTTCGGTAAGCAAAGAGCGGCATTTACGAAAGTGCTCCTTGCTGAATGCCATCCCGGGCATGAAGGACTCCACTAAGGCAGTGTTGAATCTGTGTTTCAGTCTGGCGGTCTCTACCATGCAGCGGTCTAGTTCGAGAGAAGAGCCAATCTCTCCGTATTTTGCGCCGTCGCGAAGCCACGGCGGTACTGGCATACTTCTTAGCAGTAACGATCTGACTAGCTGGCGCCGCACGAGCTTGTCGAGCTCGACACTATTTTCTTGCCGCCTAGGCTGTTGTCGTCGTAGGTTGAGCATAGCCATTGCGCCGTCGTGGTGAGCAAAACTTCGCGAAGCTATCTTTCCAATACCTCTTTTCGAAGGTTCCGGCGTTGTGCCAACGACGGAGTTCTCATAGAAGCTCAACAGCATCGCAGCGAGAAGGACATCGTCCAGTTTTGACTCGTTGGGGTCTTTCAATGCTAGGTTGGTCTTACACAACGCTTTTGAGTAGCTCTGATATCCTTTGGCTAGGGAGAATTGACTTCTTTGAGCGCGTGCGAATGTGGCGTGTGCGACCGCAGATATCGCCAGGCTCAAGACTGAAGAAGGGTCAGAGTAACATTGGCTTGTAGGGACGACTTTGGTGTGTCCATCCATTATTTCAAGAACGTCCTGAGGCCCCTCGACATAACACCGTGTGTAATATGTCAAGGCTTGGTCTTCTAGAGACGCATCAAGCGATGGTTGTGTGAAGATCTTCTGTGCTTTGAAGAGTACCATATCAGCTGTCGCAGTACCACTTGAAGTATTGGCAGAGTTCTTCGTGGCGGTAGACTTGGAAGGCAAAGAGTGAGTTCTAATTGTCAGCGAGGGCTTGACGTTGGGTCCCCGTGGGCGTTTCTTTTTGCCGACTGCATACTCGTTCTCATTGAGAAAGATGGCGTCATTGTTCTCCTCAACTATATCGCAGATTATCTTTGCCTTCTTGCAGCGCGCACAAGTTGGGCGAGCTTCATCGCACTAGTTTGAGTCAGAAAATACCAAATCTGTTGTTTTCTTAAGCCGTACCTTCACACGACGCTGCTTGCATGGACGGCACCCACGACTCGGAAAAGTCATATTGACTGACTGAAGGCAGAGAGGATGGCAACATGTTTAGTGGATCGACTGCCTTTTTCATTACTTTTGGCGTCTCCCTCCACAAACATCTTCACCAACGAACATGAAGCACTCCCCCTTTCGGACACACGATGCAGTAGTCCTGTTATTCTGTATATGAAACGCAGTTCGATTCAAAACATTCGCACGCAATGTTCTGAAACCAACAAACACGGTATCAGGAGGAAAGAAATACACGTTATAAGAAATGCCCCAATAGTGCTTACATGGCCGTCGATGACGTCACTCGCGGCCCCCTACGTGGCCCCTATCTCAATATTCATTCTTCCCCTTCCTCTTCCTCTTCCTCTTCCTCCTCTTCAAAAGTGTCCACTCACCGGCTTCGGGACATACGGCTCCTCCAAATACTTCATCTCCTCCTCACTAAGCTGCAGCCCTCGAATGGCACACGCCTCCTCCATCCTGCCCACATTCCCACTATTCAAACCAACAATCGGCACGCAACCCTTCCCCCTCAGCCACGCCAGCGCAACCTGCACCATCTTGCAACCCCTCTTCACAGCCACCTCCTCTACTCTCTTCACAATCTCCTGGTCCGCGTCCGTCACCCCCCCACCCATTCTCCCAGCCATCGCCTTGTTCAACTTACTCCTCTCCGTCTCAACCCCGAGCGGTTTCGCCAGCAGCCCGCCATATAGCGGACTCCACGGGATCAAACCAACGCCGCTCTCATTGCAGAATTTGTTCATCTCCCGTTCTTCTTCGCGGTAGCATAGGTTGTACGTGTTTTGCATGCTGATGAAGGGGGTCAGCTTGTGCATGGCTGCCACGTGTTGGAGACGCGCGAATTGGTACGTCCACATTGAGGAGGCGCCGATGTAGTGCACTTTTCCGGACTTGACCAGGTCGTGCAGCGCCGTCATTGTTTCTTCTGGGGAAACGGTCGGGTCGTAGCGGTGGATTTGGAGGAGGTCGATGTAGCTGGTCCCCAGCCGTGCGAGCGAGGCTTCGACGGCTTTGAAGATGGCGCCTCGGGAGAGACCTGGGCGAAATGAGTGTTAGCTTGGGGTACTGGTGGGTGCAACAGGTGTGTGCATACCGCCTTTGTTGACGTAATCCCTGCTCTGTTGCATTTGCGCCTCGTACATCCAGCTGAAGATGCCGGGTTCTTCTGGCACTGTCCCATAGAGCTTGGCCAGGATGGTCACCTTGTGTCGTGGTATCTCGAATTTCTTGAGCGCTTTGCCGATGATTTCTTCGTTCACACCGCTGGAGTAGACGTTGGCTGTGTCCCAGGTGGTCAAGCCTGTTGCGCTGTCAGAGCGTGATATGAGGTTGGTCCATGCAAGATCTCCTCACCTCTGTCCCAGGCTGCTTTCAACAGCTTCAACCCTTCCTCTTCTTCAATACACAAGCCCTGCCAGTCCTTACTGCCGATGTACATGGTACCGAAGATTGGTGAGGAGACCCGAAGGCCAGACTTGCCCAGCTGAACATACTCAACTTTGGTGGCATCGACGCTGCTTTGGAGCGAAGCAGGAAGAGAAGGTGTCGCCATGTTCTCTGATGTAGTGGAAGATTTGTGTCTGGGTAGTTGAAGAATGATGATTGCTTTTGATCCCCGAGATCTGCAAAACAAGTGAAGAAGGGCGATTGTTTATGGTCGCCGGAATCTGCATCCAGAGCGCCCTCTTATATATTCTCAAATCCATCCTGCTGGTCGGGGTCGGTGCACAGGAGTTTGTAGGATTTTTCAATCCGCGTCCGTCCAGATGGATATAGATTTCTCAGCTTTCTTCTCAGCTCTTGGCCTTTGTCGAGAGTATTGCCTGACATAGCTAGCTATACTTTCCAAAATGCAGCCTTCCACGCCACGTGCATGAAGCTATACCAATCTGTACTCGCTTTGTCATTCACTAAGCCGCATCTGGAGAAACTCGCGACTGGGTGAGCACTAATGCAAGGTACAGAATCCTGGACAAAGTCCGTAAAGTCCAGAACATAAACGCCGAGCATACAGATCCGGATTCTTCAACCCCATTCATCTTGAAGACCATCAATCCAGTTGTCGGCGTGTGAATGACCCATCTCCGATCTGGCCTGCGTCAGTGACACTGTTGATTGTCATCGAAGCAATCTTGCCCCTACATTTCAATCATTCTGAGTAGCCAACCCATCAAGCCACTGGTACGACCAAGAAATGCAGTTCATGTGATAGAATCGACATTAGTCATTCCGCTCTCTTTACGCCCCCAGAACTCACTCACTCATCGACAATAGAAGATCTTGCAACACTTCACAAGATCAGAGCCAGCTCTCCAGGACTGAGACCGCATAGCACCACACTTCCAGCCCCTCGCACCGTTCTTCGGCGACTTGCCAAGATTGTGATGAGCGAGGTCAATGCATGAAAAAAAACATCGTCTCCCCCGCCTGCCCACAGCTGGCGGCTGCAATTGTTGATACCGTTTCCACAAACCCCACCAACTCCTTATTTCATTCTCCATGCACACGCACAAAGACTCCATAGAGTATAATGGCATCTTCTTCATACGCTCACGAATTCGAGTCCACAAGATCGCCGCCCTTTCCCGAGACCCCGTATTTCCTTCTATGCATAATGACAATATGACAATGAAACACTTGATATCGCAGAAATACGCACGCAAAGAAAATGAACGCTCAGCCTCGCAGATGGAGGATCATAAGACAACAGCAAAAGTAGGGTTACACCACCTGCAGAGTTCGAACGGAGCTTAAGAGGGACCTGCGCTGTTTGTTTGCAAAGGGCACTTGCAGCTGCGTCTGAGATTGTGCGAAAGAGTAGGTGTTGCTTGGGATGTGTAGAAAATGACCAAATATAATAGCATTCTCGTCCACCTGCTGGCCTTATATCTCAGCGCAGCTGGCCTCACTCGCATACATACATACATACATACATACATGCACAAACCCAGTCTCCTCGCCTCTCGGTCGACAAAGACAATCATGCTAGAACAAAGTTTTACAATGCCAAATAGCCAGTTGAGCCTGCACCCCATGATGTTATCGTGGCAATAATGATATCTGTACACAAATATCTCGAGAATGCGGCTTTGAGATGCTTGGCTACTCTCCTTGCCATCTGTTATGTACACATCAAACTATTTTTCCTCAATGCTCCTTCCTTCTTTCACCTCCTGCACTCCCTTATTCCCTGCCATCATCGCCCTTTCCTCATCCCCTTTCACCCCCATCTATCCTCCCCCTTATTCCAAAAACCCCCACAAATTATTCAACCCCTCGCTCAAACTCGGATGTGCAAACACCGCCCCTTGCACTCCCTCCCACGTCACTCCTCCCATCATCGCCATCTGCACAACGGCCATAACCTCCCCGCCCTCCAACCCCAAACACGTAAACCCCAGAATCCTCCCCCTCCCCTCCCCTCCCTTCTCAACAACAGCCTTCATCACCCCCCTACTCTCCCCACACTCCAGCGCGCGCGCCACATACGCCATGGGCATCTTCGCCACCGCCACGTTCTCATCGCCGTGAATCTTTCGTGCTTCAGCTTCATGGAGGCCTACGTGGCCGAGTTGGGGGTCTGTGTACGTGACGTAACAGTCCAAGCGATCTTTGGTGGTGCGTTTCATCCCCTCCCTCCCCGCCCTCCCCGGCCCAGGGTCAATCAGGTTGGCGGCCAGGATACGAAAGTCGTCGTACGAGACGTGCGTGAAAGCAGGTCCGCCCTTGACGTCGCCGAGGGCGTAGATGTGCGGAACGTTGGTCTGCAGGGTCTCGTCTACTTTGATGTAGCCGTGGGAGTCGAGGGCGATACCCGCTGCTTGGGGGCTAGGATGTCGGTATTGGGTACGCGGCCAGCGGCTGCGAGGAGGTGGGAACCCTGCAATTCGTGGGAGTTGCCGTCGCTGGAGAGGACGGAGAGGACGATAGGCGATGATTCAGAGGTGGATATGCTTGTCGCTTTGGTGCTGAGGAGGATGGTGATGCCGTCTTCTTCCAGGATCTCCGTCATGGACTCCGCGATGTCTGGGTCCTCGCGAGGAATTAGTTGCGCGCCTCGTTGTATGATTGTCACGGCGGCGCCTAGGCGGCGGAAGAGCTGGGCGAATTCTAGACCTATGGGTCCGCCGCCTAGGACGATGAGGTGGGAGGGCACGACGTCAAGTTCGAGGATCGAGGTGGAGTCTAGCACGCGCGTGCGATCGACGCTTTCAAGACCACGGAGGACGAGGGGGGTAGGGCGTGCTCCCACATTGATGAAAAATTGATCTGCTGAGATGGTCTTTTCAGGTTCTGCCGGAGAAGAAGGTGAGATAGTCACGGTATGTGGATCCACGAATTTGGCCGTCCCTGTGATCAATTCGATACCGGAGGACTGGACTCGCCGTTCTGAGCCGCCGCGAAAGCTATCGACGATATCGCGCTTGCGTTGGCGGATCTTCTTCATGTCGATGGTTGGGGCAGAGGGCAGATTGACGCCGTAGTCTTGAGAGCGGCGAGCGAGGTATGCGACTCGTCCGCTGGCGACCATGGTTTTGGTGGGTGTGCATCCCTCGTTGATGCAAGTGCCGCCAATGTGGGTGCTCTCGATTAGGGCAACAGACTTGCCTGCTTTGGCAAAGGCGCCTGCTAAGGGTGTGCCACCTTGACCAGAGCCGATGACCACGGCGTTGAAATGCTGTTTAGACGACATCTTACGGTAGTGTTTCAGTGGTGCGCTTCTTTGGAGGTGGACGTGGAGAGAGCAGAGACTGATGTTGAATTTGAATCTGGCTGTACAGAGCATTTATCACCCACCGAAAACGTATCTAGACATCTTAACGAAAGAAATATCAGGAATGCTTGAGCATATCGATATAGGTGCTCAAAGACGTAGTAACCGGAACCCCGCGGCTGACTGTGCAGATGGCGTGAACCCGTGCGGCGGGGCACAACAAGCGTCCAAACGACTGGTTGCCCTTCATTCTAGTTGGGGATTCGTATTATTCAACAAGTGTAGTATTGAAGGTGATTTGAGCTTAGCTGATAGCGTTTCCACTCCGCTAGTGTGGATATAAAGGGGGTTATAATTGTGTCAATGTCAATCAGTCAATATTCAAAGTAGGCGAAGGCTGCAGCGTCAACTTTGTCAATATGAAGGGAAGAGGAAAAGTATTTCCAGGGGATAGATTGTTCAAGCATGGATAACTTGTCGAGGAGGGTCGATTGAGGTCGAATGCGATTGTGTGGACGTGTGAATACTTGCAGAAGAACAGAAGGGCCGCTCCAGGTTGAGGTTGCAGAACGACAGACATAGACGCTCGATAGCACTTAGGTTGATGAGTAATGTATACTGGTATAAATAGAGCTGAACTGATGAGACAGTATGTTTGATGAAAATGAGACCGAGAAAAATATGTTCCAAGTTGTACAGCTTTCCCTTGTACTTTGCGCAATCCATTAATACTCTGCCAGCCGTATACGCCAACATTGAAAAGATTGAGAATTATTCTCATAAGCTGCCCTGAGAATACTGAGTACTATCATGTAGTTGTACGTCGCCAACACCTGTCGGCAGAGCTGGCAATGATAAAGTTCCATGGCGTCAAAGAATGTTAAAAAAAATCGGTGTAGAAGACGTCGTACCAGCGAAGCTCGTCCACGGTCTTCTTCAAAAGCAAGCAAATCTTCATGCAGTCAAACTTATCTGACTTGACCCCCATTGAAGAAATTTGTCATATTTCGCTGTACTGCCTCAAATTTAGTGAACCTACACGACTCGCTCTCCAGATGATTGAACATAGCAGCCAGCGTCTTGAATTGCAATCCACAATTCTTGCTATTGGGGCAGTGATATATTTGCTGCATGTGTGCAGGACTCTTCAGATGCTGGTCTAGATGCGCAGGAGCCCTGAAGCAACGATGACATAAATAGCACTCGTAGTCATGTCCGTTATACGCGTTAGAAGTCGACCATGTCTCCTCGCGGTCGTCTTTCCACTCGAGGAGTTTGTTTGTGAATAGACCTTGAGAATCGCGTTGTTTTATGAGTTTGTAGATGCTTTCTCGATTGACTACGCTGGCGTTGGGACAAGACCCAGTCTCAAGGTGGTTAGATACGCCGCTGGCCGTGGTGAAACCCTTCCGGCAGAAGGGGCATGGAACGTCAGAGCCACGGTGAGTTTTCGAATTCATATGCTTGAGTGATGTCAGCACGTTGAAAACACTTGTTGGATTCGACTTTTCGAGTTGGTAAAAATGACTTACCATACGAAGATTGTTAGCATTGTCAAAGTTCCGTCGACAGGACTGGCAGTAGTGTTCCCAGTGTCCCACAGCATTCATATGCTGCTCTTGGGCCCCTGGGCTGGCGAACTTGCGATCACAGGTCTCGCACTCCCAACGCTCGTGGCCGCATTCGTCCATGTGGATGTTTCGTTCATCCGGGTCGTTGAATTCCTCGTCACAACCATCACATTCGTAGGTTGGAGCCCAATGGTCAAGAGCGTTCATGTGTTGTCTACAAGCATGCCAATTGGAAAATTCGCGATCGCAAGTTTGGCATTCTTCGGCCATGGCTACGGTGATCTTCGGGGAGAGATTGGATTAGAAGATGAAAAAGGTTTACCAAAAGTGAGGAATGATGAAGGCGACCTCGTCTGCTCTGTATCAGCGGCTAGACTACACCAGCCAAGATCAGCCAAATATCTTGACAACGATATCTCACAAGTTATACGAAGAAGCGACGCTCTATCGTATTTGCTGTGAGGGGCTGGAGGGGCAGCGGGAGGGGCGGGGGAATCTCATTCTCTTGGCACGGACTCTCCCCTGGCTTGCATAAAAGCACAAGCTGTGTATATTCTGTGCACAAGCTACACAGACGGGTATGGATGCAGAAGGGCATGCCTTACCAGTCGTTGCTCTCCAATGGCAGAAAGACACAAAGATTCAGCAGAAGACCGAAACTCGAGGTGCTGAGCCGAATAGTCGCAAGCAAGGATAGAGGAGTCAGATTTGGTTAGCAAACGTGGGAATGTACTGAGCTTCTCTTCTCCGTTGTGCAGTCTCCAAACCAATCTCCCAGCAGCGTCAAGCTCTCTGACGGACCCTTGCCAAGCCCCTCCAGCACGCCCATTTCCACCTCATTGTGTCAACTTCGAGCCCCCAACCACAACCCCAGTCTCATTCAACCCCAATCCACCATGATGCTGCGTCCGCCCAAGCCCGACCACAACCTTCCCCCCCAGCCCCACCCTCACATGGCCACCACGTAGCTTCGCCAACGGCACATCCAACATACACTTCTTGAAGATCTGAGTGCAGCCAAGCTGGATATCCCACCAAGACACATAATCCAAGGCGCTCGAGGGATCAAGATACACGGACGCCTCGCACAGTCTGTAGGAGGTGTAGTCTAGGTCGGCGCCCGCGAAGACGAAGGAATCTTTGTCTTGCGGCCATGAGAGGAGTGCTGTCGCGCAGTCGCAAGCGTCGAAGTCTGGCTCGTAGTCCCGTGCGCATTGGACCTCGTTGTTACTGATGGGAGGTTGGGGGGTTGAGAGGGGTGTTGATGCATTGGTTGATCCTGATGGGATGGATGCTGCAGATATGGTACTGATGAATAGGAGAGCCGCAGCGAAAAGAAAGAAATGCATGGTCATCGTTTGCAAGAAAGAGAAGTCATGGTGGGTTTTTCGGCAAGCTGTCATGGTATTCCTCCAATGGGGATTGTGCTAGACATGTTCTAGTGCGCGTAAAGCGCGGCTCAATGCATCTCACGGCATCACGAGCGGTGGAGAAGGACTCAGTAGGTCAGATTCGTGACCATGTATATCCCATAACCGCAACACATCCATTTTGGGCAACATCTCAAAAAATCAAGATAGAAATCTCGTCATAAAATCTTTTCGATAGAAGTCTTGGCGTGATGAATGCCAAGCCTTTGAGCGGACGAATGTTCGTCCGCGTGTGTTCCCTCACCAATCTCGTACAGGAACTTGAGCGCACCTTATAGCCACTACCTTTTCCCTAGATCAGCCTTCTCATCAACCTAGAGTGTCTAAGATGAGCCTTAAGCGAGTACGTTACATCGTCTTCTCAGATGCGCTAGAGTCATTGGCTGAGGCAGCCGAATGACCAGGTACGGAGCAAGCGTGGTTAAGCAGAAGACTCGACCGAGAAAGAGCCGTAACATTGATACATATCTATCGATGGAATATACTTTGAAGCTTCAAAAGCATTCTCATTCAATTCCTCTTTTAGGGGGTAGACAATCAGGCTCCTTGTCCTAATTTGCCCTCGAGCTCGCAATATGCGAATCCCAAGCTCTTCCTGCATATTCCTCGTCTTACTGCCATTGATTTACTCGCTCCCCCTCAGTACAACAAATGAGCATATGAAGGTAAACAGAGCCTCAAAATCGCTCTTCCCAGCGAGCAAGCTGACAGCCCACCGTAGTTCTCCTGGGTTCCAAGATCCATCGCCCAGATCGAAGGCAAAGAAGAGATAGTAGGAAGAGCGGAGGACCTTAAGATCGCAGCAACGAATTGCGCAATGTGCCATGGTCTGAACGGTGGCCCTTGAAGCTGAAGATGGACACTTCACATTACAGCGTCGGTACTTGATAAAGGAAAGGATATGACAATATCACAGCTGAGGCTCAGCAGCAGAAAACAATGAATGCAAGACCCATACATTCGCCCTCGCTCACCTCCACGTGCCCCTCCCAATCACACACTCACTCTCCCTTCTCATCCCCCCTCCGCCTTGACCTTCCCCTCCCCCTCCTCCTGCCCCTTCTCACCACCCCCTTTCTCACACCTACACCACGCCATGCGACCACAGTCCGCACACATCCATCGCCTTTTCATATAGCCGATAAGTAGGGTCCTGCACCAGTAAAGTTAGCTCATCTCCCCTTCCCCCACCTTCCCCTCCCTTCCCTTCCTTTCCCCTTTCCCCATCCACCCCCCAACCCCCAACCACATAAAAACAAAAACCAACACCAAGAAGAGAAAGAGAGATAGAACTTACGACAAACCCAGCGTAACACTAATCCCCAACGCACTCACCCCCTATCCCCCGAGCGACGCGGGAAAAGTATCGGTTCCAGCCACAGCCCATAGGGCAGGAAGAGGATGTACGCGAACACGGCAGTGAAGATGGATGCGCGGATTATTGAGCTGTGGGATGGCTTCCCTCCCTCTTCTTCTTCTTCTTTGGTGGACTTGGTAGATGGGGGGGACGGAGATGGGTCGGAGGGAAGGGAAGGGGAGGAGGGATTATGGGGGAGAAGGGGCGTGGATTCATTCATAGAAAGGCCGGGCTCCCTGGGTCGTGTGGGCGCGGCGCGTGGTTGTGATTGCAGTTGTGAGGAGGGCTGACTGTTTGGGGAGGGGTTGGACATCATTGCGGTTATTGAATGAGTGGAGGAGAGAGGAGGTGAGGGAGGTGGGTGGAGGATGAGGTAGACAAGGCTGGTATGAATAGCTGGGGTGACCGCGGCATCGCGGGGTAAAATGATTAGACTGAGATCTAGGGAGGATGGTGGGACTTGGCTTTTATTGGCATCTCGTGGTTGATCATGAAGCTTGGTCTATATATTGTATGTGAGCGTAGTTCTGCTCCGCTTTGTTGGAGGGTTATTTGTGGAAGCTTGAACGTTGACGTTGGCATTTTTCACAGCCTATCTAGTAACAGCATTTCGCCCTGGAGATAAATCATATACAGAGAAACAAACCCAACAGCATCTCCCTAAAAAGCCGTAAACGAACAAACGCCATCCCAAGCCGCATGCCCTTTTCCCTTTTGAAATCGCAAACACCCAAACAAGTCACCGTCAATCACCAATCAAACTCCCCTTCTCACGACATGCCTATTTCCCAGCATCCCTAGCCCTAACCCACCCCTTCCGTGCATTATTCAGCACAATCCCCCCAACACCAACCGCAACCGCATTGGCCATCAAATGCTTCCTCAACTTATCCCTCCTCTCCTTCTCCGTCATCTCTGCGCCAGCTCCCCTATCCCGTCTACGCTCCTGATACGCTTTATTCGCCTGATAAACATTATTCGCCGCACTAACGGTCGTGACGCACGCCATCGTCGTGGCAAACAACTTGGCATTCCGCGCGTTGCGTTTCGCTTTCATCTCCTCCCATTCAGCGGGATCATAGGCGCGATTCCTGCTGGTTTTGCGTTCGTCGTCGGATGACGAGGAGGAAGAGGACGTGGATGAGGAGCGCCGAGAGCGGTAGCGCACCACTGGTCCTTTCTCCCGCGTGGACACTGCCCAGGCGTCCCCGTTGCGGGCTGTGGAGCGAGAACGGCTGGGTCGTCGCATGAGGGTTAGGTCTCGGGGATCGTGCCGCTGCTCCTTTTCGTCTCGGGCCGGTGGTGGTGGAGACCGTTTACGGGAGTGAGAGCGAGCGCGATTGTGAGCGTGAGATGGACCTGGGCGGAGGCCGGCGTCGGAATGGGAGCGCCCATGACGGGGGTGAGGCGTCGGTGGGTACTGTGGGGCTGCGAGATGGGAGGCGGCTTTTGGTGGGGATGGTTGGGTGGGTGCGAAGCGGGGGCGGAGAGGTGAGGGGGAGATCGAGCGGCGCGAGGCGCTAGAGCGACGGCGAGATATTGTTGAGTGGGAGGGGGGGCCGAGAACCCATTCTGGTCGGGAAGGATACATGGATTTTCTGGGGTAGGGGTCTGGATTTATTTAGTGGTGAGTTCGTCTGGGGAGCGGAGTGGAAGCAAAGACATACGTTCATCAAATGCTGTTGATGCTACTGCTGCCATTGTCTTTGCGAATGTAGTTACGAGATTTGGTCGGTCTGGCTTGGTGACCTTTTCACTCGAGTGGGAGTGTTCTCCTGTTGGTGCAATAGAGCTTGCTTGAACGGTTGACTTGAAGAATCAGATCATTGCAATCACATATTCTGTCTTTGATGCAGATGAGAACATAAAGGTAGACAATCAGACAGAGCGAGCCGTCGTAGATAAGAAAAGGAGAGCAGAGAATGGGGGGAAAGGCTGAGCATCAGGATGTTGTTTCAGTTCCAACACAGCCGAAATCCTTCAAACCACAACATTCTTGAAACAGGGATCACTTGTCGCACCATCTTACAGTCCACATTGCGTGGTATTTTGGGATATTTGGAGAAGAAAGAAGTACCGTGTAGCTTTCCAAGTCATAGTCGTATCGAGTGGAGAAGAGGCCGTGGACGCAATGACCCAGAAAGGCATGGCACTTTCGCAGCCTGTCTACCTTTCCACATGCTCTCTTTCCATAACTCGATGACAATCAATAATAGAAGTAGGTAGTCTCGTGTGTCAACATGAAGCAAAACGCACACTGTATGAAATATCCTTCACGCGTTCCAAAGAACGGCGTGCAGTTCCCCCGATTGACGACGGTGAGGACTTGTCGTAACACGCAAGGATTGGATTGTCAAGATCCTTCAGAATTTGAAGGCAGTCGATCATCGAATCCTCGATGTTATGCTGTCTAATGACAACCACACTTCCGTGCGCAGCTGGCGAAGATGAGAGGAAGAGGACACTCCTGCCCCCCCATTTCCCAACATAAGCGCCCTCATATGCCCCTCCGCCCCCATCACAATCACAGCCCCTGGCGAAGTCGCAATAGCCCTCGATCTTTCCAGTTGAAGCCACTGGACTAAGTTGTAGACCATTACCCATCAATAAACACTCCATAAAGATCGAGCAAGAGTATGAAAATAAAAAGAGTCGAGATCGAAAATCCGGGGAAAACAAGATTTGCCACCGCCAAGCCTTTTCTCTTGGCAATGGCACAGCATGACCTCCTCAGCAAGGTACAACACAGTTCACCATCTACATCTCATCAAATACAAGAACAAAGCCAAGTAAGTCGAAGGAGATTTGAAAGAGCAAAAAGATTTGACCGAGGGGCGATTCGAACACCCAATCTTTGGTGCCGAAAACCAACGCCTTAACCATTAGGCCACACGGCCGACTTTTCTTCGAAATCTGTGAGCTTCCGCCATCCAACGATCACTTAATTCTTCTATTAATATATATAATCTACATTTTCAACCCGACAGCAGTCCGGAAGCCCACGTTGTTCTTCTACCTTATACAATCTGTTCAGCCAAGGACTTTGGTCTACACACTTGGAGTGATTTACCACTGACATCATGGTACACAACTCTACTCATTTCCTCACATCATTATTAACGGCATATCATACTGCACTTTTTGCTTTTCAAAGATTTACTACCCTGCCAGGACAAAATAGGCAACAACCTTCCGGCAAATCTATGTAAGTTGCTTCATTCACATGGACCACCTATGAGTCCTCCAGTGAGTATGATTTGTGCATTCACGCCACATGAACTCATCCCCAATGTCAAACTTGCCTCTAATTGTTCGGCAGATATGCCATTATGCTCTCGTATCTCTGTCACCATGTTTTATTAATCCTTACACTGTCAAATCTTCTACACCAACTCTGTAAGCACTATACCAGTCCAAACATCGTTTTCGCACATCTACAAAGTTTCTGCACGAACACATCATTTGAAACGATATCTTGGAGCCAATCTTGTCCGCAGAATTGAAACTCCTTTCGTTTCAAAGCCTCCTTAAGCCACCTGATACCACCTTCCTGCTGGCAGTAAAATTACAGCTACCGATTTCAATTTCTTTTGTTTTGACGCTCGTCTTTGGCGCTCACACCGCCGTAAGCAAAGCGCTCGGCAGCCCATGCAACGCGCCCCTCCCCTCCGTGCCCTCAGATCCATCCCTCGACCCTTCTCTCTGCCCAATTCCATCCACGTCCCCGTTCCCATCCCCGTTCCTAGAATCCACCGCCACGGAAGCAACTCTTGAGACAAGCCCATTGTCCAACACCCTCCTCCCCAGCCTAATCGCGTTGGGAGCTCTAAAGCTATCCTGGATAGACTCAAGACTCTTACCGCGCGTCTCAGGCATGTACAGCACGAGCACAAGCAGAGTTGTAAAGGAGCAGCCGCCAAAGAGGAAGTATGCGCCGTACGAGGATTTGGCGAGGAAGATTGGGGTGATGAAAGCAACGAGCCAATTGGCGAACTATTTGTGCGTTGCATGTCAGCAACACTCGGACAGCCAAGTTGCTATCTGATGCCAACAACAATAGTTGATAGATTACCGCGGAAATGTAGGAGGAGAGAAAGCGACTCACGAAGTTCAACCCCTGCGCCAGACTATTCGTCATCGCCCTCGTCTCCACAGGCTGTATCTCACTGGCATAGATCTTACCCACGATCGCCCACGTAGCCACGTACGTTACCGCGAATGCGAAGATCAGCACAATGACAACCCATCGACCAACACCCGTTTTATGCACGCTGTCCGAGGCGTACAAGCTGCCGATGACGAACATGCAGGTCGATAGACCGACTCCACCCGTGATGGTGCAGGCGCGTCGAGACCAGGCGTCCGCGAAGTAGAATGCCGGGATGGAGATTGTGAGGGCGAGAATGCCGGAGACGCCGGAGGCGAGGAAGGAGGCTTGGCCTGGGGGGAGGCCGGCTTGGGCGAAGAGGATGGGCGCGTACTGGGAGGGTTGTTAGGAGGGAGCGATCTGGGAGAGAGAGGGGGTGATATCTAGTGAGAGCGATTTCGGGAGACTGGGAAGATGGAATCGGGGGTTGAAGATGGACTTACGTAGAGGACGCCGTCAATGCCGGATAGCTGCACCATGCCGAGGATGAAGAAGCCTAGCATGGTCCTCAGTCTATACTGTTTGTTGAAGATGTGCCAGATACGCTTCAGCGTTGGAGCAGTCTGTTGTGACTGCGCTAGGAGATCCTTCTCTACCTCCGTGCTTGAGATATCCAGTCGACCCAAAGCTACCATCGCATCTTGGCGGCGGCCTTTGGCGAAAAGCCAGCGAGGTGAGGTTGGTAGGTAGAATAAGCCGATGGCGAACACGACCGATATAGCCGCCATGATGACGAATGGCAGTCTCCAAGCTATGGAGGAATCGATGTGGATGGAGCCGTAGCATGTCATGTAGCCAGCTACAATACCCAAGGCGGCTAAGAATGTAGGCATTGCTACGAGCATTCCTCGTTTGCTGGCTGGTGCGATCTCCGTAATATATCTATACAATGTATCGGTCAGCTCCCTTTCACTTCCAGCAAGTCGTCAATCAACATACACAGATACATTCGAAAGCCACAGTCCTTGTCCCAATCCAGTCAATGCACGCCCAACGAGAAGCACAGCAAGGCGCTGAGCAGCGGCCTCCATGACCGCGCCAAGCAGGAATGTAAGAGCTCCAGTCAACACAACCCGAAGATGGCTATAGCGATCGGCTAGCTGACCAGCGTAAAAGGCGGGTACGGCGCCCATGAGCATGATCAAGGAAACGGTGAAGCCTTGCAGTGAGGGCGAGAGTTTGCCCATTGACTCCTCGAAAGCAGGCATGGTCGTCAATGCACCGATTGAGCCAGTGTCGTAACTGTCGAAGATCAGCTTCATCCTTTGTAATCATCGATGTCTTGTTTGCAAATGTATACCCATTAAGTAGGCCGCCGATGGATACGAAGGATGTAGCTAGGAGCCATCCTGGTATCTTCATATCGCTGACAATGACGATAGTCTTGGTTTGCTTCTAGGTACCGTCTTCAAGTCAAAGTTGAGGTCAAAAACGCAGCGGGAGGAAAAACGTAAGGAAGGGAAGGGACGGTGGAATTGACAGGTGAGCATTGGGGCAATTGAATCATTTTATGCGAAGTCCCATAGATCGTTATCAGATTCGCAAACAACGCATAGATAAGCATAGAGCATGACATTACTGCAATGAGACGGGATTGAAATTTTCATATCTGTGCGAAGTGGGAGGTACACAGTGCCTCTGATGTAACAGCTGGAAGAGGAAAGTTCCCTTATCGGATCGACTGGTCAAAGCATTCGGAAAGCGGCTAGGACGGAAGGCCGTGCGTGGGGCTGAAGCCTCAGCCAACAGAACACCAGAGTATTCCTGCATGGGTGCTGGTTCTGTAGTGACTGCTCTTTGTGAGCATTCTGAAGAGAACTCTAGGGCAGGCGATGGCCAGAGTTTCGCCCAGTTCGAGCGAAGGGTCAGTAATTGTGCCTCCCGGTATCCCGGCTCATGGCAAAATCCTCCGCGTGATTCGCACACGTATGTCCTCGACAGGTTTCTTCACCCCAGTCCCAGGCACCATAGCAGGCAACTTCCACGTGCCACTCGCCGGCGTGATATTCCAGAGGCTGAAGATAGCTGTACCCAACGCTATGATTTCCTTCTCTGCAAACGTTCGCCCCTTGCACATAGCGGCGCCCGCACCCCAGGGTCTCAAGGCTCCACGTCGGGCGACTGGTTTACCTGTCTTTGGATCGACCTGTAGGAAGCGATCGGGGGTGAACTTATCTGGATTTTGATATATTGACGGGTCTCGTTGATTCACGGAGTGTGCTACAGATATGTACATGCCTGGTTTGAGCTCATGCTGGTACACGCCGTCTTTGATAGTAATAGGGCGTGCGACATATCGGATAGATGCTGCGTCAGTGGCCAGTCGGTAGGTTTCGAAGATACAAGACTTCATTAAGGGGCAATTGCGGCTCAAAGCTGTAACATCCATCGATGAGTCTGGCGGAGGGCTTGACTGGGAAACTTTGACGTAAGGTGCTGTTTCCTCGCGGAGCTGTTGCAGAAGGCCTGGAGTAGAGTAGACGTAGGTTAAGAACCAGAAAAGCATTGGATGAGTGTTGGCGTTCTGACCAAACAGAATGGCAAAATCACCCTGTCCACGTTGTCGAAACGTCCAATCTTCCCGTACATAGACCTTACTCCGTTCGAGTGCGGCAGTACTGATATCCGACATGTCAGCGTTGTAGTTGATGGGCTGCCCTCGTTGGTATTGGTCGATACGTTGATAAAGAGCCTCTATTGCATCGGCCACGCGTGTTCGAGCTGCTATGCCATTCTTGATTGTCTTAAATGGGGCCCATGATGGGATGCCTATCATCATGAGCGGGAAAATGTAATTGTCAAATTCCCAAAAATCGGCCAGAAGCTGCGGGGAGCGATCTAGAAAGTCGTTCCCATAGAGCAGGGGAATAGTGATACAAGCACCAAAATCTCGTACAATGCTTTGGAAGCTGGCCTCGACTACTCCTGACTGATTGGGTGAGTCAGGTGTGACAATTCGAAGACCAGCAGATAGCTCCCAGCGTTGCATGTGCGTTGTGTTGGTAGCAAATGTGACAAAAGAGGATGCAGAGGACAACACATTGGCCTTTGCTATGGCTGCTGTTGCGCCGCCGTCACTCAGAAACATTTGCTCGATAGGTCTAAACAGGTCTTTCCATGAGTTATCGAGCTTTGTCTTCAGGTCAGGCGTGTCGGTAGCTCCGAAAACGCGCGTCAACAAGGTGTACTGAAATGGTTCAGCATTGAGAGTATGGTACGATTGCGACAAGAAACGATCTGTCCTTGGAAGATTCACAATGACCTGATGTATGGATGTAAGGCCGAACAAAGAGCCGCCATATCGTCGCGTCGATGAACTAGATCAGTATGAGCTCATCTAGCAGATGATGGACGAGGTATAATGCATACTAAAGCCGCAGAATCAAACCACCTTTGGAATATATATAGCCTGCAAGAGCAACCTCGAGTGCTGCCCAAGTTGGGAAGTGTCTCTGCTTGCTGGGCGAGAGGATAATCTTGTACACCATGCTAGAGAAAAGAATGATAACTGCAAGTTTCCATACCGTATTGAGATCAAATGATCCTGGTGGTATACGTTGTGACCTCGATGACAGCCGTAGTACGCCGTCGTTCGGTACTAGTCGTTCCATGGTGGGATGGGTGGCCTGGGCGGGACGCCTTAAGCAAAGACAACGAATTTTACAGCGAAGGGAATACATTCAATGTGGATCAGTCTGTATTCATATATGAAATGATAACGCCCCAGTTGGCTTAAGGCAAGACAGGTAAGAAGATATATCATCATGAGTAAGAATTACGCGGTGTGAAAGAGACCTAGCTGCAGCATTGGTGCCAGAGTGGGAAGTGGGGGATTTGCCTATTGGTTCACGAGTCCTGGACTTCGACCAATCGCCACTTGGTGCATCGCAATCACACATCGCTAGAGAATATGGTGTAGCAGCTAGCAAGAAGCCATCTTAGTGTTCGCCTGCTTTCTTGCATAGGGCATTTCCCTCGCGAAATCTGAGTTCGATTAGAAAGGCTAGATCAATGAAATAGAACGAGGAGAAAAGGCTGGGAAAGAAATTGCACAGCAATGAATATGGAGATTATGCGGGGACGGCGAATTTGAGGGGGAGAAATGATGTCTTTCCAATGTGATGAGCTATCAAAAGTTGGTAGATAAGGGATTCACAGATTGGAGATCAGCAACAGTCGCATTTTATACCAGTACGACCAGATCGAAGCTTGGACTTGGTAGCTGCTTCATGCACTGTTGCAAGTGATATGTAGAAAGTTGGAAGAGGAAAACTGATCGAGTGGTTTTTAAGGATTTTCATACGAACAGGACAGCCCCTTCCGGTGATGACACGGTCTGGGCATTATCAACCTGCGATTTCGGCCATCTTCGTGCTCAACAATTGAGACGACGGAGTAAGTATTAAGCATGTCTCTCCCCGTCTCTCTCGCCATACAATGTCATAGTCTCTACCCGGCAGCAAGCCCCTCCCCGCCTCGCAGTATGACCTCTCCACACATAGCCAGAGAAGCCAAATCCTTTGAATCAATCAACAAGTCCTTGGTGCTTGTAGCTCCCTGCCTATTCAGAGCGAGTGATTGCGTGGGCGTTCGTCGTACAAGAACTGTCTAGCATGCGCAAAGTTCGCCATAGCAAAGTGAATCGGTCCCTCAGCAAGCCCGCCCGAATCGCGATTCGACTTGCCCTGACATGACTTTTCTGCATTGTCTGTAGTGACATGCTGCTGTTATCATGCATCTTTTTCACACTGCTTGTTGACATCTGTCTGTCAGACCTACATGAGCTTCGGAACCATATGTTTGCGCAACACTGAAGAGGCAATGTGATTATACTCTGAACTCCCTGTACACATCAAGTCATCATAGATAAATTTGGGAGGAAGACTGAAATCTCCTACGGCTAGAGCATTTATACTCGCTGAGCGTTCCAGATATCTCTTCCTCCCCCTCCGCCAAGACATTCAATTCGACCTGAGCATTGAATGCACCACATCTTGAATGGATAGGCATGATTATCTCCGTAGATACGAAAGCCCGTCGAATGCATTTCCGATGTTGCAGTTCCAAATTTCGACGCCAGGTTTCATTGATACGCTCGGCTTTGAGTCGTTTGTCCTTAACCCTTGAGAGTATTTTCTGCTCCTATCCTAGAGGAAAATAACGTGGCGCTGCCGATTCATTTGGGAGTACAGATATGTGTCCTCAGCGCTTGCTCTTCTGGACTCTGTCTCCATCGAATCAAGATGACTCTGTATAGTACTCCCTTGCGTCTTCCCATAATTCATCTTCTGAGTCAGAGCTCTGTTCTTGCCTTTGATTGATCGTATGGATCATATTCATGAACGCTTCGTACAAGGCCACCGCATCAGCCACTGGGCTGCGAAAACCTCTCTTCAGCCGGAATTCATTATGATCCCGTCGCTGCTGAGCGTGTTCCCTGACACTTCTGTCACCAATTTTTTTATCGATGTCAATCTTCCCCTTCCATCGTTTTTCCATGACTCGCAGAGTTTGTACATTGCAACTGGAGACCGCGACGAGGGCGTAGAAACTTCCCATCTTAATTGCCATCTGCCAATCCAACGCAGGATGTAACAATACGTAATCCAAGGTTTCATAACCATCAGAAAGTATCGACTGGAAAATGAGTGTGCGCCCCTTCCAATCTTTTGCATTAACATCCGCTCCGCACGCTAAAAGTTCCTGCGTAACGTCGAGTTCATTTCTCCCGCAAGCTTCTAAGAGCGGAGTCTTTCCATCTCTTGTACGCTGCTCGATACTGGCACCTAATTCGATCATGGTTTTAATCATAGATTTGGTTGCTGAAGTGACTCCATGCAAGGGTGAAGCACCATGCGCATTTTCGAGTTTTACATCCGCTTTATGAGTCAGCAACAATTTAAGGGCTGCTGCATCTTGTGCATAATGTAGCGGAGAATTTCCTAGTAAGTTCTGTTTATTTGGATCCGCTCCGCTAGTGAGGAGTTTTGTGACCGCGTCAAGATCTGACTTTTGGACAGCCCAATGCAGTACCGTTTCCCCCGGCTGCTGGCCGTGTCGATCTCAGAGCGATTCTTGGATACGAGTACCGCGTCGAACATGTACCCGCCAAAGCCTAGATAGGCCTTGTGCAAATCAGAGAGCCCAAGGTCATCAAGGTGCGAATTATTTTGCCAAAATATCTCCTCCCATTTTTCTCTAAGATCTCCAGGCATGTCAGCGGCGTGCCATCTGGTATACCAGGCCTCGACAAAAGGCGAACTAGGGTATGGATCTTCTGAATTGAAATAGTTGATATCCGCACCGTACGATATGAGCATCAAAGCCATGTGCCACAAGCTCAAGTCTACCGCAGTATGAAGAATTGTGGAACCTTCGGAATTTACGTCAAGGACGGATGCTTCCCCATTGTCGAGCATATTCTTCAGCCCCTCCGTTACTTGCCGTTCGCTTCTCCCTTCTAGCAAAATCAAGAAAACGTCAGTAATAGGTTGGAAGTCTCTAACTCTCATGACTCTAAGAAGTAATTCGGGTGCTCTCGCCATGCTACATGAATACGTTACTAAGACTGATCGTGCAAGAAGCCAGCGGGGAAAGATGTACGTCATGGTGATGTTATTCGAGCACGCCTGACACTGCATATGTTGAAGTGGTTGCTTCTTTGAAGGGAACACCCGGTAGCTAAGGGAGAATAGTCCCAGCATGGCAGAGAAGTTGTCCGGACTCCTTTGATAATAATGCTGGTTGCTGCAAAGACAGTTGAAATTGGAAGGTTTCCTCAATAGCTGGAGTTTTCCGGCACGATCGTCAAAGACATCAGGTACAGGAGCTTTTGGAGCTTGCACTTGAAACCCCGGTTCCCATGCTTCCAACCTCTCAACTTTCTGTATTGAATTCAATTGCTCCTCACATACGGTTTCGAGCTTCAGTGAGGATCTTTGTTCGCGAGCAAGAGATGTCTCTGGCACTGTCTGGAGAGGCTTTGAAAAATGTCTTCCTGATTGCGGAATCCTCCTGACAAGAAGGTTTGGTGCAAATTCGATGGCGGAGTTGTCCTGTGATACTTCCAACTGGCAGGGGTTCTCTCTAATGTGCTTGTGAATTTGGAGTATAATGGAAGCGGTGAACAAACTTAGTGCTGATCCCAAAGCCATTCTGCTGCTGCAAATATCATATTTGAACCTCTGTAAGTGGCTTTCAGCTCGCAAGAAGACCGATTTGTCCACGCGAGCATTCGCTTCGTTAGTTGGTGTCTTCGTCAATTCATAAGCGATATAGCTCTCCAGCTCTAATGCGATGGATTTGACTCGTTCAAGATTGTGGGTGAGACTCTGAATAGGATGTCCTCTGGCCTGCTGATTTGCGGCTCTGAGAAGCTCATCCACTTCGCTCGCGAGGATCCGGAGGCTTAATACCTCATCGTTAATGTCATTCAGAATCTTAGGAGCATGTTTCAGGCCAATGACATTCTTAAGCAGCTTTGATAAAGCTCCCCGGCTCCAAGCAACGTGCATACGCTTGCAGAAATTGAAAGTGGATCCATGAAAGCTGACTTAGCGTGACCAGGAACCTCGTGGAGGGCGGTCCGGCGAATTGGCCATGTATGGCAACCGATGCAACTCTTGAACGTCGGAACGAGAAGGGAATTCAATGTCTTGGCCTGCTCGGTCAATTTTCTACTTCGTAGGCATAGTGGATGTTCCTAAGGCCATCCGCAATGGCTGAACTCAATGATCATTCGGCGGGAGAGGTGGTGAGGTAGCAACCGTACTTACACCCGTGATATTGCTCATAAAGTTAACGAAAATCAGGCAGCAGCTCACCCACTCGGATTCAGCCTCGATCTGCGCAGGCAAAGCCCAGGGCAATTTAAATGTCTTGGCATCTTGGCTCTTGCGACTTCGGCCTCAATGGGACCTCTCAACAACTAAACCTTTTCGTGCTCAACCACATTGAGCATCACGCTCGCTGCTCCTTCTCCCCCTCCTGCAATGTCATCGTCCCTACCTGGCAGCAGGCCCCTTCCAGCCTCGCAGTATGACCTCTCCACATACTGGGGGCGCGTCCAGCAAGCAGCAGAGATCACAGATCCGAGGTGAGGAAGCCCGCGGTAGGTGGACCTACACCAACAAGTACCCCCAACAGGAACAGACATGACTAACAACGACAATTGTGTTGGCAGGACCCTCTTCGTCTCCTCAGCCGGGCTCGAAAATGCAAAGAAGACCGTCACCGCATTTAAGGAAGGGCGGGTACAGCACATGACGCCAGAGATATGGAAAGCGAAGAAGATTGTGGATTCTACACTACATCCTGGTAACGCTCTCAAAGCCAATCTTCACCGCGTTATGTTGCACGACAACTGCTAACGACCCTCTTCCACAGACACAGGCGCCCCCGTCCTCCTCCCCTTCCGCATGTCCTCCTTCGTCCTCTCCAACCTGATCGTGACAGCGGGCATGCTGACCCCCTCCCTCACGACCCGCGGCATCCTCGCCTGGCAAATAACCAACCAGAGCCTCAACGTGTGCATCAACGCCTCCAACGCCAATAAATCCACGCCCCTCTCCACCTCCACGCTCATCCAATCCTACCTCCTTGCCGTTTCCGCATCCTGCACCGTAGCATTGGGGTTGAATGCGCTGGTGCCAAGACTGAAGTTCCTGGGGGGCGGCGCGAAGGTTGTGGCGGGGAGATTGGTGCCGTTCGCGGCGGTGGCGAGCGCGGGGGCGTTGAATGTGGTGTTGATGAGGGGGGAGGAGGTGAGGAGGGGAATTGATGTGTTTCCCTCGCATGTGGGAAGGGGCAAGGGTACTGAGCGGGGAGGTGGTGAGGGTAGCGAGGGAGGGGAGGAGCAAGCGCAGAGTCTAGGGAAGAGCAAAGCTGCCGCACGATTAGCGGTGGGGGAGACGGCAATATCTCGCGTGCTGAACTCCTCGCCTATCATGGTGATTCCGCCCCTTATACTTGTGCGATTGCAGCGGACGGAGCTTCTGAAACGAAGGCCAGGGTTGGTCTTGCCGGTGAATCTTGGTACGTGGATATTCCCTTACTATCTAGCTACTGGTTTGTGCGAATCTGAGGCTCATTGCGTTTGCTGTCTAGGTCTTATCCTTACGACCTCCATCTTCGCCCTCCCGCTTGCCTTGGCGGCATTTCCACAGCGACAGAGTGTTGATCCCAGATCGTTAGAACCTGAGTTCTGGGAGAAGGTGCCCGAAGGAGGTCGGGTGGAGTTCAACCGTGGTATATAGTCTGGCAATACTATGTAAGGATCGGGAGTCTTCATATCTCATTTTTGCAGCCTTCAAAAATCTGTTATGAGATATTGGTCTAGGTCGAAGTCCTGCGCGGCGCGATACAAGAGCTTCACAATGACATCGAAGGATCTTGGCAGGATCAACTGTCATTTTCTCTGCCATGGAATGGCAGGAGATATGTGTGACAAGCATTCTTTCTTGAAGAAACCACTTCCATCTCGCTTTGAGTAGAAGTGGAGGGCCGTGTTAGGCTAAACACCTATCCCTATGTCGATGATGTCCGTGTGTTGACTGAAGGCTAAGTCTGTGAATTCTCTGAATAGACTTGCAACGAGAGCGAAGAACGATTGCATGAAAATGTTGGCTTTACTTCAATTCGCATACGCGATGACTCTCCCGTCGGGTTCGGACTTCAGAGTAATCCTCTGAGTCCAGCGGTTGATACGGTGAACGTCCATAAAGCCGTTTCTCATGCCACATCTCCTACCACAGGAGACCTGCCTTTTCGAAGCGACATAGCTGGTTAGTATACATCGGGTACACGATGTAGTCATGGCGCTGCTAGAGGCAGACATCGCAAAAGAGGCTGGATCCTGCAGTCTGCAGTATTCTCTTCACCTTCTTCGCACTGGGTCGACTGTTTGGATCTGAATGCATCATCTCAATAGTTGTGTCAGCCAGTAAATCGAAAAGAATACCCGTTTCATCTCTTTCATCTGTTAAACCACGTATCCACTGACAAACTCGAGGTAGGTCTTCCCGGAATGCGTGGGAAACAATCGCACCTGACGAATAGCGGAAGGCTCGATAGGCTCGATAGTCCTCTAAAGAACGTCGTTGCGTTACGGTGAGCATTTCTGAAAAGACACAACCTAGTTGAAAGACATCACCAGCTTGGCCTCTCGACGGACACTCTGGAGACCGATAGACCGGTGTGCCTATCGCAATTTCGCGTGTGCTGGAGGCAGACTTAGACTTCAAGAGGTCTTCAGCACAGCCAAAGTCTGCGAGATATGGTCGCAGGTTGACGTCTACCAGAATGTTGCTTGGCTTGATGTCTCCATGCAGGATGTGCTTCGAATGAACGTACGTTACTGCGGTAGCGAGACATCCGAACCAGGACGTCAAATGACCTAGCTCTTGCTTGGGATAATCTTGATTCGTGCACCTCTCCAGAAAGTGACGAAGATCACAATCAGCTACCGTCAACATGAGTATGCTAAAGGTTTCCTCTTCTACAGTTTGTAGAGCAACTTGAGGAACGTGGTCATGTGAAAGCCTTTGCATAATTTCGAACTCTTCCTTGACCATATTCTCAATGTGGTTTCTTTCAGAATTGTCAAGATTTCGGGGCGGGAGGTAGACCTTCTTCTGTGCATAGATTTTGTTGGTACCTCGCTGTCTCACTTGGGATATTTCTCCATACGAACCGCGACCAAGGATTGCAAGCTGATCAAAGGCGATTGCTTTTGGAACATGAAGACTCGGCAAAGCCACCTCACCCTGATCTCCTGCATCAGTGAATGAATCCGTCGTGGGAGATGATGAGACTTGAAGCCATTCTTGTACCAAATCTTCTTTGTTGGCAACCGAATCACTTGGTATCACTGTGCGACCTTGAAGGGCGCCATCAGAAACGGAGACTGTCTGACTAGTATTGGCCGATTCTACTTGATTTAAATCTTCAGCTTGCCATGTACTAAGCTCCCCTTCTTGGTTGCCTGGGCGATCAGTGTCCTCGATATCATCTTGAGGTGGGTATGGAAATATTCCCCCTAATTTTCGGAAGATATTCACTCTTACGGATCTGCTTGTGGAGAATTCTCCAAGATAAGAATCCTGGAGACTACCATTAAGATATGTGAAAGGATTAATATAGCGGAATCGATTCTTCTTTGTTGCCATATCTTCAAGGATGACTCTCATTCCAGTGACCGTCTTGAGCTGCTCGGCAGACCATCGTAAAGCTCTTGATTCTGCTCCCTGTCTAATGAAATCAAGAAGGAGTGCCCCCAAGCCTGCTGCGATAGCAGTAGCCACAGAGGTCCATGAACTCATTTTGCTTGGTCTCAAATCTGTACCAGAGATTAGTGCTCCAGGCCAGGCAGACCTCACATTCTCTCCTAATATGCAGAGGTCTTGGTCCCCTTTCGGCTCAGGATTGTCACCAGACTCATGGCCATTGTAGAAGGCAGAGTTCACGCAAATGACCCTTTCATCAGATGCAGGATAGGCCGGTCGATGACAATTCAAACCTTGATTAGATGGCGCGGCGAATATGATCACTTTCTGCGCAATGGCCGTAGTGACGGCGTTGTAGATAGCATCATTGACGTGGGAGAAGCCCAGTGAAAGCGAGATTAAATCGACTTTCCAAACTTCCACTGCATGCAATATTGCCTATCCAAGTCAATAGCCAACATCATTGGAATATAATACTCCTATCTTAGCTACGTCAACTGCTTGCAAGTCTGCCGTAGCGCTCGCTACTCGTCCAACATAGAGATCTACGCAGGGTGCAACCCTGAGTATGAGGGCAGCTTTGTGTGTACCGTGATCCACCGAGTCAGTACATCTTTTCATCATCTGCCTTGAAAGACATGTGCTAGAAAAGAGGTCGACATTCTCCTCTACCCAACTACTGAAGGCTTTGATCCGAGTACGGCTCGCGAGGAGAGTCTCGTGAGTCCCATCAAATCCACTGTCAATCAGCGCAATCTTTACATTGACTTGCAAGTCCTTGCGTCGTCTGATAACTAGTTCACGTACCGTTTCTTCAAGATTGCGAAGCCAGCGTTCTGCAGCTTCGTCGCTCATAGCCAAAAAAGTAAACTGACCCTATCGTACTCGGGTTGGATCTTCAATGCCGAATGTATGAAATTCCGATAGAACAAGTAAGTTATCCCTCATTTATAGAAGGCTGAGGCATGATCCTCCAAGGTAAATAGGCGTGCATTAAGAGAACAGCAGCGTACCAGGCAAGCAAGAGGGGGATAACCAGACATACAACGCTCGGAAGAGCAATTGGGTCCACGATGGCACAGCGCGGCAAACTGTCGAAATCGGATTTTATACTAAGTTCCTACAGCTGCTGGGTTTCAGCGGCGACGCTTCTCTTCATCGCACCGTAGCGCATCAGATGGAATCGTTGCCGAGTTCATGGATACTTGCTGGTTCAACCCAACCAAACAGTATATCGCCGACAGTGTCCTCGACCCCGGTGTGCAAACATATATTAAAGAGAATAAGAGGCGGCGACCGGTGTATATGATTACAGGCCTGATGATCGCAAGAGGTGCCTCTGCAAGCAAGAAATCCATGGTTGATAAGGGTCTTCACGCTCAATTTGGCGTTGATTTTTCCGCCATTGGAGTCCCCGCTGCTTTGGGGCCGAAAATCGAAGTGGCGTCTGGTAAGGAGCAGACTATCCATTTTGATCATGCGACGGACTTTGTGCTCGCTTATCGACTTAAAAAGATCAAAGTGAAGGCGAAGGGAGCGATCAAGAGCAAGCCGTATAATACCGGGGCGTTATTCGACTCTGACGTGAAGGAGAGTGCACTACCCGTCGATACAAGCTGGGACATCGATGATATTGAAGCCGAAGACGTGACTGCGGATTTACTAGATGGAGGCTCAACATCCCATGTAGCGAGATTCGATGAGGAGTGCGAACTCGTTGCTCTAAAGTAATACGGACGCCCAAGTCGAGGTCGGTATTTGGAATTGGACTTACGACCATATGAATCCAAAACATAAGAGAACATCACCTACTTATGACTTGTAGGACCAGTCTTGCGCCAAGACTGTTCATGTTCATTTTGGGATGAATGAATCGAGAATCTAACTTTGCAGCAATGAAGTAAGGCCAAAACTTTCATTGAGCATTGATTGTAAGTCATTGCTTGCTTGCCATCAAACCCCTCATTTTCCTAACGCTCATTACTAACCACCAGCAGACTTCTCATTACCATCCTTCCCACACCTGACCTTTCTAAAGATGCCAAGATCCAGTACCACTGGGAGAATCTGAATGTGGCGGTAGAGAACGTGAAGCATGAGCAGGCCAGCAGAACAAAGTACCAGCTCAGTCTGCCGTACCTTTTGATGCATACGAGATTAAAAATAACAGGTATGTAACCGCTCGTCGCTAGGATGAAGAAAGTGCCATAGTCGACCATGTTTCGATCATCGCCTCGGGCAACGATAACCAGACATGCAACCTGAATAGAACCCGCAGGGAAACATTGGGCTTTGTAGAACTCGGCATTTGCAAACACGAGCCTGTCTGTTGATGTCTCCTGAGTGCCGGAAGAGCCACGTGAAACTGTTTGATGATTGGAGAAAAGATCGTCGAGGAAGAACAGAATGAAGATGAAAATCGCAAAAGAGGTCTGCAAAATGAAGGAGGTATATATCTGTTCGAAAGTCTTAGTCTGGTTACAACGGATTCAAGACTGACTTTGAGAGACACAAACGGGAAAGCTACTGTATCAACAGCCCTGGTCGAAGATCAATACGAGAGACCACACTGCGCCAAAACACTGGTCCCAATAACCACCCACAGAATCTTGAAGCAATGAATAATTGCTTGCCGGAAAGTCAAACCCCACAGATCTAAGCAACCAAATGTGATTTCTGCGAGTCCATATGTCTTTGAAGGCATCATGCACACAATGAGAGTACGACGCGATTCTCAAAGACCACAGTTGACTAAATTCTGGGACATTTCCAACCCATATATCGCCTTTGCATCAATTTCAAGTCGTGACATATGTCTGCAAATGTCGCTGCAGTTGACTGGTCTGCCCTCCGAAGAAACACAAGATGTGAGGTTTTGCGGAGGGAAAGTCCCAACAAATTTACTCCTGAAAGTGGTGTCATGGGCATTGGAAGCATTGCTACAGATATCGAGCCATGGTCGAAGTGGAGAGTCTACAGGAAGTGAAAGACCCGCCATTATTGGGTTAGAAATGCCGGCAGAGGATCAGTCACGGAGCCAAGATTAAAAGTGAGCTATGTCACGCCTTTGTGTAGACCTCTATCCACAAGGCTGAACAGAGACTGCGTGCTGTGTACCTATGGCACAATCGACAGTGATAGAATGTGGACTGCAACCCTATGCTCGTTTGCCGACGGAGCTAGGTATGAAACAGCATTCCGACGCTTCGATATAGAAAGCTGCGGCCTGACTGCCTCTCTGAAGGTCACAGCACCTGAAGGCAAGAACCTGAAATCTGCCCGCGCTAATAAAACAGCTTCGTGCCAGCAAAAGTTCATGAGAGGATGGAAAGACCATGTCAGCAATCAAGGCAGGTAGAGCCAGCGTCTCGTGACTACTTACCATCGATGAAAGTGCTGGTAAGACGTGATAGGCCCAGCATCGAAGGTTGATGCCACAACACAGCACGCAGACAGCAATGGAAGCGAAGTATGGAGCTTGAATCTGTAGTACTATACCTAGTCCACGTCAGCGTTTGCACTCAAACCCCTAATCATACGAATGCCTCGAACATGCAAATCCATTGTCCCACCCCAAACAACCTCACTTCTTCTTTCCCCCCTCCCGTTTCCTCTTTCCCTGTCCACCTCCACCTCCATTCCCACCGGCATCCCCAATCCCATTAACCCCCATGCCCTGCCCCATGCCCTGCCCTCCACCAGCAGCCTGCACCTCTTTCATCATATCTCCCAAGATATTCTCACTAACCCCACCCCCACTCATCGCCGGCGAATGCAAGGGCACAATCTTATTAATTTTCCACCCCTTCGGCACCGCCGGTTCAGGAACATCTCCCTCGGGCAGCGGCACGCCCTGAATCCTCAACCGTAACGGGGCCTCCTTCGTCGTGGGGTGCGCCTGCAGATACTTCCCCACCAAAATATACAGGTGGTGTTTATTCTTCACCCTGCCCTTTCCCCCCGGCGTGATTTCCACCCTTACACGTCCCACATTGCCCCAGTCCCTCGGATGGGTCTTGCCCGGCTCAAATACGCTCTTCAAGTCTAGTGACTGTACGGCGTCCACGATTGTGCGAGCGAGGGGATTTTCGACAGCGAGGTCTTTTTGCACGCGTCGACCTTCGGCTCGCGTGCGGGAGGCGTCGAAATAGACGGGGTAGAGGCAATTGTAGGATTTGTAGTCTGCGGGGGGAAGGTCGGGGCTGAACGGTTTGGATTCTGGAGGGTAGGGGTTTTGGTGGGATTGTGGGGGGCGGGCGCGGAGGGAGGGGACGGTGGGTGTGGAGGTTGTGGCGAAGCTGGATATGTCGTCTTCGGAGGGATCGGAGGCGGAGTCAGAGTCAGAGAGTTCTTCGACGCGGGCGTGGGACATCGTTGTTGTATGTGTGCGGTCTGGATTGTAGGTGGTCGGAAACAGAACTGTGAAGATAGTGGAAATCTTTATTACACCAAATGTGGGGTGACTTTATGAGCAGCCGGGTTCTTGCTCGAAGGAACCTTGAGGTACATTTATTTGATATCTGTGGTAAATTAAGGATTCGTATTATTTACAAAAGTCAAAATTGTAGTTGGCCATGAATGCAAGCCCTCCGTAACCATGAGTCCAGAAACATCACCAATGATGTGTAATGGTCCCCAACACCACGCTAATTGAGACATCATATCCGAAAATGCAAAGACTACCATCCACCTTCATGCTCAACCCTTGGACTCCAGCTTCGCATAAGCTCTCTGGAGGGCTTTCTTCTCTTTTCCGTCATGCTCCAACACCGATATGACGTCTCGTACCTGTATGCCCGCCCCACCTTCTCCATCTTCTCTGAAGTTTCCGAAGTTTCTACTCTTTGGCAAGTTGCTACCCAGCGCATTTGCAGCGTCTGACTTTTTGGTGTCCACTTTGGGTTTCTGCAAGTACGGGTTTGAAGGTCCAGTATCTTTCTGCATCCAAGCCAGCTTCTTTCCCATCGCGCTACCCAGGCCGAGGGCCATCCTCATCGTGTTGTTCGAGGCAGCGAAAGCTTGCTGCTCTGTTGGAGCCTTTTTCTGATTTTTGAGCGCAGACTTTTTTGGCATCTCTATAGGCGCGTCTGGTAATGTTGCGGGTGTCCCAGGCTCAGACGCTCCTAATGACCCTGACCCTGCCGGGCTTCCATCAGCAGCCTCGGCCCTCTTCTTTCGTTTGACCAGTCGTGCTTCTTCTGCTGTTCGCTCGGCTCGGGCCAGTCTCTGAAGAGCTTGTGCAACTGCGTTCTGGGGTCCCTTCATGCCATGACTGGCGACCGGCGTTTGAGGGGTGTTCATTTCGGAGTAAGAACCTGCTGTATGGTTAGGCTAAGATATGTGGGTTGGAGTGATGACGTACGCTTCAAAGTATTTTCTTTGGGTGACACAACACTATTCTCAGGCGTTGGTAGAGTAGCTGCTGCGTCACCATTCGTTTTCTTCGCTAGATCCAGCATGTCTTGTGGCACCAATCCATGGGCTCCTATTCGCCTTCCCTTTGCAAGAGTCGCTGAGTCTTCGACTATTGTCCTGAGACGTTCTTCCGTAGCAAGGGACATTAGAGTGAGAATGTCCGCCAAGGAGTTCTTCAAGCCAAGTAGAGGTTCGCCTTGCACAACTTTGACGACGTCGTGACCGTCAGGCCCACGAACAGTGATCGACTGCGGCGCAATTTTGGGCTGGGTTGGTCTCAAGATATCGTGGTCTTTGATTGGCACTTGAACTTGAACATTGCCAGCTTCCTTGTAGACCCTCCGTTGCAGATTTCCCGTCAACAGAAAGGGTCTGTTCAAATGATACTGTCTTATCTCAGCCTGCTTGCGCAATGCTTGTTTTCGCTCTGCTTCAGCGCGTTCATCGGCAGTCTGCTCCTTCTGGGCCGGCTGGTTCAAGATTCCTCCTCCAAAGAAGCTGTCACGACCGCCAGGGTAGTTCTGCGAATAGAAATTGCCTCGAGCGAAGGGATATTGAGCGTTGGAACTTGCTCCACTAGCTTCCCGTAGTTGGTCCTCAAAGCTTGAATTCTGATTATTGTCCCTTGTTTGAAGCAGTGCAGCCTCTTCTTCCTTGAGATCAACGCCTGCGCCGAATAAGACATCCCCAAGCTCGTTTAGATCAGCAGGTCTATTATCCGGCCGAGATGGTGGCCCCATGGCGTTTCGTTGAACATTGTTTGAAGTTGCAGAAAGGGAGTTGGCAGGAGGAGGAGCTGGCGTGTTGAGGCTGTTGTATGTAAGGTGGGGGTTGAAGCTGTTGGGGGTGAATGGCTGATGAACAGGGTAATTTGGACCAGGAGATGTGCCGTTGACTGGACTGCCCCGATAAGGTCCACTGAAGACTTGGTTTGGCAGCTGAATGTTGGCCATGCTTGGTGACCCATAATGTGGCTGTCCATTTGACGGTATCTGTGGACGCTTGGGCGGTGGCTGGCCGGGAGGGTATGGGCTCTGGGGCGACCCAGCGCGCTGTTGAGGCGAGAAGGCACGCGGAGGATATTGTATCGGCTGTGTCATGGTGTTGTATGAGCTGGTCACTCTGAGGTGAAGTAGTTATTGTTCGCGGAAGTGGGCTGGTGCCACAAGCGCGATTTTGCGCTGGCCCAGGTTGTCGACACAGCACCTCATTCAAACGAGCTAGAGATATTCAAACGTTTGATTGTCTTGTACAAGTATCAAGAGACCATCTTGGTGTCTGCGGGGACGCTTCGCTGTGGCTGTGGGGAGATGAAGAAATGAAAGAATGAACGAGCAGCAGCCCTAGCGTGAGGAGCAACGTTTTTCCGGCGGCTCAAAGGCAAATTCATCTTCGAACTCAAAGCTTTCGTTGAATTCATCGCTGTACCTGAAAATGCCGCTCGACATCAACCTCGACTGCTCCACAGGTTCTTGCAGCTTACATACTTGTCATGACTCCATGAAAGTGATCTGAAAGCCAAATATCCTCCGCTGCATACGCACAAGAACAGCCAAATCGCCGAGCATGCAGTAAAGAGGTCGGAAAAGAGCTAGGACATAGCAGACGTTGAAAGGCACTTGAAATGGCAGCCAAACGAAGGCACTCTGCCATGGCGCTGGAGCCTGAAGAGCCCGTTGATCCATCAGATGAGCTGATGTTTCAATGCCTCGGAGGAGGTAACGAGGTTGGAAGATCATGTCACATACTGCAGTACAAGGGGAAGACAGTGATGGTCGGACACCAACCCTGAACTTGAGAAATACTGTGCAATAGTAACTGATGTGTTTGATACAGCTTGACGCTGGTCAACACCCTGCATACGACGGCCTCTCTGCTCTCCCCTACTTTGACGAGTTCGACTTGAGCCAGGTTGACGTCTTACTCATCAGCCAGTGAGTAAGCTTTTTCTTGCCAATCCACGAGTGCTGAGCAGATGGAAAATCGCCCCTTTTAATGGGTACATTAGCGCATTTGGACAATTCGAAGTTATATCACTCTCGTCGATTGCGTTGTGGACGCCGCTTCAAGAATTGTCTTCATGAGAACCTGTACACAGAAATCAATGGAAATATTCTCTGCCTCATGTGCCACACTCCACATCCATACGTTCTCAAAGCTCGCTTTACTTCTCCAATCCAGCCAAATCTCCACTTTCACGAACGACAGCATCACGATATACTAACAACGCTTCCAGTTTCCACCTCGACCATGCCTCTGCTCTCCCCTACGTCCTTGCCAAAACCAATTTCCGCGGTCGCGTCTTCATGACGCACCCTACAAAAGCAATCTACAAATGGCTCATCCAAGACAGCGTCCGGGTACAGTACGTTTGCTCCCTACTCCTCTTCCGGCAACTTTTCCTCGCCGACAAGAAATAGCGGCTAATCTTCCCAATCCATAGAAACCTTTCTTCATCCTCAGATCAACGAACCGCTCTTTACACAGAGGCCGACCATCTCACTACATTCCCTACTATAGAAGCCATAGACTACCACACTACCCACACCGTCTCCTCGATCCGTTTCACCCCTCTCCCCGCCGGCCACGTCCTAGGTGCTGCCATGTACCTCATAGAAATCGCGGGCCTACGCATCCTCTTCACAGGTGACTACTCTCGAGAAGATGACCGCCACCTGATCCCCGCCTCCTTACCGACTCTTCCTCAAGGCGCCAAAATCGACGTCCTGATCACAGAAAGCACGTACGGCATAGCATCCCATATCCCGCGAACGGAGAGGGAACAAGCGCTTATGAAATCCGTGACGGGTATCCTAAATCGAGGCGGTAGAGTCCTCATGCCGGTGTTTGCACTGGGAAGAGCACAGGAGATATTACTGATCTTAGACGACTACTGGGCGAAACACCCCCAGTACCAGCGCTACCCGATCTACTACGCCAGCCACCTCGCGCGCAAATGCATGGTTGTCTACCAGACTTACGTGGGCGCCATGAATGACAACGTCAAGCGCATGTTCCGCGAACGAATGGAGAGTAGCACGAGCGACGGTAGCGGACCCTGGGACTTCCGCTTCGTGCGCAGCCTGAAGAATCTGGAGAGGTTCGACGATGTTGGTGGGTGTGTGGTGCTCGCTAGCCCTGGTATGCTGCAGAGTGGCGTTTCGAGAGAGCTTCTGGAACGATGGGCCCCAAATGAGCAGAATGGCGTTGTCATGACAGGATATTCGGTCGAGGGCACGATGGCAAAGCAGCTGATGAACGAGCCAGATCAGATACCGGCAGTCATGGGAAGTAGGAGTGCGGCGCCCGCGGGATTGGGAAGGAGAGGGGGCGCGGAGCCGGAAAAGCCGATGATATCGAGACGGTGTACTGTGCAGGAGTTCAGTTTCGCGGCGCATGTGGATGGAGTAGAGAACCAGGGATTCATCGAAGAGATTGGGGCTGGTGTCGTGGTGAGTCTATCTATTCCTTGATTGCATGAACAAAATGAGCAGGACAGAAAGCTGATGGAAACGGCAGATTCTCGTCCACGGCGAGAAACACAATATGATGCGCCTCAAATCTAAGCTCCTTTCCCTCAACAACGAAAAGACCAACAAAGTCAAGATATTCTCGCCCGCCAACACCGAAGAACTCCGCATCCCCTTCAAGGTCCAAAAAACGGCGCGGGTCGTTGGTTCGTTGGCTCGACAACCCCCTCCCACGCAACCAGGGGAGGAACGGCTCCTCAATGGCGTCCTCGTCCAGAACGACTTCAAGCTCTCCCTCATGGCGCCTGAGGATTTGAGAGAATATGCAGGCTTGACTACCACAACTGTGATGTGCAAGCAGCGCATCACGCTCTCTGCGGCGGGTATCGAGTTGATCCGATGGGCGCTGGAAGGCACATTTGGGGCGATAGAGGAGGTTGGTCCGAAACGGGTACCTCCCTCGAACGATGCTGTGGAAGTCAATGGGAATGGTAATGCTCACACGAATGGCGAGCACGTAGATGGTGTCGTCGACCACTCGCCTGATGGGGTATCCTACATGGTCATGGGCGCCGTCCTCGTTCGCTACCAGAATAATGGCGAGATCAGCGTCGAGTGGGAGGGCAACGTGCTGAATGATGGCATCGCGGATGCTGTGCTCGCAGTGCTCTTCTCTGTGGAGAGCAGTCCCGCTGCTGTGAAGCAGAGCGCGGGCAGCCACTCACATAGCCATCATCATGAAGGAAGAAACCCGCACGCAAATGTCAGCCCTAAGGAGAAGTTCGAAAGACTTTGCATGTTCCTGGAGGCACAATTTGGGGAGAACATCGCTCCGATTGCGAAGCCGAGGATTGTGTTCAAGCAAGGAGGGAAGAAGGAGGGGATGCACAATGGGGTAAAAGCGGAGGAGGAGGAAGAGGAACTTGGGGAGGAAGAATTGGCGGATTTGGAGGCGGAGGAGCTGGAGCGATTGCACTCGATTGGTGTACCGGTTCCAGGGGTGGAGATCAAGGTCGATAAGATGGTTGCGAAGGTCTGGCTGGAGGATTTGGAGGTGGAGTGTAGTCAGGCGACGCTGAAGGATCGGGTCAAGGCAGTGGTGGAACGGGCGGTGGAGACGGTAAGTCCACTGTGGGCGGGGAAGGAGCGGTGATGGGAGATGATAGAGCGGGAGTAAGTGCGTGCAGATTCGATTGTTCATTGGAGTTCAGCTGACGCTGACGATTTAATTGCACTCAAAGAAGGTCACAAGTCATAATGGCGGGCGAGGGGGCAGCTTATGGCAGCCGGAACTCTGAGCTATGGGCCCCATCATGGGAGAATATTTGGGTTATTGGAAGACACCAGGTATGCTGATACTATCGGGGTATAATCAGATATGTATTGGGCTGAATGGACAGAGGTCGGATGTCGTGGCCGGAGGAAGTGCTTTGCCGTAGGTGTGCAGTGGGAGACACGCAATGCCTCACTCATACAGCAATTACACGTGAGCACTACTGTTTCGTCATCTTGCCGCAATAGCGCTGAACACGTCAATCTGGAGGACTTGAACTGTGTTATATTGTAGAACTGTAGTCGTACTGGAGAAAGATGAGGGTGGCAGCCACTATCGTCACTGTCCCGCTGTTAAGACCCGAGCACGCACCCAAACTATTTTGCCCGTATTCTGCTGGCTTTTCCCCTTCGGGCTAGCGCTATTTCTCCAAATCTCTCACGACCTCCATCGGATCACAATCGCCTCCAAACAACCGCCCAAGCTTGATAGCGGACGTCTGTCGACATCGGAACTCATCAACCAAGTGAACCCATCATTCACTGTTCCTGTCATCACCGTCTGCCTTCTATTTGACTCCATTGCCGGCTGAGAAGAGGCCAACAGACGCCCCCCTCCGACCCGACTCCGCTTTGCCCTCGCGCGACCGTACGACCATCTGGACACGCGGATCTGAATGTTGCAGGCCGCATAAGAGCCGGAAACCCTCTCGATACCGTCAATCGACACTGTCAACCACATAGCGAATCAGGATGAACGCCCGATAACATTGCGCTGCCCGGGAGCGACCAATTGACACTCGACCTCGATTCCAACGAATTCTTCGCCTCTGGGTCTTTCACCTTTACACCCAAACTCGATGTCATGTCCATATCTAGCGTCATGACTTCCACCATCCCTCATCATCCACATGACCCTCATCAGAGATACTTGAACAGCACACCGACCCTAGGTTCTTTCGGTCCCCAACATTCACTCTCCAACAGCCGCCTAGCTGCATCAAACAGCTTTCAAAATCCTTCATCCTCACGCCAATCTAATTTCGGCTCGAGACAGTTACCACCCCTCAGGAACATGCCCCCATCAAATTCTGCATCGCAGATCCAACTACCTGATCGCCGAGACCGAAGACCCGATTGGGGAGAGTTTTACAAGAATGGCGCACCAAAGGAAGTCATCGTGATTGATGATGAAGACGACACACCCCAGAGAGAGCTTGAAGGTCGAGTTCAACGACACATTTCTCCCAAATTGAGAGGATTTGGTGGTGCCCAACCCCAAACGAAGAGGAGGAGAGTGGGTGAATATGACGCCGCTCGGGATGCCGAACATCATCGCACCTATTCTCATCGTGAAAATACATCCAAAACTACCTCATCCGACCGTACCACCTCTCACCAGACGACAGCACCCACATCGCTTGGGTCGCATACAAGTACTGGCAGTGCCGGCGCCTACATCGTCGATGATACGAACGTCGGACAGAAACGAAAACGAGTGACCAGGCAGCAAATCGCAACTGACAAGAGGAGGCAAGATGTGAATGCTGTTGAGACATATGTGCCTCCAACAAAGCCTCTAATAAAGGCCAAGGAAGTACATGTGCCGTCGCTGAGAGATGTGAGTTTCTATGGTCAAGCTCCATGGGCTCTCTAACGTGGTACAGATACACACCGCCAGCATCAATGTTGATGATGAAGATGGGCATTACATGGTTGTGAATGATAGGTGGATCGGAGATAGATGCAAGTACTCATCTTGCACACTCTTGCTCTGCTAATCAAAGTAGATCAAATTACGAAACTACTCGGTCAAGGTACCTTCGGCAAAGTCGTGGAGGCCCTCGACCGCCGCATAAATAAAAAGGTTGCGGTCAAAATCATAAGATCTGTTCAAAAGTATCGAGATGCATCTCGTATTGAGCTTCGGGTCCTTCAAACCCTGGGTCAAAATGACAAAAAGAATCGGAACAAGTGCATACATCTGCGTGAATGTTTCGACTTTCGAAACCATATCTGCATCGTCACAGATCTACTCGGACAAAGCGTGTTCGACTTTCTGAAGGCAAATCAATTTGTGCCTTTTCCAAGCAGCCAGATTCAGCATTTCGCAAAGCAGCTTTTCACAAGCGTCGCCTGTATGTAAACTTTCCCCCGTGGACGATTTCCGCTAATGGTTCACGCAGTCTTACATGATCTTAACTTGATACACACTGATCTCAAGCCCGAGAATATACTACTCGTCAACAGTGGGTACCAAACGTTCACATACAGTCGTTGGATTCCTTCCTCCTCTTCCACCATCTCACGGCGAGCACCACAACGCAAAGTCTTGCTTGACACCGAGATTAGGCTGATTGACTTTGGCTCTGCAACCTTCCAAGACGAGTATCATTCCTCGGTCGTGTCAACTCGGCACTATAGGGCACCAGAAATCATATTGAACCTAGGCTGGAGCTTTCCATGCGATATCTGGAGTATAGGATGCATTCTGGTCGAATTTTTCACTGGAGATGCTCTATTTCAGACTCATGATAACTTGGAGCATTTGGCAATGATGGAGCCCATCTGCGGCTCCAAAATCGAAACGAAGGTGATCAACCAAGTAAAACGGGCCTCTCGAGGTAATAGTCGGAATACTGCAGCCAGGTACGCATTTTACTGTGCTTTCGTCGTTGTGTGGCTCCACTGACTCTTAGCCAGTTTCTTCAAGAGGGAACTCCTCGACTATCCCAACGCCGAAACCTCTAAAGCATCCAAAAAATATGTCCGAGCCATGAGACCACTGAAGGTACGTCTGAGCTGTTTCCATACTCTACCCATCCTTTGATCGGATTCTGGATCAGATTGCGACCTGAGCACATTCTTCAAACCGAAGGCTCCACTGTAGCCGCGTCTGAAGACAACTCATTTCACAGCCTTTGCCTTATTCTTGCTACTTCGGCTCCCCAAAAATAGAAATGCTAACTGCTCTTTCAGGATGTGATCACTCCTACCAACCCCTTCCAAACAAATTTCCTCGACCTCCTTCGCCGCATCTTTGTCTACGACCCTAAACGGCGCATCACCGCCAAAGAAGCCCTCGAACACCCCTGGTTCCAAGAGAACATCCGGGACGACGGAACAGAAGCGCTGAAGCTGCGACTTGCACGCGAAGATGAACAAGTAAAAGCAGAGCAGTACGAAGAGGACGATGATGACTATGCGTAGTCACTCCGTCCTCCATACTGATATGAGCCTCATAAAAAGAGCGAAGGATTAGAGCAAAAGCAAGATTCTATGTGTATCGTATGCATCTTTCCCCTCTTGGATGTTCTCATAACATCAGCTGTCCACCTTCGCATGCACATCTTGCGGAGTGAATCGAATCGAATCGAATGAAGTATATGCATAACGGGCGTTTTTGTGGGACTGACTCATGCATCATCATTATCATCATCATCTGGCTGAAGACTTGGTCTAATGGATGGATGGATTGATGGCTGGAATGTTATGTAATGCCTATGGTATGGAGCAGGAACGGAATTGAATGGACTAATGATCGTGCTGCCATGGATGGAGGGGATGATGCTGTGCGTGACTTGAACGATAAAAGAATTTAGATGCAGGTTGATATATATATGCATTTGTCGTGCCTGCTGACGCTATGCTATGCTATGCTATGCTGTTTGCTGAATATGCAGCTTGGTCTGCTCTTCATTACGCTGAGTACAATCGTCGTTCGCTAATCATACTGCTCGAATATCCCTACGAGCTCGCCGTCCTTGCTTCTAGTAGGCGTCAACCTCTCACCCGTCTTCCTTACCCTCGCAATATCCACTTCCCCATCCCCCTCCTTTCCGCCTAGCACCCACCTCCTTACCTCCATCAACCACGCGTGCTCTCGCCCGCCGTACTGTCCCCAGTCCCATCTCCACTCCACACCTCCCTTCTCCCACCCCCCTCCCCCTGCATCCCCTCCCAGCCCTGCCCCTCCTTCTTCTTCTTCGGCGGCGCGGGTTTCCTCGGCCAATCCCTACAAACATCAATCCCCGCCCTCGGCAACCACCACTCCAATACCGCCAAGATCAAAAAATCAATCACAACACACAAACAGAACAATTTCCCCGCCCAGATCCCACACCCATAATACCGCTTCAACCGATCAATAAGCGCGTAGCTGGAAACCCCCTCCCTCCCCCTCGCTGCACTCCAGATCCCCTCGGGCCCACCCCCTCCCAACCTTACCGCGGGGCCATAGAACTCTTCTGCAGAAATAGCCCCCGTGATGCCATCATACACCGTTTCCGTCCGTTCCGCCACGTCCGTCCAAGAATACATCTTCTTGACTTCCTCATGGAAGCCCTCCGTGCGGATGCGGTTCGCGCGCAGTGCCTTAATCGCCTCTTTAGTGGCCCGCACAAGATCGTCTTCGTCCGGCCGCGCGAACTGTGTCATCCAATTCGGCAGCACTTCCGGAATCCCGCCCACCTGCGTGCACACGACGTACAAGCCGCAACTCGCGGCTTCCACGATCACGGTGCCGAACGCTTCGGTTAAAGATGGGTGCAGGTAGATGTGCCCCCGTACCATTATGTCGCGCACTTCTTCGTGCCGCACGGCGCCCAGGAGGGTTACTTTTTCTTGCAGAACGAGCCGTTCGAGCATTTGTTCCAGATCGATGGCTTTAGGCCCGGAACCCGCGATTATGAAGCGGATGTGCGGGTCGTAGGAGAGGATGCGCGGAATCGCGGCTATGAGCAGGTCGGTGCCTTTGTTGTAGAAGAGGCGGGATATTACTACGATGGTGAGGGTGTCGGTGGGGCCGATGCGTTTGGGGGAGGGGGTGAAAGGGGTGGTGGAGGTTAGGGCGCCACTTGTGGGATGGGTTTTCGTGGAGGTGTTGGGGGCGGTGGTGGTGGTGGGGGCAGGGTGCAAGGGGGAGAAGTTTTCGGCGACGACGGCGTTGGGGATCACGGAGACCATGACGGGATCTAGGCAGGCGCGCAGAACGGTGTTTTCTTTGCAGGTATGCGAGACGCCGATCACGTGATCGACGTCGCTGAGGGTGAATTTCAGGAGTTTGTTCGTCAGGATGGCGCCCGCGTCGGAGAAGCCGAAGAGCGAGTGATCTGTGAATACGGTTCGTAAACCCATTGTGCGAGCGTGAAGGATCGCTTCGTGGCATAGGCTGCTGAGCGAGGCGTGCCCGTGCACGATTTGGATCCCCTCGCGGATCATGATGTTGCGGAATATGGGGAAGAAGGAGAAGACAGTTGGGAAGGTGCTTTCGCGGTAGATTACGAAGAAGGGGATGTAGTAGACTTTGAGGCCGTTGGTGAGATAGCGGATACCAGTGCGATTGCGGTAGGCGTGCGTGATTACTATAACTTTGTGTCCGCGGTCGATGAGTTTGCTGGAGAGTTGGTAGATGTGGGATTCGACGCCGCCGGGTTGGGGGAAGAAGAAGTCCGAGGCCATGGCGATGTTGTACGGCATTCTGGCGGATTTGCTGGGTTGTTGGTTGTTCTAATCTACTTCCGGGAGTCACAATGCATGGTCTACTTGTCTTGAAGATACATTATTGCGTTCCGAAAGTCAGACACGATATTTATATTGAGGATCTACGCTAAAGAGCGCGACGGGCCGTGTTCGGCGCCACCCGCTCTTCATATCCTTGGATTTCCGGATTTCGGATTTTGTCCGATAAACATTTCATACGCACAATAGACAATACCTGCAAACAATGGCGGTCCAGTTCTACAAACGATACATTCCACCAACGACAAATGGGGCAGCTAGTATACTAGCAGAGCGCCCTACCAAGAAACGTATATTAGACGGCTCAGGCAAGACCACGACGACCAGTGATGCTACCGCAAGAGAACGTGAGAGTGGACCCTCAGGGCGTGACATTTCAGCCAGTCACGACGTAGACAATGCAATTAATAGTCATGTAGACTCAGACATCCAAAACATAACAGAGAGCATAAAGAACGAATCCACTAAGCGGAAATCGAAGAAGGTAAAACAAGGCCAGAGTGAGGTGGCCAGCCCAACGTTGGCAAACAGGACGGAAGAGCCCCCGAGAAAGCGTCACAAAAAACTAAAAAGGCAGACAAAAGAGGCTGACGCTAACATCGCGTCCAAGCAAAATGTTGACAACGAAGCTAGCTCAACCAAGAGAAAGTCTAAGAAACGAACCCAGGATCCCGGCGCTGACAAGATCCACGACATGGAGATTGCTGATGATGAAGAAGAGTCAACACAGAAGCACAGGTCTGTTCTAAAGAGATACGCAGCTGCAACGCAAGGATCAAATACAGCTGCCCAGAATGACTCAGTAGGACTAGAAAACAATGTCTCTCCTCCACACGACAACCCCCCTGTGACTCATGGGCTAGAACCTCTGCCTCAGCCTGACCCTATTGATGATGGGCCCAAGGCATCTGTGGCTGCTGCACTTCCTCATTGGATCCGCGAGCCAACGAAAGTCTCAACGGCTGAAACCACGCGCTTCAAGGATCTACCAGTACCCATGGATATGAGCGAAATGCTCACCGCTAAAGGTTTTGATCATGCATTAGCTATACAGTCTATAGTCATTCCTATGCTTCTGCCCAGTGCCAGTCACCACTCCGGCGACCTCTGCGTATCTGCTGCAACGGGATCTGGGAAGACGCTGGCTTATGCCTTACCAATGGTAGAAGCCTTAAAACACAGACCTGTTCATCGACTGCGTGGTCTTGTTGTTGTACCTACGCGTGAACTAGTTACCCAAGCCGAGGAGACAATTAAGATGTGTGCTGTGAACTCCGACCTGAAGATAGCTACTGCCGTAGGCTCTACGTCTTTGTCTGAGGAGCAAGCTACGCTGGTGACCAAAGTTCTACGATACGATCCTAGTGAATACGAAGTACGCCAGGATGCGCATACCGATGAGGAGGAGGAATTGATGAACTGGGATATGGACCGTATCAAGCAGCCCAGTGATGAAGAAGAGTGCCTTCCAAACCACGTCATCGATTTTCACGCCAAGGTCGACATCCTCGTTTGCACTCCTGGGAGACTTGTGGAGCATATCAAGCACACCAAGGGCTTCTCTTTGCTAGACGTAAAATGGCTCATCATCGATGAAGCTGATCGGCTCCTTGACGAAAGCTTTCAGGAATGGGTAGAGATCGTTATGCCAGAGCTCGAAAAGATGCCGCAGCAAACCCCTTTAGAACACGAAATGGAACTGCATTTGGCATTCGTCAGGAAAAGAGAGCTGCGCAAGGTAGTATTGAGCGCGACGATGACAAAAGACGTAAGCAAACTGGGATCTTTGAACTTGAACAGGCCCAAGTTAGTCGTCCTGGAAGGTGCGCAGGATAATTCGAAATCGAAAGGCGGAGCGGAAAACCAGGTTTACGAAAAGTTCGATCTGCCCGAGGCATTGGTAGAGGCAGCAATTCCCATCAAAGAGGCTAGTGACAAACCTTTGTATCTGTTACAGGTCCTAGCAAGGGCCAGTGAGAGCAAGGTAGACCATTTCTCTACGATTTCAGAGGGCAACGCGCCTAATGCCACTAAATCATCAACACATGGAACCCTCATCTTCACGAACGATAATGAAAGCGCTTCCCGCCTTGCACATCTCCTGGATCTGATGCACCCATCTCAATCGAGCAATGTCGGCACTCTCACCAAGTCCTCTTCATCTGCCTCGGGGAAGAAGACTCTCAAAGACTTGCGAGACCGCAAGTTGTCCACTATCATCGCTTCTGACCGCGCTTCCCGTGGCCTCGACATACAAAACCTTGCGCGCGTGATCAACTACGATATGCCGAAAAGTTTGACGAGTTATGTTCATCGTATTGGCAGAACAGCAAGGGCAGGTAGAATTGGCCATGCGACAACGCTCGTGGAATCCCACCAAGCCGGGTGGTTCTGGCACGAGATAGCACGATCTCATGCTTTGGTCAGGGCTAAGGACAAGAAGGTGCAGAGGTGGAATCTTGAACTGAATGTGGAACAGGATGAGAGGAAGAGGTACGAGAGAGCGGTAGAGGAATTGGGCGAGGAGGCTAAAGGGGGGAAGAAAGACAAAAAAAGGGAAAAGGGGCGATAACAAGAACAATCCCAATGGTCGCTGACAGAAAGGTGTAGGGAGTAATCACGATGCAGACATATTTGCTTTGCATTACAAAGCTTTCACGGCTCTAATTCTCCCTATCCGTATTCATGCAGCCCTCTCGGCCCTGCCAAGCGGTGCAAGTCAAACACTTGAGGCTGAATACGCCCCAAAAGCCAGCCAATAATCTTTCATGAGGCTGCAAGTACAGTGCCACCTTTCCCAAACGATTTTATTCGTCCGCGTTTCATCAAACTAAATTCAAGGAAACGGCGCCGAAAAAGCACAAAACTATTGATTCATTGATTTGCGCCGCCTGTATCTCAGCCCTGTCTTAGCGCTGGGCAGTGAGGAGTAGGATCAGATGCATATACGAGAACTTGGAGCATGAACATGAAACCATTCCGAATGGAGACTTGAATGCTACGCAATCTCATTTTAGTTGTCATGTATTCCCATGATTTTCGCTCTCGAGATCAGTTGTCCAAGTTCTCGATCATACTTGGCGACGAAAAAATTGAACGAAGCTTTGTTCTGTGTGAACGAATGTAAGGTCAATGCGCGAAGAGCCAAGGCGCTGCGATTGTCAATAGTGGACCATGGAGCCACTTCCTGATCGAATCAGAGACGCCTTACATCGAAGACAGGACGATAATCCCACGCAACTGCAAGATGATCCACCCAAGGACTCATATTACCGCCGCATGTTTCATCGCTGTATGCGAAGCACTATTGTTTCCTGTAATCTCTGCTTACTGACATAATATCAGCTATTGCTATCGGGGGTTATGTATACATCGATGGAGGTGAAATCAAGCAATCTATGAATGGGACGGTTTACCATACCACCAGTACGGTACCAAATAAATCTCTCTCCTAGGTGCTGAATCTAATTCGCATAGTGAACAGTACTCTTTCGCTCGACATGACAAAGTCTTGGAACGCAGGCGCCGTGCGATACCGCTCACAAAACAAAGGCGCAGCTCCTGTACTAAACAATGAGGTCCTATGGTCATCTTCTGACAACTCGACGGTCCTTATGTTTGGAGGTGAAACCAAATTTCTACCCAATCCGTCACAGACAAATTCGACACTTTCAAACAAAGAGGTTTGGCAATTCAAGGTCAACTTGAATGGCGATGTCAGTTGGTCACCATTTGAGATGCCCCAGGATTCGAACATTGCACAGATTAATCGTCCCTCTAATGCCTTTGGTGCGAATCTCGACAATACCGAGTATTTCCTGGGTGGCTACAAGAATAGCCATACGCTGGCAGAAACTGCCAGCCTCAGTAATGATGTAGACATAGGCGGAATAGCATCGTTCAATCTCTCATCGACGAGTTGGAATAATGACACAGCTCCTTTCGACGGGGGCACAGACATTGTTGCCGCAGTGCCAATCTTTGGTTCTTACGGCCTCCTCATGATGCTACGGCCCGAGTCTGTTGGTGCGGGACAAGATCCAGCACCATAGAACAATATCACTCTCTACGACCCCTCGGATAAAACCTTCCGATACCAATCAGCGGGCGGTGACATCCCGTCTTCCCGACAAGATGCATGCTCTGTTGGCATTAACAGGCTAAATAACGGCGACAACTCCAGCTACGAAATGTAAGTCGTTTTTCACTTTCCAAGTCTTACTCCAAAGCCCAGCCAACCAACTGACTCCACCAAGATTTGTCTACGGCGGATCTCAATACGTCGTCAGCGGCCAAAATCTGACCGCCGCGCAGAAAAAGGCAAACTACGGCCTTGACGCCGTCTATGTCCTTTCCCTCCCCGCATTCACCTGGTTCAAAGCCGACTATTCCTCCGTAAACCCACATTTTCAACACACTTGTAATGTAGTCGGCCAGAGACAAATGATCTCGATCGGAGGACGCAATCCCGCTGATATGACATTCGACCCCAGTGTGGGTAAGGCAGAAGATAAGCAGGACTTTCTGCCTCAGGGACTGGGTATTTTTGATTTATCTGCAATGACGTGGAATAAGTCTGGCTTCAATGTCGATGATGAGCCCTATGCGCGTCCGAAGGCGGTGGAAAATTGGTACCAGCAAAAGTGAGCAGCGAGAACTCTCTCTGGAATCTCTTCTCGATGTCTCTGACCTAATCACTTTTGCTAACACTGACACCTTAGCTATATCCACAAAAAATCATTCAATGACCCAACCGTCCGTGGCCTCTTTCTTAAAGATTCGACTACATCGACCACCAACCTCCAAGAAAACCCCAAATCCAGCTCAAACCGCAATCTTAGCGGTGGCGCTATCGCTGGCATCGTCATCGGCGTTCTCATTGGCATGGCACTTATCGCAGCGCTTTCCTTATGGCAATGGAGGCGCGTGGGCGAAACAGGACAGTGGGAGAACGTAGAAAAGGACGGGCTTCCGAAGTATGGCGCAGGACCGCCTAATGAGATGTCTGCAAGCACGAACTTGAATGAACTTCAAGGGGCCCAGGAGGGAGAGGGTCATGAGGTAGCGGAGATGGATGGGGTTGGGAGGAGTGAGTTGGGTGCTAATTATGAGGGAGGGAGGTGAAGATGTATCAAATACCAATTTAGTCTATATTGACACTACCAGTACTCGTGGTCTAATATTTCGCAGTATTCAAAAGGAGAGTGCGGGTAGCAGACCAAATCCACTCGTCCCACAGTGAGAAGTCTCAGCGCATACTCTGGCACCGTACATCACTTTGAACTAGGGACTTGAGAGATGTTTGAAAGATGCTCACAGTGCCTTGACTGTTGGTCAGAAGACGCTCGACGTTCAACAATTTGCACCATGCACAGCTTGACTCTGCACTACTCGAGGTCATGTTTCCGACTTGTACCCTCACTGTACGACGCCAAAGTAGGTCTTGACCCTACTCGAAGCTTCGGTTCTTTACAACGCTAATAGTTTCCATCACGGCCAACCTTCGCCTACCACGCTCGATCAAAAGGAAAATCCACCACCATGTCACAACCACCGTCTCCCTACGGAATGCTAGGCAAGCTTCCCCGTGAGCTGCGCGATACCATCTACTCACTCCTCCTCCCCCGTCAACTTTGGCGCCCCATCTCATTCGAAGGAAATCCATACCTAATCCAAGGTGCACGACCTGGTCGCATTTCACCCCCGATGCTCACCCTTTCCAAAGCTATCTACAGCGAGGTCTCTGTTTCCTTCCAGAGGCTCGTCACCTTTGTCTACGACGGTTCTCTTGCGACAGGCGATCGATGGGAACCATTGACTTCACTCCCAGCAGCAAACCACGAGTTCACGCAGAATGTTCATCTTAAAATCATCGTCGACGTTTACAAATACCTCGGCCTCTCCTCTACGACTGCGGCCTACAAACCCAGCGAACTGGAAGGCATCGATCTAAATTCCGAAGAGAAGACTCTGCAGCGATTTTTCGACTCCGTCGCCCCATTCTGCGATACAAAAATCCAGCGCCGCGAATGTCTCGTCAATTTCATCATCTACAGCCCGCTTCGAAAGCCAGACGTAAACCACGCGGCTGTGATAAAGGAGATGTTTTCGAAATCACTGCTGGTCAAGAAAATCCAAGAATTCGTGGCGTTTGAGGTAGTGCACGTGCAGACTTCGTGCATTGCCCTGCCATTTGAAGACGCTGGGGGGACGTCGCCGGAGTTCGAGAATGTTGCGCAAAGGCATAAAGGGCTGTTGAGAGACTTGAGATCGAGCTGGGGGAAAACGTTGGGACCGTGTACGGAGATGGACTTCATGGGGGAGTATAAGGGGCGGCCGGAACGATTCGTTATGGTGGGGTGTTTGGAGTTTCATCCACGGATCGCACGTGGAAGCTATAGCGAAGGCTATGATTCACTCGTGATACCAAGGGGTTACGCTGATGAAGGATCTGAGGTCCTTGTTGAGAGGCTTATGGCTCTGTGACCTATTTTACGACTTTCAAAGATACATCCAGCAGATTAGCTATATTTTCTGCGGCACTGTCGGCATCTGTACTAAGACGTTGCGAAGACAAGATCCTCTTTCCAAGACTTGAGACACAGGGTCTTTTGATTATCAGAACCGTATAGTAAAGTCACACGCAGCCAATGCTATAATTAAGTCTTACGCAAACGAGAAGCGTAAAAGCCCGCCAGTGCAGCAATTTAGCTAGGATCTCTAGGATCAGGACGTCTCAATGCTGGCAAACCTGAGCGCTGCCAAGAGCTGGTTGGTGGATCTGCTTCTTGAGCAAATTCTTGGACCAGGCGAGAGCAAAGAAGTTGACAAGCTTGATAGAGAAGTCAAGGAGATTGAGATATCAATTGTATCAATCTTCCGCGCGTAGAGATTCGTGGCTCGGTAAAAACAAGACAGGTTAGCTTCACCCTGTCTACACACGAAGGATGATGCTAAGCCCCCATCCAATCATCCATCAACTACCCCGCCATGGCTGCCTTGTCAATTTCCTCCTACCTACTACTACTGACAACTAAAATTCTCTCTTACCTCCTCCTCCCTCTCCCCCAACACAAGACCTTTCCACGCAATCCAAACCCCCCTAAAATGTGTCCATCATCTCGCTCTTCCAACAACGAATCCACACTCCTCTCCCCCTCCCCCCTCCTTCCCCCTTCCCCATCACCCACGAAGAAAAGGCACCAAACCCCCCCTCCTCCCAACCCGAAACACCCACGGCGATCCAACCCCCCAAGTTTAATCAACTCCCTCATCGTAGGCCCGATCCCCTACCTATCCTTCTTACTGTACGGCCGCTTTCTCGAACCGCTTCTCTTCCCGGCGAGAGAGGGGGAGGGGGAGAGAGGGGTGGTGAGCCGGATCGTAGGGTGGGTTTTTATGCTTGCTGTTTCGTGAGTTTGTGCTTTCTTTTGTGAAGAGGTATTTTGGGGGGAGGGAGAAGGGGCAGTGGAGGGGGAGAGGAGGGGAGGGAAGGGAAGGGAAGGGGACAGGGGAGTGGGACCGAGGCTAACTGTGAGGGCGATATAGGACCATACTTATTGGGTACATAGAACGAACATGGAAGTGTGGGGGGTGTGAGCGGATGTTGTGGTGTAGGTGTGGGAAAGGCGATGAAGAGAGGGGGCAGGAGGGATTTGTGGCTCGGTGAGTGTGCGGTGTTTAGTTGTGTGTCCGGTGAGGGCGCTCGTGGTTCATGGTGTGTAAGAGGAGATGGTAGTATTTAGGGAAAGAGATTTTTGGGTTTGTTTGTTATTTGGTCTTGTTTGTTGTGACACCGCAACCGAGTGATAATGTAGCGAGTGTCGTGTTTGCTACTGCATGAGGAACAAACTTACACTTTTGTGTTTCCTATAAGAAGTGCGTTTCTCCTCTTTTCGGGGTTCTTCTTTCTTTCTCTCCACGCCCTTCTGTGAAAGGATTGAGTTGTACCAAGAGATGGCGATGACCACTCATGACAGCGACGTCTTCGCGCCATCACAGACCCACGAATTGGCGACAAAAATCGGCACATTAAGCAAATTTCCTGCGGAGCTTCGCAACATGGTTTACAAGGAAGTCTTTGAAGATTATTTCACATTCTCTATCGATCGGAGTGGTCAAGGGTAGGCAAAATCAGTCACGTATCCCGCGGGTCTCTCATTACTTCAGGTGTGCAAAGCCATCTACGCAGAGACCAATACCTACTTTCAGAAGCATGTGACTTTTGCCTACCACGATATTCTAGCAAGGTCATACACAGAAGATGTACACTTCGGAAGAACACCTGTTCCCAATAACATACAAAATCTTCAGCTCATCATCAACATAGGCAATACCTACTGGGAAACAACTGCAGTAGACCCATGGAAAGAAGCATTGGCCGCAGCGCGATGGGAATCTGGCCTGCAGCCATTTTGTCCGCCATTCTTTGGGGCTACAATACGCCGTCGAACATGTACGATATACCTCGATGTGACTGAGAAAACTCTGGCTTCATGGCGTTGGGACGTACCCAGCCACTTCCCGAAACCATTCCTCTCGGCAGTTCGGAGGCTTGTGGGTTTCGAGACATTGAAAATATTCGTTGCATGTACAGTGATACATGATTTGGACAATCCCGTTGAACCGGAAATCCCTACTGAGAAACGCCGAAGAGCAGGACGAGTTGCTGAATGCTGCAAGGTTTACCTTGAGCCTCATCTTGGACCATCTCGAAGCGTTGGATTCGTAGAGATGCCGCAAACTTCGCGAAGGAAGGGGATTCTTGCCTCATTGACGTTCTATCCATGGAGATTCGCGGGTCGGCAGCTGGTGGAAGGATAGGTGAAGGTCAATGGTAGCGTTGAATAGGAGCCAGATTAATGTTGACATCAGATTTCAATCGTTGAATAGATATTATGAACAACGCACCCAGTTCGAGAAGCCTCATGCCACTTATAGCTTCGTAATGTTACCTGTTCAATGTTAGAGCGATACTTTACTTTTCTTTGTTATGAAGTGTTGTTTGTTGTCACTTCTGACCCAGCGGTGAAGGAAATTGAAGTAATCGTTGCCACCATAATCTAATTTAACAGGAGCGGGCTATCCAACTGGTACATCCTGATGATTTGTGCTGGTAATCATACCAAGAGACTCGGTATGTGAAGAGAGTCGCTGACCAAATTCTGATATTTCAACCTACGTTGCGCATTACACTTCTCCATCATCAGGTGGCGAGGTGTTGTCCGATATTTTGGGTTTAAAGTTACAGGATCAGCCAGTGTCGTTATAGTCCTTCAATTCTCAGGTCTCATTTACACTCCAATGCTCTCGTAGAGCTTCGTGCAACAACCCAGTCAATGAAAACCTGACTTACGACATGAGGTCCAATTACGGCGCGCTGGGCAAACTGCCTGGCGAGTTGCGCAACCGAGTATATCAGGCAGTCCTTGCAGATGAGTTTTGTGTTAGCATCTTCGAATCAGACACAGAAAAGGTCGCAGTCAGGTCAATTGTTTATCCAGCAGGCCTCTCGATCTTAAGAGTGTCCAAGGCAATCTACAAAGAAGCCTCTAGCCGGCTTCAGCACGACACTACTGTTGTTTATAGAGATTTCTTGACCAGGGAATGTGCAAATCAAGTCAGCTTTGGGAGAACGCTATGTCCCAATCACTTCCAAAACCTTAGACTTGAAATCGACTTGCAACGTGGATACACTCCAAGAGACACCTTAAGCCCAGAGTCAAGTCCGTGGATCACGGCACTATGGAGGTCCACTCTGCAGATATTCTGTGGCAGATTTTCCCGTCAAAAATGTGAGATATTTCTCGACTTAACCACCTCAGCCATGCGCCGCCCTCATCCTCAATACTTCAGAGTTGACGTCTTTGCAAACCCATTTTTACGGACAATCGAGCGGTTTAGGGGCTTTGAAATACTAACGATCTCGATCCAATGTTCACAGACCGAGGATAGGATGACTTGGTTGACGTCGTAAGAATAACAAGATTCCTTCAGAAGGCAGTGACGGGCCTACTGGAATTGTGCAGACGGCACCTTGAGCCCCATCTTGGACGAAGTGAGGCTTTTGAGATTGAAGAGATCTCTGCATCCTATGAATCCAGGACGACGCTGGCATCACTGACATTCCATCCATCGAGATATGCAACTCGGTAGCTGGACGGTGGCGAGGTATGGATCAGCAATAGGCGGGAGCTTCGCGTCGGTCTACCAATAGCATCATCTCATCATTACGCACTTCATTCAGAATGATTATGGCGCGGTATCATACTGTTGATCCTGCGACGCCATCCTTCTTACACGCTATGGTTTTTGACTTCATTCATGCGAATGCAGGTGCTCTTAGATTTTCGCGCATCACCCATCCTATAATTTTGCAACATTGGGAAGTAAAGATCACATCTTTGAATAGCTTAGAACCCACATCTTTATTCTCTGATGCCAGAAAACATGTGAAAGTCGCGTGGTAATGCGTACGCGCCGGCGCTACCATGCCGAACTTCCCGAAAAGAGCCCCCTTTTCCACCAAATCTCGCTGCAGCGGCATCTAGCCCGCTGTCGTGCTTTAGCTGCAAGCCTTGAGAGCTTAAAGCCTGAGGATTGGGCACTTTGGCCAATGATATTTCGCTCAGTAGTGGATGGGACGGGAGGGAATCTCGTCGGTAGGCTGTGCTGGACAGGGACATCCTTGCCTGTGGGTCCGGCAGGGATGCCCATTTTCATGAAACACGCTGCACAAGGCTGAAAGGTGAAAGACGAACATTTCCAGCCCAACTTTTGGAGGTTTCATGCACAATATAGTATCAGGCTCCTGCCATGAAGAACGTTATGACGACCTAATTGACAGAACCCTCATGGTTTACTAAGTCTGCAGGTCAGATCTGAGGACCGCCTGTTGAGTTTGCCCTAGATACAGGATGGAATTACCCGGACGGAGATGAATGCGCCGCAGCTAAAACGTTTAGTGGATACGACACCAGCAACGCGAAGGATCACAGCCTTACCACTAGAGGAACATCCAATTTCTTTCTCTCTTTCAGTCTCTTCAATAATCCACACAACGCTTACACTTGTAACGGTCCTTACACCTTTCTTTTGCATATGCTGGAGTTCGCTGCATCGCACCTCTAATGCATGGCGCATACTGTCGTTACCTTAGAGGACTGATCTTGTGGGGGTTATTGGTCTGTGCTTCAGGTAAGCCTCTCGGGGCGTTACCCGCCTGAAACATTGGGGCTTGGGGAAGGTCTGGGTCTCAAGACATGCTAAAAGACACCAGCATCAACTACCAACAATACATCTTCATCAACGTCAAGTCCTACTTTCTCTAACTCGACATCATCATCGACCACTTCAGTGAGTTCGTCGATCAGTCACAGCTCGAGCTCTCCGCTCTCGCAATCATCTTCCACCGTACGGACAACATCTTCCTCAACTTCAAAACTTGGAACTCCCTCGACGGGTTCTAGTACGGTGATATCACCCACTCAAGCGACTGTCAATACCACATCAGTCCGGACGCCAAGCATCTCATTCACTGCCTCATTCAATCCTTCTCGAACAGGCCCGCGTTCAGGATCGCGCTCAGGATCAGATGGCGGCTTCCCAATCACCACAGGACCTCATGGTACGAATCCCTCGGAACCATTCCCTAACTCCAATGTATCGTCCACCGGAAACTCGACTTTGTTCCAGTCTTGTGCCAAGGTTGAGGACAAATACAATGACTGTCTCAAATCCGCGTTCCTCGCAAAGTCAATGTGTAGTGAGACTTACAGCAGGCCTTCTGAGTGTCAGGATGTCCTGCATAATCACTGCTTGATTTGGGTAGACATAGTTGATTTACTCTACTGGCCAACGCCCTATGACACCATCTCTAATGCTACAAAGGTGGCCCCCATTCCACGGGCGGCCCCTACAAACTTGGTATCAGACGGCTTTACTTTTGAGCCAGAGTCAGCATACCTAGTTTATAGTAATGCGAAGGCAATCTTACCATATAGACATGACGTCACAACCACGGGGTCTTTCTATACTCACCTGACAGTTCCCTATCCGGCTGGTCTGCTGCATACGTACTATAATTGCAATCCTACGCCGGCCCATTTAGAGGTTTGGCCTTGGACAACGATCAACTATCAAGACTTCAACCAGCCTCCTAAGTGGAGCGTTGTGTCTACTCAACGACCATGTCATCTGTTCTCAATGGATGGCGACAGCTTGCGAGACGAGATCTTCCCACCATCACAGATCGCAACCCAGTATACGGATTATGTCAACAAGCCTCTTATTCTTCTCCCCTCACCACTGACTGATGTCGATCCGGCATGGAAGACCTGTGCGATGGGTGATACCAATCTTGGGGTCTACGATCCTCCACGGGCAATCGTTCCTACTTCCGCAATGGTGGCTACGGCCGCAATGACGGATGCGGCAGAACCTTCGAAACCAATGCAGCTCGTTCCGCAGCCTGCCTCTGTGATTTCTGATGCGGCACCGACGCAGACAAGCATAGTGGCGGCATTGTCTAATGGTGACAACATTGTTGGTATTTCTGGTTCAAAATCTGGTGGACAGAAGCCAGATCCCCAGCAAGGCTCAAATGCGCAAGACCAACAATCGAATACCTCTGGAGAGTTTGACACCTTGCCGAACAAGAACCAAAACGAGCCTGATGACGTGGACAATCGCTCGAACAATAACCCGGACACTCCTTCAGCCACGAATAGTCAAATAAGTGACCAAAGTGCTGGGAACGGCAAACCATCAAGCAGCAAAGGGACAGAAACCGAGGTCTCTTCGCAAAGTAATGGGGCTGGATCTACTGATACCAACGATAAGTCTCATTCAGATCCGCAGAAAGAGCTCGGCTCAAACAACCAGGACTACTCAGTGGCCGACCATATTGCATTCGGTATTTCTGGCATGTACCCCAGTCCTAAAAGTGATCAACCTGCCAATGACCAGCCTACGCCAAACAAAAACGAAGAGTCTTCAGCAGATAAAGGTGAAGCTCCCTCGCTGAACAAGAACAATCATCCAAGCGATGTGCCAGCCAAAGCCCAAGCCCAAGGACACGCTATCCCCTCTATCATCGTTGGAGGCCACACGGTCCAACCTGCAGCTAGCCAAGGCCTCGCAGTAGACGGCGTCCATCTCAACCCCGCGACCCCAGTCACGACAGCAAGTAACGTACAAATATCCGTCGGTGCCGCTGGCGTCGTTCTCGGCGGCAACACCATTGCCGTCCCATCCCATGATTCCACAGTCGCAGCACCTAACATTGCCATCGGCACCCACCACATCAATATCATTCCTAACGCTGCCGCAGGCCATCAGCTAGTCATAGACAGCTCCACACTCCCCGCCGGCGCCAGTCAAGCTACAGTAGGCAACCATATCGTCTCCCTCGTCAACGGCGCACAGCTTTCCGTCCTGCCAACAACACTGCCCTACATCCCCCTCGCCAACACCAACTCCCCATCAACAACCTCACCCATCGTATTCCCCGCAGTCGGCCTTATAACGCCTCAAGCACTCCCCAACAGCGCCATCTCCCTCGCCGGCACGACCCTCTCAGCCGGCGGTCCCGCAGCCACCGCATCAGGCACGCCCATCTCAGTCCTCCCCTCCAACGCCGGGCTAGTCATCGGCTCGCAGACCGTGCACCCGCAACCCATCCCCACACCTCCACCACAACTCGGTCTCGTCCTGAACGGCACGACTTTGACGCCTCTATCTGGCTCTAAGGTCGTGGTGGCGGGGTCGACGCTTTCGCAGAATGGTCAGACGGTCGCTCTGGGTAATGGGGAGATTTGTACGCTGCGGAACGGCAGTGTTGGTGTTGGGGATGAGACGTATCCGCTGCCAGTGGTGGTGGCTACTGCTTCTACTCCTGCGTCGTCTGTGGAGTCGAAGATCCAGAGTCTTGCGAACGGGGATGTTGTGTACCAGGGCAAGACGCTGGAGAAAGGTGGACCGGCGGTCACGCTGGCTGGTGGGGAGGTTGTGTCTTTGGAAGGCAGCGGCAAGTCGGTCAGTGTGTCGTCTACTTCGGTGGCGTCTAGTTCAGCTGCGACTTCGCCGGCGAGTGGAACAACGGCGGCGCCAACGACGAATGCGAGCACTTCTTCAACTTCGCAGAAGTCAGCTGCTACGACGTCTGATACGGGTGTCTTGGGTATGGGTGCTGTGCATGATTCTGGTAGCGGCAGCGGCAGATCACTGATTGTGGAGTTGGAGCTTTTGATGATTATGATTGGGGCTGCGGTTTGGAGCTTGGTATGATTTACATGGCGCAGGCATGGCGGACAGGGAAGGTAGAAGGAAAAATTTGGGTATAGAGTCGTGAATTGTACATAAGCAAGAATAATGTAATGCCATCTACCTTAAACAGTCATTGTTTACAAGCCGGGGCAGGTTGGTTGGGTGTACTCAGGGCTTTTCTAGATGAATCACATTTCTAAACTTATTAAGAAAGGCTTGAAATCGATTCTTCAGTGTTTCAACGCTTAAATAACGCTCAATTAATTTTAAAATTTGTTTGAGTAATGTTCTTGATATATTGAATAAGATGTGAAACATTGAAGGTTATTCTGTAATAGTTGTACTCTAATATGAAAAAAAGATTTTTTTTGTGCGGATTTAACGGAAATATGATTCATCTAGAAAAGCCCTAAGTAAAAGGCGGTCCGTATATTGTATCCTTTACGGGTATCTCTAGGACTGGCTCGCAGGAAGCTTGGCCATTTTGGGTTAGATGCTCTTGGCAGCGACCACCCGCCTTTTTGGTGCATGATGCGCGCAAAAGAAACATGCTTCTTTGACCATTGTTGGTCTTGCACGCGGTGTAGCCTGTGCTCACTTGACTTGCTGCTTTCATTATGTCCTGATGATCCGAGTGGCTCCTCGCGCGGTATGATAACGAAACTTAATTGGACAAGACAAGATAAGGTTGAGAGAGAGACCTAAGCTTTGATTTCTTTCTCTGACTAGCACCTTGTATGTGATATGTCAATTACCAACGGAGAGACAAGATTGAGGCCCTCAGCCGATTGAGGTAGTAGCAGAGACCCGTTACTCATCATGACTCTTAATTTGGACTTTGATGGCTCCTGTGCGTGGATCTGCCGCCGTCTTGAAGGCCTGAACGGCTTCGTCGATATTGAAGCGATGGGTTACCAGCTTCTCGAGTTTGATGGTTCCGTCTTGAACCAGTCGTATCGCTCGGGGCCAAGTATTGCAATATCGATATTGGTACTGTAAGTCGATCTCTTGTGTACTCAAGCGCATGAAAGGGACTTTCATTTCATTCTTACCAACTCCGATGACAAAGACTTTCCCCCCAAATTTGACACTCCATACTGCTGCATTGATTGAGGATTCTACGCCCGTACAATCTATGGCGAGTGTGGGGCGAAGACCTCCGATTGCCTCAATCATGCGGTTTGCGCTCTCTTCGGCACTTTGATCTCTGACGGGCTGAAATACTTTTACCTTCGGAACCAATTGTTTGGCAAAGTCCAGCCTGCCAACATCGATATCTGTGATCAAAATTGGTGTCGCGCCAGCAGCCTCACAGCAAAGCAGTGTGACCAGTCCAATCGGGCCTGCTCCGCAAATGAGCACGGGGTCCCCTATCCTTAATCCCGAACGCTGTATTCCGGCCAAAGCTACACACAGAGGTTCAAGCAACGCGCCATTCTCGTAGCTCATTTCTCCAATCTTGTGGCACCAAAGTGCTGGATGATTCACGTATCGTCTGAGAAGCCCGTCGATTGGAGGTGTACTCAGAAATTTGACATTTTCGCACCCGTTGTACCTCCCACTTAGACAGGGTTCGCAATCATGACAGATGACGTTCGGCTCAATTGCAACGCGATCTCCAATCTTGAGTTGCGTGACTAAAGGGTGCGTGGCCAGAACTATGCCTGCAGACTCATGGCCCAGAATATGGTCGTCTCCGACAATCATAGGACCAATGCAGCCTTCTTGCCAGAAGTGAACGTCAGATCTAGGCGTCAATCATCAGCTACTATAGATGATACTAATATGATGGATCTTATCCTACCCGCAAATGCCAGTGGATTTGATGCCAACTGTCACTTCTCCAGGCTTAAGCGTGCTCCCCGAAATGACCTCATCGACAGTTGGGTCACATTGGGCGATCCACAGCTCATGTTCAGGATTCGTGAACACAGCAATGTTTGGCTCTAAATTATCCATGAAAAAGTCTACAAAGTGACTTCAGATGCTCTGCTTGGCCTGAGATGGTGCAGAAGGCTCTCGAATGGATGTTCAAAGGGGATTGCGAGAGGAGATGTACAGAAGGGAGGTGGGGCCTTCACAACGCTAATGTCTCACTCGGGCAAGGTGAATTTGTGCTACTGATTGCTGATTCGTCCCTATATGCATGCAGCCGGCGAATCTATTGGAAGGAGCATGTGAAGTATAAGGGTCTGTGCGGGGCGCCACGAGCCGGTTTCTATTGCCGGTTTTGCTAGCATGCAGGAAATGTAAAAGTGTCATACCTTGAAGCACGTAAATCAGCAAAGGTTGCAATCAGCTACGAGGATTCTCTGTCGTGGTTCATCTGCAAAGTGGCACACTCTTATGACCTTCTCTGTCAGGCTCGAGAGACTCCAATCAATAACATATGGAGCCCTCACCGCAAGAATTACAACTACGAAAGTTTACGCCGTGACTAGGGACTTGGATCACAGCAGCGGAAGCGACGGCCGTTTACCGTTCGCATACGGCAAATCAAGCTTTTCTCCAGACTGTTGGCTTTTTGTCATCCTCAATGGCGGTCTCCTTGCTCCAGTCTCCAGGAGCCTCTTACCCCCAGAAGCAGGCCGTTGCTCATTAACCTCGAGACCACGCTTGATGATAGCAAGCTCATGCTTTTTGCCGAAAACTATGTCTCCTTTACTCGTCACATCAACCATCAGCTCGGTACTAGTGCTCATCCAGTCGGCAGGAATGAAGAAGTGGCGAACATGATGTTCAACAGCAGGTCTCGAGAGATTCATTGAGCAGACCCAGCCATCCTGATGGAGATATATCAGTCGATGCCCCAAACACCCGATCAGAGACCGTATTGCATCGATGATTATATCACTCGTTGGATCAGCAGCGACCTTCAAAGCCTGGGCGGTCAGAACAGATCTTCTCCATAATACAAGCTTTTTCGACGTAGACAGGAACCCTGAGAGCTCTTTGAAGGTGGTTGCAAGGTACTTATCTTGAATGCAAGGCGTGATAGACTCTATTGAGTGTCCGTGAAGCATTGTGCCACCGATCTGTATGCCCTCGGCGATTGTACGTCTCTCGAGGCTGTCCCACCCATAGATGAATGCCCTATTATTACTTATCATTAAGAGGGAGTCTGGATCGGCCGGATCATTCAACCATCTGTGCGGCAGATGCTCTGTCCTCTCAAGACTTCTCAATGGCGGGGTTTCATCAAGCGAAATCTTCAAAAGAACGTCTTTGCTGGCCGACGACACTAGCACTCGTGTTCCTTGCTCGTTACTCAATACACCTTCAACTGCCACTCCAATTCTATAATCGACCGAGACTTTGCTAGCCTCCCAAGTCCCTTGTTTAGGGACTATTACATGACTCATTAGCCGACTGGAGGCATCCACACTACTTAGAATCTGGCTACTTTCATGAAACATAAGCGCAACGATAGGGACTCCTTTTGCATGACTGAGTAGCTTCTGAGTCTCCAGCCCAGACTGGGTGTCAAAAAGACATATCGTTCCATCTGCCCTGCCGCAGAATATGACTGTACCGTCAATATGGCAAGTCAAAGCTGAGATCATGACGACTTCTTCGGATGAATCCAACTCAATCTCTTGTGGGGTTGTGAAGACAGAGATTGTATCGCTATTCTCCTCGTCCTCATCCTGTCGAAGAAGAGCTGGCGGATCCCAGATTCTGCATTCAGAACCTCTAGTTTCCAGTATTCGACTACCGTCTGCGCTAAATGCTAATGATCTGATGCTGGACTCGTCAGATCTCACGCAACACAATAGCCTAAGCGTTTCGAAATCAAAAAGATGAAGTGTGCCTACTGAATCAGCCGCCGCTAGTGTACGTCCGTTGGGAGAGCTAATAAGAATCTGCGCATTCGCCTTTGTAGTCTCCTTCACAGTACCTGCATCGATATCAAAAATTACCAAATCGCCATCTGAGTAGGAGGCAGCGAGGAGCGTTGCACTAGGATCAGCGCTGAAGGCCAGACCACCCGTGACGAAATTCTTGACTCGTCTGACAACTGGAGAGTTGTTATTTGCACCTCTGTCCTTGCTGTACGTGTCGTAAAGTGTATTCCTCTCAATATCCCAGATCACTATGTCCTGACCTCTATACACTACTGCCAAGAGACTGGTTTCTAAGTATATTGCGGCAGCGATGGGCCGACGATAAGCGTGGTTTTGATGACCTTCTTCGTCCTCGGTCCAGTCTGCGGAGTCGCTCACAAAGCCAGTCGTAAGGTCCCATATCATGAATTGATTGTTTCGTAGGGCTCCCAGCAGAAGTCTATCCTCGTCGGTGAAATTCAATGTCAGACAGTCCGCTGTAATGTCGAAGCGCCAAAGTTGATGCCATAATCCAACATCCCATAATTGAATTGTCTTCATGCCCGCAGACGCGATCACGCACTCTTTCAGGCCAAATCTCAACGTCCTGACTGGTTCTGTATGATTCAAAGATTTTATCTCCTGACAAGTCACGTTGTGATAAATGATGAAGCACCCACTGGATGCTCCAATGGCGAAGTAATTGTCACTGCAAGTCAGTGCGGCCAATTGTTCACCTGGACGACTTAAAGTGGCTAGACAATCATCCCAGGCCAGGGTGGAGAGGCCAAGAACATTCAGACCCCGTCCTGAGGCCGCGAATCGCGTCTTGAGAGCGCTCTCAGCTGGGCAGAAAGGCGGTATATGGTGATAAATCGATGAGGGTGAGTCTAACAAATTTCTCCCAAACTTTGCTACGAGTCGAACAAAGTCTGTAGCCCAGGAATCCAAGGTAGCAAAATCCTTTCCAAAAGGCGAGACTGTTCTTGACCTCCGGCGAAGATAGTGTCTCAAAGACCTTCCTGTCTGAACAATACAACCCAGGTCTGGAATGCGTGCTAGGTGCTCAATCCAGGAAAGAACATTCGGCGAATTTAAAAATTGCGCAATCTCTAAGAACACCTCGTCGTCTGAAGAAGAGACTTGATGTATATGTTGATGAAGTGCGCTACATGCGTAAGTGGAGAACGCAGACCGTGTCTTCCCGACGTTATTGAGACTGAGCTTGCGCTGTCGCAGATCTTTCATCTCATTACCATAAAGGTATTGCAGAGAAACCATTGTCAAACGCTTATGGCCCGTTTTCTTATTTACCGCGAACTCGGAATCAATGTCATTTCGAAGTAAGAAGTCTCTGGCGGTCTGATGCACCATGTGCACGCGCAACTTAGTATCCACATACACTAACTCGCCACAACAAGCAGCGATAGATTTTTCAATCCTATCTATTCCAGTTTTAATGTCGAGCTGGAGAGCATGATATAGTTCCTCGGTTAACAAAGGTCGGGCGGAACATACAGTCCAAACGAGTATTGCCTTTCCAAGTGTCTTACCATATGGCGATTCTGACATTGAGTCAAGTATCCTAGAATATAGGGAGTCCATATCTGAAGGCACCTCCTCAAGTACATTGAAAACCTCGGCTGCGGTATGGACCTGCTGCAACTCTTTCAGAACAAGTCGGACCCACAGGAAGCATCCAGCGGACTTCTCCAGGATCGTCGTAAGCGTGTTCTGACGATCGTCCTGATCAACTGTTGGAAGACAACTCAGATTTGCTTCTAAATATAGTGAGATGTCCATCTTGGTGTCATCCTCCGAGATTTGATCCATGGATATTTTTGATTTTGAGGGTATCATGGATCCATACGATTCGTAACTCATTCGAGACGTCACTACGATGCGCACGTGGAGCAGTTCGCACACCTTCATGAGTAATGGAATAAGCTCGGAATCATTTTTACATTCATCCAAGGCGTCTATGACCCAATAGGTAGGACCATTGAATTTTACCTTTAGTATCCCGTCAACATACAATTTGCGCCAGAGCGTGCGATAGTCTGCGTGAGCAAGTCGGTCGTTCTTTCTGCAGATCTCGATGACAATGGCCAAGACTTCGGTGTTCTGCATTGCCATCTGCCAGGCCATCGATCGTAGCAAAAACCCGGTCGTTGCTTTCATCTTATCGCCGTGGTCAAAGAAATGAAAGCTACACTCTTTGCCCAAATCTTTCAGGCGCCTGACAACGTATCCAGAAAGTACTGTTTTCCCTGTTGCCGGCTTCGCACTGATCCAATAGATATGTGCATTGGCAGACTCGTCGAGCCAATACTGAAAAGCCTTCTTGGTCTCCAACCATTCGCAAGATCCAGACATCCGTCGGGCTTCGGCCCCATGAAAGTCGTCCTCAACAGCATCAGTAATGTCAAGTAGATCGTCGAGAAGATTGCGCTTTTCCAATTCGACTTCGTCCCCAACGGGATCTTGCTCATCTCGAAGGCAATCAATATACGAAGCAATGGCGTTACGAAGCGTTTGGTAATTTGGGTCAGACTTATCACTGTACTTGCAGATCTCGCGATGATTTGCGTTCATGTACGCTGTCCGTTCGTTTGACAATCCTAGTACAGCTGAATCTTTGTCCACCACAAGACCTTTTCCAAGACCACAATATATTGGTAGAGTCTCATAGAACGAGAAAAGCTGTAAATCTTGGCAGGCATGGGAAAACTCGTCGTTGGTAGATTGCGTGGCGATAGAATTACGATGTAGATCTTGCACAAATGGTCTTGCGCCATGAGCTAGATGTAATATCCGACTTAATAGAGCGGCCAAATCAGAACCTCTATGAGGAGTCGCAAGGAAGAAGATGGCGCGGACACGCTCGGCAATCGAGGAGAATTCGGGAAACTGTTGGGCAAGAACGAAGGCTTTCTTTATGACGAGGCCTCCCATGCTGTGTCCCACGAATATTATCGGCGCCTTTGGAACGCATTAGAATTCGAAAGCCTCTTGGAGGTCTGACAGTGATTGAGGAGAAAGAAGAAGCTTGAAAGCTTTCTTCAAGTACATCAGGAAAGTCTCACCTTAGAACTCCGTGGGATGTGGGGGCAGTCATGAATTGATCCAAGAAGCGCTTTCGCAAAGTCGTGAATATTCAATATGCTCTCCTTCTCCCAATTCGAGCTGTATCCAAAGGTGTGTATTCGAACACCTTGGAAGCCTTCGTCGTGTGGAAGCCATGCTTGTGGCCAAAAGAGAGATCCTTCCGCCGATTTCCAGGTACTACGGGATCCACCTCCTAAACCATGAACAAACACCAGGTCGGCAATAACTGGCTCAGTTGACTCGCATAGAGTGTCCAGTCCTAGTGCACCCTTCGAGTCCTTAGTGTCCACGCTGCCACTGCCCTCACGCTTTGCAAAGGTACGCGAGAGGATCGAGCGGCTCGGGGAAGGAGACGCCATTGGTTATTCTAAAGTACCGCGCGACCTGTGTGCACACCTATAAAGGAGAAATGTTGTGACCATTGGTAGATGCACTGCCTAATTATGAAGGCTATGGATCATGAAGGGTTCGCATCTCGCGAACAGAGGCGATCCTAGATTGTTCAGAATGATCATGCGACCGCGGGCACACGATAAGCAGAAAGATGTAGGCACGGACAAACTCGCATCGGCGAGGCTGAGAAGCAATGAAACCAAACGCTAACGCAGAGCCAGGTGGGGGCTGCAGATTAATTCCCTAGAAAGCAGCATAGCGGCTGTGTGAGCGCTTCGCCAGGGGACCTGACTGGTGGATCGAAAGATTCTGCAGGGCTTGAGGGTGTGCTGAGGCCCGATAGCGTTGGTGCTTCGGGTGAGCTTCCTATTGGTCATATGGCAGTACAAACAGGTTTCAATATGTATTCAAGGTTATACAAGCGCTTCGCCCCTCTTTGCAACCTTCTCTTATTTCCCGTTAGCTTATATCTACCTTCTCAGGCCGTACTTTACATCGTGCCATGGCACAAGAAGATAGGCCCCTGTTTTGGAATCGGGTGAATGAGGTGGAGGAGAGATGGATTGAGTCCGTGGACGACAACGTCTTGGCGAGTGCGTACCTTCTCAGTTTCAATGATAGTGGTGGATGGCCTGCTAACGCATGATCAGAACTACCGGAAGGCACACAAGTCGTTGGCGCCTTTCCTCATGGCGCCAGCTACTGGACAAGGACGGCTGAGATTGAGACGCAACAGGTTGACGGTTCATCCATGTCTTTCTTCGTCAAAGTCTGTATTCTAGCTTCTTTGGCAGATAATGGCTCCGTATGGTAGGAGAGGCGGCTCATGTGTTGTAGGTCGCAAAAGGAGACGTCGGTCTAGCCATGGTATCTGGAGAATATGTGTCCATGTCTGAACTTCACAAGACGATTCCAGACGCAACGCCGGCTCCTATTGGCTGGGGAACGTACAGCTCAAACCCAGAAATACATTTTTTCCTCTGTCATTTTATTGACATGATCGACGAAATTCCTGGTGAGTTTCAGTATACCCCCCAGCAAAACCCAGATTCACCATTTCCATCGACTATCCAGCATTAGCAGCATCATATCGGCGTCTCTTCTAACGGCAGGATCTTTAGATATACAGGCATTTACCGCAAAGGTTGCAGAGTTGCACACCAAAGGCGTTTCTCCAAATGGCAAATATGGGTTCGCAGTTCCCACTTTTATGGGCCAGATGCCTCAATATATTACGTGGACTGATTCGTGGGAGGAATTCTTTACGATTACCGTGCAGCGCTTGATGTCCAATATAGAAGAAAGCCAAGGAAAGGACCCAGAACTCAGTGGCTTAATGGCTCAAGTCGTTGCTAAAGTAATCCCACGATTACTCCGTCCATTGGAGACTGGCGGCAGAGAAATAAAGCCACGCCTAGTACATGGTGATCTGTATTCCGGCAACGTATCCGTGGACATTGCTTCCACTTCGCCAATTCTTTACGATGCTACTTGCCTGTACGCCCATAATGAGTGTGAGTCGACTTCGCTAGATCATTTGTATCAGTACTGAATGACCAGGGGACCTTGCATCATGGCGATTAGCTAGGCACAAGATTGGGCGACCGTTCATGAAGGCTTATTTCGGACATTTTCCAATCGCTGCTCCTGAAGAAGATCAGGATGATCGAAGCTTACTATACTGCCTGTGAGTGGATAAGCATACGGAAGTATGTCTCGTGTGATCATCACGCTTACCTAGAATGCAGAAGATGGGACATGAAAGGCATGGTGATCTATCCTGGAGATGTGCGCTATCGAACGTAGTACGTCAACCCCTGACTTATAATTTGTTTGAAGTCGGCCTACAACTAATACTGTCATTTTATTTTAGCTGTGTAGATGCTATGCGGACTCTGATTGAGAAGTTTCCAGGTGGCTATGAGCGTTGGGCGGCTGAGAGGGGCGAAAATGCACCTCCTCCAGAAGGCCTACAACCTAGTATTTGAGCGAGATGAACCGTCAGATCAATCTCGAGGGCCTGACTGCGCCCCTAGCTAGACACTGCTAGCATTTCTTGTTTCGATCCCAGATATGTACAAGTAAGTATCTTGAGCCAGAATATTGGAGCCACGATATGGCCACATACGCTCGAAAAGGGAGAGCCCAGAGTTGAGGGCCGGGCAGCAGCCGGGCATTGCTACGCCCTTTTTCTATGCGTGAATTGATGCCTCACGTTTTGATTTGTGGCTCTGATGGCACCGCCCCTCACATCTGCAGGGTCCTCTGCAGCACCAGCGCATCGAACCACAGCCTGTTCTCAGCCTTTCTAGGTTGCCCTTTGAACTCCTCACTCTTGCTGCTCCGGGTTGATTTTTTCTTGACTCTTGCTCTGTGACAGTGCTTCGCGGTCTACGCGCTTTCGAGTGGCATTTCATCCTGCTAGATATCAAACACAAGGGCTGAAATACCCAACCTGGTCGCCATGGATGGCGTCTCCGGCGTCTTCGCCATTCTTTCTTTCAGTATACAGCTCGTCGATAGCATTCACAAAGCCCGCATATTCCTGCGAGAGGTTCATAACGCGCCAGAGGAGTTAGTAAGACTGGTCGACGAACTGGATCAATTTGAAGAACTCTTGAGATCGGCACACGGCCTCATAGACCTGCAGACGAAGATCAGCGGCGTGACTGGGTCGATTGAGAGTGTTGAAGGCGCGCTTCGCCGCTGCAAATCAATCGCTGATAGACTGGATGCTTCTATCAATAAAGTACAGAGCTACTTCAACGTTCGAGGTCGAGGGCGCAGGACTTGGGCCTCGCTGAAGACGGTCGTGAAGAAAGATGAAATTGAGCGGTTGTGCAGACAGATCCATGATAACAAGATGAATCTTCAGACTGCGCTTGTGATCAATTCTAGCTATATCCAGTGAGTTGCTGTGCTGGCTTGCTGAGTTGGTATTGATTCGGAACTAGGCTGCACCAGGTGATCTCGACCCGTCTTCCGGTCATTGAAAATGAGCAAAACCCTGTATCGGCAGATTTAGGAAAGCCTACATCGTGTATCGTGGACTTAGGCGCTAGACCAAACAAGCAGATGGTAAAGATTGTCGAGACAGATGTCTGGAAACACCAGACATTCTTCGGACATAACAGACTTCGAAAGAAGACCCTGTTTGTTGGTACGCAGCGAGAACCTGTCCGTGAAGAGAGATGTTTAACGATCTCATCGAGCTTTGCTGGCATGGCTTTCGAAATGCGATATTGTGGTAGCTTCTTCCAAATACCAAGAAGTGTGACCTTCTATCAAATCTTTGACTACTGGTCTACGGAGTGGCGATCAATGACCGCCCTTCTAGACGACATAGAAGCTTTGAAGCAAGCCTTAAGTCAGCGTGAGGTATCACCGTTTGCAATGAACGATTGGGGGCAGACTCTCCTTCATGAAGCGGCTATTGCCGGTAGTGCTGAAAGCTGCTTACTATTAATTCAAATTGGGGTCGATCCGAATCATACGGATGACTCAGGCTTGAAAGCATTTCCTAGCGCCCATCAACCAGGAAAGGATCTGGAGGGAATCGTGCGAGTATTTTTATCAGCACAGGATGATCTTTCTTCTAAAAGTGTCTGCTCGTTCGTTTTTAATTACTTTTGGTATCGTGAGAATGTGGATATGCTCCTGTCTACATACATGTCCAGGTATGGAGACTCAGACAAGTCCCAAAACACAAAAATGTGCAACGTGGCGTTTCTAAGAACCGCCCTTCGCAATTACGGAAGGGGTGACGACATGAACTGGCGCGATTCAATCCGTAGATGGCTTTGCCACTGGGAAGACGTGCATGCAAGAACGGCGTGGGATCCCCATTGTGGGACGTTCACACTTCTGGATGATCTTTTCATGTTGCAAGTTGATCCATGCCAAGCTGTACTTGATGCACAGGAGTGGCTCCTTATCCTGACGGAAGCTGGCTACGATGTCCAAGCTTACCTACACAAGGAGAGAGAACTCCATTCTGATCAGAACTTAATGACTTGTCCAACTCCAGATGGACAGCAGCAACGTCAGCTTGTGTTCGAGATCAACGACAATCCAAGAGTCTATTGGGACTGGTGGATCGATCCTTTGTCTTCTTCAAGCCTCGTACTCCAAGAATTTCGGTATCTTAATCCTTATCATTCGATCTGGTCCCTTGATAGAGACGATCAGTGGAGAGAGGTATGGCCGTATGCATATCCCTCCTGGTCAGAGAACTACGAGCCAGGTCACGATGAGTATTTCGAGGACGTGGAGTGTTGGCAGCAATACGATGAATGGTGCCAGGATCTCGAAGATTGGAGATTGTGGAAAGGACGTGTAGATAATGTAGCACTCCGACATGCTCGTCAAGCGAGGAAGAAATACTCAAGCTACTATGGAGACTACGACGAAAAGGCGTCAATTCCAGGCGCTTGGCCGGAGAAAGCACTTTAGGATGAAATGCTTAGAGCTACAACTTCAATCAAGAACCAATAGATATTCCTGGTTGAAGCTCCCTCAAAAAACCAATCTTTAGTGAATTTAAGCGTACTGATCGTCAATGTGTGAACGCCTTTCTCAAGCTCTAAGGGTAAGAAGAGCGAAGTAGGGCAGGCATTTCGTGGAGGCAGCAAGATACTCAGTATACACTAGATGGGCATGATGGTGGTGATACTTGGACAATGTGTAGCATGATTGGAGAGCGGCAGTGCTCGTCACAGTGCTGGAGAAAGGGAAGAGCACTTGATATCTGGATGTATGAGGTAGAAAGAGACCTGACGCACAGCATATCAAAAGGACTTGATCTTTCAGTTTATGAACTTCCCACAATCGCATTCGCCTGTGGCCTGTGGTATCTGAAAGAGAGTCCAGCTATCTTCAAATATCATTTGAACGTTTTGGTAGCGAAGGTGTTGAGAACTTACCTTCCAAGAGAAGCTTCAAAGAAGGCACGCAAGCACCATGGACTCAGGGGCGTGGGACTAACCCCGGCGCTAGTGCCTATCACCGAAAGCCGGGCATCATCCTCCCAGCATTCAGCGATCTCGCACGATTTTGGGTCACGATATTCCCTCATTGACCATGACCGCGACTCGAACCAGACCCTCGACTCTGCAGGCACCGACCCCTCCAACACTCTCTTTCCCCACTCTGACAATCACATCCACCCCACCACCCCACATACAGACACAATGCCCCACGAACCCTACCAAATCACACCCATCCCCCCTCCCTCCACCAGCGCCCTCGCAGCAGCAAAATCCCACTTCCTATCCCCCTCCCGAGCCTCGAATCCCCCAGACACCACACTCGTGCCCCCACCTCTCCTCGCCGCCCTCCAGATCCGCTACGACGTCTTCGTAGACGAGCAGCGGTGCGCGGCAGCCGAAGAAATCGACTCTGAAGATTCATTGAGCCATCACTGGGTGCTGTACGCGCCCACCCCCCTACCACCTCGTCCTCCTCCCCGGTAGACTACGCCCCAGCAGCCACAATCCGCCTCATCCTCCCCTCCTACCCGTCACACCTGCATCATCCGCCAACTGGCCCCGCGGCCCCCTCCGCCCCCTCATCCTCTGCGCGTTCACCGCCCACAGCCACGACTTCTCCGCCGCCGATATCAGATTTTCTCACTGCCTCCACGGGTGACGGGCAGAGGCCTGGGTTCGGAGTGATAGAGCACCCCAATTACGCCACGTCCAAGATCTGGGACCAGAAAGAGCCGTTTGCGAAGATAGGGCGGTTGGCTACGTTGAAGGAGTTCAGGGGGCGGGGGTATGGGGGCATTGTGGTTGAAGAGGCGGTGAAGTGGGCGGGGGAACATGCGGGGGATGTGGTGATGCAGGAAGGAAAAGGAGAGGGGGAAGGGAGGCCGTGGAAAGGGCTGATCTGCGCGCATGCGCAGGTGGTGGTGAAGAAGTGGTATGAGAAGATGGGGTTCGAGGTTGATGAGGGGGTCAAGGTGTGGATGGAGGAGGGGATTGAGCATGTGGCTGTTTGGAGGAGGGTGGGTGTTGGGAATGAGGTGGTGATGACTGAATGATTACGAATGAACTATTTGAGCAGCTATAGACGAAGAAAAGCATTCGACATGAGTTTGATCCCCTTCGAGGGTTCAATGACAGCTAAGCTGAACATTTCATGAACTTTAGTGTCTTTGGAGATGCCGGCATCTCATATCGTCACTCAGACATTTATCTTGTTTGCTCCCCATAATTCCTCCTGCCTCACTCCTTCCAAGCTAGTACTCTTGAGACTCAGCGCAACAGTAGCACGATCGCTGTAAATTAAGCGGAAAGTTACAGCTGTCTTCAATGGCATGGTGCTTTGGAAAAAAATCACCTGTCTGTAGCCACTCTCACAACCTCATTCCACCAAATTGCTGCTCAAGGGCCGTCGCTCGCGTAATGCCTTCTGCAAACTCGTGACTTTCGCCACCCACAGGTGCACCGCACTCTGGGCATAGAGCATTTTCCATAGGCGCGCCGCATTCTCCGACTGTGAACTACAGAACGATTAGTCGCAGTCTTGTGTGTCAACATGAGGGCTAGACTTACTGGATGTCTGTTGACACAGTAGTACCAGTGACCAGTCCCCAAGAAATCTTGAGCCATTGCATCGTAGACAGCCTGCATTTCTGCACTTGTAACGATGGTGTAGAATGTGTCCTCGCGAAGCATTGTCTCGACCTCTTCGATTTCAGCAATCTTGTGCGCTGTCCTTGGGTTTGAAAGGGTTATCTGTCTTGCTTCTTCAAGCTGCTCTATTGCGCTTGTCAGCAGCTCTTCAGCTCTGGAAGTGTCGGAAGGTGCGCTTCGCTCCAAGACAGTGAATTTGGCGAAGAGCAGTCGACAATCGACTGCAATCATTGGCTGAGTCTATTGAAGCGCTTCTTGTGCGAAGTGTAGGCAGTCATGACGGTTCTTAGAGAAGTCCAAACTCAATTCAGCTTTGAGCCATGGGTGGAGTTTCTCTTCTCGAGGCTTGTGCTTCTGAAACACATTTAGAATATCGGATAGAATGTCATAATCACAACGAAGGAGCAGAGCTGATGTCCACAGGCTTGCTCGAGTCTGTAGCACTGACATATCGAAATTAAACGAAGAGGTGTGGCCAAATTCCCGTGCAGATTTTTCTGCCATAGCTCTAACACGAGCAAAGGGCTGCTCATTTGGCTCTACTTTTTGTAGAAAGTGCTGGATCTGGCTTCGCAAGCGCAAAAACTCACCAAGCCGATGAGACAATCCAGTCAGTCGGCGCACGGTATTTATCTGTTGATCTCTTCCGCCAGTAAAGATGAGGATAGGTGTCGGAGAGGCTACGGCACGGATTGTACTCATCACAATGTCCTCTGCATCCCTTAGTTTCTCTTCCTGTTGCTTGAGCATCGCTGTCAACGGCACAAACTCTGCATTTGACCAAACGATGAACTTCTTCGTGGCTTCGTCAAGTAACGCCCGCTTCTCGACTCTGTTGTAGCGGGTGATATTTCGAATCGAGCCACGGCACTGTGGACAGCCTTTCGACTTCACGGATAGAGGCTCTGGTCCAGGGAGTCGTAGACCAGTAATACGACCATCTGCGTTCAGCTCGTAATATGAAGATAGTTCCATCAGTCCATCCATACTCTCCACGGTGATAATGTGACCACATTTCAGGAACACACAAAGATCATCAGCCAGGTCAATCTGTGAATATGTTTTGTATTCGAGCAGGTCTACTATTTGATTTTTGACGTCCGAAGCGGCGCAGATGTGGCAATATTTTGATGATGGACACGTCTCGCCGCAGACTGTTGGACACTGATGACCACACGAAAGGGGTTTCTCGCAGCGGCGGCTGCAGGGTAAAATGTCACAAGGAACGGCACATGCCATTTGGCAAAAGCCTTGATGTTCGCACCCATTCGCGCAATCCGAACAACACGGAGAGCATGGTTCGCTGCATTTCTTAGGACATTTGCTATGGGTGCACGCAATGTCGCAGCGCACGCGACAAGGCGGACATGGCGCATCACCATGACATGAAAACATGCACGAGTGTTGACAGTTTTGATACTTGCGTCCGCATTGGCTCATACACTTGACGTGCTCCACGAAAAGATTGCCATCGTTTTGTTGAATCCGACAGACAGCACATCGAGATCTGCACTCGTGGCCACAAGCAAGAATGGCTCCACATCGTACCCCACACTCGTAGTCTGTATTTGCGCTCCCTGTGCCACACTTCACGGTAAAGGTGTGGCCACAAGGACCTTGAACTTCGACTTTGGCAGTACAATTGACGCTGTTTAAGTCCAAAGTGCGGAAGCAGAGTACTTCGTCCTGTGTATGACCACACTTCAGCTGAACTTCTTTGACAGGCTTCTTGCAATTACCGCATGGCAACCCGCAGGTTTTCGGACAATCATGATCACAATTCTTGTGACGCCTCGGGCATGGTGCCATGCAAGGCATAGATGCGCAGCGTTCCTGTGTATGACATTTATATGTGCATGCATGCCCACACTCGCGTCTGAAATTACACTGTCTCGAGCATCCTCCTTCCGGAGCTTTTCGTTGGAAATCCTCGGGCGTGGCGACTTGGATGTGCGTTTCGGGGTGCTGTGGGCAACACAGCGACAAGCTAGATCCTATTTTTTTCTTTCTCTCGAGGATATGCAGAACTTGGTCCCACATAGAGATGTGACGTGAGGTTTTCGAATTGCCAATGATGAACATGCCATGTTTGGCCCGAGAAAGCAAGACATTGATGCGATTCTTAGTTCTGAGAAAACCGCAATTGTTGTCTGCATTGTTTCTAACCAGCGAAATGATGATGATGTTCCCTTCTTCGCCTTGAAAATTATCTACTGTAGCGACGCGTATTGCCTGCCTCAGATTTCCTTTGCGACTTGATTGACTAGCAACATTTGAGTCAAGTAGGCCTTCTTTGTCAAGCTCGGTCATATCTCTATCACTGATTTTAGTAAAGATCTCTGCCGTGGCGGCAAATAGGTTCCGAATTTCATGAAGCTGACGAACGTAGGGTGTAAGAACGACAATGTCTTCCCCTTGATAGTTCCCTTGGCGAATTAGATGAGACACCAAAGAGGTCACTATCTGGACTTCGAAGAAATTGGAGTGAGATGTCTGATTGGTATTTGTTGGGTTTGATTGGGATTCGTACTCGTTGTGGTCAAACCAGAAGAGACGATCGCGGAGACCAGCCACTGATGGGTAATCCATCACGGATTGGTGGTCAAGTAGCTGAGGATAGATGGTTTGCCTGACTAGGTCGCTTATCAAAGGATCCATGCGCCGCTGAGTCTGTAGGTGTCGTGCCGGAGTTCAGACTCCGGCAGGGTGATCATTCGCTCGAATAAAGACACATCTAAGGAATATCGCTTCCCAAGATGATGTTCGAGCGAGAATGCGTGGTTGACCAATCTCGGACGAAGCTGTTCATGATCACCAATGAATATTGCATGTTCGATGGAAGGCATCAAGGCTGTTAGAGTATGTGCTTCCAGGATCTCCCCTGCTTCCTCGCAGATCAAGACTTTAGGCTCCAGTCTTTTCAAAAGCCCAATGTTTCTAGCAAGCCCCGACGTTGTAAGCCCGATCACATGCGCCTGTTGCAAACATCTCAGATCTTTCTCTTGAATACACGTCCGCAATTGTTGCTCCACATCAGCATATTGGTCAATGACATCGGGAATCTCCTCAAGCAATTCCTTGCGAATGGCAACTGTCCAATGAGCATGGAGCTCGCGACGCTCCTCGTGGCTCATGTTGTGTAATGGGGTCTGTTTCAACTCGGCGATTGAGCGATTCGTCGCTTCAGATCTTTGCTCTGGAGTCTTAGAGTGAAGCCATTGGTCAAGAGCATTACCATAGCGATTTGTGACAATCTCAAAGCCTTCTGAGTCTTCTGATCTGTTCAACTGCTCATAATGCATGTTATGTGATGATTTGAGGAACTCCAATATTGATGAGAGGGATCCAGGGTCATGGAGCCGAAATAACAGGTCCTCAATGGCGTTTCCATATGTTTCTAGCTTAGTGTGTAGCTCCCACGCTGCGTGTTTTTCGGTCTTAGTTTGCTCCATCTCGCTAGCTACGTGGCGTAAATTCAGGGGTTCTAGGACGGTGGACTTAGATTGACCACCAACTCTTATGATTTTCTTTATACCATCGTCGACGAGGTGCTCCAGAAATTGATCTAGAGCATGGTTGGTAAAGCATCTGTAGGAGATTAGTCAGCAGTCGCAAAAAATACCCGGTAAGCCAGGGTGCCAAGGGTGCCCACATGATAATAATCGGTCGCATTTCTGCTTGCTTTCGATGCTGTAGCAAAACCTTCACCAGTTGCACCGCCACGTAAGACTTTCCTGTTCCTGGAGGGCCCTGTATGAGCGCAAAGTCTTTGCACAAGGCTCCAACCAAAGCCCTACATTGAGCCCCGTCAAGTGTCGAACGCTTCTTCAAAGCCTCAATATCGAATGGCTCTCCTTTCTGAAGTAGTAAGGACTCGCGATCCTGAAGTATAGTTTTCAGATCGAAAGCAAAACGTGGCTGGTGTGTGTACCTCGGCCATTGCGCTTCCTTGTCTTCTGGCCGGACTGCAGCTTCGGGACAGAGTTTTGAAGGAAAGGCAATATCTTTAGCAGCGCTCATTCGCTGAAGTGCCTCAAGAGTGGGTTGAAATGAAGGTAGTAGAATACCCGGAAATTCGACCAACAATTGCAAGCTCGCCTCAGGGTACAATGCGGAGCAAATGTCTTGATTTGTCAGATCGATCAATCGCAGCGTGACCGTAGCCCTCAACGAATCTGTCCATAGGTCCGAATTTTCTCTCCGTTGCGACTTCACCTCCTCTGTTCGCTTCCTACCATCTTCTGGGGCGGCCACAGAAAAGAACAACGTACGTCCCTGAGAATTCACCAAACAGACAAGAGCATCTTTCTGTAATGATCTGGACTCTTCCCACCACTTCTTGCGCTGGGCTTCGCTTGATTTCAGTAAAACTCTAGGCTGATCGAATTGGGCTATAACCTGTAGTTTATGCCTTTTGTCACAGTGAACGTGAGAAAACGCGACATTGGAGTATTCACGAGCGCGCAGTCGCCGTTTGATGGCTTGCTTGTCCTGAGCCCCCCCTCATTAGTACTTCTTAATCTCTCCACCACTGTCCGCACATGATCTCGCAACTGGCCCACGTTGTCTTCGCGCAAAAGCCTGAATTGATAATCCAGCAGACCACATATCCCGCTCTTGTGCCACCCCTCGGAGTCTTTGGTAGGTAAGTAGTCTGAACTTGTGCACATAATTTCTGATTGGGTTGGTAAAATTTTGATGTCTGCAATGTTGGCGTGGTCATTATTGTGGCGAGGTCCATATTTTGAAAGATGTCCTGGGAAAACAACGGCTAGACCAAAAGAAACATCGGGCCTCTTCCTAGGTGTTGCGTCCTCTTCGATTGGTGCTAGATTTGCACCATAGTCTAGGTATCTGCGGATCTTCAGCATAGCTTGGCAAGCGCTTTGCTCCAACAAAGTTCCAGAGAAAGATGCGAGTGCTACATCTAAATGAATCTGGAGAGTGTCCACCACAGGATGCAATCTTTCGTTGACCGATGCCGTCTGACAGGATTCCAAGAGCTTCGCAAGCGTCGCAAGAATGGTATCAGCCCAGTGGTATATCTCTTTTGATGATTCCGCATCCTTTGTCAAGGAGGACTTGATCTGGAGAGTCTTTGCAAAAGCAAGAAAGCATTCGGCCGCTCTGTCCCCTCGAACCCCGTACAGAAAATTGAAGATATCGCCTAGATGTTTCTGCAGCACCAAAGACGATCCGACTTTGCGATTTGAAATGATAGAGAGGAAAGGTAGAACGCTGTCACTAAAAAGCGCGCAGCGTGTTTCTTCCACATTATCCGAGATATCAAGGTCGAGTAGTTCTTGTACACGTTTGAGTCCTTCCTCAGACGCTAGCTTTCTTATGACTTGCTGCATCATACTTGTTTCCCCGGAGGACACATAGTCAAATGCCTTTTTGAAGAGATCCGCTCTTTTATCATGGTCCAGCGAAGGACCATTAGGCTTCTTAGTGAATAGTTTTAACCATGATATCAGTTTTTGCTCGCTCTTACTTGGCTGAGCCTTAGGCTTCTGTTGCTGCGAAGGTCTGTCAACCATGATGAGCTGGCTCACAGAAGCCGATGCGCTCAATCTTCAACGAAGCTTTCAATCGCAAAGACTGGCGAGGTCTGCCTCACTGATGATTGGTATGGTGCGATGTGTATGAAGAAGTGATAGAAACTCATGTGATGACGGACTGAGGGAGGAACATAAGACATTGCATCATTTCCCGTCCCTCATCACTGCCTGTTGGTGAAGTGTCGTTAGCCGTATCGACACAAACAGCAACTTCGTAGCAGCCAATCGGGCCAGTGACGTAGGACCCTGCATCAAAGCTACAAATTTCTGACCTGCATTATACGCAGTGAAGGAAACAACCGAAGAGCTGCCTCACTTATCACCCTGGATCCAATTGGGCGGGCCATGGCCGTCGGGCACCAGTGAGCGCATTCGAGTACTAATTGTAGATGAGTAATATAGTCATGTTGGGGATGGACGAAATAGCTTTAACAACATATTGGAATAGCGCAAACCCTCCAGACTCAATCGACAGCTCTTGAGAGAAACTGACATATTGGTCGCTTGTGGCAGGACTAATTAAAAATGCTCGAAAGGAGCAGGAACGACTTGACAAAATTTCCGCCGCATACTTCCAGGTAGAAGTACTCATCTTCTACCTCAGAGTCTCAGTGTGTTGCCAGATTAGACTGGCTTATGGTTGGCAACCTGTACATGAAGGAAGTCTCTGTGATCGTTCTGTTGTTGCATGATCCTTTCCATAAGAAGAACAAAGTCGCGTCCGAACCCCGATTAAGCCTCCGACTTCCGGGCAATTAGATACTCTGGAAGTTCCCAATGTTCTACTCGTCAAGAGCGAATTAGATTCTACTGTATCTTTCACTTGAGATCGTTCCACAGAGGCTGTCTTTTGATTGAGATTCAACAGGGAGCATGGAGCCATCATGGTCACCTCCTTCCCCACCCATAGAGTCCACCACACAGTCCGTTCGATCAAGCTTGCTAATTTCTACCGATGCTTCCATGAATATTTCGTGACGCACTTACCTTCTTCCTCCCTCCATCCTGACTCTCGTGCCTCCTCAGGTCCTGGTCACCAATTGCCACGGGCAGCGTCAAAACCGCACGATTCCACATCCGGCCCCTCGCCTGCCCCGCTAAGTGGCACACACAGAGACACCACGGTCGTTCGCATTCCTCTTCGCAGCGCCAAGCACCACTTCGGGGCCTCTGTCTCGAGAGGTTCAAGACCCTACAATGAGGATGCATACCAAGCTGGTGTAATCAATGTGCCAGCATTCGCCAACAAACCTCCGGCAACCTTGACCCGAGCCCCGCCGAATAGCCCATTACAGGCATATCGAGAGCAGCAGAGGAAGCAGCAAGAGGAAGCCACTGGCACCAAAGACGGTGGCGAGGGTCAAGGGGCAGACAGTGAGAGTGGGGATCCACAAGTCTTCTACTTTGGGGTCTTCGACGGACATGGAGGGACACAATGCAGCGGATACCTGAGTAAGGAGCTACATGGCGGCATTGAAGATGCAGCCAAGCTCTACCGCCTTAAATCGACACTCAGCAACAGAAGAGCTACGGTAGGTGAAGAGCAATCGACCACTACATCCACCGTCGCAGCCACCAACAACAATCCATCCCACCCGGACAAACCGAACACCTCCGACCCTTTCGCCAAAATCACAACTCCATTGCTTCGCTCCTACAAAGAGAACATAGGCGGCTACTTCCGCCGCTTCTCCTCCGCTTCCCTCACCACCACCCAGCCCGGGCCCTCAATATCCCAAATTCTCACTCACGCCTTCCTCCAAGTCGACCTGACCTTCCTCCTCCGCCAAATCCGGCTCGCCTCGCTCGGTACCTCCTCGGACGAACTCCCCATAAACCACCACGACTCCCTAACCCGCACACTCCCCTCCCACCTCCAACACCAAGACAAGCCGTTCGCAGGAGGCTCCACCGCCTCAGTAGCCCTCATCTCCACACCAACACCCACCCCATTCTGGAACCCTGCGACCTCCTCCAAGCTCCTGACCGCCCACTGCGGCGACACACGTATCCTCCTCTGCCGCTCCTCCGACGGTGCCGCAGTCCCCCTAACCACGACGCACCACCCCAGCACACCGAGCGAAGCCTCCCGCCTCCGCCGCTTCGCCAGCTCCTTCATGACCGACTCTTTCGGCGAAGAGCGCTTCACAGGCTCACTAGCCAACACACGCGCATTCGGGGACATTGGCGCCAAGAAGATGGGCGTGAGCGCCGAGCCCGAGATCCGGCTTACTGAGCTCGGCAAAGGGGAGTATGCGTTCTTGGTGCTGGTGAGCGATGGTGTCACGGGGAATTGTAGTGATCAGGATATCGTGGATATTGTGAAAGAAGCACGGACGCCGGAGGAGGCGGCGAGGAAGTTGACGGGCTTTGCGGTCGATATTGCGGCTGGGGGGGAGGATGGAGCGGATAATTGTACGGCGCTTGTTGTGAGGTTGGGGGGATGGGAGAGGAGGAATGAGGGTGGAGGGGGCAGCATGGGGACGAGAGAGGAGAGGGAGTGGAGGAGACGGGAGGCGGGTGAGGGGGAGGAGGGGAATGACTTGATTTGAGGCCTCTGATGGGTGCATCGAGTTAAGGAATTACCGAGAAGGCGCAAGGGTGAAGGGTTATTCGTCGTTGATACGAATCTTTATGGATATCATTAAAGATGTATAGTTTGCTTGCGCGGGTGAATATCTACCAGAATTGGAGTCTCAGTCCCTCAAGAAAGATATCGACTCCTAACGTACATGCATGTCAAATCCACGCACAGCCAAAAAGAAGGGGCGCCGTTAGCGCCGTGCGTTCACCCACCATAGCTATGCAAAGCGAGTGACCAAGTCGATGGCTGTCCTCTTCCAGTATCATACGATGGAAGTGAGAAAACCACTGCTCCTCCCACAGAGCCCGCGCTATGCGACCAATCCCCATATATCCTCTCATATAACCCCTTCATATCGTACACAACCCGCTTCATGCTACCCCAGCATCTCCTCGTTGCTCAGACCTTGCCTTCTTCGCAAGCAGCCTATCAACCCCTCTTCTTCCCCCTCTCGCGCCTCCTCTTCTCCAAATCTCCTTCCGCCAACCACCTCGACGCCTTAACCAGTTGCACCACATTCAACACCTGTTTCCCCACCATAACGGGCGCCGACACAGCCGCGAACACCCACGGCCAGAAACTGTCCATTTTGTTCGCGCGCGCAAGCTCCATTGCCCATGCAGATCCTGGGGTCGCGAAGAGTGAGATGGACGGGTGAGCGGGTGTGCCAGGTTGGGCGGATTGCGCATCAGGAACGGCGGCCTGGGGAGAAGATGGAGCGGTGAGGAGGGAGGGCGAGAGGATGGGCGAGGAGAAACTGAGGAGGTAGAGGGAGATGAAGAAGAGTTCGTTGAGGGCGCAGAAGATGAAGAGGACGGTCTATTCGAACCATAGCAGTCAGCAACGCCTTTGCCCTATGATTTCGGGAGCCAAAGACAAGGAGGGGCAAGAGGGATGAGGGGGGCGAAACGTACCTTGTTAGTATAATACAAATGCAACAACCAACTCCTCTGACTATCCACCTTCTTATGACTCTGCCCACTCCCCCCATCGTCAGCGTCGCAAACATATGCACATAATGGCTCGCCAGATCCAAACTGATCAGCCCCTGAAACAGCAACGCCCACGTCGGAAACGCGCTGCTCAAGAAGACAAGCAAACAGCTCGTCGTGCACCGATCCGTCACCATATCCAACACCGCGCCAAACTGCGTGCTTTGCTGGAAATACCTCGCGGCGATCCCGTCGAGCGCGTCGAGAAGGCAGGAGACGCTGTAGAGTAGCGAGCAGGTGCGCGGGTGCAAGGGCATGTAGTACAAAGCGCCGATGGCGAGGATGATACGGGAATAGCCGATGATGTTGGGGTAGAAGAGGAAGATGTTTTCTTTCTTCTCTCGGGGGGAGAGGGAGCGGTGGGGGGGATTCGCGGAGCCGTTCATGGCGGAGCCGTTGGGAGGGCGACCGTTGGACTGTTTGGGAGAAAGCCGATCGGAACGACGGGCTGCTTGTGTTCGTGGCTGGTGGGAGATGTGGGTTTTGGGTGAGGGAGCGACTAGGTCTGCGTCTACTTTTTCGTCCATGGAGGACTTGGGGTGGGGCGGCTGAGGGACACGGTGGTCTTTGGAAGTTGTAGAGTTTGAGATGTGTCGAGCTGTAGTTGAATGGTTTTGATGGGTTGAAAGAGAAGTAACACCCGATCGCTTGGTGGTTGTCAGCCTGGAGTCGTTAAGCTTTCTTGATGCCTGTGGCAGTATTTCAATCGGGAGGAGCACAGCTTGTGGCTTGCAATGTGATCGTAGAGCGAGATGAAATTTGACTTGGGAGTGTCTTGAAGCTCTGTTGGTGGAGCTGTTGCTTCGCGATTAGTCACATTTGGCACAAGCCGAAGAAGACGAAGTGATGCTCCGTCAGCAAATATAAACCTTCCTTCCAAAGCCTCCGACGAAATTACGCGCCTTATCTCTTATCTCATTCACGGAATTAGATCCACAGGGACTTGATACGGCCGCGACAAATACCACACCTTCCCGAAAAGCTGGACCAATATCTTTCGAGTTTTACATTGATCGGGCCTGAAATATGCCTGATCCGTCACACTTGCCTGCCGAGCTCTTTGACGCCATCTTGCGCTACGTCGGCTGCGGGGACAAGTTTAGAAATGATGCCTTGGACCGCGAAGTTGCGCGCCTTCAACAGCTCTACCATTGTTGTCTAGTCGATCGGACGTGGCACAAGATTGTGCTTCCTCGACTTTATACTCAATTCGTGTATCGAGGCCAACGAGGCCCCTCACCTCGCTTGCTGAGTTTTCTTGGCTCGGTGTTGACAATTCCAGAATGGGCCAAATCTTTACAACGCCTGATCTTGGCTTTCGAAAGAATAGAAGATTCGAAGATGCCTTCTCGTGCAACAGGACCTGCCTCGCAAGACGACTTAGCTCGTTTGCTCGCGGCTCTGCATAATAATTCCCCTTTAACGAAAACAAGCACAAGCTTTCAGCACTGCCGCGAAGATGCTCGTATACCACTAATGCCATTGATCTTGACGGGGCCGCAGCAGACGTCACCTCTGGCAGAACCACTTCTAGACATGAGTCATGCATTGCAGGCCGGCTTTTGCCGAGCTTTGACACTCAGTAGGGAGCAGCAGCCTCGACTGATATTTCAGAACTTGAAAGAGGTCATGATCACCACAGACGAGAGGGGTTATAATCAATATATCCATTTCACCGATGTCTTCCCCATATTTCAACTGCCAAATATCAAGAAAATTTCGATCCAATGTCTCTATACTGTCAACATGTCTGGGAATGCTGATATTTTGGCAGCTGCGGGAACGTCACCAGTGAAGGAGCTGACAATTGCCCATTCTAATGACTGTATACTCACTAAAGCAGCTGCTGGAGCACTGCTCAACATTCCTCAAGCTCTAAGCGCGTTATCATTATATTACAATGACAATTCGCGAGGAATCTGGTTAGATGGACCGGACAGCCCCACTGCATTTGAACTTTTAGAATTCTTACTGCAACATAAAAACACTCTCTCGTATTTGGACCTTTACTCTCACGGCGTGATGAGTACCTCACCTCAACATTATGAGGAATTGCTTCACAGGCAACATCCGCTAGCGGCTTTGAGCGCGCTGAGAACGCTTTCGATTCAGTCATCAGTTATGTCTGCTCGCTACTACAGAACGGGCGAGCATCGTTTAAGGATACAACGGGGATTCAATTTGATCGACTGTCTTCCCGCGAGTCTAGAAAACTTGACGCTGTATTCTAACCTCGAACCTGACAACAATCTTGTGGCAATAGAACGGGAATTAGCAGAAGTCGTGCACAGCGGAACCTTTCCTCAGCTCAAACAGATAAGCTTAGAAGACAGTCTATGTCTAAAAGATTACAGAATTCTCCAGTTCCCATGTCGCAAAATTCAAGGCTTTTGTAACGAAACAGGCATCAGGCTTCGTAAGATAAGACGTGGTATCCTTCCTTATGGTGGTCTTCATGAGAGCCTCGACGACCAGGAAATAGGCTACGAGGCACATGATATAGAAGAAGAAGGGTTTTTAATAACGGATGAAGGTCAGAGCGTGCCAAATCCGTGGCTGTGATCAATTTCCATGGTTGTCGTTGAATGCCGGTCAACAATTCAGTAGGAAAGAAGCTAAAAGTGGATACTTAAGGAGATAAGCTGGAGGAAAGATGTTCAAGGCCTGCGAACCAGCAAATCAGGGGCCTTCCTGAAAGCTAGCTTTGATCTTCCTCAGTCTTTACATGTGCTGACATGCTTGCAGAAATGTATTTCAGCCGTCGCAAGAATCGCAAGAATCATGTACTGATAGTGGACCATAGCCAGCAGAGTTTGACGAGCCCTCTTCGTATGGCACCTTAAGCAATGCATTCAATCTCGCAATCTCGCAGTATCGCAGCAGTTCATCTTTGCCACACGTGTTTTATGCTGCCTCTATCTTTATTGATCAAAGAGCAAATCTACGTCTCTGATCGACCATTCTGTCCATCACTTGCGGCCATCAGCAAACATGCGTCGAATGCAACATCTGACTTGGCCTTCAGCTGTAAGTTAGAAGCGTCGCGACTTGATTTGCTGACTACAGCGTGAGAGCGGTTTATTGCATATGCAGGCTGCATCTGACGCTTGCGAGTCTTGCGAAATCCAAAATGAGCCAATTCTTCATTCGCAAAGATAGTTGTGGAATCAGAATTCCATTGGAAACCCGTTCTGTACAGCATATTTGATATTTACTCAGTACCTTGCGAGCCTTCGTTCAGTCTAAGCAAATACTGCAATAGCTCGATCGCTGATTTCGATCCTTCCAACAAGACTTCCTTGGCTCGATCTTCGTTATCTCGCAAAGCCGTATGAACGGCCTGATGAGCTAGTAGCATACCCAATGATTGTGTTTTAGCGTGCTGCATCATGTCTTGTGGTAATCATAAGCCAGGCCGAGGGAGGAGTGGGACGACGGCACAGCATATCCTGCCCTTTTGCTTTTCATCCCACAAGACAATATGTCAATCCTATTTCCCGCTCATAAGATTTCGGTCAATACAGTCATGTTCTTCAAAGTAGGCATGGATCTCTTGACGGCGGCGTACCCGCTCGTGCAGGGCATTTCGTACTCTGTGTTCGTGGTCTGCCTCTTCGCAGGTGTATTTTGTGAGATTTCTACCATCTGCCATGCAGTACGTGATCGCGCACAGACACTCTTGACAAGATCACAAGAAGAATTGACCTTCTATTACGCCACGTAGGCTGCCTCGGGGAGCTTTTGGCAACGCCTCAAAAGAATTATCAGCGACTTCGTGAGTTCATCCATCATCCAGCATGGTCTTAATCTAGCTCTGACGACTAAAGAGGGCTGGACATTACTACAAACCATTCGGTAGACGAGAGCCCGTCATCATTCGAAATCCCGATGCCTTTCAAGAACTGAGTGAAGCCTCCGAGCTATCTCAGCGAGCCGTATTCTCAGACGTACATTTGCCACCTCAAACAACAACACATCCATGACTGACGAAATCCAGATGCTCGGTTTTCAATACACCCTCAACCACACACAAATACCACTAGACCCAAATGAGCAAACGAACATGCGATACCGCCTCTTTGCGCGAGCGATCCGTATCAATGGGGTAGCGCAGATGAATGTGCTTCAGCCATTCGTGCAGGCTAAGCTGGACTCAATACTTCGGAAGAGGATTGCTTGCAAGGTCACGCAAGGTTTTGTCCCACTTGATAGCCTGGAGCCTTTGCTGATGGGTCCTTAAGAGTGGACGCCTGTGCAGATCACGCCGATTATGCAGGAGCTTGCTACGGGGATGATGGCGCAGTATATGTTTGGCGATGCTCTATGTATGTCCCATTGTTCTTGTCTTGTATGAAACCACTGGTGACGGTGGCAGGTGGAGAACCAGCATTTTCAGCAGCCTTGTCGCGCTTTTACAGCGATACTATGAAGTTCATGGGAGCGCTTCAATTCACTCCGGACTGGGTCAGATTGCAAGTGTCTACATTCTGTAATCCAATGTTGGTATACTGACCGAGATTAGCGCCGTGTACTCCTTGATCACAAACAGAGGGCAAGCATTGAACCTCGTATTCAAGCGATTACGTCGGGCGGCAGACTCACCTACAACCGAGTGGAGGGGCGATAAGACTTTGAAGTCTGTATGTTCCAAAGTACCTGTCATTATACGCCCGCATCATGCTAATTTAAGGGCAGGTAACTCTATTTCAAAATCTTCTCGACGCCTCAGCAGAGTCAACATACTGGACTAAAGCCGGCGTCATTCAGGCAACTATTGGGATATGGTTTGCGGTGGCTCATCAACCATGGATAGTGAGTCCTCGTATCCACTATATTCATACTGCTCATAACCCTCGTAGAATCTTCACTTCATATTCATCGAACTCTGTGCACGCCCAGACTATGTTGACATGATCCGTGAAGAACTGCGGAACGTTAAAAGATTAGATTACGAAGGGGTGTCAAGCATGCAGATACTTGACAGCTTCATCAAAGAGACGGTCAGATTGAATCCATCAGACAAATGTTAGTCCTCCGCTAGCAAGGAGTACATTGGACTCTAGGGAATTGACTTGAAGTCTGCAGTGTCAATCCGTCGCAAAGCGCTGAAACCCTACAACTTCTCCCACAGCGGCCCTCATGTTGCTCAGGGGCAGATAGCGTGTGTCTCCTCTTGGGACGTCCTACACGACGAGTCGATTTACGCAAACGCCGACGCCTTCGACGGACTCCGGTTCGTCAAAACCCCAAACAACAACCAATCGAAATCAAAAGTAAGGGGCACAGCTTTTGCAGATGCCTCAACAGATTGGCCGATATGGGGATATGGATCCAAGAGCTGGTATGTAATGACCAGCAGATTGCAAGACTCAAGGCTGACGATGACAAGTCCCGGAAGATGGCACGCCTCTTTCTTCATCAAGCTGGTCATCATTCAGCTTGTCAAAGATTATGACTTTCGCCTTGTTGATAAGTCTGGATCGTACAGGTGGTATTGGGAGTCGTTTCAAATGCCGTATAAGAGGTCAAAGGTGTTGATACGAAAAAGACAGCTAAGCGAATATGGCAGTGACTAGAGACGAAGAGTTTGATATACGTGACTAGATAGATGATATGAGATTCTGCAAGTTGGTCGCTGTCATCAGGCAAGAGAGTCCTCTCAGTGATCATATACCTCATAGAAGAGAAACCCAGCCTTTACATGGGTTGAAGTCATTGTTCTTTACCGGATTGTTTGTGTCTTGGTTACTTTTGCTCCAGGTAGGTATCTCTTTCAAATGCGCAGTCAAGATGTGAAATACATGTATCCTGCTCCGTGCGGGGTAACAAGGCTGAAAATTTTAGGCTGCCACCTCATCAATCCAGGGAATTTCTTCTACATCCTCCTCGAATTATTTTTCAGAGCATCTTGGATGGCTCTTACATTGTAGAGAATTGCTGGGTTTTAAACTTTTCGGCCTTTGCTGGTGATGATGGAAGTAATTCCCACCCCGTCCATGAAATACAGTCATGAAAAGCTCCCTTCTACGAGGTCGATTCGGCTTGTCAAGCTTCTCCCTAGTGCTTCATATGATGACAGTGTTCAGTGCACGATCGACATTCATAACATTGATGGCATGCCTGTTTACGAGGCTACATCGTACGTTTGGGGCGCACCTGAGGATGTATCGTCAGTGGAAATACTTGCCACTGACCAGGTTTTTCGACTCAAGATTCCAAAAAACCTCGAGAGAGGCTTGCGTAGATTTCGAAAGCCGACAGAAAGTCGAGTTCTATGGGCTGATAGCATCTGCATTAATCAGACTGATGACGATGAGCGAGGCCAACAGATTCTGTTGATGGGTCACATTTACCGCAATGCTACGAACGTTCTAATTTGGCTGGGTGAGCATGATGACGAGAAGATGTTGGACAAGGCATGTACATGCATGAAGCTTGTCAATGCTTCATTCCCAAAGGTGCAAGAGCTCGAAAAAGGTGTACACGATGGACTACCGGAAAGTAAGGAAAAAGTCAATACTTTCTTAGGGGTCACGCGGAGGAATTCAAGTGACGTCCATAACGACCTAGGTATCCCCTTATGCGACTCACCTGAGTTCGAAGCTTTCATCACTTGGTCCAAGAATCCTTGGTTTCTAAGAGCATGGACGTGGCAGGAGACATTCCTTGCCCGAAATCGGATCTACCATTGCGGAACGTGGCATTGGACAAATCTGTTCATGCGAAACGTAGGCCTTGCGCTGCGTGGACTGGGCATAGTCTGCGGCAATGAGGATTTCATGATCGAGATATACCGTCCCGTGCTGCTAATGTGTGAGGGATTAGATTTCTGGACGAGGCGAATCGAAAGTCCTAAGATCTGGCTGGAACTCTCAACATTGCTATCGATGAGACGAGGGACTTGTTGTAAATACCCGAGCGACCTTGTCTACTCCCTTATAGGAGCGGCGAGAAATGTACCCAACTTCCAGGTTGACTACAAGTTACCATTTGAAGAGGTTTTTGCTACATCTGCCTGGCATATCATGCTCCGAGATGGCAACCTGTCAATTCTGTCGAGAACACTCAAAGATCAACGGTCAGCAAGTTTGCCTACGTGGGTTCCTGACTGGCGCTTCAAAGGACATGAGACCGGCTTTTCCGCAAGGCTTAGATATTATGACGCTACCAATCGTTCCAAACCAAAGTTAAGGCTGTCAGCTGATACGACCGTTCTGTCGGCGTCCGGCTTCAAGTGGGACCAGATATTTGCGGTGAAGAGTGCGAGATCCAAAGATGTTGACGACTGGCTGAGTCAAGACTACAGAGCTATGACACAGGAATCGGACACGTCTGTGCCTCCCGGAGAAACTTTCGAAAGAGCTGCTCGCAGAACTACGTTCCTGGACATGACTGAATATACTCAAGAACGTGAGGTCACGAGATGGCAGCCCCACTCGCACGAGGAGTTTGAAGAGATAGTGAAACAGGCGCTGAATACAGGAGAGCGTGGAAGATTGAGATACGCCACACTATTATGTTCAATGGTAGGAGCTCGCGCTGGGAAATGTTATTTAATCACTGCAACTGGTCGCATAGGTATAGCCTGTGACAACATACTAAAAGATGATATCATTGCCATGCTACAGGGTGGTAGAGTTCCTGTCGTCCTACGTCCAATGACTCAAGCTGGGCATTACGAATTCGTCGCAGAATGTTATGTTCATGGTTTCATGGACGGAGAGGCCCTTGGGGAGCCTCAAAAGTCCGCAGAAGTGGAGCGTGATACCGTGAGCATTGAAAATGTTGACTGGATCGACCGAGACGACTTATCCTTTCCGGTCGAAGTATTCCATATTCATTGATGATCTTGAAGCGATAATGAATAAGAAATGATTACATGAAGGAAAGAAGATTATCTAGACAAGGATACTCCTCATATATTTACTGTAAGCTTTAGGCGTTGTACATGTCCAGGATAGAGTACCACATTTGCTACAATGCAGTACAGGTAAATTAATTGGAAGATTTTCTGAGACAACATAGCCACGCGGGGTGAGAACACTGTATCCTAAAGTGATTTAATCTCGGACAGGATAACCGAGAAAGATGCCCATAATACACTTCTAGCCTTGGCCTCGGATCGTAAGGCATTAATTTCTCAATTATCGCAATGTGATCTCCCAAAAAGTAAGGAAGGCTGTGCTAGATCACCATAGCTCCTTAGAAGGCATCTCCCAAAGAGCGAAATGCAAGATTTGACATTAACGCCAATGTAAAAGTCTATCGACGCCAGGTCCGTTCAAGGAGCCACTGTTTGCGCGTAAAGCATGCGGCCTCTGAAGGACTGCTGATGCCTTGCATGGACTTCTATAAGAAGAAACCTAGCCTGGAGCGCACAGAATTAATTGAGTCACACGCCCGTACCAAGTAGTGGCAACCCTTTCCTTGTACACAGAAGCCTCTCAAACTTCCATAAAGCAGCAGTGGTACTGCCATATATAGCCAGAGAAGCCACAGACTAAAGTTCAGCCACTTCCAGACTTTACTTTTTTCTTTTCCTGTCTTTCCTTTCCTTTTCTTTTGCTCGACTTTTTGTTCTCACCTTTTCTCACCTTTTTTCCTTCACCAATATCGCTAGAACTTGAATAAGAGATTGTCTTAAGCTGTTATCCCTTGGAGACTCGCTCGCCCACAAATGGACAGTCTAACATTGAAGCTACTCACAAAGGAGACGCGACGTCGCAGAGAGAACAAGCTACAAAGCGCGCCAAGTGACCTCCAACACAGCCTCGAAACCAAATTCACATCCCTTGCAGAAGAACGGATAGTCAGCGAGTACAGCAAGTTCCTATCGATTGACTGCACGCAACATCTTAGTCGCTTTGACCACGCCGACCTGTCCAGACCAGACGACTGGGCAAACGTAGCCAGCGTGCTTGTCGGAGAAAGCGAGATTCTCGAAAAGGACCAAGGCCATTACTGGCTCGACTCCGAACGTTTTCCTATCAAAAGAAGGGCAGAGTACCCATGGATGGACATTATTGTGAAAGCCGCCCCCAAGCTGTCCTGCCCTCCTCAAATCATCGTCTGTCAGATAAAAGCCTATGCCGACAATATCACGCAGAATCGCCGCCTCCAAGAATGGATTGACATAGCCCGTTGGAGTTTACTGGCGAAGACCATGGCTCACGATTGGGACACTTTGAACACGGCCTTGAATAGAGACGTCAAAGTCACGGAGGAGCTCACGATTTGCGATCTTGTCAACCGGGCGCAGAAGGAATGGCTGAATGAGATTTTATCAGCGGGCCTGTTGGAAAGCGATTCACGAGTTACGAGTTGACGGCAAAGGCGCACGCGAGACAGAAGTACTTGATCGATAATGGTCTTATCACGTGTTCAATTGTGGCCACCTCCCCCGGAGGAAAGGGGGCGTTTGAAGCAGGAGAGGGAAGCGAAACAGAAAGGAAAACGGAGGAGACCTCGAGGAGGAAAGTAGTTGGAATGATCATGACATTTCGGGCGTCGTGCTTTGTGAGACTGAGAACATCGCTAGCCTTGAGCCTGTACCCCAGGTTATTGAGTATTCAAACCCCAGCCTACGAGTTCAAAAGAGCTACAAGTCAGTGTTGACTCGCCATACCGCCTCTTGCATCAGACAAAATTCTGCCACCGACACCTCTAAAATGAACCGAATACGGCCACTACTATTAAGCAGCCATCTTGGAACGAGTGCGGTCTGTAGAGTACTACTTATGCCTTTTAGAATGATCCCCATGATGATGCATCCCCATAATAATGCATATCCCTTGAAGCACCCGAAATTCGCGTAATGACAGCCCTGTTCTCCCCCATGAAAGCCTCCCTCACATTCAAGAAACAGAAGTGACACCACTAAACCAGATCATAAAATGACTTAAAGTCCGATCGCTTTCAAACGCGAGGCTATAATAATACCACAGATACTTGAACGAGGCTCTTGCGCCTAAGAGTCATTCAGATTACTTGCCGAACCTTACGCAAGCATCGCAAGTAGAGACTGGAATGGCATATTGAATCGCATTTTAGACAGTGGGGCGATGTTCTCTACCACCTACCCACCAGTCAATGAGGACGGTGTCGCCTTCATCCCAGACCATGTTCACAGAGACTCGTAAAGATGGTTCGAGCAGATATATGAGAATATGAAAAAGCCAGCAAATGTTACGTGTGATCTCATATATGCGGCAGTGAAGCCGATCGTTTGATGTCAATATATGTCAACAATAGAGATCATCTCGACGGGGATGTCGTATGGATTCATTGCCTCCATGCCAAATTTGGATATTAAGTTTTCTTCACTAAAGGATGCGGCACACTTAAAGACGTTGTATGCGTTTGAGATGCTTGAGGTGCTTGAAATATCATAAATTCTGTACAAGAGGCGAGCCATTGGTTTGAGACCGCCATCGGCCATTTCGGCATGGCAATTGAGAGCGATTACAATATAAACCAATCCATTCCTGTCGCGGCGTTCATTGTGAACTTCGCTGCTTTTGACGTAGATTTGAAGGGCTTTGTTTGTCATTTGATAAGGAGGCCGCAGTAGCGACGTTGTCCGTAGATTGGCACATCCGGCGAAATCGAGTGGCCTTCTTGCAAGAAGTTGTCCTCCTGCACTTTGATTACTGAAACCTGCGGGCCAGGCAAAGACAGTCTCATCATTGGAAGTGTTTATGAGCTCAAGCTGCAGTCTCCGGAATGCCTTGGCTTCACCTTCTCCGTATATCAGGGGCATAGCTACGCCGAATAGGCCTATAATGGAGTATGCCGTATCTTCTTCGCGGGTGCATTGCCGCCTTGAGGCCCAAGACATTCTTTGAGCTATGGAGTAGCGAGCTGGTAGGATTGAGCCTGCTAGACACTCACGATCAATTCCAGTGATTTCAAATAGATAGTCGCTCATTTCAACTTTCATACCAAGAATCGCACCCCAGTCCTGAGCAATGAAGTAAACTTTTGAAGGGGCCAAAAGCTCCTGAAGCGTCCACGCCCTCGTGAACCAAGCACTTTTCCGAAAGGCAGATTCAGGAGCTTGAACACGGTCATGAAATGGAACATCGTTGAGATATGCATAGCACTCTTCTGCTTGAGCATACCACATGTACATAGAGTTGACAGCCTCGGACAGTTCAGCGCTGCTCTTCTTATCGATACAGCAAGTATCCATCCATAACCACTCCCGACGGAATCTCTCCTTTGCAAATTTACAGGCGTAGTGTAGCTTCTCCCAACCTGGTGCATCAAGATTTCGCGACTTCGATACATCTTTGAAGGTTATCTCACCCTCTTCCCATCTGTGTGACAGGATACCGTATGCGGGTATACTAGGTCTAAGGAACTCCTTCAGTTCTAGCGTACTAGTATTCACCAGGTACATATTTTGTTCGTATATAAGTTGAACGAGGCTTCAAATGCGATAGAGATTTAGTGTCTAACCAAGAGATACCAGATATCTAAGACACCTGGGCAGCGGGTATCTGACGCTTCTCCAAATATGCCCGAAAGTAGAATATGTTCGAATGATGAGATAGCGTAGTAGCTGGTATGATATGCAAATAGCCTCTGGAGTCGATAGTGACCGTAGCAGGCAAGATATCCCACACCGTCGGTCACAGCAGCCAGACCCCGCGATGACGCAGTCCGAGAACTGTGTAGGCGTTCTCTTGAGTATATTGTATTTGCCAGCTTAAACTATCCTATCACTGGGAATATCTAAGCTTCAGCGCAATGATTGAAGTCTTGAGGGTTCCGGGATAGCTTCTGCTGGAAGCGATTCACCAGTAGTTTCTATGTGCACTCCAATGGACTCAAAACACTCAAAGCTTGAACGAAGCCATGACAACTGCGGCATTCATGACAGACCTCTAGAATACGAAGTATGACATGTCTGAAGTATACCAAAACAAGCGTAGCTTACAAGACGTTTGATGGGAAAGAAAACGAAGAGTTATGGAAGATTCTGCACAATGGCTGAGAGGTGGGCACCTAATGTGAAAATGGTCAGGCGTCCGCATGTGGCTAGTCTAATGATCGAGATCTCAGGCACATACGGACGAAATTGTCAGGCCATTACTTCCATTTGAGCGACGATTCTCAGTCCGCGTCCTTTGCGTCTGTCTTGCCTACATAAGCATCGCGCAGCTGACCAAAGCCAAGGCAGCGCTCCAAGACACAACTCCCAACCCCAGTCTTCCAGCTCCAGAGCCAGGTATATACGGCACCACACTCCCTGTCGCTCCCGGAGATCCACCCGTATACGCTATCATAACACTCGTCGCGGAGCTCGCTCCATTACCACTTACAGCCGCTGTCCCCGTCGCCTTTGTGCTTCCTGTCCCCGTGCCGGTGCTCGCACCAGTCTCCACGGCCTTATACGACTTCGCGCCCCCATCAAAGCTCAAACACGTGGTCGGCAGTGGGAAAGCCGTTGACGCTAATGTCTTGGTAACAGCTTCATTGATGCTGAATTTCTTATTCGGAAGCGCAAGATTTGCGTTCACGAGGACGCCAGTATCGAGTTCGATTTCTGGCTGGATATTGAGGTAATGTCCTTTACCACTGTTGCTACTGCTGCTGGTGGTAGGAAAAGGCGGAGACGAAGACGACGCCGGAGCAGGGCATTGATCGAGTTCGGAGATGGTGGCAGAGAGTCTTGGAATATCGAAGAAAGCGCCGGCGGCGACGGAGGAGCCTTCGCTGAGTAAAGCAACTGTGAGGAGCAGTTCGGGCTGGAAAGCGACGGAGATGGTGAGGTTGAAAGGAGAGTGTTGGGATTGGAAGGGGAGGGGAGTGAGTTTTGTGGATTGGAAGCTGGATGCGGTGGAGAGGGTGGTTGGGTCGGCAAGGGAGAGGTGGACATTTATGGGGGAGGGAATGGAGATGTCGAAACCGTAGGTGAATGTCAGGGTCGTGGAGAGGGCGATCCCGAAGACGAGTTGCCTGAATTTGAGGATAAGTGTCAGCTTTGTGTCCTTAGTGGTGGGCAAGGGTTTCTTTCGGCTGTGAGGAGGGATGGTGAACAAGTGGGACTTACGGACGAAGCACTGGTCCCACTTCAGCGATCTTTGGGATGACCCAGCCGGGGATGCCAACGTCAGGAAAAGGTACCGTATGGGTAATCAATGAGCCGGAAGGCTGAGCGGTGGTCTCGAGCTCGACATGCGCGGCGAAATTGTTGACGGTAAGATCGAAGTAGCCGGCGTCGAGAAAGTTGACTATTTCGTTGATATCTGATTCGTAGGCGTCACCGGAGCTATTGATACTATTCCTATTGCCGCCTGTGCTGATGACACCGTCGGAAAGGTCGATGCTACCTTGCAAGGAGCAGTCCTTACATACGACGGTCAAGCCAGCAGGCAGCCCGGGTACAATGGAGTCAGATCCTGGGAAGCTCGGTGGAAGGATTGTTGCTCCAGCCAAAGCTGTGGAAAATGTAGCACTAGCCTTTGTTGCTGTCGGCAAAGAACTTATCCCTGCTACTGAAGGGGCTGTTGTAGATGAGCTGCCGGCAGGCGCTTGCCTCTTTTTAAGCTCCTGATCATGTCGCTTGGGAGCGCTTTCGCCCTGGGCTCCAAAGGAAACGTCGATCGAGTGGAATGACTTTTTGAATGTACTCGGTGTGACGGTAAGAACAAGTGATCGTGATTTCTTGTCAACTTTGGTAATTCTAGGCGGGTCAGTATTGCTAGTCGCATATTGTAAGGCGCGTAAATACTTACAAAAAAGGCTCACGCTCTCCTTTGGCGTTGCAGCCAGCATGAGAGGTGATGACCAGCATCTCACTACGCTTTTGCATTCCTGCCCAAGCAGTGGAAAGCGTCGCAGCATCATAGAATTCCAACTCAATCAACGAGTCATAGCAGCTGACACTTTCTAAAATGTCCTCATGCTCTTCAAGTAGTAGGGTCGGCAAAGTCGACTTGAGGTGCACGTGTGCAGCAAATGGCGATCGAGATTTCTGCGCGAGCTTTTCGCCAGAAATTGACGTGTCCCCTGATAGATCTCGTCAGCGCAACCCAAGGACCAATTAGTTGAGTACATACCATCGATGAAAGGCAACACATGATCGAAATTCAACAAATCCTCGACTTCGAAATTGCGTCGCTCAAGACTACGGGCAGATCGAGCAGCAACCATGTGGCGTTTCTGGGGTTCATTGCTAGGGTGACCGATAGAAGACCGCCGCTCGACGAACAATGCATCTGGTTGAGCTCCAACAAGGCTCTGCGTCAATATGAAAGCCGATGTTAGCAGTGAGAACGGCGAGATGAGATGCATGATATCTAGAAGACAGACGACGGAAAGGTCGAAGGCAATGACGAGAACCCAAAGTAATGCTTTCGAAACGAGCGAGGCAAGGGGTGGAAACGACTGCCAGGAGCGTTCTGATTCTTATACATCGGGCTGGGAGAGGCATGTTCTGCCATTTGTCACAGCCTTATCGATGAGGGTGCTAATTGCCCTTCGAATGGCCAAAAGGGGTTGACGGTTCGACGAACGACAACACTGCCTCGTCCGGCAGTCAGTAGACCTGCAGGGATATCCATGTCGTACGTATCTATCCGGCATCCCGTTTCGAAGCTTGACTAGCCAGATGGCACCGGAGGCGTGCGAAGAAGGATCGAGCAACAAGGCTGGGCTTGTTTCTTCACGGGAGTAACCAAATGTTCGAAAGCTGAAACAGTAGTCTGCTGAAAGTTGGCTGAGTGCATGCAGTTGAGGCTCGAGAGGAATTGCCAAGACTCTCGTATGGAAATCTTGAAGTACGGTACGTACCCATTACAAAGTACCCTCACAACATTCTCCGCTCAAGGATACCCGGTCAGGATGCAGGTGCAGCACAGTATCGATGCCACTACATAAGAACTCATAGCTCAGTTCCTCTCATCAGATCATTTTGTGACCAGAGCTTCCCAACACGGGGGGCATCGAAGTATCAGAGCATCTTAAGTGGGGACCAACAGCACACAAGCTTCGTAGGAGCTGTAAAGCTTCAAGGGAGGGTGGCTGTGCCCAAGACGCCGGTAGATTGGTCGAAAGATGCAGGATGAGAATCCTACGGGATCTCGGTGATCCTAAGCGGCACAGCCTCATCTTGCATTGGGAGTCGTGACTGGTCAGCCTTGTGGGTTGTAAAGAACAAGGGCGCCTCTCAAATGTGACAGTCGTGAGGTATTGCATGATACTACTGAGGTTATGGCGGCACCAGACTCCATCAACCGTAATGATGCCCTTCTAAATGCTCGTGGAGAAGCATACAGCTTCCCTATCCGGAGATCCTGATCGACTAGGGGGCGTGGAAAGTCGATCAATCATCATACATCCAGATCGCTCTCATTGCCGTCATCGCCGTCATTACCATCCTGAATCTTGACACTGCCTTCGAAAATGAAGTCGCCCGAGTTCTCCGTTTGAAAGGCGCGTGAGCTGAAACGTCTGGTGGTAGGCTGTGAACTGTGAACTTCCCTGTCATATTCCGCTAAACCCGCTAAACCCCGCTCAAAAATCATTCGGAAATGACGGTCCTGTCCTGATGAGATCTCTTGGCTAGTCTCCACGTCGTTCACTTGCGTTATACCTCACACGTCGCACTGGACGGAGAACTGCTGAGTCTCTCTTCATTATTGACTTTCATCCCTCATTGTTCTCAATCAAGCTGAGCATTGACGCCAACAGCTAAAAGCAATGTCAGATCCTTCCCTCCTCCCCCTAGAAATATTTGATCAGATCCTAAGGAGCATTCAATACAATCATTTTGATGCAGAGAAGAAGCCATACCGATGCCTTGAACACTTCGCTCAGCAATCGAAACAGCTGTTTGCATGCAGCCTCGTGAATCGTAGATGGCACCGCCATTCTAATCCTCATCTCTATGCACGCTTCTCCTTCGACCTAGGGGGCAATTCCAGCCAGAAACTCTGGCATTTCTTACGTACTGTGCTGGAAATACCGGAGTATGCGGCACATGTTCGGACATTTCATTACCAGGATCAATGGATCCACGAAAAGGAGATTCCCAAAATAGCCAACATGTTCTCTAAGGCAGATTTGACCCTCGTCCTCAACGGCTTTCGATCCGCAGGTCTCCAAAATGGTGAAACAGAACTCATCGCGCAACATAGACATGTTCACAGATCGGAGTATCTGAATTTGATCATGGCCAACTTACCAAATCTTACAATGCTAAAAGCCGGTGCCTTAAAGTTGAGCAAACACCACGCGCTGTTCGAGGCTAGCGAAAAGCAAGCCTTCCGAACTCTGAGGGATGTCACCTTCGGCCGTGTAGAGACCATATGGAGATCAGCCTCTATATGTGCCGAGCATTTGATTCCTTTCTTCCAGCTGCCAACTCTACGAAAGATGACAATCTTCTATGCCTACAGTGATCCACAGTCCACCCATTCGGACGCTCTCGAAACCCATGCCAGCACTTCACCAGTCACAGATTTGACTCTTGTTTACTCTCGATACCACCTTCTCTGTCTCGCTGACGCCCGTGCACTGCTTCAATTGCCCAAATCACTCAAATCGTTGTCGCTGAATGTTAAGGCCGAAACTTTCAACTTCGAAAACCCATCCCCCGGACCCGACGACATTGTTACTCTACCCGACTTCGGTGATATTCTTATGCAGCACAGCGATTGTCTCGAATACTTAGACTTATTCTGGGAAGCTTCATCGCTGCAGGATGTAAGCTCACCCAAGGATCCACTGGGTGTACTTCAGAAGTTTACTAGGCTCAAAACACTCTATATCGACATACATCTCATAATGGGGCTCGAGTTGGGAGAGCAGAGGCATGTCGATTGGCCAGTGTGTCTCAACGAAACGCTCCCTCCAACACTAGAATCATTAGTGCTCTATGGCTTGTACGATTACTGGAATTACCAAGACATAGAACCGTTCTTGACAGATCTTGTACAAAGTCCTCGACATCATGAGTTACGATCTATCATGATCGAAGAATTCTCGGAGGGCAGAAAATGCTCCCTTGACTCCACGAACACCGCAGCCTTGAAGCAAATTTGTGCAGATAAAGGTGTCACTTTCCAGATCGTAAAGTGCAATCAACTTCCGCAGGGTGGAGCTCGAAGGACTGACGAGCCTGCCGACTTGTGAAGAGAGGAGCACGCGCTTGGCTTCACATTGAACCCTATGAACGTTAGAGTTTCTCACCAATGTATCGCCATCATACCTAGATACCGACAGAGAAAACATCCATCAGGACGTAGTCATTACTCGTGGACTCAATTAGCCACAGTAATTCACGGAAGACGAGAACTCTGCCATGTCCGCTTCCAAAGCATCTGCCAACCTTTGACATTTGTAGGATGGGTTCTCGCTAAACAGGCAGTCGAGTCAATGAAACACCTAGAAAAGCAATCAAGCGACCTCTAGACACCATGGGGTAGACCAAAAACACCCAATCACGCACGATGACCTCCCTGACGAAGGCTCCGAAACCAGCGTCAAAGCAAGAGGCAAAGCGGACAGATCAAGAAATCCTGATAATCGCAAACAGTCCAGGCCTCAAGTCGAGCTCCGGCGCCATCGCCTCACACGAAATACTCGCAAGATGATCCCCCTCCTCTCCCTTGTTAGACTTCTTCCTTAAAAACCGACTGCACAAAGCAGAAAAAATGCCGCAAAACACATACAATCGAGCATACCAGAGCGTTCAAGTCAAGCAGGAAGAGAGACAAGCTAGACTTCTAGATACTACAACAAGTCGGATCAGAGACCCTAGAGAAAGAACACGCTAGTTCTTGAAACACGTGTGACATGGATAGGCAGCCACTATTGATGAATAAATCACGAGATGAGTTGAGACGGAGTCGGCGCAAGAGGCATCACCTGTGACGTTGTACGCTACCGAGCCGTGGGTCAATCAAATCTAGATAGGACACTCCCAAAGTTATTATCTTCGTACCAGTCTCCAGCACGTTGAAAAATTTGATGGATCATTCAACGCCTTACGAAGAAGGGCAGAGAAAAGGCCTGCTGGATAGAATAAAGAGAAATGTTTGCCATCAGACCTCGAAGAGCATCTGCATCAGAAGAGCCACCTCTGAGCCCATCCATGCTGAAACCAAAGATTGACACCGATCCCATCCCCACCTCCACGGCCCCTCATCGCCCTATTCCAGCTTCTTTTCAATACCATCAAAGACCTTCTTCCACACCTTGAACTTCTCCGTCCCGCCCTTCACCTCAAATGGATCCTTATTAATCCCATCACTGTACACATACCTACCTCCCTTCCCCTTCCACTCCCCTACCCTCCCAAACTCATCTTACCCCTCCCCAATACCTTCAACACCCCCATTCCCCCCCCCCTCCCCCTGCACATCCTCGAAAACTACAACCCCAAACTCCCTCCCAATCCTACAAAAGAAGAACTCACTATTCTCGCCCAAAGTCTCCCCCAAACTGCCCTCCGTGGGTTGAAACGGCTGCATAGCCGCCTCGGACAGGCCTTCTATCGCAAGGATGCATTTCCCGTTTGTGAGCAAGTCCTCGGGCAGCGAGTTATTGGAGGGGGGCGGGGGGGGAGAGGGAGAGAGAGATATACTGAGCAGAGAACTGGATGTGGTCGATATTTAGGGAGGAGGGTATGCCGTAGAGGTAAACGGGGTCACGGTAGGGGAATTTCAGGGAGCGGTCTTTGAGGATTGTGGTTGTTTGGATGGGGATATTTGAGGCGAGGGGATTCTGGTTTGGGAGTAGTAAAGATGGGAATTTAAGTGGGGGGGCATGGTGGAGGCGGATGTGAGTGAGATAAAGCGGGGTGAGAATGCGATGGTGATGGAGGGACAGGAGCGAATGCGAACAAAAAAGATAGTTTGAGTAGAACAGGAGGGCATGAATGACCTGCTGTCCTCGGATCCACGCTAGTTGATCGTGGCTTTGAACGGTTTATTCTCAGCTACAAAGGTTGCGATATCGATGTTTTCGTCCGCGGTGAGACCGAAGGTTGAAGTAGGCTCAGTCTTCTTAGCTTCTGTATATTTCTTGAAGACCTTGTCTGGTAGCTTGGGTTCTATGATCAGTTGGTGGCGATGCTTCACCAGGTGAAACATGGGGAAACGGATGATATAGACTTTGTCAGTGCCCTGTAGAAGAATTCATGTTTCGTTAGAGAAGTGTCGTTGCGTTTGCGGCAGACCTGTAGAAGGGTTGGCTGGCTGTTACCTTGAGAACATTTGTGGGTTAGCTTACCTCCACTTCTCCATTCAGCAATTTCCGAATCAGTAGGCCATGGGGACATAACGACGTTCCGCAAGACTACTGAATCGACGTCATCCTGGAAGCCGCTTTTTGAAATGCTGTGCATTCGCCATACTCATGGGATTGGAACGTGGTTGAGGCCAGATAGAACGGTATCTTGGTCGGATCATCTTCTACAGGGATCACACGCGTATTAAAGTAATTTGCTTCCTCCACCTCCGTGTTAGACGATGTGTCTCCATGCGACGGGGAGATCTTTGTTGTCAGGGTTGACGTTATATCCGAACATTGTGCAAAGATCATCACCAGTCACTATCTCAGCTACTGCAGTGATATGACTCGCCTCAATTGGTACGTTGTTGGTATTGTATAGCATTGTCATTAGATAGCCCAAGAGGGCTGGCATGGACAGGTCCATACACATGTAGCGTTCATATCGAGGCGACCTACAGACATCAGTCACCTACCATCGTTGAAGTAGTGATGAGGCTCGTAAACCAGAAAGGAATGAGGTTTTCGCCGAGAAGATGCGCCGAAATATTCGATTGATCGATGATTCTGCATCGCTAGCATGCATCCACGACGAGTGTCCTGGAGTATCAACGGACCAATTTCCGTGGTATGTGATTAGGTGATGATTTTTGATGCAGGGACCAGGATGATTGAAGGTTATGGGCTGATATTGCCGTTTCCCCACCTGGTCTTGCAGGCCCAGCTCGATCTCTATGAATAAGCGTTATGCGCCTTTCGCCCTATGTGCCTATGTTACATAGCTTTTCGAATCATTGGACACAATCAATAGACAACCCAGCCTCGGACAACGCGCTCAATGCTGGCTTCGAGCCATTTCAAATGCATTCAGCGTCAAATGTGGGCATAGTGTCGATCGATCTGCGTCCTACACGTCAGTTCACAGTGCGTCTCCATACCCAATGCAGAAATTCTTAGTCGAGGACGGGAAAGAATTTGGCGTCAACCGAAAAGAGTCCTGGTCCCCACAGCTGCCTTAAGCCTACCTTCTGAGCATGACCTCACATTTCTCACTCCTTGCGAACGGTAATGAGTACGAAAGCACAACCTTAAACGAAATTTGTAGATCAAAGAAAGCACGTGCAGACAGAATTGCGTCTGTCATAGTGGGAGAAATGGACAGCTTCATGGCAGGCAAGGACACTGAAGTATTCGAAGAGCCGCCCCCCAAATGTTTGTAGTAAAATCCATTCCATGAATTTCTATTCCGTGGATGCTTCGTTGGGCTCAAACGCCAAAATCTCCCTTCTCGGTCTTGTTTCATCAAGAATTAGAATTCCAAAAGCGTATCTCCTCTCCTCTTTCCTTTGAAGTCATACTTGCCCTGCAACAAGTGGAATATTAGCCGCCTATCCAAAAGCGCAACAGTAGCACAAGCTCTGCTCTCGTGTCTCGGTCCACTTTTATATGATCCTTGGTGGGAGAATGAAGACTCACATCTGTCCTCCATCCAATATACATGACTGTCGCAGGTATTGCAACCATGTAGAGAAAGGTGAGACGTGCCGTTCGCCGGTTCCACCGAAAGTATTTGTATCGGTTCGCGGTCATATCTGTTGTGGGCCTCCATCAGTATCACTTGCGTCTTGAATCTTTTTTTGCGTATGTTCAGATCTCCTGTTATTCGTCCATGCGCTTCGGCCGGAATGACTTGGTGCTTAGGATAAAGTAACGTACTCTGGTATCTCACAAACGCTGGATCCATTGCGATCGCTAATTGCATCGTCAGTACAACAGAGTGATATTACAAGAAGTCAAGGCTTACTCGGAGGCCCATGGCCCGCCATTCGGCGAAGTGTAGGCTGCATTGTAGGTATTTGTTGAAGCTAAAGAGGGGCGACGTTGCGGAGAGCCTGCGGATTAATAGATACTAGTTCTACGGTTGGCGATTTTCACTCAGACGCAGCTACGGCTGCCTTTACATACTCTAGTGTCTTATTAATAGCAGCGAGTCTATTACAATACAAGATCCTTTTGGGAAACACTTTCTATTAGACGAGCGAGGACTCCGTACTCTTGAGACTTCTTCAGCAAAGGCTTGTCTTAGACTGGTGTGGTCTGTTCTCTTCCGAAAAGGCCTTTATAATCGTGCGTTCGACGACCATTCAATTGCATCTCCCTAGGTAAAACCAACATCCTCTGAGGATTGTCGACGACATTCAACTACTTCCATTCATGGACTTTGCATCCTTGATGTCAGCCGAGATTTCCAAATCCAAATCACCACCAACACAACCCAAGTCCACCAAGAAATTCCTCAAGAAATCAGAGCTAGAAGCTCAAAGACAAGAAGCCTACCTCAAAGAGCAAGCAAACCTTCAACGGCAACGAGAAGAAAAGCTCGCCCAGAAACGAAAACGAGATGACGAAGAAGCACTCCGTAACGCCGAACGAGATGAAAAGCGTCAACGCCTAGCCGAAGAATCTCGAATCCGTCGTGAAGAAGAAGAAGCCCAAGCAGAAACCCATCGACGAAAACGTCTAGGCCTGCCCGAGCTCCCATCTCAACCACAAACCGACTCCTCCTCCCCTACTTCAGATCACCAACAAGACATTCCCCCCGCCACCCTCCGCCTCGCCCTCCGCGCCTTATCCGAACCCACGCACCTCTTCGGCGAAACGCACGCCCAGCGCCTAAAACGCTACCACGCGCTCACGACGCCCGTCCCAAACACACCAAAGAAATACCCCGGACCAATCGCCACAACTCTCGAACCCGTCCCCGAATCCTCGATGAAAGTGCCCACCACGATCCCCTCCGACCTCGCAGCTCGCACATTCCTCTACCGCCAACTATCCTCTTACTTCAACCTGCTCTTCAGCGCCTGGAGCGCCACACTCTCCGCGCGGGCTTCCAGCGTATCGCAAACGCCCGAAGGCCAGCGCGCCTCTCTGACGCTCACGAACTGCATAACCTCGCTGCAACCGCTCTTCAAGAAATTCGAACAGAACACGCTCGAAGATTCCATCCTGCGGCCATTACTGCAAATCGTTTCTGCAGCGCAAGAACGACGCTATGTCGATGCGAACGACGGGTATCTGAGGTTGTCGATCGGGAAGGCGGCGTGGCCGATTGGAGTGACGATGGTGGGGATCCACGAGAGGAGCGCGCGGGAGAAATTGCATAAGGGGGCCGAGGAGGGGCATATTTTGAGCGATGAGGTGACGAGGAAGTTTTTGCAGGGGATTAAGCGCTGCTTGAGTTTTGCGCAGACGAGGTGGCCGCCGGAGGATGGGGGGCAGATTATGGGATGATGGGTGGTTTGTAGGAGCGAGAAAATGATTTTGATGCTGGGGTTGTGGGAGACACTGTGACAACGTGCCTTGATAGATACCATTGGGAAGTTTAGAATCACGACAAGCTATCTTCGAATCATTCGAGCTTGCAATGAGAAGTCCTCATGTCCAATTGCTCTAGGCTTTTTTCTAAGTAATGCTGGCCGATACTCGAATACTCGGAAGCTGAATGCACAAGCTCTTGATCAATATCAAGCTCATATCTGTCCCCATCTCATGTCCTCACAAGAGCTCTTTCACGACTGTCCTCATGTAATTTTCTCTTTTCAATATTATCTTCGTGCAAGTGGCATTTTCTTTCTCTCCAATCCCCCAGATGAGTCTCCAATTAGCCATGTATCAAAATCCTGCTCTTCCATTCTCTTCCATCTACCACCCCCTCCCCCTTCCTCTATACCCTCCCCGTCCATAACCAGTCTCAGGCAACCGTTCCCCCCGTCTCCACTCCCCCTCAGGGACCCGTTCCCCTCTCCCACCACCCCCAGCTCCAAATCCGCCATAGCCCCCTCCCCCTCCTCCGCCGCCTGGTCCATACCCACCAGCGCTTCCATATCCTCCACTACCACCACCACCACCAGCATAACCCCCCCTCCTCTCCCCTCGCCCATACCCTCCCCCAGCATACCCATTCTCCCCACCCCTCCCTCTATACCCCCCTCGCCCTCTCCCCCCACTCACACTCCCCCTGCACCCCCGACCCCCATCACCGGCGGCGGCGGCTGCACCTCCCCATCCCTACCCACAGGAAAAACCCCCACATCGACAAAATCGCCAATCACAAACTTCCCCTCGGCCAAAGTCCGTTCGGGCTCGCCCTGCAACCTTGCTCCCTCCCCACCAACCCCACCAACCCCACCAAAGACTTCAGCATCTCTCTTCTCCCCCTCCCCCGCCCCAGCCCCAGCCCCCTCATCTCCATCACGATCACGCGCGCCAACGACCAAATTCCCCAAATCCTTACTCATCCATCCCCCTCCTCCAATCCCACCGGCCCCTGCAGGGCGCGGATCAGGATACACAAGCCTAAAAGCGAGGCGGGTGCCGATGGCGGGTGAGGGCAGGAGGGAAGGGAGGGCGGAGACGAGGAGGTGGGAGAGCTCGCGGAGGGTGCAGGTGGGCCAGGTGTAGATCTGGAGGTGGGCAGGGAGAGGGGTGGTGGTGGTTGAGGAGGAAGAAGGGAGGGGGAGAGGGAGGGGGAAGTCGTTGAGTCTGGAAGACGGAGGATGTTAGTAGGGAGTGAGGGGAGATGGGGTGGAGGAAGGGAAAGATGAGAGGCTGGGGGGAAGGGGGAAGACGTACGAGTGAAACGAGCCCACGCGGTAGAAGAGCTTGAGGTGGAAGGGTACGGTTGTTTCTCTGTTTATTGGGCCGGAGGGGAGAGCCATTTGGTAATCTGGTTGAATGGATGTAGGGTGGTCGGGTAAAGCTTAGAGAATAGAGCGGAGATTGTGGGCGGGTGTCTGAAGCAGCTGGCTATGGAGACATTGTTGTGCTGGATACCAATGGTGTGTTTACGTCTGGCTGGGATGGCGATCTTAAGTTGCAGTGAGGAGGAGGGGTTTCAGCGAGGTGAGTTGCGGGCGACAAGATGATGTGATCGCAGATGTGAGTGAACTATGAGATGAGGAATTGAACATTAGGTTGGATGATACATAGTCGATGGAGGTCAGCGAAATGCGTGGGTGTGAAATCACTGGTTTGTATTGAAGAAAATAATTTGAGGCCCCTCGGGCTTGTTGGTGAAATAAAATCGGGTCGGAGCGTGAATTGGCGTCCAGAACATAAGTTGAATAACGAAAACAACAAAGTATCGTTCAAGAGCAAGATGTGATGAAAAGCTGGTTTTGTATTTTTGATGCATGCTTATGCAAGCTCTAGTTTAATACCTGTTCATGACCCTTCTATCAAAGCCCTCATGATGCTGCTGCATGCTTTCCCGCACAGCCTCACCTCATTCATTTCTCTCTCCCCTACAAACTCTCAGGCAATCGATCCTCAGCTGCCGTCCCCTTCTCTTGCCCAGTGCCCTCCTTACGTCCAGCCACAGCCGCGCCTTCCTTCTCCAATCCTCGCTGGCTAGGCTGGCTCACCCTCTCATCTACGCCTTGTAGACCGCTTCCAACTCCCTCAGCACCTCGCGCAGCTAGCCCACCGGCACTGCTGTTGTCGCGAAGCTCGCGGCTTGTTTGACCCTGGCCGGGGTGTCCATAGCCTTGATGGACGTCAGCTGATGTGGCACCTCCTAGAGTTGACGAAGCGGTGGTTTGACTGGAGGGTTGTAGATTAGCAGTCATTCAACGGGAGATGAGTTAGGCCACAATGGATACAGGGTATGAGCTTGGAGGGTACCTACGTAGATTCCTTGCCCTCGAGCTCGTCATTGTCCGGGTTCAAGGCTTGTCCTGGTATTTCGGACGAAGTATTCGGCTGGAACGTTGACTCCTTTGGAGCAGAGCCTGGAGGAAGAGTCTTTGCATGGAACTCGGGTTTGGCGTCGTTACCGACTAGCTTGCCTGGTTGGTGCTTTGATCGTTATCAGTAAAATGATCAGTGAGAAAGTGCGCACGTGGTACAGCATCAAATCACCGGACGAGAAGTGAGGCTACTCGTGCAGGGTAGTATATTGAGGAGGGCGGAATAGGTCAAGACATACACCAGTGGTTTCGAGTGGCCCATCACGCGCAATGTGAGAGCCAAACTCGCCAGGCTGGCCTGCATTCGCGTCTGCGTTGCGGGAGGCCGACATGTTGTACTGGGGATTTGCAGTTGAAAAGATTGATGAAGGATGGTGTATGTCGGTCAAGTACTCCAGTCTTGAGAGAGTTGAAGTTAGGGCAAAGCCAATTGTGAATCTAGTCACGAGAGGTCTGAATGTGTGAAGTTGCGAAGTGTCTCATGAAATTGTTGTCATTACATCATTGCCACAGCAGCCTTATTTTCAGGTACCAGTCACGTCATGTCAAGATATTCATGACAACGACTTTCACGAGCTGCTCATTGTTGAATCGGTTGCTCTGGATTGATAGCATGTCGGTACTTGAGCTGAGAATGATTCTCTTCATGTGACCCCACGCTCGTATGCTGGATCATCAACGCTTCTAGCAACAATATAGTCGATTCTCAATTCTTTACTCGCTTGAGGTAGCTTCAATCATTCTCATCATCAAATCCTTCCCACTCATCTTGCTCGCTTTCTTCCCCTTCTCTGTCTTGCTTCACAAACCCAGCAACAAAGAAACCCTGAGTTCCGTCTTCTGTACTTTTTGAGCAGCGAATGCAGGACTCGGCGATATCTGTACAGTCCAGCTCTTGCTTTAGATCTGCTTCTTTGCAAGCATCATATGAACCACGTAGATGCCATTTTTGTAGTCCAACAATCTGCTCATCTCTTCTCAGTATTCGCCATCCATGCTCTGTCGCCTCTCTTGAAGTCAGAGCTTTGACCACGATGTACTCATTTTCTTCTGCGTAGATTGAACATGTAGAGTATGTCATTCTGATCGCTTTGGGGAAAGTGAAGGCGTGGAGAAGAAGCTTGAGCTGAAATGTGGAGAGGCGTTCCAGACGTGCAGCAAGCTTCTCAGCACTCAGATCAGGCTGCGCATTCTCCTTCATTGTTTCCTGTACCTGTTCCTGTTCTCGTGTAGACGCCGTTCTCTTTCTTTTCTTTGTTGCCCCTGGCTCGTCATGCTTCTTTCGCTGCGGTAGTGTGACCTGCAATTCCTCGTCTCGTCCAACCATACCGCTCCCGGAGCAACTCGGGTCGAGAAGGATTACGGACACCTTACTCCAAGGTAGCTTCTGTGGAGAAGTCTTCAGAAAATCCTGCCCTCCATGAACGTCCACGATTTTCGAGGCACCTGCTGTTTTGATCATCTGAACACAGGCCTGAGCTCTGCTCTTGTCTCTCTCGCAAGCTAGGATCTTTCTCGTTAAACTCCCGACCTTCTGTGTTGCCAGCAACGCAGCTAAATGTGATGTTTTGTTTCCTGGTGCTGCACAAGCATCCAGAATGTGACCCTCTGATTGAGCCTTCGGATCGAGTAGGTAGGCTGGAAAACAGGACGCTTTATCTTGAAGGATGATCAAGCCGTTGAGGTAGCCAACCGACTTTGTAAGGTCTGCAGACGCAGGGAGAGCGACGAGATCAGGGATATGCTTGTCAATGTGTAAAACTTTCGGTATGCTCGATTTTACTAGGTCTCCCAGCTCTTTCACCGTAGAATATCCCGCGAATGTCGTGTCCAGTTGCCCCTGCAGTGTAGCCTTCAAGCTATTCACACGTACCCAGCGAGGATGTACGATTGCAACTTCATTTGTGCCATTCTGGGTTGCATCACCATTTGTGAGAAGTTGTGGTACCTTGCTCTTCTCGAGGCTAGCTCGCAGTTGCTCTAGACTCGAGCACCCTTTTCTCAACCTTGCCTTGACGAGCTCCGCAGTCAAGCGAGCTTTGTGCTTTTCTACTGCGTTTCTCAGAGCATGTGCTGCTGGTGCTTGGATGCCCCGTTTGGCAAGAAGGAGGTCGTGAACGAGGAGGAGAGCGAGTTCAGGGGTTAACTAGGACAGGCTTCGAGTCAGTCAGCATACTTCCAAAGAGGAAAATTCAGCGTGACGGATACTTACTTTGTGCTCAGATTGGAGCAACTGAGAGCTCTCAATGACTTCAGCTAGCACGGGGCTCCATTTGGCAGCTTCGCTAGCAAGCGCGAAGATCTGCTTCGGTTGCGACTTTGCCGATTGTCGAGGATTGAAGACGCGTGACTTGAGGGACCCAGCTGAGGTGTCTGATGAGAGGAAGGGCGCTGTTTCGTAGTAGAGAGACATCGCTTAGGAACGGGGGGTCATCGGTCCCAGACTGCCTTGACTGCTTCGCTTGAGACAGGCCAATTCACGAAGCAGCTCATGCGCCAACCGGCTTGAGGCACAATGTTGATTGCATCAGACAAGCCTCAGCACGTACAGGTGCACTTGTGCTACTTCGCTAGTGGTGGAGAAGTGAGGTGTAAGTGGACTCGAGGTTGCCGACGCAACGCCGGGAACGGATCAAGTGCGTCTTCCACGGCCCAAATCTGAGACCAAGCTTTCATTGCTAACTACCTTCTTCGGATGAATCTACTAGAGAAGCCGTTCATGTTATAGCTTTTATGGTGTATGTGACCATGATTGAAGGTACATCATTACGCAGAACTTCGTGCTTGTCGCATCTCTAGCTACTGAGTCGGCTGCTCTCATGGCATATACTGCTGGTCTGTGAGGAGCCAGTCTGCCCATCATTCAAAGCACGTAGCATCGTGTGTCCGCATCATCTCACATGCTGTTGACCCACTAGCGCTTTTCAAAGTACCGAAGAATCAAAGTACAAGTTCACCTCCGTTGCTTCACGTCAAATCCGCACCCTCCTTGGTCATCAACGCGTCAGAGCACCTTTTCACATTCCTTTTCACATCCATCTCTTCTCTCTGTATCCATGGATCCTTTTCTCCATTCGCTCTCTGTTGTGAGTATCCTTCCGCGTTTTAGAAATCGCTATCTGGTGTCGAAACACTTTTGCTGTACGGAAATCACTTTTGAATATCAGAATACCATTATCGGTTGTAAAGAATCACTCTCTGCTGTAGTATAACCACCTTCACTGCATAAGCAAAACCCTCGAAAACGAAACAATCTGCTGCTGCGTAATCTTAGTATCATCAAGCGGAAGTTCCCAAATGACCGGCGTCCACGCAATTCTCACTTTCAGCCCCAAAGCCGCAAGCTCCATCGGCGACTTCCCCTTGTAATTCGGATCTCGTGAGATCATGCTGCCTGGATTGAACGCCGTATTGAAGCCCGCAGGCGGAAAATCAACATTGAACCAGCTGACTTTCTTGTGTATCACCAAGCCAATCTGCGCGGCATCCTTCCATAATTGTAGGAGCTCTTCGTAGGCTCCAGCTTGCGGGGCGGGAGGCATCAATGGCTGGACTTCGCGCCAGAGCTCGTCTGCTTTGCGTCCGATTGTCTCGCCAATGTACTGCTCCCAGCCGGGTTCACGCGTCATCTTGATGATCAATTCGCTGACCTGCTTCATGCCCTCTCTCTTGTCATCCATCGGCATTGCGTGATGAAGCTTTCCCAACTCTACGTTGAGCTTGTTTCCGTAGTCGTCGTCCCCTGCGAAACCTTTCAGTAAGACTGGGCGCCAAGCGAAGTTCACAAGACGGTATAGCATTAGCTTTGCGATTAAGATGTAACGAGATTTTGAGGTACATAGCAGTGATCTGGCGAGTCTGTCGTCCTCTTGCTGGTTGATCCTGCGTATTTCGCTCCGTAGAGCTGCTGAGAGCTGTTGATCGCGCTCCTGGTCTGGTACGTTTACTCGGCGCTGAGCGAATGACTCGACCCTGTCATAGAAATGTTTCAGGATGGCTGTCAATCCTAACCTCTGCTCCTGTGAAGGATGTGGTGTGTAAGCCATTCGCGCACGTACTGATGCGGCAGGATCAGGACGATTAATGGCGGGAGCTCCATATTGAGTGAATGGTAGAGGGGCGAAAGGGGTTGTTGGAAGAGGGAAGCCAGGTATATTGCCTATGAATGGATTGGGATTTGTAGAGAAAGCTCCTGGCGGAGGTGTGATGCGCGGATGAAAAGGGTTGTAGTGAGGAGAGGCAGTGGGGGGAGTGTGGGCGGAGGAGGGTGGTCTGACGTATGGAACTACCTCCAAAGAAGGAGGCTGCTGCTGCTGCAGGCCTGATTGGCCGTAAGTTTCCCTTGGGAAGGCGGTTTGGGGGCCAAACGAGGCTGCAAGAGGCGGATTAGACGCCTGGCTATGGTTTGAGAAGCCGTAAATACCTTGGATCATCTGGGATTGGACCCAGGCCGTCTCACACGTCTTGGCGTGAGCGGCACGCTCACTGGCCAGCATTCTTCTGAGGTCAGTGACCTCGTTCTCCAGCTGCTCTTGCGCCTTTAGACGCTGCTGAGCGTCTTCTCTACGGTGGCGTTCCACCGCGAGATCCACGTCTCGGTCGCGCAGCGTGTCCTCTAGGTGCGCTATGCGCCCTTTGCACTCACCGATTTGGATCAGGAGGGCGTCCCTATCGTCCCCATTGGGGCTCCACTGCCCCTTAATTAGCGAGAATATCCCGAATCTGCCTATTGCAACCGTAACTCACCATGATTGCTGGTTGCTTTCGTTACGGAGCGCTGAATTGGTGATATTTTAAATTATAGGAGAACGGGTAAACGTGGTTCCGGTGCAGTGTTATCAAATTTAGGCAAGGCTACCGCAATTGGCAGGCAGTATATATCCGGCTCTTTTAGAAAAGAAACTCACTTCTTAAATAGCTTAGAAGTGAATAGAAACGGCTTCAGAAAGAGTTAGAAGTGAATCAATATAAATAGAAGAAAGCAAGGCAAAGCGAAATTTTCTCGGCGGCGGTGATGAACTAACGGTGAGCTGCATTTCCTGCTTGGTGTAGCGAGATAGGTATGCTTTCATAGGCATATATTTCTAGCTACAGTAAGGGAAGCGGTTGTACCTACTTGGATTTCAGCAGAAAATAGACTAGATAATACTCCCTTATTTCGCAAACAAGCCCGATTCAGCATAACCAAAAGTCTGCATCTGCCACTAATAAGCAACTTCTCAGCCTGACTCGCCTTTTGTATCGTTTCATTCCGCCAAAGATGCCAGGTTTAAGTGAGATTTAAAGCGCGCTTGTTCGAGAGAAAAGTGAGCTGTAAACGGCATCGACGACAGGCTGGGCGCTAATCTGCCGTCCACCAAAGAATCGTCCATTCAGACCTTTGATAGCGTTCTCGCCACCCGTGACACGATCGAATTTAAGGTAGATGTCTCCCTGGGTATTCGGATCTAGAGAAATGTGAACCACTTTACCGTACTTCTCGGTACACTCAGCTCGGACGTCGTCCTCCAATTCTTTGATCCAGACTTCGCCTTCCTCTCTACAGAGTTTGTTAACAGTTGTTCAATGACAAAGAGAGTTAGACTTACTCAGCAGGATCAAACATATTTCTCAACAGGACACACCGACTGGCCTGGCTAACGCTCACAGGTAGAGGCTTCGATTCCGGCTTTGGCTTGGCAGCCGCACGGCGTTGATCATTCGCATTTGCTTCAGGAGCAGGTTCATCTGTTCTAGCAAGTTTCCTCATCAAAGCGTCTCTGCTATAGTTGTTGAAGTTTACCCCACCGACATCAGTATCATCCAGTGCACTGGCTCCACCGCCTTTCTCGTTGTCCCTACCACCGGCACGGTCAAATGCACCACCACCGCCAGCTTGAGCACCGCGGCCGCCATGGCCCGAGAAAGCAGATCCCTGGTACTGGTGTTGGTGTTCTTGACCTTGGAACCGCTGAAGCAAGTTTGCAGTGGATTCTGGGGTGAACTTATCGTTACCGAGGCCAACCCTGATAGGTCGCCCAGCAAGATCAAATCCATTCATCTTTTCTAGCGCTTCCCTGGCCTGATTAGGATCACGGAATCTATCGAAGACTAGTCAGTAAGTGTAGTATGGGGATCGTCCAAAATTACTTACTGGACAAACCCGTAACCCCGGCTACGCCCCTGTTCTTCCTTTTGTAGTTGTACAAATTCGAGTTCACCGAAAGGTTCGAAAACATTCTGTAAATCATTTTCAGTGATGCTGAAATGTATGTTTCCTACATAGAGTCTGTGGAATGGCACATGATTTGGATTGCTGCTAGTTGCTTCAGATGTCTTGGCTTGGCGATTTTTCTCAGCCTCGGTATGTTGTGCAATGATGGGGATCCCTAGAAGCTTTTGGCCAGTAAGCTGTATAGCTGGAGCGACGGAGGCTTCGCTCTTGAACTCGACGTAGCCAACTCTGTCAAGCTCGATTAGTTTGCATAGAAGTCTCGGAAGGACTTTTGATACTCACCCTTTCGATCTACCACTGACTCTGTCTTTGACAATCTGTGCTTCTTTAACTGGTCCAATCTTTTCAAAGAAATGTATCAGCTCTTTCGTCCTCAGTCTAGCTGCCAGCTGTTGCACGAAGACTGTCCGTCGGTCACGCTCGTCCTCTGTAGGCTGGGGCGTCGGAGATCTTGGCTTCGGGCTTGGTGTACGCTTGCGTCGTTCGGGCTTTGGACTTCTATCACGATGAGCCGCATCCTCGGGACGGCGAGGTCGGTCACCAGGCCGGTAATATCGGTCGTCGTGTGGAGACCTTGAGCGCGAGCGATGTCGTCCAACCCCACGGTAATAGTCGCCTCCAGAGCCACGACGATCATCGTGATCTACGGATTCCCTATGACGGCGTGAGTGATGTTTGTCACTGTCACGGCTGCGGCTTCTGCGTTTGCTCCGATGCCCATTTGCACGCTCACTTCTGGGGCTTTCCATTGGCACATCTCCATCAAGATCCTTTTCTTTCTTCACCCTATCTCTACTTCTGTCCCTATGACGTCGATCTCGGTCTCGATCTCGATCCCTGCTCCTATCCCGGCGACTGCCATCGCGGTAACGGTCTCGATCATGGCGATCGGACTTGTAGCGCTCGTCGCGATCTTTTGAGCGAGTGTCCTCAGATTTACTTTGGGCAGCGTTCGCAGTAGAATCTAGAAGAGCCTCCACGTCAAGTCCTGGCATTGTGAAGAGAGGTGATCTTGAATGTGTTCCTGCTGGAAGACCCAACTAAGAAACGGGAAAGAGTTCACTTTGGCCTATTAGAGGTGTCACAGGGCAGTGGTAGCGATCAAGCAAACCCTTTTCAAGTAGCTGCGCTACTACAGGATCTTCTTAGCTTTGTATAGTAGCTAATAAATCGATCTCGTCAAGCATATTTTGCTGATGAACTAAAAAGTGTGTAAGAGGTGCGGATGGAGGTGGAGAAATTTACTTGAGAAGTTGAATGGCCTCGCCACGGCTGCCGGACTTAAGATTCTCCGTCCCTTGGCGGCACCATCTCAACCTTAATTCTGCTTTCATCCCATCCCTTTCGAGGAATCAGTCACGTCTCGCAGTGCAGTCGATGCCGCAATTGCTTATTGCAAAGGAAGAATATCGGTGCTAAGAAGTCTGCTTCTGCTCTTCCATTCATCGTAGTCCGGCGTCCAACTTCGTCTCTTGACACAGAGTATCATTTTCAGTGTATCCTCGCGTATGTGTCACATTATCAGTCAAGGCACGGGCACGAACGCCTCCTCACGTGCAATTTCTTCATAGTGTTTGTACCCGTTCTTGGTCCAAACTCACGTGTTAATCATCAAATAAAGCCCAAGCGGTAATTTTTTCAGAATCGCATGCGCTTTATGCCTGCATTCAGCATGCTCCACCTTTAGATATTTGCCAATGCTACAGTGAGAGATCCTGTATGCCTAAATCCCATTGACCTCTCTCAAAATAGAGTACTGAGGCCAAGCTGTGTTAGATTTGCAAGTGTCCTCTTCGTCTTACGCCAAAAAGAATACTCTTCGCTATCTTGAAACTTTTGAATTCAGTGATTCTAGCTAGGGTACTTTTCAAAGCAAAACGCAGCATTTCGGAGAATGATCACGAGTCGAATGAGTCTTTCAAGCAACCCAACTAGCCAAGAGAGATCTTTCAATTCTGTTAACAAGCCCCAAGTCATTTGCAAAGGAGCGAACAACTTGCCCGTGCATTTTCCATTGAAGCGATGCATGGCACGACTTATCAGGTGCAGCTCAAATGATAAGCTGCAACAATGCAAATGCATTATGGCAGCTAACACCGATTACTATACGACCAAGATTCTTCCGGTCGCAAAGAGGTCAACAACCATGCAACAGCTCTTGAGCTTCTCTCGAGACTGTCAGTAGGCTTTCAGGCCATCAGACTATTGATCTCATCATAAGGCACTTATTCAGAAGGGTAGAATAGTCGCGATATGGAGAGTCCAGAAAATTAAATCGGTCGTACTGATGCAGCTTGCGAGTCATTCTCCACCGTCATAAGCGATCGCATTGAAGAAATGCTTTGCTCTCATCATCGACCAGACATTTTCAGTATAGAATCTGTGCGCTCTCAGGGGATCCCCTCGTATTTTCAGCTTTATTCAGCCCGGTTTAACGAACGATGGACCATCATGCACTGTAGGATGCAGGTTATCATACGTCCCGAGACATGGTAGGTAAGAATGCCACAACGAACCCAGTTGCCCTAAGAATCCCCTTTCCAGGCCCAGTTGCGCCCTGGGCATCCCTTGCGAGGCCCCAGTATATATCGGTGACGGAGAGGCTGGCTCAAAGTGACAGCGATAGCGCCTGACAATCTGTCGCGAAGCGAGACCTTTAACCGATATGGAAACTCCAACTGAGGTTTACAGGGGCATTTTCGGCCACTGTACTGTCCAGAAGCTCTTCTGCCAGTTGGAACATCGAAGTATCGTGAGAGTGGCAATCATGTCTCGGCTGTCGAAGGAGGTGGATGACGACCATGGAACGCATTGGGGATCTATCACTCAATGGGCAGGGACTGTAGAGGTATTGCGTCCCGGCAGTGTCTTCGCTCGGCCCCAAGGGAATTTCATGTGACCGGCTAGGTATGCTATATCAAATCATTTGTATATTCAGTATGATTGTCTGCCTAGATTTGCCTAATTACATGATGTAATACTTACGGAGTTTGTAGTCGCTCACTATGAGACCGTACAAACACCCATCTATGTGCATAAGAAAATCCAGTCACTTTTCAGGGTATATTAAAAGTATATAATACTTCAAGTCGATATTAGAGGCCAATTTCACTCCTCGGCGTCTTCCAAAAAGGCACTTTATAGCTTAACGCCGGATCTCACAATGCCCACTTCACCGTTCTTAGGGCACAAAAAAGTACCATGTAAGTTCAAAGCCGCGAGCTCGAGATTGGAAGGGCTGAGCCAGTCCCGGGGTAGGAAAAAATGCCTCTTGAAGGTCGAAAAGTCCGTGTCGATTTCCCATGTACAGAGCCAGTATTGATGATCAAGGAAGGCCACACGATCATGGTAGCTACCAATCAACCGTGCGACACGCTTTGATAACTGGTCCAGGCTCTGACGGGCCACCTTTGCTTCGTCGTTCTGGCCGAGTTCTGAAGTTGGTACCAGTTCGAGTCTCAAACCCCGGGCAGAAGTGGCTCTAGAATGGCCAGTGTCAGGGAGGGTCTCGCATATAATGTAGCGGGAGTTCTTCGTCTTGGAAATACAATTCACATTCTCAGAGACTTCGGTAGGTCGGCTAGATGGACGTGGGAGCGCTGGCCGCTCCCTTGAGGCGGGTGATCCATGTTCAGCTTTTTTCGACCCTGAGGAGTCGCCGCTCTGTTTAATTACATCAGATTCTCCGGCGCCGGGATTTGGGGCATCAAGCTCCTTCTCAAGGCAAGCCAGTGTTTGCCAATCGTACCTTTGCACTACAGATGGGTCAATCCACAAGAGGACTTTATCGTCAAGTGGATGACTTATCCATCTTCTTCCACTTTTAGCTGACCAGTGGCGGCGACACAGCTCTTCTTTGCTTCTTAGATTCCAGACTCGATCCCCCGAGCGTGTTGATACAAGTAGTAACTTCTCGCTTGGATCGAAAATGAATTGTTCAACCGGTTCACTTAGGCGAAAGTCGAAAATTGGATACACTGCCCATTTCCCGGGCCCTTTGACTTCAAGGCGCTTCGCGACCACTCGTGCGCAATCGTCTCCAGACACGATGTATTTGCCAGAGCGTGACCACGCCAACGAGATGATTGATACAGTGGTAGCATGACTGTATACCTTTCGAAGCCTCTTTCCTTCTGACAAATCGTGGATGGAGATGGTGCCATCATCTTTCCCACAACAGTAGAATTTGTCATCAGCGTCACATGCTAAGGCTGTAGTCTGGTTGCGACTGTTATCATCACGAGAGAAGACAGGTTCCGAAAAGATAGATATCTCGCTATTGCTTGACGAATCTTCTCGGTCGGGCTCATCCGGACGGACTAGAGCGTCAGGCTCCCATACATTACAAAGTGACCCACGAGTGTCATAAATCCGTTGACCATCAGGGCTAAATGCAAGGTCTCGAACGAACTCATCATAATGAAGTCGATATAACAGCTGAAGTCGAGGGAAGGTCCAGACGCTGAGGCTGCCATTCTGATCACTGGTAAGCAGGAAACTTCCATCTTGGCTTATAATCATCTCTCGCGCCCCGAGATGGTTGTATTCGTCTTGTTCGTCCTCCAGAATTCGCCATTCGACTAGTGTGGTGTCTTGGTATAGTATGAGGAGAGAGGCATTGTCAGGCTGCCATACTGCTATCTCCGCGGTGTTCCAGACATCGCCAGAATCTTTATTTCGGTCTTCGTTGCGGATACATTTTCTCGGTAGCTGACAATCTTTTCTTGTCATATCCCATACAAGGACTGGTGCTCCACGGCATGCTATTGCAACCTTGTTGATATCTGGACTGAAAGTCATTAGTTGGGGACAATTGTGGTCGATATCATTGGCCTCTTCAGCTACGAAACTCCATTGCTCCTCTAGCGACTGGAGATTATAGCACGAGACAGAGCAGTCGTCTCTGCCTATCAATAGTTCATAGTCAACGTGACCGAAAGCTATCGTCATTGTACGGGCATAACCACCTTTTGGAAGGCAATGCACCTGCTTCCCTGTGCCAATATCCCAAACTCGGAAAGTATGTATTCCAGCCGTTGCAATGAGTGTGCCCGACTTGTTCAAGGTCATCGTCATCACCCACTCTCCATGCTTCATACGTCGAGCCTCCTCACAAGACTCTGCATGCCATACGATCAAAGTGCCACTGCCTCCAAGGAGCGTTATAAAATGCGATCCGGTGCAAAGAACTCTAGAAACTGTCTCATCCTCTCCCACATTCAATCGAGCAAGACAATCGTCCCAACCAGAAGAAGAGATCCCGGCAACGGAGAGAGTATTATCACGGGCTCCCCCATATGTTTCGCGCATTTTCGTGCCTCTGGGGCAAAATGGTGGTATCATTCTGAATATTGAAGTTGGGTTTTCTGCTAGATTTCGTCCAAACTTGCCCACAATGCGGATGATATCTACAGCCCATAACCGAAGGAATTCAGATGGCTCATCACCAACATCTCTTGATGAGGATATCGCAAAAGAGTTCTTGCGCCCTCTTTTTCGAACGTAAGCTTTGAGATCTTGAGCGGCATTCGTCAGGACTCGAAGATTTCCAGACAGAGCGATTGCATGGATCCAAGTAAGACAGTATCGTTCCAAAAACGAATTCAGAGCTAGAAGTAAATTGTTTGATTCACAAGATGCGTTGCGTACGTGGAAGGCCCAATTTTGTAATGCGTAGGGCAGGAACGGGTGGTCGTTTTCGAACGATGCGAGGCGGTTCCTTCTCGCCTGCCAAGGTTTGAAAGCAGTTTCAGCTGCCTGCATGAAAACAGCTTTCCACTTTCCATCGGAGAGATACTGCAGGCATCTGCGTGCAATATGTTCGTGGGCTTGATGACGTTCAATAATTGGAGACCGCTCTTCCTTGCAATCCAAAAGGAATTGGCAGGCAGTGCCGTGGATCATGAAAATCCTGGACTTTTCCATCCTGACAAAGTGGCCACAGATCTGTAGTATTGTGTTTTCAAGATTTATGAATCCATCAAACTCGGCCGATAAAGCAACGGTTAACTCATCCAGGTTCAGAGGTCGCGATACACACACCGTCCAGGTAAGTATTCCGAGGGCCATGGTGCGCAAGCGCTGTGGCTGATTCATAACGTGCCCTATCATTTTCGTATAGAGCGATTCCATTCCATCAGGAACATCATGCAAGGCTTTCCTGATGTCCTCACGGGTGTGCCAGTTCTCTTTTAGAGTATCCAGAGCCAGCCTCACCCAAAGGAATGAGCCAGAAGCTTTTTCAAGGACCTGATTGACCACATTTGCTTGGAACTCATTGTCATAAGGGAGGGCTGCCTGGACAACTTCCTCGACGTAGGCTCGAATGTCGGGCAAAGTATCACTGATAGATAGCCGCTCTTGATGGATAGACAAAGGATCAGAGCTGGCAATGAGTGCAAGCTCTTTAGTTGCCCTGCTGGTGATGAAGATTTGAATTGGAGTGACCGAGCGAATTTTTGTGAACAGATTTGTGAAAGACTGAGGTGACTCCGCTTCATCCAAAGCATCAATAACCCAGAATAAAGGAGTGGAGAACTGTGTTTTGAACAATATACCCTCAAAAATTTTCTCCCATATGAAGTTCAGCTTTTGTGATCCGAACAGAACCCCAGTTTCATTGGTCAAAGCGGACAAGGCATTCCCAAAATATTCATTTACCAGTGCTAATTGCAATGCAATGGATCTAAGACAATACGCTGTGGTCCGCTTTGCCTGATGACTTGACTGGAAGAAATGGTACTGGCAGCTCTTTCCCAGTGATTCTTGCTGAAGATGTTCAACGACAAAACTTGTGAGGGTAGACTTCCCAGTCGCTGGAGGCCCGGTAACCCAGTAGATTTTTGAGGTCTTTCCTGACGCATTCGTCCATTCGACAAATCTATCGTGCTCGGTGATCCACCTACAAGTGCCTTCCTTGGCCTCGCTTCGATATAAAGTGAGTTCGCTATCGGGTGCTTCATCTATACCGAGAATCTCCTGTAGCGTTCTGCCGTTCTTCACCGTACCTGGCTGTCTCCGAGTGGATCCTAAAGCATCAGATTTGTCAATAGTTCGTATAGATAGAGTCAATTCGGATCTCACCCCCAATATGCAATTTTCCTATCATCCACTTCAACACGTTCCTCACATCCACGTAGTTCGGGTCTTCAGGGGTCTTATATTTGCATACGCTGTGATGGTCTGCATTAAGTGAGCTTGATATTTCGCCAGGGTAGCCGAGCATCCCCGAGTCCTTCTCCACAACCTAGATACATGAGCTGCGGAGTGGCTCTGGAAGAAGCTAACCGACTGTGATCTTCAATTTGCCAATTGCAGTCTTTAATGACTCGTAGAAAGATACCAGTGTCAAATCCCCGCACAGGCTACGAAAAAGCTCGTTGATTACCTGTATTGATGTTGAATTGAGTTCAAGATCTTTAATATACATTTTAGGCGATGCCGTTGGGGCAGCGCTCAAAATGTTGTTGAGTGTGCGTGCATAATTGGAGCCTTTGTGTGGGGTGGAAAGGAAGACCATTCCCTGGACCTGGGACACCAACTGGGTGTATCTCTTATCACTCTTGCCAAGGATGTAAGCCTGCTTAAGTATCAGCTCTGGGGGCGCTCTTCTGTTTGGGTCAATATATTTATACTCGCCTTTTTGATGACGAGGCCACCCATTGAGTGAGCAACGAAGATGATAGGGTGCTGGAAGACACTATTTAGTCGAGTGGCTCGATCGGAACAGCTAGAGCGATTTGACTAACACTACCGATCGCGGGGCAAGGCTCAGGACCACCAGAGAAGGTCAACATTCGAAGCAGGAGATCTTTAGCAAAGTCGATCACATTCAGTGCTGTACTCGGTCCTTTTAGGCCTGCAGTGTATCCGAAAGTGAATATTCTGGAATTCGAGAGCTCTAGATCATGCGGCAGCCATGCTGGCCAGAAGTAATCGGTGTCTCTATTCCATGACCAAGTTCTACGCGATGAGCCACCCAAGCCATGAACGAAAATCAGGTCAACGTCTGACTCTTCAGTGCTGTAGAGGAGACTGAGCCCAAGTGTATCCGCGGCCGGTATTCCTGTGACACCACCGAAAGTGGTCAATTGGGTACCTAGACCGGAGAAGCTGGAATTTGCCGCTGTATGCTCGCGCTTTGGGGCGGTGGCGAAAAGATGGTAGGGTATGGAGGCTTGTAACCTCTCCGAGGGCTCTGATGCGGATCTGTGATCAGAGCGACTAGCAGTTTCGTTCGCTTCTGTAAATGGCTCGTTTGTTGCGCCATCATGACCAGGGGGCTCTAAATGCTGCGAGCTTTTGTTCCGACCAAACTTACGCAGCTGAAGACGTGACTATTCAGCGATCACAAAGGGGAGCGCAAAGAACATTGCTCACCATCTTGGATATGAATCATTGGGACGGGTATGTGCAGCACACATAGCCTGGAAAAGGCCTAAAAATGAGGTTTGGTTGAATCAATGATCTGCATTTCCAATTCTTGGGCCAGAGAAAAGGCTGAACGGCCTGTTCGCAAAAGAGCCGTCCCGGTCGTATTGCCCCTATGTAAATTTACTCGTGCTTACAGGCGAAAGCAGGCAACCGATACCGACGTACACGTAGTCGTATCTTTACACTAGTTGATGTAGCATCAAGTTAGTCCCTCATAGTAGCACACTACTGTACTGCGATAATCGTTGATTGGACTGAGCTGTACCGCTGTGGGATGCATGGAGTGTCTAGGCACGGGATTGAGGGCACAGATCGGTCCATTTTCGATGTAGATCAGAGCACAACCAAAGGCCCAGGCCAACGGGAGATATCCGATGTCTGGAACTTGCATGAGCCCGGGTGAGAATAGTAAATTTGGAGGCTCTGAAATTGATTTCTCGCAGGATCGAAGGCCCCCGAGGCGCCACTTAATCTGCATGCCCATCTCCCGCCAGGATTGTGGTAGCGTGGTTCGATCTTGTCATCCAAGGCTCGATATTAGAAGCAATAACCATCCACTTCGTCTCGAGCATCAAGAATGGCCGACGACGCGATTCCCGAGCACATTGTGAATCGTCATGGTGGCACGAAAACCGCGTCGGCGCCAATCGAACTGCCCAAGGTTGGGGGAAACTTCGTCTTGGATGAGAACGTGATCGACGGTACGGATGATATCGAGTCTATTCCTCACCCTGTTTCCCTATACCATTCTGCACGAAGAAGCAACTCGTAAGACGCGCTTGAACAGCGGTTGATGCGTGAATCTATCGCGATCCTCGAGAGGTCCGGAGCCACGTCTCCCTACTAATGCTGGAATAGGGGTACATCCCAGAGGACCAGATGCTGTCACATGGATCCCATGAGCTATACAAGTGTCGAGTAGACCTTTTTGCGGGAAATATGGGTTGAGCTCCACCTCATTGACCACTGGATGGATCCGTGCAGTGGTTAAGAGACGCAATATCTTCGGGCTCGAGAAATTACAAACGCCTGGTACGCTTGAGCGATGAAAAGCGTAAATCGTTTTGTGCGCCTCACCAATCAATCTGGTTTTGCCTTTGTCGACTAACTTTTCCATCGCTTCCCATGTAACATTGTACGCTTTAGACGTCGGAATGTCCGCGACCGGCTGAGACAATTCTCAACATGTGTTGCATGGAAAGAGTCGTGAGCCATGCGGCCTTCTTGTACATACCTTCCCATTTTGGTGGCGCTCAATACCATAATTCTCATTAGTCGCGTATGCGTACGACCCTCCGAAGATGAGTAAAGCTCATGATTGCGGGGGTTAAGAAGGGATGATCAAGCATCGGCAAGGAAACCCACAATGCATCAGGTACAAATCCACTGACTCCTCTTGAGCTTGTTTCTTCTGCGTCTAGATCGTGTTTGATATGCTCACCATACTTCAAATCCAAATTCTTCAGGCTCAGGTCCATGCCAACCTCCACATCTTCCGGCTTGTGGAAACAATTATGCCTGCACAAACCCAGAATCAGTTTTCAGGTCTAAGCGTTGCAAGTTTGCGAAAGAATTGTTGCACTAATATCTAGACTCGAGAGAAGTCGTACAGTTTGGTTACAATGAACAGTTCGTCTCTCGGAATGCCGCTTTCTTTGATGGCTTCTCCAATACTCCGCTCCACGGATCCCCAGCCATAGCCGAGTGCAGTATCAATGTGACGGTATCCAACCTGGAGAGCTTCCAAAACAGATGATTTTACCGAACCTTCTGGGTATTCTTTGGGATCTACTTGGAACGTTCCCAATCCACGGGAGGGAATGCGAACAGAAGTGCCATGAAGCGGGAATGAATCAGGCGGGAGCATCGTGATGTTAGTCTTAATGCGAAGAATGGCTCCTCAAGGAAGGGGAGAGCTTCAAAGAGTCGGTCCCGACTAACCGAGTATGTATGAAAGGCTCCTGGGTTGTATGAAATACGCCAGAAGCCACACTAGTCGTGTAATAAACAAGCCACAGACACTAGTGATGAGACTAGCGTGTACTGCTCTGGCAGAGCATTGCCCGCGTCTAGACTGCTTGTAACGACTTGCAGATCTCATAGGCAAAATGGGGCGTTTTATCAGAATGTGAACACTCTTCTACCGACGCTATAATATGCATGGATTGAGGGGGCTCTCCACAGTCAAGATGATAGGCCATTCATGTGATTCTCGCCCCTCACCTAGCCCCTACCACATCCTCTTTGTACGCCATATTCGCACCTTGTGACCCATCTTATTGGTTGATGGCACCTTGGAGGCCCACCATCACATCAACGCCATACTAAAGTCTGGGACCAGTCATTTCTACGACAAGCTTTGAGGCTCAAAACAAGGAGGTGGGAGAGGGTCTCAGGATCAGTAAAGGATCGTGAAGAATCTCACTTGCCACGGGACTCAACTACTTGTCTACTTACCTGAGAGGATCAACTCAAAATGGCTGGAGTTCCTGAAATGAATTTCTGCGAGCCGGCTCATCCCCCACCACCTGCCGCAACATTTCAAAACCTGAGCGCTACTGAAAAGGCTCAAAAGCGTTTCTCGCTGACTGGGAAATGTGCCGCCGGTCAGTAATGTTCATTTCCTGCGTCTCACACAACAAATCGCGAAGTGAGATGAGAGCTACTCTGATTCGGCGCAAGCGAAAAAGTATCCGGAGAAGCTCGAGGTCTTGGCTTGACCATACCGGAGGGCTTTCTCGAACATGATGCCGCAGCTATTGCGTTGCTAGACCTAGACGAGGAGGAGGGGCAGAAGGCGGTGCACACGCTGCACTTGCGCTTTCCCGAGAGGCAGACGAATATAATCTTCCGTCCCACCGACATAATAGACGCAGAGAGCCTGGGCAAGATCATTCATGAAATTGCCGAGTCGTTTGGAAAGCTAGATATACTGGTATGCTTGACAGGCATAGTCAACTCTGTAAGGGCCACCGACTATTCCCTAGACTCATTCCGAAAAAGCTATGATATGAGCACAAGCGGGACTTTCTTAACAGCTCAAGCCGTTGGTCGGTACATCCATCTACGCAAGGCCACCTTACCCTTAGCCCAGATTGACGCGATGGGTCTCTCACAGGGAGATGATTACGCGCAAGACTGGAGGATCCATCATCCTCACTGCAGCAACGGCGGGCCATATTGCCAACAACCCACAGACCCATGTGGCTTATGACACCTCTAAAGCGGGTGTGCAGCACATGACAAATTGCTTAGCTGCTGAGTGGGCTGAGTACGGTATTCGAGTCAACTCTTTGTCGCCGGGATACCTGGACAGTGGACTTAACGCCACAGATGATTTGGCCAATCTACTACCCACATCGTTTGAAAAGATACCAATGGGAAGGATGGGCCTCCAAGAAGAACTGACTGGCCCAATTTTACTTCTCGCTAGTACAGCCGGTAGTTTCATGAAAGGCTTTGATTTAAGAGTCGATGGTGAGCTCGCTCTAGAATTCCTCACGCCCTTTCAAGGTTAATAATCTCAATTCAAGGTCGATGCAAACTTTTTTGAGACATGGTCCTTCGAAGCACAAGACAAGGCTTAGTGACATTATAGGCAACTCTGAATTACTTTGTCCAATTCGTTTGTTCGATACGAAATGACTGATTGTCGAGGTCTAACGACGGACAGTAATGTGCATATTAATTTTCCTGAAAGCTTCGAAATGCCGATAAAGTAAGGACGATCTCGCAATATTCATGCTCCGGCGGCTGTAACCCATCCATGACTCAGAACGGGAGTTCAATGAAAACCTCTCTTGCTATTCCAGTCCAATCATGCTGCAGCTGTGGGAGGACCGATCGTGCTCGCAAGGCAGGTATATGAAACTGACACGCTACTGACAGCTACGAGATACTCTACTGCATTCGTGATGCTGTGAGATATTGGCAAACAATTGCTGAGCCTTCTTCGAATGGGAGGCATTGTACTTAGTTTCGTCCCAAGCAGCGACCGTAACTTACAGTATTGCAGAGCAAACGTATCCACCAGCATTACTTCGAGCCATAAATCCAATAGTAGCTTTGTGAATGAGGGCGGAGAGGGCAGCCTGCTGACATACGTGGTAAGGCAATACATCCATGGAAAACGAACACGGTCGATCAGCACGTCCGTAAATTGCCAAAGTGTTTCAGGGCATAAGTCTTACTGCCACAGTTGTAGCGTCTGTCACAATAAGGGTGAGATGCCTGGAGACCCACTTCCTTGACGACCTCTGTTTGTGTAACTCCGCCATTGGGATAGACGAGGCTTTCAAAGGCTCGAATGGCCACCGCAGCGTAGATGGACTTCGAAAATCCGAACAGCGTTGCTGAGATCATCGCCCCAACCACGCTAATCGGGAGCGTGGGTTTCCTTCCTATCCTGTCACTGGATCTAGGCCATAGGGTACCAGTCAAGCATTCACACAAAGTGAAAATTGCCATCAAAAGACCCCCGAGAATGGCGGTGTACAACTTGGCCCCCGCTCTGAACGATTGTATCATGAAGTATGCGTGAGGGAAGATCGATGTCCATGCTGAAGCCTCACTGAATCTGACGAGACCTTACAAACAATGAACTCGGGCCATGGACGTGTGCGTCGTATAGAAGCAAGCATAAATAGCTGCGTGCGGACCTCTGAGAAGTGGCTGGCATTTGATCGCCTTGGCCCGCAGCGGCCCAGCATCACTCTATTCACTTTGACAGAATCCTAGAATGTAAGTCTAGGTTAGCCTAGGGCATATGCTGATCATAGCGGGATATCAGGAATGCCGCGCATCATAAAGAGGCAGCATAGAACTACCTCCGTTGCTACTGACAGTCAAATAGAATGGTGGATCAGCAATTTATTGCGACGAAATCTGGGGGCCATCACTGGCCTGAGCGCCCCCCGGTAAATCCCCGAAAGTGCAGTCAAAGAGCGGGGCTAAGGTACAGACACGACAACAAGACAAGATCGACATGCTCTCACGATTCAAAAGGGTAACAGTCGACGCTCGGAAGTACATACTCAATCATACTAATTATCTTGTAGTAATCAAAAGTAAAAAGTTGAGCTTGTTTTCCCGGTGCCTGCACGACTTAGAGAAACTATCAAAGCCAAGAAATCTAATCTATTATTGTATGAAGATTTAGTTCTGCTCTTCACGCACAATGTCGCATTAGCACCCATCTTAAGGGACAGTACTTTGACCCGGCCACGCTCAGACTAAACCACCCTCGTCCTTAGAGTTCTCCTTGGCTGATTTTCCTCTTTTCGAAGCGATCTTGAAGAATTTAAGTAGTCTCAGGTGGCCTTGCGCTGGTAAGGCTTGTCTACAGCGATCATGATGAATAGCTGGCGGAAAAGTCCCCTGCCAAGTGTCGCTGGTGATGTCGGACCCCGAGATTCGTAACGCTTGGGACGCTTCCACCTTTGATCCACATGCATTGAGTGCATGCTGCACGAAAGAGGTCTCTAGATATCTCTTGAATCCAGCCGCATGCTGCAATGCTTTCACGGAAAGCTCCAATCGTTTTCTATTCCGCACAGCCAGTCACTATTCGATCTCCGCCCAATTAGGTAAGCCCGTTGAACGCCGATAGAAAGCATCCGACGACCTCATCCTGTATTTCGCTCTATGAGGCCTTATTGTTTTATCAATCTCAGTCTTCGACTCTGAAAATGGCGACGTCCACCAAATCCTGGCTTGAAATACCTTCTGATTCGCCCTTCTCACTGGCCAATATCCCTTTCGGCATAATCAGTACTTCGGCCTCTCCTCGACCGCGCACGGCAATAGCAATCGGTGACTACGCCCTCGACCTCTCCGCCTTTGCCAAAGGAAATGGCTTCTCAGAAGTCGCCAGTATCCAGACTTACCTCTTGGTCTTCGATCAACCAACTCTGAATGACTTTGCCGCGCTCCCACAGTCGATCCGCCGCGACGTTCGCTCGTACATACAACAAGTCTTCCAGTCGGACTCGCCACACGCTGAGATCCTCACACATAACTCAGACTTAAAGCAGCAAGTGCTGCTGCCGCTGAGTGAAGTGCGGACTCATCTCCCATTCGCAATTGGCGACTACACGGACTTTTATGTAGGCTTGCATCATGCGCAGCGCTGCAGTGATCTCTTCGGCTTGACCCTGCATCCAAATTACCGCTCGCTTCCAACAGCATATCACGGCCGCGCTTCCTCCGTCGTTGTGTCAGGCACTAACATTCGTCGACCATGGGGACAATATTTGCCCGACCCGATGGCGAAGGAGAAAATCGCAACATACGCGCCGACTCAAAGGTTAGACTATGAGCTTGAACTTGGCGCATTTATATGCGGAGCGAACAAACTCGGTGAACCGATTCCTATTGATCAAGCAAAGGACAACATCTTTGGACTCGTACTTCTGAATGATTGGAGTGTGAGAGACGTACAGATGTGGGAAATGCCACCGTTGGGCCCGTTCAATGCGAAGAATCTCGGTACGAGTGTCAGCCCGTGGGTCATAACGCTTGAGGCGTTGGAACCGTTTGCGACAACAGGCATACCCAATGATCGGGAAATTCTGCCGTACATGAAGGAAGCGAATAAGCAGAGTCACTATGACATCAGGCTTGAGGTCGCAATTGCGCGTGAGTCCCTCTTCCACCTTTCATAATTGATGTTCCCAGAAAGAAAGACAACTGATTGGAAATGGGTGTAGCGAAAGCGACAGGCAAGTCCAAAACCATCTCCCACAGCAATGCATCCAATCTGCTCTGGTCCTACCCGCAGATGCTGGCACACCACTCAGTGACGGGCTGCAATATGCGCGTGGGAGACTTGCTAGGTAGCGGGACAGTCTCCGGGAAAGAGGACGGCAGCGAGGGATGCCTGCTGGAACAGACGAAAGCTGCAAAGGTTCCCGTCAAACTTGACGGTGGAGAGGAAAGGAGATTCCTCGAGGACGGAGACACGGTAACGTTTCGAGGATTCGCCGGAAAAGAGGGAGCACTAGTAGGCTTCGGCGAATGCACAGGAATGATAGAACCTGCTTTAAAGCATTGAATGGTTGTGTCATTAACAATTCTTAAAGTGCCAACGGAGTGGAAATGATTAGGATAAAAACAAATGATATGAAGTTAGAAGTTGGATGCTGAACCGGCGTTAATTCTTCTTGCAGGCTAAAGAAAGGGGCAGAGGGGCTCTCCCGGCTCCGTTGGCGTTCTAAAGTTAAGCATCGATCTCGTTCCCGACTGGTGGATGTAGAGTTTGGATGGGCGGCTGAGACCGAGGGGATGACTCTTACAAGCTGAATGCCTGAAATGGGAAGGAATTAGAAGACGGGTGGAGCCTGTTGAATCAACCCAGTCCACTGTATAGCCATTATATTCACGGTGTCCCTGCATCCTGAAAGAAGGGAAAACTGATGGATGGTAGAGATGCCTGATTGTTCGAATGTCACCGCTTGTTTCGAAGCTGCATCACGCACGTAGGGCAGGCAGGTTGCAGATTGCGTGCAGATGGCCGTCATGGATAGGGCTTAGCCCCCAGAAAGAGTAGACCCCAACAATCATTGCATTATTTGATGTCTGTATCCATTTGTTCGAATAATGAGAAGTGGAGAACAAACGGCTTGTTACTCGAGGAACAAGTCAATCAGCGGGCCGGAACAGGCGGAGGGTGGATATCAACGGCTGAGGAGCTGTGGTTGTGGTGAGAACTGCCGTTTAGGGGACTCCCCCCTGGGCCCCCGGGGACCCAGCTGGGCGGGACCCACCATAAGCGACAGCCCGCCGAAATGTTAATCTTGATTTGTGCCTGATTACTGGTCACTGCTCTCTGCCCGCCACTTCGTTAGGTCATGCAACCTGCCTGGCCATTCCCCTTCCACTCCTCTACACTACTTACTATACAACACATTTGACACTTCACTTTGTCCACTGACACTCTACATGAGCAATCATGAACAGCAACGTCCTCCCTCTTCCCGAGTGAAACCCTTGACCAAAACCTACTCCGTCACTCCCCCTCGAGTCCTCTTTTGGAATCCTCAAGTGTCACCACAGTCATAGAATTTTAGCAAAATTGATTAAAGGAAGAGGGAATGGTGGGAGCTATATGACATTCACACCCCGCTCACTCAATGATTTTATGCTCGAGCTGCAACCCAACAAGAGCAAGTGCCGAACATGAACTCCTTCGACCAGGCTGCGTATAGGTATGAAGACATTTTGCTTGCAAGAGAAAGCGAGCAAGCATGCTACGGAAAATGAGATCGAGAGCTGTCAGTGAAGATCGCTGACATTTGGTTGACTGCAGTTTCCATTACTCTGGCAATGAACCTCCAACACCAACAAGAACACCTACATCCCCCTCATTCTTCCTCAACTCTTTCGAAACCCCCAAGCAAGACTACAAACCCCAAGATACTCGATCACCATGGGGAAATGCTTTCGCCAATGCACTGAGTCCCAGCTTCAAGACGCCCAATCTGGTCACCTTCAGCCCGTCCACCCCCACCCATCATGAGGGCGCAATATCGGGAAAGAATGTGGAGGCACAGATAGCGACGCATGAGCAACTTTCTCAAATTTCAAATGCACCTGCCGGCTTTGAAGAGGTGACCCAACATGTGGACTTTTCTCTCGATCCATCGCAATTCACTCTGGAGGAAGTGAATCCACAGGATGGTTTGAAAACTAGTATCGATACCCAAGTGAGCTCTGCTGGATCCATACAGACGCCTCCACCAACGGGTACGTCTGCCTCAAAGAGAAATGCCCAGCAGGCTCAAGCAGCGAGACTGGCCAAGGAAAATACCTCAAAAGCTGGCCGGAGGATGTCCTTCCCAGCATCGGTGCATAAAGATCAGGCGAGTATGCAGCTGAACATGCTTGAGGGATCTCCGCTACAATTTCCGCCCCTTCAATTTTCTCCTGACAATCTCGGCTTTCCTCACTCAGGTCCTGCGACAGCACCGGCCTATCCACAACATAAACTTTTTTGGGACCCAGATCAAAATGCAGAGGCTGTAGGGTTTGACATGCCTATGGATGACCCTCTGTCTGCATTCGGTATCTCGACTCAGCAGGGCTTGAACGCATTCACCTCACAGCAAGTCACTAAAGCTATCCCAGCATTTCCTGGTACCTCCCAAGCCAGTGGAATGGAACCACACTCCATGATGCCGCAAGCGAGTCACCCTAATGCATTTAGCCACATGAATACCAACTCGTCAATTGCCATGGCCTCCCAAGGACAACAATCTGTCGTACATCGAGGGCTCGGTGTGAATCCAAACCTCTTGTTTAGCTCCTCCAATAGACCCTCCGACCTAGGGCAATTGGACCACTACGGCCAAGGGTACATAGATGAGAACCTGCAGCCGTACGCTCAACAACTTCGAGATGCACAAATGGAGCAAGAGTATCAAAATCGTAAGCAGAAGCGAAAACGACCACCAGAACTAGGTGAATCCCCGGCAGTCAAAGCTGCCATCGAATCTCTGCGGGAAGACCGAACAGATTCAAGCAAATCCAGCCCTGTATTAGACGATAGTTATTTTGGTGCATTACCCAATGGTCCCCCTCAGCTAGGGGGAGATTTTCCAAGCCGAAAGAGGATGACACCGGATAATCATTATAGGAAAAATGCGGGCCCTCAGTCACTTCATAGGCGGAGAAGTAATAAAACGCCGGCTCAACGCACTGAAGTTACACTCGAGATTGATGAGACTGGCCGTGCTATTACTAAGACATCGATCATCAAAGAATCAAGGGACTCGCCAATGGATGAAGATAGTGAATCCCAGGATAGTGACAGCAGCTCGGGGTCAGAGGATGAAATGGTCCTCAGTCATCACCAATCTTTCATGCGGCCACCATCAAGGCAGAAGTCCGGACGGACGGCACGCTTTGCTGGTGAACCCTACTCGCATTCGCAAAGATCATCAGATGCATCTACGTTAGCATCCGGTAGGACGGGCTCTTCATCAGGTCGTCGTGCAAGCCAGCTGGGTCAAATGCAAGCTCATTCACAATCAAATCAGTCCTTCGCTGGCCAGGATGAAGCCAGCGAAGTGGAGACCGTGGTTGATTCTGACGATGATCGTGGCGAAGCACAGGCGCAATTGAAAAAAGTCGTTAACGATCGCTCACGTAGGAAAAGCAGTCGATCCTCTGCACCTGCCATGAGACAGATGCCAGGCAGTCGGAGGCAGTCACAGCTCTCAGAGGTCCATACGGCCAACCCATACTTCATTACCCACGACCAAAGTGTAAATCAAGGCATGTATCCACCTATGAACCATAGCTCGCCAACTACAATCACGGACCCTGATTTCAACACGCCAAACAGTCGTATCAGTAACGCCAGTGATGGATCCACGAGGTGTGTGTGCAATGTGCCCGATGGCAATGGCCAGCTCATGATCCAATGGTAAGTCGTGACTTCCTTTACTCAGCAATTATGTTTCTAACCTCCGCTAGCGAATCATGTAGGAAATGGCTGCACACAGGCTGCGTAGGTCTTGATCGACACAATCTGCCTAGTGTCTACCTGTGTACGTTCTGTACTGATACGCCCCGTCTCGCTCGAGGAGGTAGAGGTGCGAGGGATCCGGCGAGGGTGACATTCATGGCACCCAATTCGCCGCTCGCACACAAAGCACATCGCTTTTAGTTGTAACAAACAATTGCAAGATGAATATGAATGCCATGATTTCGTGATTTTGTGCATTGATTCGAGGTGGAAACCTGGATACCAATTGGGGGTGGAAACCTGGCACCGAGATGAGCTCATGAATGTACTGCATAGCATGGCGTTACGGCCGAAGAACGGCAAGGGTAATAGAAATATTATCGACAGGATTCTATTCGTATACAGTGTATGCTATATATGCTGTAGCATTGATGAAATATTATATTCCACTGGATCTCTGTCCACGGCCTCCAAAATTAGTTCTGTCTCAGTTATGATTGATATAGACTTATGGATGCCACAAGACCGCCATTGAGTCTATTACAATCTGTAAGAAGCGTAGTCGATGGCAAAAGGTGTCTTCAATATGGCGAAAGGGTAGACTCGGGTGGAACGCTACGTCATCATGCATTGTTTTGCTCGCCGCTCGTTCCGTCAGAAATCAAGCAGGCTACGACGCACTGGATGCGGCGTGTCAGATTGCTCCAACATTGCTATCCATATGATTTTACGTGTCATCGGTCCTACACATCATGACCTTCGCACAATCCTGCCATAAATCACACCGGCTAACGATACCGCCAGTCAGCGCAACACCTTACTAAAGTAGTTTCGTCTCACCCACATCCAGGCCGGCATGTATCTTCGAAAGCCGATGCCGAGAACCAACTCGTAGCAAGAGTTCTCCCGAATGATCGAGAAAACCACACAAGACCTAGGGGCAACAATAACACGCGAATCCACTGTTGCAATGGTCAGCAATGGCAGCCGAAAGCTCGACGACATTTAAAGACCGAAAGCAAGATCTCGTGACTGTAAAGCCCATGCAGATTGACATACCAAAGCCCCGATTCGAGCCAATACATTCGGAGAGACAAGATGAGCCTTCAACTGACTCGAGTCAAGATGGCACACCATCGCAGGAGGAGCTGCAATCAGCCATCGGTGTCAGCATCAACAGAGAGCAGATTCGGCTCGCCTCCCCCAACACACCAGCCGCAGAAAAGGCAGCTGCCATGGAGGACATGGACTGTTTCTTCGACGGCACGGTCGAAGGGATAGAAGAAAGAGAGAATGCGTGTAATATTTCGAATGGGGCATCTACACGACCTGAGACACCTCCAAGCTCGCCACCTCCAAGCGCAAAGCTGCCGTCTCCGTGGCGAGCATCACCCAAGGCATTCGAGAAGTCGAAAGAGCAAGCTGGAGGCTTCACAGAGATGCTTCCTGACTTTGGAAAGTACATGCCCAGCTTCAACTTGCCCACTAGACCGAGAGCACCTACACTGAAAGACCTCTCCATCCCATCCCTTGCCTCAATTCTGAATACCGTCAGGTCACAGTCACCGACAAGGAAAGGCACAAAGAAGAGGTCAAACACTCAAGGTGATCTCAAACGAGACTGGGTCACTGTTCCCCAGCACGACGAACAAGAGCAGAAGCCTGTCTTAGGAGACAGCCACGGAGGGACACCGCAGTCGAACAAAGTCCAAATCGACGGCAACCCTACGAGTACTTCGAATGCGCCGCTAACAACAATCTCCAAAGCGCCCTCGCTCCGTAGAGCAACTTCTGATCAATCACTATATCTTCGACATGTCAAATCCTCGTCGCCATCTCTCGGTGACGACACTCGATGGGAGAATGTTCGTGAGCAGGTCAATAGCAGAGCGAAGGCCGTAAGGGATAGTCTACAGGACTCAAACTTCAAATTTCCTAGTCTTCCGCGTCTGCCCAACTTTGCCGATTTTCTGTCTGAGACAAAGCGAAGCCGTGCTGTGAGCGATGCAGAAGGGTCTCGCTATGCAAAGCGAATCGAAGGAAGCTTCATCCAGCTCTCCGAAGCATCAGACAAACCTAAACAGCTGGAACAACTTGTAGATCAAACCCCAAAGACTCTTCCCGTAAGATTTCCTCATCTCGACAGTGCACTTGAGCAGCTCACCGGAGACTTGGTCGTTTTGGGAGGCTATCGTGGCTCAGTCCTTCGTGATGCGAAGCCTCCATGTCGCCAACTATGGGTGCCAATGAAAGTTGGTCTTAACATTCGAAAGGTCAATCTTGAGGTTGGCTTCAACCCTGAGGACGAGGAAAGAACGGAGGAAAGTGTCATTGCTTCTGGGATGCTCTCCCATATTGGACCCATAGACATGGGCAGGCGATTGCTCAAACGTCTTAAGACATGCAAGAATGTGGAAGAAGGAAAGCTAAGGGTGCACGACTATGGTTATGACTGGCGGTTGAGCCCGCATTTACTAAGTCGGAAATTAGTACAATTCCTAGAAAGTCTACCATCGAATCGGCCAGATGTGGAAGCTAACGATAGAGGAGCAACAGTACTCTGTCACAGCATGGGTGGGCTCATCACAAGGCATGTAGTCAACTACCGACCAGAACTGTTTGCTGGTGTTGTTTACGCTGGAGTACCACAGCATTGTGTCAACATCCTCGGCCCCTTCCGTAACGGAGACGAAGTACTCCTGAGCTCGAAGGTTCTCACCGCTCAAGTCAACTTCTCCATGCGAAGTAGCTTTGTCCTGCTACCAGATGACGGACATTGCTTTATCAACAAGGAAACTAAGGAAGAATACCCCGTTGATTTCTACGACCCCGCAGATTGGGAGAGATATGCCTTCTCACCTTGTGTCGCTCCGACATTGCCGGCTGCCACAGAGAAGAAGGGGATGTTAGGCACGCTATCTGACACCTTCCCGTTCCGCAACATGCTTTCAATTACCGGGAAAGAGACAGATCCCGTATCTAATTCAACAGAAACTCCGGCCGAAAAAGTCTTCGACGCCAAAGAACCTCACGTGGTAGACCCCCAGCCCAATATGGCCACGCGGCCTGCCAATACCGACTGCACCCTCCCAAAAGCCGAAGCAATGGCCTACCTAACCCGCACACTATCCTCAATCCTGACCTTCCGTCGCGAACTCGCTCACAGCCCAGCCCACGAGACCACCAACGCCTATCCCCCCTCTCCCTCATCTATGCCAACAACACCCCCACAGTCTGCGCAGCCCAGGTCTCGTCTCGCGAAGCCATAAAGCGCGCCGATGCTTACGACGATCTCAAATTCGGCTCCGGAGACGGCGTCGTGCTAGCTAAAGCCGCCATGCTCCCCAAAGGCTATCGAGCTGCCAAAGGAGGCAAGATCAAGACGGAGCGAGGACACGTGGGGCTTCTTGGTGACTTGGAGGCTGTTGGCAAAGCGCTAGGTGCTGTCCTAGCGGCTAGGAAGCGGGGAGTTGGATTGGGTGGTGCGATAGAGGCTTCGGAGGCTAGATGAAATGGGGGAATTCGAGGGGACAACACATTCGATGGGAGATCTGAGGATTGTTGCTTTGGGAAATTCTGTGGGAGTAGTGGGTGTGAGGGAAGGTGAATGAGGTATTTAAATTTCTGACGGACGTGTTGGAGGAAGGTTCGGGGCTGCCTGTTACCGGATGGTTCCAACATGTTGGATGCTTGTGAGGCTCTGCCACAACGCTAGCGTGGATATTGCCTTAGGCTGACAGGAGCAGCATGCTGTGATGAATAGGGGATGATTGACTGATTTCGTGGGTGAAGAAGACAACAGATCTGCTTGAGTAAGGTCGAGGCTCGATATGAGCTGCGTGCGATGGATGCATGAAGCTGATGGACTCATGCCCTAGTCCTATACAAGAGAACTTTGCGAAAATTTCTGAGTCTCAACTTGCAGACCATATTCTACATGACTGACCTGTTTTCCTGCGAGGTATGTCGATTGAAAGTCATTTAGTTTCACAGACGCAGTCCTGAGCTCGCAAGGTCAAACGTGCAAGATCTGCCATGTGCTTCAAGGCTTTGTTCTTTTCCATTCCGTTTGCTACCGACGACACCAAAATCACTGTTCAATTCTTCTCATCATGCAACAGTCACACGAAGACCGCTTGGCTTGAAAAACCTTTGCAGGATACAGCTAGAGAAAATTGTGATCACATTTCGTTCCTTCGCCATGGGCAACGGATACGTCTCAATTCTATATATCCTTGAAAGGGATTGCTTTTGCTGACACTCTTCTGAGGGATGGAATTGACGAGAACGAGAAACCAGACTCACATAGGCTCCGCATCCTGCCATGAGGATGTCTGATAAAGGAATGATATTTGGTCGATTGCAATCAATCCATCACAACCTGAAGGCGGCCTCCCAAAAGTCAACTCAAACAGCGGCGCCTTTACAAGTCTCTTGTATATACTCATTCTCAACACTCTTCTGGAGTTGGAAGCTGCACTCGTCTTGTTTCTGGTCGTGGTGGTCTTTTTGCGACTCGATCAGCAGAAGGTTCGCGCATGATGAGCCGAACGTCTCAGGCTGAAACGGCTCTGTGCAAAGCCACAATGGAGCTCTCATGTTTTTCATATGGGACGTTCAAGTCACAAGATTCGGAGAATGGAGCTTTCTGCTGAACGCCTTTTGCGGAGTTGAGAACCTTTGTGTCCAGCTTACGACAGTCAGGGATCCGTGGCCAGATGCCATGTAACGCCAGCATTCACCATTCCATCAAGCTCGATGAGTCTCACCAGCTGCGCCCGGCGATACTGCGGGTACTCGATCGAGGCCACCTCTACCGCGACAGTACGTTCCCATCTCCTTTATCTAACTTGACTCTCACGCCTCTCCAGCTTCCCCTCAGCACTCTCTACTGCGATGCGATCCACCTGACCGACGACGTGCTTTTCGACGGCAAATGCACCTCATCAGTCAAGACGATCATCTTGCCAACCCCGATCTCATACGAATTGCCCGCAAGCTACAGCACTGACATTGCTGGCGCCTATCAAGCTGGCAGTCTTGCCTTCTATGAGTCCGTCTTCTCAACGACGCCGACGTGCGAATACGATGAGCTAACCATCTCGACTACCACCTTGCCTGAACTCAGCACTACTGTCACTGCATTTCCAAGCGTTGTCCATGGTGATTCTACTTCAGGTTCTGGGGGAGGGGTCAACCATGCGCTAAATACGGACAACTCGACCTCGCATCGAAACCGCCTACTAGCTGCCCTTCTCACATCTATTATCGGCGCTCTCATGCTGGCATTACTCGGTAGTGTCTGGTACACCCGCCGTTGGCGCGCTCGCCGAAGACAGCACCTCACCACCCATCCCCACCCGCCATCCCAGCTCGCCATTCCTTATAAAAGATACAAATCCAAACTCCCTAGCATCCCTGAAGTCCGTATTCACGCCCCTCACAAGCCCTTACACCCATCAGGACTCTCCTCCACTCTCTTCACGAACGAAGAACTTCCAAGATATGGGCGAAACCTCCAGGAACTGCCTGGTCACGACATCGCCGTCGAAGTCGCCACCACACCCCCGAGTCGCGCGTCATCAAAGAATCGCAGACTCTTGGACTGGTTGGGCCAGCTGGAAGCGAGGTTCAAGCGTGGGGTAGAGAGTAGTACGTCAAGAAGTACGAGGGGGACAAGTGGGAAGGATGGACGGTCATCTGAAGATGAGTGGGAGGGAGGGGAAAGTATCGTTATCAGGTGTTATGGAGATTCGTTGGGCAAGAGGATGCAGGAGGGCGAAAAAGGGTCTTGGTGACGGAGGGGATGAGCGCAGGGGGGAGATGAGCGCCAAGTAGGTGCCAAGTTTCGTACTTCCTCTTCAGGACGGTTCGTTCGCTGCCAACTACCTGGGGAAGAGGAGATGCGTTCCATTTCTGGCATCTGCCATATCGAGATTCACGAGGACGCATTCCTCACTCTGGCCTGGTCTGGCTTGGCTCCATTCATCGGCTGTGAGACATCCGATCTGCTATTGCAGACACCGACTTGGCAGCCAAGATGTCCCTTCTCGCGCCCTTATAATCTTTGGACGCCTGTTCTCGAAGATTGGCATGCACCGCCAACGGCATTCGCGAGGAGCAGACATGCATTCTGCAGTGCGTTTGAGTGCTGAGGCGACCACTACACGTCATTGCGCTCTTGGCTGTTGCTTCGAGAGAAATGCGTTGCTGTAAAGGTAAAGGTGGAGAGCGCCCAGCAAATTCGGGCACCGAAATAAATGCAACGACAACAGTTGTATGCATTTACGACGCGGAGGCGAAGAATCGCTATCAGATCTTACGATCACGCGACCATGTCCGTTCCGTAGATCTCCCCGCCGCTTCGCCACCGCTCTGTCGATGTACGACACACCGCTACATCCCCTCAGCCCTCACCAAACCTCACTGAGTTCACCCATCACTTGGTATACCAACCATGCTTTCCCGCACAATCGCCATCATCGTCTTCTGCCTCGTCCTCGCGCTCGCATCCCTCATCGGCATACCAACTTATATCTACGTCCGCCGTCGACGTCGCCGCCGCCACCGTCACCAGCCCCACCAACATCAACACCATTCCCCTAATCATTATCATAGCCCCTTCTCCTATAAGTACCACAAGACCTGGTTCCCTAACGTCAAACTCACCCAGCAGTCATCAACATCAACACCTCCCCTCAACTACGAAGAAAGGAAACAAACGCATGCAGACCGCAAGGTGTTCTCCTGGTTCGAGAAGGTAGATCCGGATGCGGATCGACGGGGGATTTTCCGACTTTCCGTAGGTGATGGGGGCGGGGGCGGGGACGGGCGGAGGAAGAGTATCTGGCAGTTGAGTGAGGAAGAGATGAGAGATTTCGAAGAGAAGCTGGAGGCTTTGAGAGGAAGAGAGAGCGTGGCGAGTTGTAGGAGTGGGGAAGGTTGACATGGGGGTCTGAACGAGAGCTTTGTAGACCCGGCTGGCTGCCCGAATTGATGTATCCGATTTAGCTGATCGGCTTATGCTTATGAACCCCGAGAATAAAATCAGGTACAGCAGCATGAGAGATCAAATTTAACCGACCCCTTCACCCAGTGATAGCTACAATGAAGGCGTCAGGTCACCGATACCTGAAGGTGGTGCGCAAACGAGGCAACTTTGACGACAACAGACGTCATGGAAGAGCAAAGACAAGGAAATGGATGGTCACGACAAACAGCTACCGCAACCGCCACCCCGCTGCCGTGATGGGAGGAGCGAAAGTATTCTGCTGAACAATACATGATCCTAAGCAAACGAAACGAATCTTTGTCTGTCATACAGAGCCCACTCAGGTCTCGGGCATTTTTTCCCCTTGCGTTACACCTTTTCATCTTCAGTTATTCTACAAGACTCTCTGAAGGAAGGATGATCGAATCTGACCGAAACAGACTTTCAAGGACGCAAATTTGCCTAGCCTTTCCTCCATACAAATTCCCGCCTCCATCCAGTGGCAGTCTAAGTTGAACCGCCACCCCGCCACCCCGCTCCTCCGTCCTCCGTCCTCCGTGTGTGTGTGTGAGTGAATGAATGGTATGAGATAGCACTTGCTTTCCAGCCAGGGATTGCGATTTATGTTCGTCCCGAGCATTTCCTGGTTGCGGTTTTTGTTCCCTATTAGATTGCTTCTGTTGTTAGTTCGGAATGATGGATGGATGGATGGATCTGGAGATCTACTACCACCGCACTTCGTCTGGCTCGAAGCGAGTCTTTGATCGTAAGCATTGCTAGGGGTTCTCAGACTAGCTAATGGAGCACTATCATGGTGGTCCACGAAGGTCAACCATTACGTTTGTTTTTGCCCCATCATGGTGTTTTTACTCTGAGCGCCCCTGCTTTGACATCTCTCATAGTAGTTTGAAAATTTCAACTAATCATTTCACGTTTATTTCCGCCTTCTATCTTGATGGCCGGCTGTTTTCTTCAAGATGCCTAAGCTACTTAAAGACGACTATTTAATCGCGTTATAACTATTAGAAAGTATAGCGATAGGATGCGATAGCTTAAGAGCGAGGTAGGGGTATAGGACGAGGTCGTTAAGTAGGGGGGGTTAAGTAGGTAGGTTGAAGAGGAGCAAATGGCCAAAATACTATATGGATCAAAACAGTGGAGGTCAGGAGGTCTACAGTGGAGGTGTGGAGGTCCACGGTGGATTTAAAACGATGGACCACCATGATGGTCGTTGCTAGGCTATAAACAGTAAAGTCGTAGCCCCTACACCATTATGGCCGTCGATCGTGGACCACCATGATAGTGCTCCATTAGCTGGTCTGAGAACTCCTAGTAGTATTAGACTGCTTTCAGCTAAGGATTGCCATGTTCGCCCGAGCAGTTCCGGGTGTGATTTTTTTATTACTTCTATTAATTCAGAATAATAGATCTGAGATCTACTACCACCTTCGTCTAGCTCGAATCGAGCCTTCGACCCTAAGCACTATTTCGTATTGAGTCCGAGTGTTTGCGTTGTCTAACAGACAGCGCCAGCAAAGTTGATTGCAAAGAGAGATGTAATATTCACGGAACTCATTGGTCATATCTTGCGCTTGTGTCATTTCCCTGGATGAGAGTGCATCCAGTACGAGACAGAGCTCTATATAAGGACAGTGAGCGACCTTCTGCTGGATCATAGGTACGAGAAACCAGCACTGATATCGGGCAAGCTTCTCGCTGCTCTTCTGGATCAACCTTTTGTTCAGTCTTGGGAAACATGTCGAATACTCATCTCATTTCCTCCATCTGCCTCTTCGTGTTCACCACCGTTATTGCCCAGCTTGACGTCGCGACCAAATGCGGCATTCCAGCCCTTGCCGATGTGAACGTGTGTCTTGGCACCAGTGGCAAGCGCTACGAAGTCATTGTCGGCCCCAGAGTCGATTCTCTGACCTGCGACTTTCAAATTTTCACGAGCGGCAACAAGGCCGACGAGGACAGGAACTTTCCAAATATCTATCTCACGGCGGTCAATCTCGGCAAGAATTATGATTACAGCAATGCCCGGCCCAAATTCGAACCCGAGCTGGCCAAGCAACCCAGTCGGATCACAGATGGCCAAATCAGTACAACGACAGAGATTACGACCTACTACTTACAATATAGAGGCGGTTTAGAGGATGATGCGATGCCTATTTGGGGGAACGATACGAACGGGAAAGAGCAGCAGATTCCAGCCACTCCGCTCAAGTTAAAAGTGGGGTATCAGTGTGTGAATGACATTCCTAAGGTGGCGATAGTGCGTCCTCCTGGCAGTAAGTTCTTACCATCTCCATCTTCCTGACCCTTGTCATATATTCGGCAGAAACTAACGGGTGAAATTTCCTCCTCTCCAGCTAGGTTTTTCTTCGTTCCAGATGGCGATGTCCCCAATAACGAAGGATTTTTAGAAATTTACGGCTTAGAAATGGTAGATAGAGTTTCTTACGCCGAAGAACTTCTCTATGTCGATGTCGGGATCGAACCCGTATAGTAATTATAGCCACAGGACTTTCAGCCATCCATCGCTGCTAACGGAGAAGGGGGGGAAAGCTGGCTGGCTGGCCTAGAAGCTCGGAATCAGTAGTAGTTGATGTACCTTACTTCAGACACCCATCCATCACTCAGCCCGTGCTTCCCTATTCTACATTACCCTCTCCTAATCATCTTACCAACCCCGTCCGGTCCGGTCCCCTTTCCATCCCAACCACATGCGGTATCAATGCTCTCTATAATCACATATTGGTGACTTATACATCTTCGTGTCTATCAAATGGGCGTAGACTGAGCGTGCAGGCTACGTGCTTTAAGAAAAGCGTAGCGACGCGGATTATGAGTGCTGTGGAATGCGGATTCCTTGAAGGAAGCGGGTCTTGGAAGGGAACGATGAGATTCGATCCGATGATGAGGTTGCTGGAGGTGTTTATAGGGTCCCTTTTGGGCCCAGGTTGATAGCGGTCGTGCTCAGAGCTGGCTTCTCTGATGTGTTGTGAAGAGTCAGTTCTGACAAAGAAGAGTAGCACCTTCCATTTCCTGCCCAGCTCTACTACGTCATCCACACAGCTTAAAAAAATGCGGAGTCGAGAAGACATGCCTCGGCATGGTCACAACATACACCCATACATTTCCAAACTCCTGCCTCTTCAAACTCCCTATTTTCTAAGATAAAATACCCTCTCGTCTCAAGACCAAAGACCCAGATCCCCCATCCCACGAACACCACCACCATGGCAGAACAAACCTCCCTTTCCTCCACCAGCAGCTCTCCCAACAACCCAAATAATTCCATTCCTCTCAACGATTCCTCGAAACCAGACTCTGCCACACCCACACCTACGCCCTCCCACCTCACCCAAGCCCCCATAGCCTACGAAATGGAAACCTACACCCGCGGCCTGTCCCCGCACTACTCCCGCCCAGCCATAACATTCCAGTCGACCGAATGGGAACCGCAAGCCTGCGCGCGCCTCTCGACCGACGCGCGAGGGTACGTGTACGGCAGCGCAGGGCAGCGCGAGACGTGTGAGAAGAATCGGGCCGCGTTTCGGAAGTGGAGTGTTGTGCCGAGACGGATGTGAGTTTTCTTTCCCTCCCAGCCCCAGCTTCAGCCCCAGCGTTTCTTGATTGGTTACTGTTTTTTGGAGAGGAAGGAAGGGAGGGGAGGAAGGGAAAGGGCGGGGGCTGATATTCACCAGGGTCGCCACAGACTCCTTCCCTGATCTGAGGGTGAAAGTACTAGGCGAAGAACTCGAGAGCCCAATCGCCGTGGCGCCGGTAGGCGTACAGAGAATTTTCCACCCGGAAGGGGAGGAAGCGGTCGCGAGGGCTTGTGCGAGCGTAGGCGTGCCGATGTGTATGAGTACGGCGGCGAGTGCTAGTATTGAGGATGTTGCGGTCGCGAATGGTGGGGAACGTACTGGTGGTGGTAAGGGGAATGGTGAGGGGAAGGAGCGGATCGAGGGTGGAGGGAGAAGGTGGTTCCAGCTCTACTGGCCCGCGAACAAAGATAATGATATCACGATCAGTCTACTTACCCGGGCGAAGAAAGCGGGATTCACGGTCTTGTTCGTGACGCTAGATACGTATACTGTGGGCTGGAGGCCGAGCGATTTGGATAATGGGTACAATCCGTTTATCAGGGCTGATAATATTGGTGTAGAGCCTGGGTTTTCGGATCCGGTGTTTAGGGGCAAGTGGAGGGGGAAGTATGGGGTTGAGGTTGAGGAGATGAAGGGGGAGGCGGCGAGGGCGTGGACGGGGACTGTGTTTCCGGGCTTTAGTCATGGGTGGGAGGATGTGGCGTTCTTGAGGGAACAGTGGGAGGGGCCGATTGTGTTGAAGGGGATTATGAGTGTGGAGGACGCGAGGAAGTGTGTGGAGGTGGGTGTGCAGGGGATTGTGGTGAGTAATCATGGGGGGAGACAGATGGATGGGGGGTGAGCTCGTTGGGGATGTTGCCGAGGATTGTGGATGCGGTGGGAGATAAAATTGATGTTTTCTTTGATTCGGGGATCAGGTGTGGGGCAGATATTGTGAAGGCGTTGGCGTTGGGGGCGAAGTGTTGTTTGGTTGGACGGCCGTTTGTGTATGGGTTGGCTTTGGGAGGGGAGAGGGGAGTCAGTCATGTTTTGAAGTCTTTGCTTGGAGAGTTGGTGCTGACGATGCATTTGGGAGGCTTGCCATCGGTCTCGAAGGAATGTCTGAATCGATCTGTCTTGATCAGGGAGGATGAGCTTTGAAGCCGACTTGTGTTGGAACGAAAGAGACCCCAACCTTTTGGACGGCATGCTGGAGATTTATTTAGGTGACTCTCTGAGTATCCGCTAGGAGCAGGTTTACTCGACATGCTGTATTAAGTGGTATCATTGGTAGCTCTGTCTGGCTCTCCGTATTAAGATTCTTAACCTACCTATTAATATAGCTAACGGTGTTCATGTTTTGTAACTCAGAATGATCGAGGTTTGAAATTCGTGTTGATTCGAACTGGGGTCTCAAGGTCTGCTAAACAGAATGTTCTCTTCGGCTAGAATCATCAAGGTGACGGAAGACCGTACGTTTGAGATGACTGCTAAAGAGTGTGAGAGGTTTTGTCATGAACATCGTAGGCATCAATAAGTGCACGTCCTACAGTTACAAGCCATCAGTGTGTCTTCTTCGTCTAGTTATTGCTTGACGTAAACGCTGGTCACGATAGGAAGGTAACTTGCGTACTGACACCTTCGCGGTCTGTCTCGTCTATCTTTTCGTTGAATCATTGGCGCGTCGAAAAGCTTGGACGGTTTCTGATGGTGGCTCTCATTTGATCACCATGAGTTGAAAAGAGGGCTATCAATGAGGCTCTGGCCCTCCTTATTAATCCAAATCCGCCCAATCACCGTCTAGAAACAACGAAGGAAGCTCTGGCTCCAAGATCCGGCAACATTTTTGAGTCAATTGATATATACGGCAGGAGTCCGGACTAATGCAGAGATTGATTGTTTGTCCACCAGACTCCAGGACTTCTGTTTCAGGAAGATCGATACTCATACCCAAATTCCTGTGAATTAAAGCGACTTGTGTTCCTGACTCAGCCACAGCAACAAACTTCCCGTTGGGACTGATTTCGAATGGTTGTGCACGGATCCCAGTGATGCGTAATGAAGTCTTGTCGGCAAAGTCATCTTGAATATTCCATACGAACATGCTGTGGTCGGAGAGAACCCCAACAATTATATCTTCATCTTTGGGATGCCATTTGATATCTTTTGTCAATCTACTAGACGGTTCCTTGGATCGAGTTTCTAACACATTATCTTTGAATATCGCTAGTGGTTTATTTCGGGATGCAACCGCAAGGCGAGACCCGTCCTTATGTATGGCAATGGCTAATGTTCCTTGGTAGCCCAAAGGATCAGCAGAGGGCTTTTGGTCCATAAGTAATCGCCATTGGAAGGGCTCTGAGAGCTCGAGGTACCACACCGAAGTATCTTCAAAAGCTACAAGGACACGAGAGCCCCCTTCTTGAACTATAACGTCCCTGGCTAATCCATGTCTACGCGGACTGAGAATCTCGTCGAACTGTTCCACACCTTCTGGAATGAGGAAAGCCTTCGTAGCTCTTTCGCCAATAGCCACGAGCATACGCTTTTCCGTGCTATACGCAATGAGTGAAACGCGATCATCATGTCGCATTCGCTTTACCTCCTGTAGAGAGACGGAATTGTAGATACAGATGGTACCGTTGTGTAAGACGATGCAAAGATATCTGCCAATGGCTGCAATCAGACGCCCAGGAGAGTCATTGTCAAGCTGAATAGTAGCCACCAGATCGCTCCAATTCAGTCCGCCATCTACATTGGGAAGGCCTGCGTACTTGATATATCGTTGATAGATCGCAGAAGAAGATGGGCAATCTAAAGGCAGGCTATATGCATACTCTGGATTTTGTAAAAGCTTTCGACCAAAACGTGCTGGTACTTTCATAAGTTCATTAGCCAATGCTTTGAGTGTATCGAAGGTCACAATGATCCGGTCTGACTCGTTGATCAGCTTCTCGAATCCTGGGTCTCCTATGAGGCCTAGTATGATATGAGCCGTCTGAATCATAACTTCAAATTGAGCATCATAGGATAAAACATAGATCCAATAGAGCAGATGCGGCCCCTCAAGGTATTGCTCAAGCCTCCGATAAATGCGCTGTCTTTCTGCCGGGTCAATGTTTCCGCTTTGAAGTGCCTTCTGCAAATGGTAAGACCAGTTGGCAGCAGCGTAATGTGAAAGTGCGGATGGTTCTTCAATTTGTGTAATCGGGAGATTTTCAGCCTGCTCGAAGGAATTGAGGCTCAGGCCCATCATGACTTTTGTCAACCTAAAGAACAGATGCGAATGGCTGCCGCCAAGCAACACGGAGAAGTGCGGCGAGGAATGCAAGAGGTAGTCCCGAACAGTCGGGAGGAAAAGCGTAACCCTTGAATCTTCAATAGTAACCAGTTGCGAGCCCAATAGCAATTCTGTATATCTGATCAAGTCAACCTCGAGTGCTTCTGATAGTTCCGTCAACGATAAATCACAGCGGGCGCAGACCAACCACATAAGAACCCTGTATAGTAAATCCCTGCCCCCTGGTGATACTAGTTCCTCAATTTCCAGTTCAATTCGCTCGTAAAAGAGAGTCATCTCTGCAGGAGTTTCATCCAGAGCCTGTTCGAGCTCCGCCATAGTTCTACAATTGGCGATTCCTCTCATGATAAGAGATACCCAAAGAAAGTTACCGTGGGCCCTTCTTAAAATCGTGTCTTTCGCGAATTCACGATCGCTTTCACTGGCTTGCATGACGTTGCCAAAGTGAAAATCGACATAGTATGCAATGTCAGCTACAGATGCTTCGTAATCTTGCATTGATATGACTCCCAAAAGATTCTTTTCTGCGAATGCCTCCAGAAGATAGGTAGAATAGCGACTAACGAGAAGCAAACGTATCGGTAATTCGCTTCGGGCAATGCTTTGCACTATAGTAGTCAAGGCTATTGACAAGTCACATTCATCTGCTGCGTCAATGACCAAGTACGTAGGCTTGTTGTCGCAAAGTTCCTGTAAAAGCTCCATATATGTATTTACAAAAAGTGTAGGCGATCCCACCACAATCCCTGTGGGATCTGCGATCGTTCGAGCGATGGCAACTTCATCGAAAGCAGGTGCCGAAGTTGCAATCTGGAAAGCGACAGATCGTAGCATTGTTTTCCAGGTAGGCGCTGCTAAGTTCTGAGACTGGAAAGAGAAGAAAACAGAGGCTCCCCAGCCCTCGCGACTCGGAAGGGAAGCTATGTAAGCGCTCATGACGGATTTTCCGCACCCAGGAGGCCCGCGTAGCCAAAGAATTGATGGTTCGCTTGATACTTCTGGCGTCAACCAAGTTTGGATTGAGCGCAGGCGGCTAAATCCTTCACACGTAGGACTAACTCGTTTGTTGTAGAAGAACATCATATCCATGACCGGTTCATATTTGTCTTGAAGACTCAAGATCCTTCGAAGTTTTTGCCGCTTAATTTGCGGATCTTTGAGCACCTCCGTGGGACCTAAGCAAAGTCAGATTTGCAATTCTCGAATCGACAGCGAGAGCAAAGGGGCCCTTGAAGGCTCAATGCGGCGCTAATCACGACATCAAATGCCAATCTGTGACTTTGTACGTACCTGAGAGCTGAGAAAGAATGTCCTTCAGGATATTGCGCACAATAGCAAAGCCTGGGTCTACACGACTAGCAAATTTGCAAATCTCAAAGTGATTGTCCACACGCTCAATGATTACCTCGTTAGGGAGGGCCATCACAGAAGAATCTCGATCTAAAAGGACCCGCGACTACGAGCCCATTAATGAAGGATTAGAACGAATCGTAGAAAACGACTCACTACTGTTGTTTGAATGTTCGTTCGAGCCCTCTTTAAGTACGTTGGTTTTGTCTCAACAAAGGAGTAAAACTTAAGAGGATGGGTAGCCGCAAACACACGAAAATCGTGGTTGACTGTCAACGTTTGGCCCGGAAGACCTATTCCCATGATTTCCTCGGCCACATGACCTTCGATGTACGAGCTACTGTGGGGTACAGCAAAAAAGACCATTGCGGGTAAAAGATCAACCAAATAATGGTATTTCGGATCTTGTTGTGCCAAAAGACAGGCCTTGAAAGAGTGAGCAGGCAAGGAGAACTAAGGACAGAATACCTACCCTTTTAACTACGTTGCCACCCAGTGAGTGAGCAACAAAGATCTTAGGTACCTATAAGTGTAAGAACTGGAAGATACCCGCAGACTATTGGACGAATACCTTTTCAGGGCGACTAGCAGAGCCAGCCGTCGAATCGTCAAGCCTGCATCTAATACTGTACAGCAGGTCCTTGGCAACGTCGTCGATCACGGTCGAGTTGATGAAAACATTCGAAGCATGCTGGTTTTCGGAAGCAGCCACTACCGCGTTGTGACTGAAAGTAAACACTCGGGCACCGTCTATGATTGGTTCGTAAGAAAGCCACTTGGGCCAGAACAGTCTCGATTTCTGGTCTTTCGACCACGTATCCTGACTTCCCTCTACCAGTCCATGTACAAAGATTATATCAGCAATCGGAGTAGTGGTAGGCTCGTAGACGACTTGGAGACCAAGCGGGATCTGCTTTTGTGGCAGCACTGCGTCGTCTGTCCTTTCCTCGGCTTCTTCGGAAAGATAAGGGCCGTCGGAAACAGCGGCGCTTTCCTGCTCGGACTGGAAAGATGAATGTTCGCCACTCATGGCCTGATCTTGATTTTTGCTTCTCCAGCTTCCCACTGGGTCGGTCTTGTCACTAGGGGCCCATATCGGGCCTCTATTCAACAGCAAATTTACGAGATCTTGAGACGAGCCCATTTCCTTGGCATAGTCTATGGAAGACGTAGCCAAAGAATATTTTTGAGTGGGGTCAGCCCCTTTATCGAGAAGTACTCTTAAGACCTGCAGGTCATCTTTGCGAATTGCGCTAAAAAGTGGAAAGGCATAATCCTCGCTCGCTAGATTAGGGTCTGCTCCGCGATCAAGTAGTAATTTGATAGCGTCCAAATAGTCCGATGCGGTTCCAGGAAGAGGTTCTCTCTCAAGTGCTGCGATCAATGCAACTCCATACTTGCCACCATAGCGATTCACGTCGGCACCGTGATTCAAGACTAGCTCCAGAGACTCAAGAATAGGGCTAGGTGCCGCCGCTATAGCCTGCAATACGTTGTCATGGATGCCACTGTGGACATTGACATCTGCTCCATACTCTAACAAGACTGGGAGTACGTCGAACGCCTCAAACGCAACAGCTACTTGCAGAATGCAACCATGTTCAGGATATCGAGTAGCGTTGTCGAGGCTGTTGGGGCTGTGTTCAAGGACTTTCTTCGTCCGCTCTACATCATTGTTTGTCACGGCAAGATAAAGCTCTGAGGGCGAAGTTCCTTCCAGAGAGGTTGTGGACGAATTAGACGACAGTGCGTGAACCTCTCTTTCACTTTCGTCGTTCGGAATACTTAGTGCAGCACGGTTCGACGAAGCACCCGATGTCTCTCTGATAGGAGGTGACAAGACAAATAGCGCAAGCTGCTCAAGGTGTTGTCCAACATGCTTATAGTACTGGTCCGCAGGTACCACTGCAGAGCCGTCGGCTTGTTGTTGGCTTGAAGGCCAGTCACAAAACTGGCAAGACGACAAAGAGATAAAATCGCAGGCTTTGGCACACAAATTAAGCAGTGAGGGGAATTGCTCAGGCGTGTACTCAGGATGCTGGGTCTTGAAATGATCCGTCAATGATGACTCTGAAGGGAAGCTTTGCGATGAACAAAATGTGCAAGTCCATTCCTTTTGGTGTTCTTCGAGCTCGTGCTGTGCCCACTCATAACGACTTGAGAACATTCGTGCCGAGCAATTTTCAAAAGTACAGACATAAGGTTCGAGATCATTGAAGACATGTTTCCTGAATGGCGCATTTTTTAGCCGGCAACAGAAGCCTGGTGATAGAAAAAGCGATTCAATTGCAGAATAGGCAGCAAACTAGGATACAATATACACTGTTCGAAGTGAAAATGAATGTGCCCATGCATATAGAACTTATGTCTTGCCAATGGGATAAAAGCATCTCAAAGGACTTGTCGACAATATCATGAGCAAGGTTGTGAAAGTGGTGTGTAATCAAACCAAACAGTTGTGTGTAGGGACGGGAGTGAAACTTACCTCCAGTGCTTTGCATGTCGTACAGATTGTATAGTGTAACAGTAAGGGCACTCAAAGGGTTTACCCCCGGCTGACTCACTCGGCGCTTCAGGTACTTGTCTCCTTCCCTCGGTAGAGTCATCTGCGATTGAAGTGACATATGAGGTTTCCGATCTTCCAGTCTCGATCTCGAGCTCCAATTCCTGTTCTGGTCTAGCAATGAAGGTAGTAGCCTTTGTAGAAGCGAGCTGGCTGAATCCAACAGATTCTCCTTGTTCTGCCGTGGGTACGGGATTTGGCGAGGGCTTTCGAATGTTGACATCAGACTGGGGTGTAAGTCTTGGCGCTTGGTCTGCATCATCATACTCAATTTGTTTGGTGCCTCGAGCGAGCTTTTCATGATGCTTTTCACGGTAGCGCAGAATCTCTCGGCGCTTTGTATTCGCTCTTCCCAGCTTTTCAAAAAGCCAAGGCGACGCTCTCATTTGAGGGCATTTTTCGTAGACATGACCAATATCATAGATCGGGTTGAGAGGGACGAGGGCAGCGGCTTTAGCATAGCGATCTCTGGGTGTTGGTTTCCTGATGGATATCGATAGCTTGTACAGACTGGTGATAGCCTCCGAAATAGCCAAGTGTAGCTGCTCGAGCTCAGAGGTCAAAAAGTTGCTCTCTTCTGACAGCTCCGAATCTGTAGAGTCTGAGATATCGCTGAATTCCTCGCCCAGATCACCCCCCTCTTTCGCAAAACTTTCTCGTGACGGGCGTTCTCCAGCAACGATTGCTACGCCTGAAATCCGTGAGTATAGAAAGTCCCTAACAGTGTATGATGGTACTCACAGTCCTCCAACGAATGACATAAATCCTCTAGCAACCTTATGATCTGTCTCTTGACATGAGATGCTTCCCGTAGCCGATACTCGAGGGAACTCGGCTTGGTGGCTGGTTGGAATGCACCAATGTTACCTGCCCACACACGAAGCCTCCCGAGTTCATCCTCAACTGCTCGAATGGGAAGCTGATTGTGGAATACCCTTAATGCTACTTCTTGCTGAAGGAGCGTAATAAGAGACTCGAAAGACCTCACGCATGACAAGCCCACCTTTGCGATTGGCGGGCTTGCCATCGGACTGCAGAGCGGCGCATTAGCTCGTCGACGACTGAACCTGCATATACTAGTACTGAGGACGAATATCCATGCTCAAATACACATGCCCCTTGTGGTCCTATGCGTGGAAGACGTTGACTCCGTGAATTGCACAAGACCCCTCTTGCCTCAGTACCTCAGACGTGGAAGCTAAGCCCCTTCGGGTTAGCCCTTGCTTACGTTGGAAGCTGCGAATGCACGTCTGAGTGCAGATTCGAAAAATACGGTCTGATTTTCGCTATTAAAAATATATTACGCGCTAGTAAGGTTCTGCCATATAACTTTTTTCTGCTAGAGCGTTTTTAGCCGTATTTCTCGGAATCTTCCTTGAAATTAAATTTTTTTAAATACAAGAAAATCCTGACTGTTCGCAATCAATATCGCGCCCCTTCAATTGATCAAAGTGTCTCAAACGTCGCTTACTCTAATAGTAACTCAGCGACGTTTGAGACACTTTGACTTATCGAAGTGGTGCAATATTGAATGCGAGTGATAGGATTTTGCTTATTTTGATTTTTTTCGGTAACAAATATCTAGCAATCTTTCGAAAAAAACGGGTCCTGCACTCAGACGTGTTTTCATTAGGATTCTTAAGTAATCAGCTAACCCGAAGGGGCTTAGCTGGTTGCGCAAGAGCCAATGAAACACGTCTGAGGGACTGAGGCAAGACCCCTCGAAAGGATAAGGCTGTGCTGACTAAGACTCCACCTTTGCCCAAACCATGGAGGTAGTTTGCAGCTCGTTTCCCCCGACTCGCCTTTACGAGCCCCTCAAAAGATGCGTCACTTCGAAGCTCCTCGTGAATGCCCTATCCCAAATCTTCTCGCTAAGACAAGTCAAGATGATCACAGGAGTAGAGACTGCAGGCCTTGTGCTGGCGGCCTTCCCACTCCTCATATCAGCCCTAGAACACTACCGCGAAGGCTTCGAGCCATTGGCAGACTGGTGGAAGTTCCGCACAGAATTTGTGGCCTTCATACATGTTATTGACCGTCAATCGCTTCTGTTCAGTGAGAATTTGGAAGAGCTCCTGTCACCGATTATCTCCTCCGAGGGCGAAATGGGGGCCCTGTTGCAAAACCCTTTGGGCCCAGCATGGCGAGATCCTCGACTCGAGTCGAATTTAGAGGATCGTCTGCCCAAATCCTATGAATCGTACCGGAACACCATTGAGGATATGAACAGCTGCATGGCCAAATTGCAAGAAAAGCTAGGAATCAAGGATGGGAAGGTGAATAAACAATATATACTACTGCCCGTCTCTCAAACTGACGGGCTTATGAACAGCTGACATGGGTGAACGACGAAACTGGCTCTGCAAAAAACCGCGTCAGATGTGAATTTGAATTTCGGAGGATTAAATACGTTCTGGCTAAGAAGAAACGAGAAAGGTTGGTGAGGGAATTGACGAGCAACAACGAGGAGCTACGGAAGATTTTCACATCCAGCGAGAGGCTTGCAAGTCATCGCAAGAAACGGCGTATGCCAAATGCTTTCAAGCGGATAAGGGATCAGGCGTGTGGACTTTACAGTGCTTTACAGACTGGTTGGAGATGTCAGTGCCCACAGGCAGATCCGTCTCATCATGCCAATTTGCTTCTCGAGAAGCGTTTCGATGGAATTAAAGCAAGAAAGCATATCAAACGACCGCAGTCCGAGAGTAGCATCACGGTGTTGTTCTGGGTCCAGAAAAATTCGCAGAAGGATCAATTGATCTGGCATGAGACAGAAATCAGATTGCTTGAGGCTGACGACTGTCAAATCGTGCACCAAATGTCTACTCTCAGCCATAACGCTCAAAATGCAGACTTCAACGGCATTGTGAAGACCTTCGAAACAGGTAGTGCAGGTCTCACGCTGCCTTTTCGCAAGCGACCAAAGCATGTTACATTTCCACAAATCACCCTGCAGCCTCCTAAGCTCAAAGAAACGAGTCATCAATTGATTGAAATAGCTGACTTGTGTGCCGCTGTCCAGAAGGCTTGCAGTGGGCAAGGACATCTCCCGCTCGGCTACCTCAAGGATCTCGACAATCGCCGTCATGCCTTTTACCCATCAACGCCTCCTCCAGTCTTTGACAAAGAAGTAGAAACTATCTCTCTAGCGAGTCTGCTCTTGAAGTCAGACCCTGGCCTGGAAGCCGCGCATACATATAAGCTCTCCAGATTCGAGAGATATACCGTTGCGGTAGTTCTTGCATCTTCTCTTCTGCAGCTCTATAGCTCCCCGTGGGTCGGTGAGACATGGAGCAAAGAAGACATCCACTTCATGAAAGCTCCGGCGGGGGCTCTACAGTCTGTGCTTATTGATAGACCCTACATTTCGAGAAAATTCACATCCTACACCCCTGAAACCTGCCATTTGCCTGATTGCAGACCAACGCAGTACCAAACCAGTACTAAGAATCTGCAGGCGCTAGGAATCATGCTGCTCGAGCTTTGCTTTGGAGAGGCTATTGAGGATCAGCCTATTCGAGAGAAGTATCTTGGTCGCGACGGTCAGCCAAATGATATGACAGACTTCTCTACTGCACAGCACTGGTGGCAGAATTATGCGCTGGGTGAGGGTGGACCTGAATTCTATGAGGCCATTCGCCGATGCCTTTTCTGTGCCTTTGGGCCTAAGAGCACTGATCTCGAGGATGATGAATTGAGATCGGCTGTCTATAACGAGGTTGTTGAGCCTCTTGATGGGACTGTGAGGCAATTCAGTTCAAATGGTTGACACGTATGAGCCCGGAGCTTTGCTGATCTGTTGTAAATGCTAAAATCGCGCATATTCTAAACTGCACGGAGTAGCCACAACCTCCCATTACATGAGGGCGGCTTCCTGACCTTCATCGCACAGGCAAGCGGCCCGGTCAATACAACGAGCAGACCAGAGAACCCAAAAGTCAGCAGCGGGATTATAGATACCACCTTCCCCAATCTAATTGGTGAAGATAGGTATTGGTCGATGAAAAATGGACAATTGGAGCTTTTCATTCCCTGTGAACTTGAACGAAGATACCATGGCATGTTTCAATATTACGAATCAATGAAACCATTATGAGCTATTAAGCGCACGATTTCACAGATCGTACCAATTATTGAAACTCCGCTCAAGAGGAAGAAAGCCTCTCGAGGGACTCACGAAACGACATTGGTCTCAAGAATGCGACTTTCTGGCTGGGAGGCTCCCATGTCGAATGATTGGCATCTCTGCTGAAACACCGACGTCTTGTCCGTCAATGAGCAGTCTTTCGATGAGGTGAAAAATTGAACGCAGCTTCTCGTTGGAGCAGATAGTGATCCACCTGAACATACCTATGATCGCAATCACGCGCAAGCAGATATAGATGCAGATGGTCTTACAACAGCAGGGCCTTATCTATGGGCAATGCCTTCTTCTGCTCTTTATTCGAGAAGGCCTCACATTGCAGCAAAGAGGTAGTGCCCATCCACAAACATCTTCAAATGCCCCAAGCCAGGATCCCAACGTGTCAACAGACTTCGCGACCGTAGCCATCGTCGTAGCTAAGGACCAAAAGGCATATGAGAACGTAAAGCACTCAGTCTATACTTCTCTTGCCCTGTACTGCTGCTTCTCGCTTGATATGCTCGTGCCTTTGTTTGATTTCCATGCGAAGTCTAGGTTGCTCCAAAACACCTTCTCCCGGTTTTCTCGCTTCTGCTTCTCAGTCTTTGCTGTCGTGCTTCTCGTCAGAGTTCTCGTGCATAGCATGCACGCCCCACCCACACTTGTACATGCTTTTTGGTGTGATTGCACCTTCCTCGGTCGCACCAGATGTCCATAGTCTCCCGCACAGGGCATACCCACCGGACTCTTTGGGGCTTCTAGCGACTCGGACTTGAGTAATCCCATGTGAGCATTCTCCGGCCCGCTCATGCTGTGCCAGATGTGTCTGCGCATGAAGGTCGCTGCTGCAAAAGAAGTGGCATGTGCGGTTTTTGCCGGGCTGTCACGAGATAGTTCTAAGGGGGAGGGGGGCGAAGGCTTGGCTCATCAATTTCGATCTATGGGACCTGTTAGCCCATGCACTGATTCTCTAAGGTACTGCGAGTCTGAGATGAGTGAGAGCAGACGACGAGTTGGAAGTTTTTCTGCTCTTGCTGGAATTGTGCCTGCCCGAGGGCCGGTTCCCCCCCCTCGGGCACCAAAACAAATGACTCTTGGCGAAAAGTTACAAGCTCAATATCCCTTCAACGCCAGGTTCTATAATGAAGCAGTCGCGGACCAACTTGTTCATACTTTAATTCGAGTTGATCTTGCATGGGAAACTTTGTCGAAAAGCTCGATGTTGAATGGATATTGCCAGATTCATGGAATTTTGAATATCTCTTTTTTTTGGGTACAAGCCTTGCGCATGTGTGATTGAAAATACGATGTCAAAAATCGATGCATATATTGCGTCACATTTCATTCACGAACAATAAACAAGCACTCCAGGAAGAATATCCGCAGCCTGAGCTCGCTGAGGAAGTTTGTTTGTGTTATCATCATTCTTGATACTGCATCAACTTCTTGAAGGTTCTAGAGAGTAAAAGAGTGAGGGGTGGCTAATTTGTGAAAAGGAGGCGTATTCAGGACGACAGACATTGATTAGTGAAGCTAAATGAAGCCGGGCGAAGTCCTGCCAAATATGCCTTCGCCACCAGCTCACTGCCTCATCTTGTGTCTTCATAGTCAGCGTAAGGCTGAAAGCAAAAGCTATACAATAGGTAAATTAAGACTCCACATGTTTCCGACTTTCTTCTCTTTCTATTTCAACCATGCTGGCGATCACAAAGAAAGCCTCCTTGGCCTCCCATTCAGCAGTCAAGGCGGGACACCCCACCGTGTCGAGCGCAGATCCACAATCACCTCTCTCTATAGCGTTCGAAAGATTTTGTAGCACGTTCGGCCCCGCTGAAAAGGTCTCCTTCAACGACCTTACACTCAGCGATGTTATTGCAAGACTGCAGCATCTGGAACGGCTACAATATTCCTCGAGCAAAGTCCGCCGGCTGATTGCCAGACTTGAACCCTTCTTGTATTTTGTCGACCGTCATGCGAAGGCTCTGGACTCTATGGTACAGGTCGATCCTAACCCATCGGCCCTGATATGGGGGTTTCTACGAGTAATCTTGGAGGTGAGGCATCATGATTGCTTGAATTGCTTGCCACTGATCAAACTCAATACACAGTCTACCCTGTCATTTTCACAATACTTCAGAAAGCTGGTCGACATGTTGGAAAGACTTGGTAGCTCCCTTGCTGTCTACCAAGAGTACGAGAAGTTATTGAGTAGCGAGCATCAATTTCAGGAAACTCTTGCAGAAGTATATTTCGAGATAATGGTGTTCCTCAAGAAAGCGAAGGCGGTCTTTTCAAGAAAAGGTTTCTCAATCTCCTACCTGATTGTGCAGTGCCTGTGCTGATTACTGCCCTTAGCTGCGAGTATCCTCCTTAAGAGCTTGTGGCGTAACTTTGATACAGACTTTCAAGAGACTCTTGGGACGGTCGTTCGAAAATCGACACAGCTAGACAGCGAAATTTGTCTAGCGTATCGCTCCTCGATGTGTCGAAGAGTGGAGGAGCAGGCAAAGCAGCATCACCTTACTTACAGTCTTCTGTGTGAACAAGAGGTAGCATATCTAAAGTCCTGTCCTTGAATAGTGGGCTTGTCAATCTGTATACTGATCATATGATAGGAGCGTTTAGAGAGGCAGAAGATAATGAAGTGGCTCTCGCCACTCGACATGGAAAACGTACTTCAAAGAGAACATAACAAGCGTTGCACAAACTCTGGGCAGTGGCTTTACCGTCAACATGCTTTTATGGACTGGTTACAATCTCATCAGCAGGTTCTCTGGATAACTGGACCTCCAGGCTCTGGGAAGACCGTTCTCAGCACCTCGGTCATCGAAACTATCAAGAGCCGATTATCGACCTGCAGCAAGCAGACACTTTCACTTGCATTTTTCTTCTGCGACAAAACTGATGAAAGCTCCCAATCTGAAGCAAGGCTTCTAGGGACGCTCATCGCTCAAATTGTGGCGCAAATGGGGGAAATGCCGGATAATGTGCGCACTTCGTACGAAGTCGCCAGACGTTATGGTCGATCCATGGTTTCGTCGTCAGATTGCCCACTGAAACTTTTGGCAGACCTGCTCCAGTCCTTAGGCAGTGTTTTCATCATCATTGATGGCATTGATGAGTTCAAAGAACCTGCGGCCATTGGACGAGTTGTAAGGCGACTAACGATCACAACAGAACAAGTCCACACACTTTGTCTTAGTAGAGAAAGTGTAATTTTGAACGAGCGGCTTTCAGACGCCCGTAGAATACACTTGTCGCCCGCTTTAATTGGTGAGGACATCAGACATTATCTCCGGGAAGAGCTTGTGAAGATTCCGCTACCAGACACTGACATACGCGAAAGGTTGTTTGAACGCCTTTCCCACGATGCAAACAGTATGTTTCTTTGGGTACGTCTGATGTTGAAAATGTTGAGATCTGCTGCTTCGCCATATGAGATTGAGTGTATGCTCTCCGAGCTACCAGAAGGACTCGATGCATCATATTGTGCGATCGTAAGGGGTTTTCTTCAGGGACCTCCACGGAGGAGACTGCTCGCAAAGCGGGCACTACAGTGGATCTCTTGTTCCGCACGACCTTTACATTGGAACGAGTTGCAGTCCGCATTGGCATTTGAGTCAGGCCCTGCAGGATTTGTTGAAAATAGGAAGCCTTTCAAGTTTGCGTTGATAGAGTTGAGCGGGTCTTTGTTTGAGTTTTTGCCTGAAGATGATCTCTTTCGTCTTACTCATCTGTCCGTGCAAGATTTTCTCTTCGGCGTTCAAAATCACACCGAGGACGAAGAAATACGGCAATTCTGTCCAAGAAAGGATTCTGCCCATTACGAAATTGCTATGGCATGCCTTGCCTGTCAGAGGCAGTGCGGTACACAAGGTTCGCTAAGAAATGATGCAATGACCTTCCCCTTATCAGAGTACTCGTCACGCTTCTGGTGCCATCATGTTTGCAATACCTCCTACCACGCGGAACTACAATCCAACGTGGACCGATTCTTGTCGCTTTCCATTCAACGTCAGGCCTGGATCATGAGATTCCTGTTCTACGAACCCTCAAAATTTCCGCTACAGAGGCTTATGAAATGCGAAAAATCTCTCAACGAATGGACAAGGAATGGAGCCGATCTTGAGGCCCAGAAAGGCTCGCTTGCTTGGATCCAAGACGTGCCTCTTATTCTGCTAAGTAGCGAGAGCTCGGAAGATGGGAGTCAACACGACAACCACTCAAAAGGTGGCTTTTTTGACCACTTGGTTATGAAAAGAATAACCTATTTTGAAAAGCTAATGGTGATTCGCGACTTATCTCGCGAATATACGATGATTGGTTCCTCAAGCTCCGGCGAGAAATGGTTAACAGATTCGCTGGCGATAGCGCGTGCCTCATGTGGAGCGACCCACCCTTCTACTGCATGGCTTTTAAATGGTCTTGGTATTATATACGATCAGCAACAGAAGTATGCCCTGGCTGCCCGTACACAAGAGTCAGCACTCGCAATCCAGACCTCAGCACTAGGTTCCGATCATCTAGAGGCTACATGGACCGTGAACGAGCTTGGCCGAATCTACAGACATCTTGGAGACTACGAGAGGTCGGAGTCAATGCACTTGCGCGCACTTACAATCCTCCGTCAAGTGCTCAAGCCTAACGATCTACAGATTGTATGGACACTGAATACCCTTGCTCGCACTTATCGCAAAGAAGGCCGATATGACGAGGCACTACCACTATTCAACGAAGCACTCGCATGTCGGAAAGACCTTCTAGGTGAGCTGCATCCTCACAGTCTTTGGACTTTGATGGACAAAGCCGCCTGTCTTTTTGCACAAGGCTGCCATGAGCAAGCTGCAGCTCTCTACAAGAAGGCCCTGGAAGGGCGGCAGGTTGCTCTAGGCGCAAAACATGCCGACACACTGTGGGCAATGAATGCTTATGGCCTTGCCCTGGCAGGTCTCAAACAGGATAAAGCCGCGCTATCAATCCAACAACAAGCTCTCGATGGCCAAATGGCAACCCTGGGTCCAGCTCATGAGCATACCTTGTGGACTCAGAAGATTGTGTATGAAATGAATGGCATGTAATGACTCAGCACATGATATGATAGGTAATCATGTTTCGCACGGGCTAAAAAGTAAGATTCAAATAGCACTTGAGACCTGGGACACACCTCTGTACCGACTTGCCTAGTCATGCTCACTCGCTAATCCTTTCTCCTTGGGCAGATTGGCACAGACGACTAGCCCTTTTCCTTGTAGAGAGAATGCAAGTCTCATCTTGAGTCTCTTCTCCAACGAATTATATCTGCTTTATTTTGCCCTTCCTAGAGATAGTTTGTACATCCAGTATACTTAGTTCTCGCGGCCATCTAAACCGTTGTAAAAAGTCAAGAGCTGCAGGGCGTACAAATGGGGGCATGGCGGGCAATTTATGATGCTCTAGACGTCGTAGCTGTAGCTCTGACATTGGCCTGCCGTCTTCAGGAAAGCATGGCTGGGTAATGATATCCATACGGGCTGGCGTGATGCATGTCCACTGTAGGTGCGAGGATGGTAATGTGTAACGCAGTCCTAACGTTTCAATTTTCATGGGTGGGGGCTCTGGGGTTTCGAAGTATTTGGAATCGGGGTCGAATAAGGTGTTCCCGAGCTCTACCTGGACATTATTCTCATTATCGATCCATCCGACAACGCGTAGCCAGCGGATTGTCACATGTTCCACGGGCGACGGCTCCCATATATCGTCATCCAGTCGATCTTCATTCTCTTCGAACAAGCGATCAATTGAATCGGTGGTTTGGCAGAGGGGTCGCAGCAGCACAAACGCAGCACAGAAGAACCAATCTCGAATGCTGAAGATTGTCTCCTGTTCTGTTGTCCACCATGAGTTTAGCAAAGTCCAGATGATCGAGAGAAAATCAGAGAATCCGTGACTACAAGAATGTTTGGCCAGAATCTCCCAGTGGTCGACCCAAAATGGCTCACTTTGATCTTGGGGGCAAGGTCTCCAGAGCATTCTATGGACATACTTCCGACCAGACTGCCTGAGGAAAATTGGTTTCAAGCCGAAAAAACATAGACAGTACGACTTGACTGCGCCAGCAGATTGCAAGGCTTTAATAACTTCTATACAACCGAAGTACCTTTCGACTGCAATTCTGTGGTCAACTTGGCGCCCATCGACACAGGTGGAAGTGTGACTTGCCTGTACGTCTTTGGACTCCATACATTTGATCGCTTACTAGATGACTTGAAATGCTCGTAGGAGAATCATCATCGAATAATCGTTCCACTCCTTTCTCATTTTGAAGGAATTTACTTGTACTCTGCAAAATCCCAGGACTAGCGTCAAATCGAGTGATATAACATAGTCCGTTCCGTTGATCTCTCAATATAATTCTCCTCTGGATCCACTCATCGAGTTTCATTAGTCTAAGATGATGAGCAGACAGGAGGGCTTGGTCAAAGGCATTCCGACCAAAGCGGCCCAGACTGTTGATATTCGTCACTAATGGGGCCAATAATCTTACGACCTTCGGTTTCAGAGTACTGCTGGCATTCTGAAGCGCAAGTGTGAGCTCATGGCTCACTGGCTCAGGATGAGAATCAATGGCTCGAAGATATCTCTGTGCTAATTTGTGACAGGCCGAGTCTGACAGGCGGATGTTGAAGCATATCATGCTTAGGAACCCCACTGCATCTGAAGACTTTGCTAAGATATCTGCCTTGTGATCTAGAAGAATATCTAGTCCGATCGTAACATCGCTGTTATAGTCAGTTGTGTGGCAGTTTGAGGCAGCAACAAGCAGCGGTGTCTCCCCAGAGTCATTTCTGGCCTCAAGCAGCTCGGGTCCTTGGGAAAGGATTCGGGAGACCAAATATCCGAAGTTCTCGGCTGTGCTTGCAGCGCAGAGCCTGTGCAAAATACCATCTCCGTGTGTCGTGGTGTGGTGGAAGTCGGCAGTATGTTCTAGTATTGACTCGGTTGCCTCAGCAAACTCTTGCCTATAGGACAGCTCCATATTGTCCCCTCCCATTTTGGTGGAGCACCATACGAGCAACAAAGATCTGTGCTCGTAGCTTGCGGAGCATTTTGCCTGGGCGCCTCCTCTTAGCAACGCTATCAGAGCACCGCCATTGGTTGTATCAAAGGTGGAAGCTTCTCCAATAGGTGTAAGGCAATGAATTGAACTGGAGCCTGTCGTTGGACTGTTGAGATCCACCCCGCTGTCCATCAAAAGCTTCACACACGTAGTCAACTCCGAAAGATGGGCTTCCCAAGAGCCATGTAAGATCCAGTGTTTGAGAGCAAGGGGAAACTTGCGAGTGTGCCCGTATGATGAAGCGCTACTCGCCAGAAGGTGAATGGCGTCATGCGTTTGCCCTGTCTGGGCGCTGGGATCTGCTGAACGGGACAAAAGATGGCCTAGCATGCGACTGTCTCCATTGAAAGCTGCTACCGATATACTTGTAAACGCAGTATTATATTTTTGGTCCTGCGGGACATCCAGATGATTGACATGTGACCCAAGGCTCAATAGGATATCACAGGTTGAAGGGCGGCGTGCAAAAGTCGCCCAATGAAGCGGTGTACCCAAAGGCCAAACGAATGGGAAATGAAACCATGGTAAGGGTATTGAATGGAGCCCTTCAGCTGTTCGTTCTATACCTTGTGAACAAGCGGAAACGTCGGCGCCCATGGTGACCAGTAGTTGTGCTATTGTAGCTTGCTTGTCTTCATCAAAATTGAATAACCAATGAAGGCAAGATACACCATATCCAGGAATTACCACTTTCGCATCAGCACCAAAGTCTGCAAGTATATGAACGACATTTACATTGCCGGCCAAGCAAGCTTTATACAAAGCAGTCTCACCACGATCGTTCACAGCGTCGATTTGGGCGCCTTGTCGCAGCGCGAGAGCCAAAAGCCTCGTATCTCCAAACGTCGCGGCATAGTGTATGAGACGGTTGCCAGCCTTGTCGAGACTCTCGTCTCGAATATTGAATGCATTGCTCAACGCTTTAGACCCGACTAGCGTCTGAAATGGCTCCAGGTAGCTTAAAGACATTTCTTGATTGTATCCCCCGTTTCTGACGAATTCTTTACGGGCCTTCTCTGCTTCATTTGAGCTGATACTAAGTAGATCCTCCATTGCTACTAAAGAACCCGTTCTAGCACCGTTGAAGAGCCATCTCGTGATCTCGTCCTCCGAGACTTCAAGGCCGCATTCCGGGACAGCTTTCAATAGTCTGTACATCATTGCTTGAGCAGCTATGTGAGAACGACGGGCTGCTTCTAAGAAATAAAGAGCAGCACGAGCTCTGAAATCCACACCTTTATTCCACAAAACGTTGAATGCCATGGCAAATAGAGTCGAATGATCGAAATCCAGGGAGAGGATCGGATCTTTGAATTGGCCCTCTAAAACATCCAACAACGATTGATGCATATCACCATGATAAGGTTCGTTCACGGAAAGCAGTTCCGAGTCGTTCGCAGCATCTTTAAGTCCATGAAAGTACTGCCGAGATGAGGACCTATGTATTTTAGCGAAGGCATATTTGGGAGCTTAGGTGCATACCAATCATGGTAACTTCGAACGTTACATTGTAGAAGGTCCGCGCAAACTTCTCGTCGATTCTCTGGTATTGAAGCCAACTCATTCAATGCGAGGCTTTTCAACCTCAATTTCAGATCACCAGCTATTACCAGATCCTCAACTCGGGAGCAACATGCGTTGATTAACGTCGCATGGGTCTCGCTGATAGAGGGTACGAGATTACCGCCAGAATTCAGAAATACGGACATTACCAGCAGTCCATATGTATATGCGTCACACTTCGCGAAGAGGGGGGTTCACATGGCGATTCGCGGCCTTCTGTGCTCGCAATCTCCGGAGGGAGCCAACCAGAAGTACCGCGATACATTTCGTAGGTCTGGGCGCTGTCTCTGAGCACTAAACACTGACCAAAATCACTCAGTTTCGCTATAAAAGGGACCTCGGAGTGCTTCTGTAAATATATGAGTACATTCGAAGGCTTCAAGTCCCCATGAGCTAGACCAGAGGCATGAACAGCTTGTAGGCCATTTGCGACGTCCAGACATATATGATGATGAATGTCCGCGACTTTTTGGCCGGCACTCTCGATCTTATCACCGGGTAGAAAAGACTCAAGAGAGCAGAGTGCTGTCTGGACCTCCAGAAACGGAATTAGCGAACTCGTATCACCATTGAAATAGTCATATCCCCAGCCGAGTATTTGCACTATATTCGGACTTTTTCGTCGGACTGGGTCGCACAAAGACGCAAGCTCGAGTTGGATTGTCCTGTAATGGAATCGCAATTCGGTCGCCTTGGACAGTAGACCAGAAGAGTCAGAAACCTTGATGCGCTTGTAAACGCGAGCTCTGTCCTGGAAAACGTCAAATTGAGCGCCAGAAGCGATCATGGTGCTATTGCGAGCAAGATCAAAGAGCATTGGCCCATTGATACCAAGCTGCCCGAGCTCCGACATGAGATGAGAAAGATCAGTAAGCAGTAATTCTCCACGTTCAAGGGCTGATATAGTAGACGCCAGAACCCTTGATGATTGAGGGATGTTAATCTATGGAAAGTCATTATTGGATGGCAACAAGCGGGCTTTCAGATGTGTATACAGAGAATGAATCCATGACCAGCAAATGAGCTTCTATTTTGCAAGGTCGTTGACTCTAAAGCAGCAGCACTGGACGTTGATCGAGCGTTTAGAGAGATGGCGTCAATGCACATAATGCTATTGAGTACAGTGCAGAGACCGCTGCATGTAGTCAACCTCATGCAGACAGAACATAATGACGTCATGGGCATCAGCCTTATCAGCCTTGTGATCCCATCATATAATGCCAGTCCTTTTGCCAGTCAACTGTCTTCGCGACTCTTTTCTAGGATTGATCAAGGAGCAAGATCAAGTCAACAAAGCTGAGTTCAACCCGTCAGAATCGGAAGGCATATGGCGTCCCCTCACGTCCCCTTCAAGACTTACCGAATCGAAGGCCTTCCATCCGGGCTTACGCCCCAGAGTCTTTTACAAAATCTCGGTCTTGAAGGGATCGCCCGTAGCATACTGTTTTCTGCTTCTCGTTCAAGGGGCAGTAAGTCCGACATTCAAGTTTTCACTCTCTCAATCCCGGAAGAGCAAATCCGCATCTCCTCTCTCGAGTCGCCCGTCTCGATAAATGGCAAACAATACCTGCTCGACAAAGATTTCGAAGGCTTCACTCCACTTTGTCCGGCACCAATCCTCGAGGATTTTGTTGAGTACATTACCTTTTCGGATCTTAGAACTATATCCGGCTGATTCTTCGGATACATAGTATGATTGCTGTCACAGGCTTAGCTGGCCAGGCTTTCGCCTCTTGGCAAATACCCGATGGCTCAATGTGGCTTCGAGATGTCTTGCCTGCCGACCTTTCTAATGTCCGCACACACATATATGGCTATTCTTCAACATTGCAGAAAAGCCTTTCAACCGCAAGACTGATCGACTATACCGATGCCTTTACACACGGCCTGCATGAATACTTACAGTCAACTGCGATCGTCAGTGTCAATTCTCCAACATTGATTTGTTTCTCACAAAATTGCAGACACCAAGACCTCTCATCTTAGTAGGACACAGCTTAGGTTGTTTAATAATCAAACAGGTGCGGGTTCCACCTTGTTATGTCCGAGCGAATCTTCCATTAACGCTGCCATGATCAGATGCTCGTAGAATATGCCGCGGTGGCGAAATTTCAGCCCTTGATGAATCGCATCTCTTCTGTTGTATTCTTCGGCGCCCCGCATCGAGGTCTTGAGGTTCAGTCTTTAGAAGAACTGACCAGGCTTAAGGAGCGGCACGGACTTATCAAGGATCTCGAGAAGAGCTCAACGCTGCTGCGTGAGCTCAACGAAAAGTTCCCAAACGTCTCTCAAAGATTGGAAATTATCACTTGCTTTGAGCTGCAGACAACACCAACGAGTAGAGCGCGCTCTGATGATCCAGAATCGTGGGAGCGGACAGGGCCACGCAGGATGATGGTCGACGCGGACTCTGCTTGTCTCTATACCGCGAACGAGACCAGGATTCCTATTGACAAGAATCACTCCAGAATCGCAAAGCTTTCAAGTGGAGACGAGGTATATCAGCGCCTCAAGACCCTTTTGAAGGACAATATCTTGATCGGCCAAGCAACGATCAGATCAGGGTTCCATCGCATCATCGCAATGCAAGTCATCGAGCGTGTCCGTGAAACTCTCAACCCCCTTGCAGAATTCTTGCACCATTCTGAGCTTAGTGGGAGCGAAGGTGCCATGATGTCAATAGGGAGAGCATCCGATTTTCTGGGTCGACTTTATGGCTCCCTGAATGCAGACTTATTGTCAGCATCAACTGTTGGGCCAGACTCCACTAGCCACTTGATGAAGAGTATTTTGGATACGCTCGATATCTTTGAGGGGCATGTTCTCCTATACCAGGAAATGACAGAGCTTTATCAAGGATATGTTGCTGAAGGGAGCTTGATGCATCTTCAAGAAGTCCCGTCTATAGATTTTGTAAAACAGATTGAGAAATCATCTCGATTCACATCTCTAATGACTGCCACGAGGATCGATAAGCTAATTGAAGCTTCCTCGTCCTGTGTCGAGAAACTTGTTAGACTCCTGTGGCTTGTTGTACTCAATCCAGGCAAGATGGATGACTTTGAGCATCTTAAGAAAATACAATCGCTTAAGCAAGTCAATATTGGTCATTCGGTGCCAAAGCAAACCAGAACACAAGTTATCTCCTCAACAGAACCACACTTGGAGCCGCTAGCTGGGCATCTAGAAGAGGATGCACTACTGGTCGCCCCTCGGGTTCAGAAGTATGTGCCGCAAGGATCAATCGAGCCTTTCCTGGTCATAGTTGAAGAACGAGATTACGTGGTAGAAGACCAAGAAGCAAAGAGCGTGGTCGAAGTCAGAAATGCCGAGTTGAAAGCGAGAGAAACAATAGAAAAGCTGACAGTAGTGCTCCAAAATTTGGTAATAGACTCGACAGATGCAATGTCACTCCTTGCTTCGTCGAGCTCTGCTGCCTGTACACTCGAGTGTCTTGGATACCAGAGAAAGGCAACGCCTGGCAAATATGTGATCCTCTTTCGCGTTCCAGATCCAATCAGTGACTTTTCGGTCAAGAGTCTAGGTACACTCTACGAAAGACTAAACTCGAAGGACTTTCGACCAAACCTTCAACAGCGATTTAAGCTTGCTAAAGATATCTGCTCCTCGATCTTGCACCTTCATTGCTGGGGCTGGGTGCACAAAGATATAAGACCAGAGAACATCATTGTGATCACAAGCCAACCTGGTGAAGAGACCAATCCGAAGCTTGCAAATGAGCATAGCATTGTTGCTCACCTGGGTGGCTTTGAAGTTGCGCGCCTAGAGAATGACTTCTCGAGTATCACAAAGACTCTCCAACTGCAGAGGAATCTGTACCGACATCCCCAGAGACAGCAAACGCCTTCCCGACCTTTCACGAAGACGGATGATCTCTATGCGATCGGTATCATTCTTCTTGAGATTGGCATCAAAATGACCATTGACAGAATATATATGCCGAAGCTCATCGAGGCGCTGGAAAAAACGCGCCATGGCATCCGTCTGGACGCTATTCCGAGAAAGATCGAGCAACTGGCTGCAGCGGAGCTTCCAGCAAAGATGGGCCCTAGATATGCCGAAGTGGTACGGAAATGTATCACAGGAGATTTTGGAATCACTTATGATGATGAGATTAAGTCGAGACTCAGTATCGCTTTTCAGGATACAGTCATCGACGAATTAGAGCATGGATGTCAATTGTAAAGGTCGAAACGGCGTCATCGGGTGCTAGGACCTCCATTTCAAATCCAACGACATGCAGGCCAAAGATCCTAGATTGGTATATCGAAAGCACCTTGAAAAAGAAGAAACGGAGGTTTTCTTAGTATAAATGTCATTCTCCAATCCAATGCAAGCCATCCCAATGTCTGAATTGCCTAATACTGGACTTGCTCTGCGATCATGACACATATTGGCATCTCAATTTCGACCGTCGTGACCGAGTTGGACGATGCGTGGATGAAAGTGTAGTCCTCACCGGCAAGCTTCGCTCTGGCGTGTAAAGAACAAGCCAGCCGTCTCCCATGCCGTCATTTATCGCTGACGGTCTAGACCACAGAAGATAACCAGACCACGGGAACGATCCTTTAGCTCTGCCGAAAGAGGATCAAATCCAGACAAAAAGTTTGGAAATTGTGTCTGCATGAGGAAAATCTCCATATCAAGCTTTCCCTACCGTTGTTATAATTCCCAATTAGTCCTGGCGCTGATGGATTGGCTTCCAATATCGTCATTGCAACCAAGTCGCGAAATGATTAACGGCATGCTTCCAAGGCTTCTGCGCAAAGGCTCCGAGTCGTTGATTCCTACGTATCGAGGAGATTGTTGCAACTGCTTTCGCAGCACCAGTCACCATGAACACCGATGCACCGACATCAACGGCCACGCCTGTGCGGTCTCTACTACGAAAACTCCCTCCGACCACGCGTGGCCACACAGTCGCGGTAATCGGAGAGCTCGTCGGCACGATCAGCTTCCTGTTCTTCGCTTTCGCAGGCACTCAGGTCGCAAACATTTCCTCCAATACTAACACGGGAAATACAGTCATCACAACCGTACAGCAGAAGAATCCCTCACAACTCCTTTACATCTCCCTCTCGTTCGGCTTCTCCCTCGCCGCAAATGCCTGGGTGTTTTTCCGCATTAGCGGCGGTTTGTTCAACCCAGCTGTATGTCCAGTCGCATTCATGGACCTCTAGAGCAACTGCCCCAGCGAATTAGGTCTCCCGCTAATATGTTGTCCGGGATCCAGGTCACAGTCGGCATGGTCCTCATTGGCGCGATAAATTGGGTCCGCGGCGTCCTCCTCTTCATCACACAAATCCTCGGTGGCATGGCGGCTGCCGGGCTCGTCAAAGTACTTTTCCATGGCGACTTGAACGTCAGCACATTCCCGAGCTCCGGCACTACGATCGCGCAGGCTGTCATCATCGAGATGTTGCTCACTGCGCAGCTCGTATTCACAATTTTTATGTTGGCGGCGGAGAAGCATAGGGGAAATTTCATCGCGCCTGTAGGGATTGGCATTTCGTTGTTCGTGAGCGAGCTGGTTGGTGAGTAGCGCCCTACCATTTTTCCCTCCTTCCTCTCTCTACCTCAAGCAGCTTTCGGCATGCTTACTCTCTTATCCTCCGAATCCGCGCTTACAAAACACAGGAGTCTTCTGGACTGGAGGTTCTCTGAATCCCGCCCGCTCTTTCGGTCCTGCTGTTGTAATCCACAAATTTCGCGGCACTCAATGGATCTATTGGGTGGGACCGCTGGCTGGCTCCATTTTCGCTGTCCTGCTGTTCAAATTGATCAAGAGTCTGGAGTATGAAACTGCGAATCCAGATCCGGAACATGGTCCTGACGGACCAGTGTATACCGATGAGGTGGAACCTAAGGCGAAACAAGAAGAGAGTAATGGAGGCGTGAAGCCGGAAAAGGAAGCGATATGAGGACAAAGAGCGTCGCGTGAGCATATACAGAAAGAGATGAGGAACGAAGGCGAGCTGTACATACTCGGAGGTATAATGAGAGCGATGTTGTACATGTCAACAAAAATGAGAGTCGAGCAAAGAAGATTTCTTGCTATATACCAAGTCTTGAATATTCGTTTCGTCGCAGTCGTCGCTCCACGATCAGCGGCATCAATGTCCCGCCTCGGATGACTCTGTGCTCTCGCATATCACTCTCTGTCATCCAGGATGAACGAATGGCGAGATAATCTACAGTGAGGGCCAATTGCTGGTAGTCATTTTGGTTGATCGGACACGAAAACATGGGGGGGCTTGGCCCCCCACCACTAGGTACCCGGAAGAGTCCCCAAAGCGGCTAAGCTGACCCTTGGACGTTCGTCCATGGATAATAATGCAGAGCAGCTGCTTCTCTCCATTATTGATAGGGTCTACAGGTAGGGCCTTCAATGGCTCGAGCCTTACGTTCACAAGGCTATCCCGAGTCATGTCAATGGAATAGGCCTGTCTCTTCCACTCGAATCGGTGATGAAGTTGGCCATCTGCGGCCCTTGAAAGCCTGTAGCCGCTGTGACCCCACGGGGCTACCTGCACGATTGGTGATTGTCAGTCCTCGAATAAGTGCCAGAGTTGAAACAGTCCTGAAAAGCGTCTCAGTCCTTCAGGTAGGGGGCGTACGGCATAGGACCACAATAATCATCTATCCTGAATGAATGTTGACAGTGTTTGCAGAACCAGAGATCTACGGCTTTGCGTAAACATGAGAGAGCATTCCACGAGGCAGTGTCGTTGCCCCGGCCACTGGAACGAACCTTACCCAGACGAAGTGCCCGTTTTCACGCGAAAACGTATTGGAAATGCTCGGGGTTGTATCAGCCACAATGTTTGCAAAACGTTTGGGTAGGCGCCAGGCAGGACTGATGCTGCCTCGTCACAAAAGTTCTCGTTCCTTCTTTACTTTTTATTGTTTAATCTCATCGTCTGGCATTAATCAGGGTCGCGCTGGTCAAGCAGCATGAACGAGATCTTCCATCATTCAGCGTTTATGGACTCAGCACAAAGTCTACGACTGCTTTCGATAGATGGTGGAGGGATTAAAGGTTTGACAGCGCTCATCATCCTCAGACGTTTGATGCGGACAGTCAAGGTCAAGTTAGAGCTGGCTCAAGATCCAAAACCATGCGAATACTTTGATCTTATTGGCGGCACTTCTACCGGCGGGCTCATCGCAATCATGCTTGGCCGCTTAGGACTCACGGTAGACCAATGTATAGATGCCTACCAGGTTCTTGCACAAGCCGTTTTTGGTCACCGATCTTATGGTGGTATCGTGTTGCAGGGATTGAGAAGCAAGTCTGTGTACTCCATATCTCGACTTCAGGAAGCGATCAAAGAGACTTTAGCGAGCTACGGTGAAGAAGAAGAGGCAGCCCTCAATGATTCAGGGTCCCACGGATGTCGGATGTATGCTTCAAAGCTGCCCCTGCCGTTGAAAGATATCCGTTAATCTGACGTGTACAGGTTCGTCTGTGCGAGCAACCAAGTCACCTCACAGTATGAGCTCATACGCAATTATGTCAGCAATGCAGCAGACCAAGAAAACTACGATTGTACAGTTTGGGAGGCGGGCTCTGCGACAGCTGCGGCACCGATGTACTTCGACTCTGTAACTTTCGCTAGGTCGCGTACTGAGTTCACCGACGGTGGTCTCAACATCAACTGTCCCGTAAACGAACTTGTCAACGAAGCAACGCGCATCTGGCCAGCGAAGGAGATTGGATGCTTAGTGAGTCTAGGGACTGGATGGACTCAACCATCGGAGATACCCAAGAGATTAGACAAGTTCTTGATTGGAAGTGTCAAGATGCTCACAAATGCAGAAAAATTAGTCGAAACTTTTACGAAACATCCTATTGGGCGGGAGTTGCTGAAATCGAATCGATTCTTCAGATTTAATGTTGAGCAGGGTATGGATCAATTTGAATTAGACGACTGGAAAGAGCTTCCGAGGCTGAGTGAGCTGACCAAGTTTTATTTGGGGAGAAGCGAAAAAGCAATGGCTGTAGAGCGTTGTGCTGCAGTACTCATCGACCCTGATAGGCAGCGTTAGTGCCAGGTTTTCGTCCGTCGAGGAGTCACATAGGGTATGCTGAAGCTCCTAGAAGTCATGTCGAAACCCTCTCTTCTCCCTGTCGAGTTAAACCCGAATTTCGTACGTCGCGAAGTAATCATCAGAACCTTACACAATTACTTCAATTCTCCCGAGACACATTTGAAGCGCTTCATCCTCTGGGGTATTGGAGGAGCAGGGCAAGTCCTTAATTCTTCTACAATAAGAGGGAAGTGTATCTGACGGCAACAGCAAATCACAAATCGCACTACATCTGGCGCACTCCGATTTGAAACACAGAAGTGCGTTTTGGGTAAGAGCTGATCGATTAGAGACTTTCTATGAGGACTACAGAAAGATTCTTGGTATACTTGATGGCTCTCAAAACTCAGATTACGACGATCTTAGTCCTCTCGAAGTTCTCAAGCAAACTCGCGAAGCCCTCGAGAGGAGACCAAAGGACTGGTTTCTTGTGATCGATAATGCAGATACTTTTGATCTCTTCCAAAAACAAGAGAACGATATATGTTTGACAGACTACCTGCCTACATGTGGGCATACCTTGCTGACCTCGCGCGACAAACGGATGGTAGGTGAGTTAGCAGCATTTGAGAACAGCCTTCGCGTGGACGCTATGGAGCAGCACGAGGCGGTACAATTACTCCGAAAATCAATCATCGAAGGCCTTAATCCCGACTGGCCCAAGGCTCACAACCAAGCTATCGAGCTTCTTGAGCTTTTGGGCCATCTACCGTTAGCGATCACGCAAGCTGCCGCAAATATGAGAGTAAGATCAATAGACTTTAGCAGTTATATATCCCAGTTCAAAGACCGCAAATCCAGGATCGGCTCGCTCCAGATAAACGCCACAATACCAAAGGGCACACCACAGTCAGTTCTAGTGGTATGGGAGATGTCGTTCGACAATATCTCAAACTTCGATACAGTAGCCATCACACTACTTTATCACATGGGGTTTTACTTTCGGTCAGACATTCCAGAAAGGATACTAAGGAAACTACCTGACATCAGCAATCTGAGCGAAACCCGTTTCAAACAAGCACTGGATCGGCTATCAGACTTCGCTTTGATCGATACATCTAACAGGGACCAACATTCATACTATCAGATTCATCCTATGGTACAGTTATGGATAACGCAACGCATCTCCATTGAAGAAAGACTCAAATACTTAGGCTGCAATGTAGCTCTGTGTGTACGCGAACTTCCACCCTACCCAACTTCCTCGAATAAGGCTATCCGTCGGGTTCTGGCACCACACGCTCTGGAGCTGAGTGAACATGGGCAAGAGTTGCAGATGTCGAATGAGCCTTTTTGTCTATTGTTGCATACACTGATCAGCTACCTGAAATTCAATGATTGTTCGCGGTCTGCCTTGCAGCTCAATCGCCATGCTTACCAATTGACTTCCACGTTATGGAAAGGGCAGCACTCTCTACTTTTTATTCTCGACTTAGAGGAGCTTTCAATCCTAACCTCGTTGTGCCTTTGGCAAGAAGCTGCGGACTGTGGTTTGCGGATGAAACAGAAATGGGAGGCCTATGATCTGAATCCTGCTTGCAAGCCAGCTCTCGATCACGATTTGATTCTTCCCATGAAGATGATAGGCAGGGAAGAAGAGGCATTAGGCTTCATAAACCAAGGCGCCCATACCAGGATCGAGATGAAACCTAGCGCTTCTCCCAAATCCACCCTGAGGCTTGAGGCTCAAGTATCTAAAGGGTCTTCCAATAAAGACACAACCTCGGTCTCGAAAGAGGATGACCTTACCACGTATGACTCTGATGAATACACTGGACTAGAGAAAAGAGCGGAGCTGTTGAGAAAGGAAGGTAAGACGGAAGAGGCCTTCCATCTCTATACGAAAGCCTTCGAGCGAGCGATACAAACATTCGAGCCGTCCTCTCATATCACGTTAGGTGCAGCAGTACAGCTCTGTGCCACGGCTTCCTCCTTGCATCGCTATCGCGTCATAGATGTCTTGGTCCAGCGAGTCGAGTGTTTGGTGCAGCCTGACAAACTGGAGGGAGTGTCCTTGTTGCAATATGCTCTATTAATTCTACAGTGGAGCATAAGCCTACAACATCGCAGGAAGTATCAAGACGCTGTAAAAGCCCTTCGATCGATCACCCAGAGATGTGATCAGCTTGAAGTGCCCGATCCCGACTCAAACATTTCCATCATGCTATGGTTTCAATACGCCCTTGCCTTAGGCAATGCCGGCCAAAAAGAGGCAATGGAAAAGCTCCGCCAAAGTAATCCAAAGATAGCTCAAGCGGAAAAACTATATGGCAACATCGAAGACTTAGTGAAAATAGAACCAGAGATCATTCGCACATATCATACAGGTCTCACATTACTCCTTACCGGCACTGCTCGCGAAGGGGAATGGTGGGACAAAAGCTCCCAGCTACTCAAGCTTGGAGAAGAGCGGTATGGCAACCTTGAAGACCAGGTGAAGATGCACAAGGCCAAGGGCAATGTCGATGCTCCTAAGCAAGGACCTTTAGATAGTTCTAGCCCCGAAACACCAGTCAGGGCCGGAAGTCAGGAGCTCACCAAGATTCAACGGAGACTGGGGGATTTCCTGGATAAGCTCACGCTCCGGTCGAGGGCGAGTAAAGACAGGAGGTTACAAGGGAGTGAAAAGGTGAGGATCCTTGAATAGCATTGAGGCATCTTCAGCAAGATGGTCTGAATATCGCTCTTGTAATTTTCAGCAGAATTTGTCGGCTCAAGAAATGGCCTGGACTGTTGCATATTTGGATCCCGAATGACGAAGACGGCGATGACGACAGTATTAGGGTGTCTCACACTCCGTCGTTCTCCCTCCCATCCCTTCTCCACAATCTTCAAGCCATCATTGCCAACTCCTACATGACACTCCTCTGCTTGATAGACGGCTTTATGGTAAATAAATAGATCGCGCGGCCTCTCTCTCTCCAGGTGTTCGGAGCAGCGATTGATGTTGAAGTGACGGGGCTTACTTATAATCCTTGAGGGGAGTGTGATGGAAGATCTCAAGGGATGGGAAGTAGGTAAGTGGGTAAGTGGGTAAAAGAGCGATATAACGGATGCAGTTAGGGATACCATGCTCCGAGGGGTGGCGTGATGGTATGGTGAATGGAGGTTGAGAGCGTCGTGGTGACTTTGTTTTGGGGAGGGGGGGGGCTGTAGGATGATTGAGCACATGGATGGTTGGCTTGGGATTTTGTGCTTCGATTCAAAATCTGGTAATCTCAGGCTCTTCTTCTAGAGCGAGGAGAGATCGACTCTATTTTTTGGATCATACGTCTATTTCTGATCCAGAGTAAACGTAGGTCCCCCACTACAGAAGAACAAATCTTTTGAGTTGTCTAGAGATAGCTCTGGGGCACCGTTTTCCAAAGGCCATCCTCATCCCTTGTTCCCCACAAAAGGTATCAGGGCCGTCTTCACAACGCCCTGTTAAAATTCCCTCTACTAAAGCTTCCCGATTTCTCATCCGCGCCGTTCTTCCCCTCAATCAACCCCTGTCTCCTCAAATCCTCCACCTCACCCATAAACGCCCTATACCCCAGCTCATCAGCCTTCATCCTCCCATGCTTCATCAACCTCCCGCTCTCCACGCCCTCGACCACCTCATCGCAAAGTCCCCACTCCTTCGCCCGTCCAAGCGCCTGCAACACCTTCCACAAAGTCATCCACCCGTCATTCTTATTCTCCAGCGGTCTGTGCCGCAGATACTGCAGCGCCTTCTCCCACTCGTCGCACTCCGCGAAACCAGTGATGACGCGGTTCCAGAAGACAGGGCCGAGCCGTTTGCGGCGTTGGGGGTTGCGGGTGGCGAGTTTGATATGGGCGTCGATGCTGGGGATGTCGGGAGGGATGCCTTTGAAATAGTGCGTTAGGAGGATGGTGTGAATGTGGGCGGACGCCTCGATGTTGGCGGTGTCCATGTGCGATAACACAAGACGGGCGGCGGAAATGCTGGGGGGTGTTCACGGGAGTCGAGAAGGCCGAAGAGGAGGGTGGAATAGGTGTGAGGGGAGGGGTACATGTTGTTGGTAGAGAGACTTTGGAGGACGGAATTGATGGCTGCGACTTGATCTTTCTCGCTGAGGGAGAAAAAGGGAGATTTGTAGGAGCCGACGAGGCCTTTGAGGATGAGAGTGTAGGTGATTATGTCAGGTTTGCAGTTATCCTCCGCCATCGCCTTGAGGTGGCTTTGGAGCTCATCGGTGGTAGCGGATAGATTGATGGTTTTCAGCATGATGTTATACGTGAATGTTTCCGGTTGGAGACCTTGAGAACGAGCCCAATTCAGGACGAGTTTGTGGAAGTCGATGATGCTGTTCCTTCCCCGATTCAAAGTGTGAATGGCAGACATAGCTCCGTGTACTGGGCCTAGGGAAGGCTGGATTGATTTTATCTTTGACCTCCAGTCGTGACTTAATTGTTCTAAGAGGGCTAGACCTTGTTGAGACTGCCCTGCTCTGACAATACCGTGAATATACGCGGTCCAAGTCTCATTATCCGGCTCAAACTTGGAATTCAGCATGTTCGACCAAATACCCTGCATGGATTCCAGATCTCGTACACGCCCACATCCTGCCAGCATTGCGGTCCAGTGTATCTTAGTGGGCCGTACACCACTTGACAGCATGTAATTCCAGACTTCAATAGCCTCGTCATTGCGATTGACTTCGAAAAATAATTTGAAGAGGCGAGCAAAAATCTTATCTCGTATCTCAGGATCTTCAAGTTGCTCCTTTTCTAGCTTGTCCTTAGAGAAATGCCAGAAACGAATGACATCTTTAATGCCTGGTGGCTCTGTAGAGCTTAGACGGTTTGCCCTAGCGAACCACCTGTCTATGTTGTGTCCTGTCCAGAAATAAACTCGCGGGGAACGTCGAGCTACATTTGACATTGGAGAATTTCTGCTACCCTGTGCCGATAATCCCAACCATTCTGCCTTTGCAGCTTCAAGATCCTGTCTTGAGGTGCCTACTCCCCTCAAATGATGACGAACACTCTCATAATCCCACGCTGAGTTTTTCTCGAGAATACGGAAGCTGTTTCTTAGCGTCAATGCGGCATCCAAGATGACTTGATCGTTCTCCAGCTTATCCATGTGTAGTTCGAGAAAATGCAGCGAGAATATGGCAACCAATGCTATTGGTTGGAACCGAGGCTTGTTTTTCCCGAAGCCAAACAATTGCCCAAATCTGGCACCCAATGCCAATGGTAGATTCTCAAACTCTTCTGAGACTTCCACTGGCTTCAATCCAGCTTCTGACACTCTCTCGATCTCCTGCTCAAATATTTGGCCTGTTCCAGACATATATCTGTCCCAATAGGACGATTTTGACCTGTACGATTCGAAATATAAAGCCCATATCTTTATGAGACCAGATAGCTTCTCTGCAAATGCAACCTGTGTAGGAGGTGTTGAGAGGCCTAGCGTCGGCGTTTCTACCAGAGACCTCAACTGCATCCACAAGATCACGGGCCACCAGGGCTTGAATGCAGCATGCTTCCTGTAAATGATGATCACATCTTTCGCGGTAATCTTCTTTTCGTCGACCATTATGTACCCTCTCTTAGCTATCTCCAATAGAACCCCGAGAAAAATACGGTCACCCTTATGCTCTTTCAAATTTTTAGAAGCCGCAAGTTGTCTCCAGGTTTCAGATTCAATAATGCCGAGGACCGAAGTCCATATTGTTTCGAAAGGTAGCTTATTTTTCTTGCGAAGAGAATTAAGCTTTGAGAGCTCATCCATCATAGCGTCACATGCCTTATCGTCATCTGAGCCAGACTCTAACGACCTCTGAGAGTCCCTTCGCTTTTCTTCGTCTTTTGCAACTTGATACCCAGTTGACGGTTTGGATGACTTTGCTAGTGGGGTTCTTGAGTAACGGGCTGTAGAGCGGTCTTCTTGCTTCCGTGTAGACTTAGTCTGCATCTTTGACCTTTCTTCCAATTTCTCCCTCTCTAGGCTCCTTGACTTGAGTTCGTCCAGAATCGAAGAGTGATTCTAGAGCCTTGTCCTCTTTCCTGGCTTCTTGCTGCTGACCGAGACGGTCATTATAAGTGCGCTCTCCAGCTTTCGTCCTCGTTCGGCTCGTTTCGACCCATCCGAGGGCTCCAAATGAGCCAAATGCCTTCTTAATTCGTTCTTCATCTTGGCTTTCCGCTCTTTCAGCAAGTACAGGAATTGAGTAAGAACGTCTCCCAGGTAGACGCGTTAGAAAGCGGCGACAACATCTGTGACAAACGAATGGCACGTTCATGAAGTGATCGAGCTCATCTGATCGTACATTGAGCTTCTTTATAAGTGCAAAATGTCGGAATTAAGTTGGCAGCCGCGATGTCCTGTCCGAAACGGGCCACGTGCATAATCGGCACGCGTTTTACGCAAGTACCGTGCATCAGGTGGGACAATAATATTCACTGAAAACGGCACCTCACGATCTTGTAAGCACCTTCTCACTCACCTTACTTCTTACTTTCTTTCAGTCGTAGACTTATAAAGCTTTGAGTCATCCTCCGCCTCAGCAATTACCTCAATTGGATAGACATTATTCCTAAGTCTTTTTACCGACGCACTTTGCATTATTCTTGTTCCTCAGAGAGAAGTGACTACCAGGCAATGATAGACATTGTACAATCATCATGACGACGCTTGTTCCGCGTCCACCATACACCCTAGAAGAGCTCGACCGTCTCTATCCAAAACGATTGAAGCTTCAGCTGGTCCAAGTTGTAAGTAAACACGTCTCAAACACCAGTCAGCCACCACTTTCTCCGTTTTCCCTTCTAGTAAAGGTTTTAGCAACTTTTGATTCTTCAAACAACTCATTTACGGCCCATTATATCAAACGCAAACGCAAATTATAAACTTTTCTTTCTATTCAAAGTAAAATAAATCTGGAAATTTCGTCGTGTGAACAGGCAATGATCATGCCTCATCAGTATCACTCTTAAAGTCCCTACAAAAGAAACTCCCGACTAATCTCCTCCCTCCCAGCTCCTCCGCCATGGTGAACGCTCCCCCGTCTCCCCCGTTTTCAAAACGCCGGTCTCCCGCCCTACTGGCCCTACTGCACAGCCGCCAAACAGCTCACCTCAGCCATCATGACCTCCACCTCCAACACATCCTGGTCCCAACTCCAATGGCGACGGCGTCTCGAAACCTTCGGCGCCAACGACGCCTCCGTGCTCGCGTCCGGCCCGCGCGGCGAAATCGACGGCATCTGCAACATGGGCGAACTGACGGACAAGGGGCGAGAAACGACGCTCGCGCTGGGAGAAAGGTTTCGAAGGCTTTACGTAGACCAATTGGGCTTCATGCCCACCATGATCGGGGATGCGGATATGTTTTACTTGCGCGCGAGCCCGCTGCCCAGAGCGCTGGAGAGCGTGCAGCAGAGTTTCGTTGGCATGTATCCGCTGGGGGCGAGGGCGGCGGGCATGCCGCCGCCCACGATCGTGACGAGGACGGTGCAGGACGAGACGATTTTTCCGAATGATAATGCGTGTAAGCGGTATGGGCAGCTGATGAACGCGTTCTGGAACCGCGCCGCGGAGCGGTGGAATGGGAGTGAGGATCTGAAGTATTTGACGGGCAAGATTGGGAAGTGGATGCCTGAGGGGGAGGGGAAGGAGGTGAGAGTTGATGGGCATCCGCGGTTGAGTGGGATTATGGATACGGTGAATTCGACGCTGGCGCATGGGGAGGAGGTGAGGCTGCCAAAGGAATTTTATGATGCAAGGGCGAGGGATATTGTGGATAGGATTGGGTGCGAGGAGTGGTTTGCGGGGTTTAAGGAGAGTCATGAATATAGGTTGTTGGGGATTGGGCCATTGGCGGGGGATATTGTTACGAGGATGGTGGGGAGTGTGGAGCGGAGTGGTAGTGATGGGTTGTTGGAGGTTGGTGGGAAGGATGGGGAGATGGGTGTTGGTAGAGGCGGGGAGAGGAGCCTCAAGTTTGGACTGTCAGGATGCCATGATACTACACTCGCTGCGTTGCTTGCGAGTGTTGGTGCCTTTGACAATGAGAAGTGGCCACCGTACACTTCACATGTTGCGTTCGAGCTGTTCAGGGACGTTGGGAAAGCAAGCGAGGGGAGTAAGATGGATATTCCCGTCAAAGCGACAAAACCTGGAGACCAGATGGAAAGCAAGGGAGGTTTCTTCTCATCGCTCTTTGGACGCAAGAAGCTTACGACTGAGGGGATTGCAAGGAAGCCCACAGCAGAAATGACTATTGCTGAGAAGGAAAGGCTGAAGGGATATTTTGTGCGGATCAGATACAATGATCGCCCAGTCACAATTCCGGGTTGCAGGCCTCAAGGAAATCATTTGGATGGTGATGAGACGTTTTGCACTCTAGAAGCGTTCAAGTCTATCGTGGACAAGTTCACTCCGCGCTCGTGGAAAGAGAGCTGTTTGATGAACCTAGATCAGCCGCCTATACCGCAAGAAGTTGAACCAGCCGGATGAGCAGTCACGGCAAGAGATACTTGTATATACCCTTGCATACCCAATCCATAGATATCTAGAATGATTACCCTGAGCGTCCGGTTTGAAGAGCAAGAGCTTGCTGAATTCCTTTGGGCGCTTTCACTAAATGAATTAAAGAGGTCATTAAATATCCATGAATTAGCTGGTATGTACAACGATATGGTGAGAACCATTAACGATCAAGGACGTAATCCCAAGCGAGTGTATATAGTACAGCTGTTTTTGATGCAGCATCTCAAGTCCTACTGACTTCCCATGCCAGTCATGCAGGTTCCACCGGTCAGCTTCTGACTCAGGCCTTTAAGACTGTCAGTTGCGAATGATGAGCTAGTCGCTCTCCTCCTCAAGCTCTGTTTAGCATGTGTCTGTGCTTCCCTTTCCTCTCTCGCTTCCTCTACTAGAACACCGCGACCGCCGTCACGCTGATCATCCAAAATCTGTTGTCGCGATCCAGCTGCTTGGAACTCAGCTTTGCCACTTGGTGGCCGAGGCTGCTGCTCGTTGATCGACACTGAGGATAAGTCCTTCGCGTTTCTCATTTCATGCTGATACGGTTCAATCGCTTGCAACTTGCTTAATTTGGGATCTGAGCCAGTCACAGGTTTAGTTTGATCTGTATCCATAGCTTTTTGGGCAGCGATTCTGCTCTTCTCATATCGGGCGCTGACGTCACCTCCGACCCACTTGGTTCCCAAAATGTGGTCCCAGAAAGTGAAGAATGGCTGACTGAAATTGGTCTTGATACCCCAACTCTGATGGTGCACATCGTGATAGCCAGCATTGTTTCCTGTGATGTGCTGTAACGGATCCCAGGGCAGAGCGTACCCGCAGTGATCGTCTACGGTCTTGAACGTAGAGCCAGAGAAAAACAGACCGCCTTGTCTTGTCGTCATTCCAGCAACTTTGAATGCTATGCTAGCGCCCAGCGTATCAAGTAGGAAGCCCTCAAACGGGTGGTTGTAGAGGGCACCGTAGGCGTAAGGTACGTAGAGCCGATGATGCCGTGAGTGAAATGTGGTGTAGAGATATTTGTTGTGGTGCATAGCACGGTGGAGGAAATATTGCCAGGTATCGAGTATTATGATTGCGACTGTAAATTGAATGGCTGGTATCAAGAGCCAATACAAAGTCTTTGCGCAGAGGAGCTCCCAAGGAGCGAAAGTAGGGATTGTTGCGTTAATACCACTGGAGAGGGGTGACACAACTCGGAGATGGGCGTAGTGGCCCCCTGACAACGCGCCGGCTAAGATAGGATGACCAGCACCCAAATTCTTGCCCAATTGCATTGCGTCGATTCCAATCCAAGACAGTACATTTGGAATTGCTCGCTCAGCCAATCTTATACGCCTAGCCCACACAGCAATGTCGTATTGGTCTTTCCCGATGAAATCGTCCGGCTCTGTGAGATTCAGAAGCATTCCGGTAAGCATCTGCACCACCTGCTGTATGATAACGTCTCGGAAAACCTCCCATCGTGAGGCCCGGTTTCTTTTCAAGATTTCAGCGGGTGTATGAAGTCGATATTGCGGGAAGAAGTCTTTTGTATCTATCCAATGGAAGAAGCCAGAAAGTAACCAGTATGCAATGATTGGGGACACAACTGTAAGAGTCTTATCAGAAATCCAGGGAATGAGAGCAGGTCGAGGTGTGAGTGTGTAGGCTGGGAGAGGAGGAAGTTCGGAGTGACTTGTGGGCGTTGTGTAATTCATCATTTTGAAATCGAGGAGAGGATCAGCACAGCCGCGAGTATCGCGTGAGCTATGGTTTGGCCTCCACGGCCGGATGCGGACGGAACTGATCAGACCGTTACGATATTGACTGCTGGTCAATTGGAAAAAAGAAGAAGAAGCTCTTGAAGGGCAATACTGCTGGATAATGATCAAAAGAGTGAGAGAAAAGAAAAGCTTGGGTGAGAGTAAGCATTAGGGTGAATGAAGAAGCGGCTGAGTCGTTCGATCATTCAGGCTGACTTAGCAGTTTGCCACCCGATGCCCGCTTGTTCCCCAAGAGGAATAGTCCCCGCTCCCGCATAGAGTTTCTCGATCTCGGCCCACCTGTAAGCCATACCCCACCAATCCCACCAAGATCTTTTTTGACCTCAGGTCGCTTTCTCTTTGCTGAGAAGAGCAGTCCATCGCAGAAACTTCATTCATTCATTCACAACCGCCGCCATGATTATCTACAAGGTCAGTTCGAAAGTCTGCGAGTGTTACTGTATTCACGGACGAGCGCCCTTCGAGTCCTCCCATCCCGGAATTCTTGAGCTAACATGGTATTGAACAGGATCTAGTGACTGGCGACGAGATCATCTCCGATAGTTACGGCCTCAAAGATGTCGACAATGTGGTGTATGAGATCGACTGCAAGAGAATCACAAAGGGGGGCGTGAACGTCGATATTGGCGCAAACCCTTCGGCTGAAGGCGAGGATGCTGATGCACTCGAGGAAGGGGCTGAGCAAGTCATCGATGTCATCGATTCCTTTCGCCTAGTTTCAATACCTTTCGGTGACAAGAAGGGTTTCGCAGGACAACTGAAGGGTGAGGCTTCGCCATAAGAACAAGGAAACGAAAGCGCTGTGCTGATACCAATTCTGCCTAGGGTTCATGAAGAAAGCCAAAGACCAATGGACAGCAAAAGGCAAAAGTGAGGATGAGATCAAAGACCTCCAAAAGGGCATACAGGGCTATTTCACAAAACACTTGTCGCCAAATTTCAAGGACTTGGAATTTTTTACCGGAGAATCCATGGATCCCGATGGAATGTAAGTCTTGCACATGAAGATTTGCTCCATATAGCTCGGCTGACAGAAGTTGCTTCAGGGTTTGCTTCTTGAACTACCGCGAGGATGGTATCACACCATACCTGATTGTTTGGAAACATACTCTGTCTGAAATGAAGGTCTGATTTTGTATCAAAGGAGTTCTTACCACATGATAGATCAGGCATGTGAATGGCCGCCATCAAAATTTGCAAATGTCATGCCAGATCAATTTTGGTGCTATCCGGTGTGTCATGGCCGGACGAAAATCCTCTTGTAGACATTGTGACCTTAGTATATTCCGAAGATAAATGATGTGTGCCCTACCTTGCTTGACCCATCATGCTCTGCCTACTATAGGTACCACTCGTCACTTACTCCTAAATGCACAAAACTTCGCACCTTCGGAAAGGACACTCAATTGCGGAGACCTCTGCCGCTCGGAGGCTGCCGTCCGCACTCGGACTTGAGCACCTCAGACAACGAAACCAAGATGACATAGCATCCGCTACCAATCAAAAACCATCAATGACTACCATATCTATATGCCAAATGCCATACTCTCTTCCCCTCCTCACGCACACTGCTCACCATGGAGCCCCTACTACGCACCTCATTCTCCCCATCCCGCAATGCCATAGCAGCCGCCCGCCTCTATCAAAAACGCACTGCAGCATCAGCAGCAAGCATCCGCGACCCTTTACCATACCATGACCTACCTCATCCGCCGCCACCATCATCTCCCACCCCTCCCCTCCCCCCTACTCCTTCCCGTCCTCATCCCTCCACATCCCCCTCCCCCAACCGCAAACTCAAACCCCAAGAAACAAAACCCTTCTCCGCCTTCCTAACCGACACCTTCGCCCGCCAACACGACTACCTCCGCATCAGCGTCACCGAACGCTGCAACCTCCGATGCACATACTGCATGCCCGAGGCTGGGGTCCCGCTGTCTCCGCCCGCGCACTTGCTCACTACGCCAGAGATCGTCTATCTGTCGCAGCTGTTTGTGGCGGAGGGTGTGAGGAAGATACGCTTGACGGGGGGTGAGCCGACTGTGAGGGGGGATATTGTTGGGTTGATGCAGGAGATTGGGAAACTTAGGGTCGGGGACGGGGAGGGGGGTGGGGGCAAAGGGTTGAGGGAGCTTTGTATTACTACCAATGGGGTCGCGCTGAAGAGGAAGTTGGACGCAATGGTGGAGGCGGGGTTGACGGGGGTGAATCTGAGCTTGGATACGTTGGATCCGTATATGTTCCAGGTTATGACGAGGAGGAAGGGGTTTGAGGCTGTGATGGGGACGGTGGAGAGGATGTTGGAGATGAAGAGGTTGGGGTGGAGCGGAAAGTTGAAGATTAATTGTGTGGTCATGAGGGGGGTGAATGAGAGGGAGATCTTGAAGTTTGTGGAGATGGGGAGGGAGAAAGATATCGAGGTTCGTTTTATTGAGTATATGCCTTTTGAGGGGAATAAGTGGGAGCGACGGAAGGTGCTGGGGTATAAAGAGATGTTGGAGGTGATTGGGGAGAAGTTTCCGGGCGTGAGGAAGGTGAGGGATGAGAAGAATGATACAAGTAAGACTTATGAGGTGCCGGGATTTGTGGGCAGGTTTGGCTTTATCACGAGTATGACGGATAACTTTTGTGGGACGTGTAATCGGTTGAGGATTACGAGTGATGGGAACTTGAAGGTGTGTTTGTTTGGGAATAAAGAGGTCAGCTTGAGGGATGTTTTGAGGAAAGGGAATGATGGGAGGCCGATTGACGAGGAGGCTATGGAGGCGCTGAAGAGAGTGGAGATGGATCGTAGTCAAAGCTCGCCTGGGTTCGCTGGACCTTTGGGTTACGGCGAGACAGAGAGGGAGTTGCTCGAGGTCATTGGGATGGCCGTGAAGAGGAAGAAAGAAAAGCATGCTGGTATGGGCGAGCTGGAGAATATGAAGAACCGACCTATGATCTTGATCGGTGGGTAGGTCTGTTCTTTTCACCATCCCTTTATAGTTGCGTTGGTGTGGTGAATTTCATGTGCACGAGATTAGAAAGCTTGACGTGTTCTTTGCTGCGTAACAGATGCTGACATACATGGGCTAGATGAACGCACGCGCTTTTCCTCAAGTAAATTCTACGAGAGGAGTCTTCATGGTCGTGCTAGACCCTTCATAGCACCGCCACTCGGGCCGTATCTTCTAGGCTCACGAGGTCTCGATTCGCCGTCTTCACTAAGAGCCTTGCATGTTCGTCGGATACCAGGAGCTCAACAGAAGCTTCCTCACCTCAACTCTGGTGGTGAAGCTCGCATGGTGGATGTAAGTACAAAGGACATCACGCACCGTGTCGCTCTCGCCATTGGCTACGTACGATTTTGTATACCTTCAACCTATTACCTAGTCCGTAAATCTGCGTTGAAGAAGGGTGACGTACTTGCCGTCGCACGCGTTGCTGGCATTCAAGCCGTCAAGAACACTGCCAGCCTCATTCCCCTCGCTCACGCAGGTCTTCCCATTGAAGGTGTGGATGTCAGAGTTGAGCTCGCTAAGGGCAGTGATCCTGCTAAGAAGTCACGGGATTTGCTAGATGGATCAGCGCAAGAAAAGTCATCTACGCGAGAAAAGAGTTCGACGGAGAACAAAGTCGAAGATGACGTGGAGAAGAAGTTATGGGCAAGAAGTTTGATTGATCAACCTATCGAACCTTGTGGGGGCGTCAGGATTGCAGTCGAGGTCAAGACGACCGCCAAAACTGGCGTGGAAATGGAGGCGCTGACGGGGGTCATGGGTGCCGCCCTGACGGTGGTGGATATGATCAAGGGTGTTGATCCTAAAGTCTGCATCAGCAATGTCAGAGTCGTCGGCAAAATAGGAGGTCGGAGTGGAGGGTGGCTGCTTGGGCGCCAACTACATGACGGAAGTCAGTCGCCCCTTGATGCTGACTCAGTAGGCGCGCCCGCCGAATGAAATGCCGTTGGTTGGAGCAGCCTCTACTTAGGATCTATCTCTTTCTCAAAACGGTATGGATTATAATTCTGTACGATAAAGCCAAGCCTCGCTTTCGAGATGGAGGATCGACCTGGTTTAAGCTCGCTCAATAGGTTGGTGTATTGCCTACGCTACACTTATGGCATCTCGGGTATGCTGGCTGCGATAGCCAACCGTAAAGGGATGCAACCCACCAAGTCGTGGCAGCAAGCCCCACATTGCGGCTGACTTGCATGTACTTGATAAAGAACCTGGACGTATAAGGCTGGAGCACTTTGTTGCCTGATGGCGTCTCCTTCCTGTTCTTCTATACTCTCATCTTCTCTATTTACATCCAACATCAATCTCGTCGCACGGATGCCATGCTGTTCCTTTGGCTCTTTTACTTGTGGATACGCTCGAGCCAGGTCACGAGCGCACCGATTGAACACCTTGACCAAACTTCTAATCTCCCCATCGGCAACCACACAGCATTGTACCATGACACAGTCCAATCTTGGGTGGCACCAAGCCCAACGAGATCGAGCTGGGAGATTCTCTACAGCTGCCTGGCAGCGCTGTTCACGTGCTCGTATACTGTCTTTCCGCTAAACGTACCGGAATACGAGGACTCGAGGTTGACGCGAATCTTGCGGAAGGCGAAATGGATGCTGCTCACAATCCTTGTGCCGGAGTTGATTGTTTATTTGGCGTATAGTCAAAATCGTAAGGCAAGGCGATTGAGGACGCGCCTAGAAGAAATTTTGAGAGTGAGACTTTGCTTCATATCTTATCCTGATGCCGGTCTCTGTATTGTCTTATGTAACTGATCACGACTAGAACGACGACGAAAGTCAGGACGACGAGAGTCAGAAACCTGACCGCGACAAAAATATAGCGCAAGACAAATCAAAAGAACCATCCAGAGAGACCGAAGTCAACAACGAAGGACAAAAAGCTCCTGAAGCTCCCAAAGCTCCCAGCCTATCCAATGATGGCGAGGAGGGTGAAGCAGAGACTGCAAAGCCGCGACCTACCCTATTGTTTTGCCACTTTGTCTTGATGGGAGGTCTTGCTGTCGACGTCAGCGAAATTCATGATAGTGTGCGTAGAGTCACATTAACCGCCAACGGTGTCACTGAACTATCAAAACGTGGTCATCTGCCTTTTATTCCTGACAAACGTATACAAGAATTGGATCATTTCGACTATTTGGGTAACGGCATTGCCATCTTTCAGGCATTCTGGCTGGTGCTCGAATGCATAGGACGACGAGCGGCAGGCCTTCCTATTGCTTTGTTAGAGCTGAACACTTGCGTCAATATTGGCTTTGCTTTGTGCCTGCGACTTCTATGGCACGCTAAGCCTTTCAACCTTGAATCACCCATCGTTGTGAATGACAGCAATTTCAAAGGCTGTATCGCCCTGATGTTTATGGTGAGCGACATTTCAGGAATTGGAAGACGTCGCTCATGGGGTCTGTGGCTAGATCGCCCCGAGTCAAATCACATCGCTACTTACTTACCCACGAGAAACAGTGAGCTCAAGTCACCTGATTGTCACTCAGCAGAAAATCCCGGAAGCAAGGGACCAATATCAAGTCTTCAAACTAATGCTTCGCTCAGACGTCCTTCATCCGAAAATCTGGATATCTCTGGTAATCATAGGCTATCAGGAGCACCAGCCCCGAGTTCGAATAATCATAGCCGTGAATATTCGTATGAAAACACGAATAGTGACGCTTCTAGCAAAGATCTCACGATTGAAAGGCCGTCTATTATGACAATGAGTGAGCCTCTGGGGGTAGTCACAAAACAAGTGCACAAGGTACCTAAAGATGTCACAATAATCGGTATAATGCAACCAGGAGAGTGCTTCAATTCTGGCGTTGGAATACACCCATCCGCACGAATGTCGTATGAGGTATCTGCAAAGGATGCTCTGAGGTGGCGTCTGGCCGAAAGTGAGAGGAAGGTCTTGGAGAGAGACCGGAGCTTCGATCTCACGCCTGACGAAAGAATTGGGTGGGTGGATTGGGATCGATTTTTGTCCAGGTTCAACCCAGTGGTGAACAGAGGGCTCAATCTAGATATGACTTTCTGGAATCTCGTTGATATGAAGGTGTATTTCGAGACGATGGAGTATCCCACTCTCCGTTGGATGGGCGCGTTTCTCACACTTCATGGTGGCGTTCACTTGTCGGCTTGGACATTCAATTTTCCTACTCAACTTGAGCTGCTCCTTTGGAAAGTATCTTGCTTTACTTTATGTGGATGGGTCTGGGCAATGGGGTTGGTCGTGTATATGAATTACGCTGTTCTCGGACCCAATCTTCGACGCGATTCAAAGTTGAAATTCATCGCAGAGGTGACTGTCAAATTCTTGACTTTAACGTCCGTCGCGCTGGCAATTGCAGTGTCGGCTTCAAGCATCTATCTGATCCTAGAGGCTTTCTTGAGCCTTAGGCATGAGCCTGTTGGGGTCTTCGCTAGGTTAGAATGGACAGCTTTCTTCCCGATTCTAGGCTAATAGTATACCAATATGATTCCCAAGTGAAAAAAGTCTTATCCCTTGACTTGACATTTTCTACCAGCAACGCCTAATTTTACAAATACTGGCCTCGAGACATTCGCGACTACAATCTGTGCATATATTCTAAGCTTCCATACCTTTAATCTTGCACACCATCCAAAGCCCTCCACTTTTTGATCTTGTACACCCTCTAGGCGTGTACACCTTTCAAGTCTACATACATTTCGAGTCTCATACCCTAGAACCGTGCAAAAGCTCTGATTCACGAGATTCTTGGCGATGGCTTAGGGGATTTATGGGCCAAGAGCGTCTCTCCCAATAGCTTCTTCGTATTCGTTTACTCTATCTCGAAATACGCAGCTGCTAAGCTATGTAAAAACGAGTGTGCGTCAGTTGGTACGAAAGAAAGACCGCTATCTATTGATCCCTTGCCACCATTCCCCCCTTAGCCCTTTCCGCTCGTCCTCCTCCCCACTTCACACAATGAAGCTCATATAACACCAGCAGGTTACATCCCCCTCAACCCGCGCATGTCGGCGCATCAAGAGCATTTCCCATCATCAGGATCACCCCTACGTCTATTAGCACACACCAGCAGCCCCCGTCATATGAAACAATGCCATGGCAACCACATACCTAAAATGCCACCCCTCCTGCGTCTGCAGTGATTAATCCTCCACCCCTCACTGTCAGTCTTTTTCACAGAGAAGCGCCTTTACCATCGTGTCACTCTGCGTGTTCTCCTCTTTACATGTGTCATTACCCTCGAGAACGTCGACTAAAGGGGCTAAACGGTGCGCTGCCAAGTTCAGATCTCTCCAGATAGATCTAATTGACTGCCTTTACATCATGTAGACAGTTCTCGTGGTACTTGAGAGAGCTCATATTTTATGGAGTCCATTGCCCTATCAGTTAGGGATGTACGGGAGGAATATCCGCTCAGAACAGGTGGATCGTCGGGTATGTTCTACGAACGACGCTTGGTCCGGGTTGGATACTTGTGTTGCTGACCTTGGGATCGAGGAGCGGTGACAAATGTCTGTGCCAAGTACTGATTACATGCATATCAATATTATTGTGGATACTTTTTGAGACAGGGGTAGGCCAAGACTTAAGCGAGCCTCTTTTTGAACTTCTTGGGTATTTTGCTAATGTTGTACCAAAAATGAACTTCCAGTGTACAGGTTCGAAGCTGATGAGTATATGGAAATATATCAATCTCAAAAGGACAAACCATACAAAGATTTGAAGGAAATTGGTTGAAATGATAGTCTGGTATTCTCCTTTTGTCGCCCACTCTCGCTTTATAGTGGCGTACGACCTGTCAGACTAGACTCTCAAGAGCGGTGTACATCTATATGGTCGGTGTAGAGAACCTCTCCTCACTCGAGACAGCTCGCCCTACATGAACCCATGATAAACAGGCGCTTACACCATTTTCTGGATGAATTCGATATTCACGGTCAGCAATCTTATCCAAAGGTCAAGGCACGATGTACAAATCTTGCAACTGACCTAAAAAGACAAATCAAAATTTACTCACCCCTCAATGATGAGTCATCGCGCTTCCAACGTCTGTGAGCTTTCCTATTCCTACTTTCGAGCATATTATGATATCAAATCTTGCGGAATGATCATTACAATCAATTGCTGTGTCAAATTAGTCCATTTCCCTATGTCATGTATAATATATGCTAGCTTTGCCTGGTTAAGTGCATGGTCAACGCTTGCATATAAGTCCTCAACAATCTGCGGCTCAGTCCATCACACAGCAATCAACATTGTATCCTTCGACATCACCCATAGTCCTATCTTTAACCTCAAATGAATTGGCAAAGACTAAGCAACAGCTTTAAGGCTAGCTTCAAGGCTAAAAGATGAGTACAATTGACTCTCAGCCCTGAAGGATTTTCAGCCTAAGGCATTTCCCCGCTTGTTAGCCAACATCAGAGCTGAGCATAAGCTGACCAACAGCGCTACAAATTTCGGAAACTTGCTCGACAGCCAACTACTAAACTCCAATGATAAAGAATTCGGGAATTGTCGACGAGTGCAAAGTAGCAAAGCAGGAAGCAAGATACTCAACAATCAATCTGTTGTCAAAGTATATCCTTCGTACGCAAAGAATCTGCTGCGTCTTATGAGCTCATTTGGTTGATGGTGATTTAACATCATTGCCTCGTAAGTTAAAACTGCCTCAAACCCTGACAATACGTTCATTTAAAGCATGCAATATCTAGTGGCTTCAATTTCATTACTACATGTTTCGGTCATAAATTCAGGACTAATAACAGTGGCACTTGAGCCTAGTCCTGAACAATTTATTACTCTTGGACAATCCCATTGTGTTTATCTAGTACAGACTGTAAGAAATTCGCAAAGATGATACAGTGGATGGTCTTGTCCGACGAGGTTTCACTGCAGATACACGCAACAATTGCCTTTGGCTGTGTAGGTCACAAGCTCGAATACTTCGTATCACACAGCCTCATCTAATCACACCATAGATATCTTTCTACGCCGCAGCACGGTGCCTTTATCTCCTCTATTTTCATCCACTATCAAAGTTTCCAGGTCCAAAAGTGGCAGCCGTCTCAAATGTCTGGTATGCTTATCACTGGTAAGTCATCACGCCAGTTGTACTACTATAACCACAGAAATATGACTTTCAATAAAGGTTTTCGGGGAGATATCCTTGGGCAATTGAGTGTGTACTCCGCAAGTACGGCGATATCGTTCGCATTGCCCCTAATGAACTTGTTTTCTTCACTCCAAAAGCAGTCCTCGGTAATCATCCAAAAGATCGGTCTCAACATTGGTCCACTGACACGGTGCTAGACATCTACTCTCCACATCATAAGAATCTCGAAGTCTTCATCAAGACCGATTTTCAAAACCGCGGCAAGCATCTAGGCGGCATTGTCTGGGAAGAGGACCCTACTCGCCATCGTGAGGTTTCAAAGAAAATTTCTCCTGCGTTCAGCGCTCGATCAATCAAGGCTTTAGAGCCTATCATGCATGAGTATATGGATTACTTCGTCGTCAAGATGGAGAAATTCGGCTCTAAGCCCACGGGAGTCGGATTGGTAGAGTGGACGAATTGGCTGGCCATGGACGAGGCGGCTGATATGGCTTGGAGTGAGAAGCTGCATCAGATGCGGGACCGTAGGCTCTCACCCATAACATTTCCCCCAATTATCTGTTATAGCTGATGCCTTCCAGAGAGAAACTCCGTACATCTCGATGTTCTCCTCGGCTTCAACGCCTTCACCACAGTCATGCAGGTCTTCAAACGCTTTCCTCTTCTCCATCCATTTCAGTACTTGGCCGCCCCAGTCGCAAAATTGAAGGTTTTGTCGGCCATGGAGGCAGCGGTGAGGGATGGTGTCATGAAGCGTATCGAACGAAGGGCCAAGACAGAACACGTTGACCTCTTTGATTACGTCTTGCCTGCCAATAGCCCTGTTCCCACGGATGCTCATGAGCTCACCCACACCGGCGCGCTTGCCCAGCAGATGATGTTCGCTAATTACGGGCCCATGGCTGATTGGTTTTACGGGACACTTCTCTTCCTGATCGAAGAGCCTGAATATCTCCACATCTTGTCCAAAGAAATTAGAGATAGCTTTCAAAGCTACCATGACATCACCCCAAGCGCTCTAGCATCTTTACCACACCTAAACGCCTGCCTTCAAGAATCACTCCGCTTACTTCCAAGCAACAACACCGGACTACCTCGCCTAAGCCCTGGTGCTGTCATCGACGGACACTACGTCCCGAAAGGAGTAAGCCTTCTCCCAGGTTGCGCCTTCTAACATCCAATCCCCGCTCACCTACCAACTAACATCCTTGCAACAGGCACACGTCCAAACCTCCATCTTCGCCCTAACCCGCCATCCACGTTTCTTCCACGACCCCCTGCACTATCGACCGCAGCGGTGGCTTCCACGCAGCCATCCTCTATACGATACTGCCTTCGCGAACGACGCGTTGAAGGATTTTCATCCGTTTAGTCTTGGTCCGCGGGCGTGTCTTGGGCGGGAATTGGCTTGGATGGAGGGACGGCTATTCGTGGCTAAGGTGTTGTGGAAATTTGACTTGGTTAGGGTGGCTGGGGTGGAAGGGGTGGAAGGGCAGTGTTTTGATCTGGAGAAGGAGTTGCTGCATTATGGGTTTTTGGTTAAGCCGGAGGTTAGGGTGAGGTTTTTGCAGCGGAGCGAGGATGGGGTCAAGGATTTCTGAGATGGATTGATTTTTGTCTATTGATATGAAGGTATTGAAGGAGTTCTAAATTTATGGGTCTATGGACTCAAAGATAAAAGATGACAGTCTTCACTATCCCGACCGCAAGTCTTCATCAGATGAGCGGTGACCAAAGGATACAAAGGCCGAAGGCTATCAATACATGAAATTCAAGTGAAAGACTGCACTTATCAGAACATGCCTCAATCAAGCACGGTTTTCAACCGATAGTTTCTGCCCAATAAGAACCATCATCTGCAAGACGAAGGTTTTCTAGGCTCGATTTGAGAACTTCAGCTCTGTGTAGCGACGCCTTCGGGAGTGCATCATGCCCATTGGTTGATCTACCGTCAGTGGCAGCGGCTAGTCTTGAGGGCATGCACGTCAGACTCGTTCACAGGACTTTGTCAGTTCCTAGAGCTTTCGATACGGCCCGTCATGAATTCAGAGGGTCATGAGCTAAGACTTCCAATTGAGTTGAACACCTTTCCTCCCGGAAGAGATCGTCATTAGTCGCAGGAGATCACTTCTAACCCCCTATCCACGCTAGTCGCATGGCATGTGCAGGCAAGCTGAGCTACATGGGAAAACTGATGGGACACTTTCAGATGTTTCATTGGAAGATCCCGCTCTAAGAGGCAATTGAGAAGATTCGAGAACGCGCGTTGAATGCCAAAACAGGCTGTGGCTAACTGAAAATCGACAGGCTTGCAAAGCGACAGCGCACTGCGCGCCACATCTGTTCATTTGACTTGACTAGACTGGCCTCTAGTCAGCATCTGAAGAATACGGTAGTTGCAAGATTATGTCTAGCCCCTGTGCGACGCTAGTCTTCGAGATTGAACCGTTTCCAAAATGTAAGTATCAGATGCCGTGAAAGCATAGTCAAGAAACAATTGTCTGCAGTCAAGAGCACAACGCTGATAGACGCAGAAATGTAAAAACTTTTGTGATTGATCAGCCAATGATGTACAATATTGAAAGACAGCCTAATTAATGAGAGATTCAGCCAAAGCGAAGAAAAGTCATTGCAAAGGAAGCAAATCCAAGCCCTCTGGTCTTTCGAAAATCAAAGGACCATATCAGCCGTGTACTTTTAAGGGTGGTCGCTCACGCATAATAAATAACAGATATGAAATTTTCGATCGTGATTTCGCGAAAGGGAGTGTTCGGTCGTCGCATTTGCTTGGAAAAAGCTGGTCCGAGGGGCCACAAGTTGTGACAGCCCACATTTGAATGGATAGAAATGTCCGGACCCAGTGCTCTTGCCGTTGATCATTGTTCCGGTGAGTAACGTGAAATTTACTTCGGAGGCACAACAGGTGACTGCCATTTCAAACGGATGTTGTTGATCATCCCGTAGTTCACTTTGAGATTCCGGACGTCCACAATCCCGCCAAAGGTGCCAGTGGCGCGCGCGTTGTCTTTTGGATCGACAGAGAAATCGACGATGAGGAGACATCTTTTTGAGAAGAGCGATGGGTCTCGTACCATTTTCCCAACGAGCTTGTCATTTAGGCCGAAGCCAAGTTCCTCAAATGGGATGAGAACGACCTTGGGTTTACCCCCAAAGGCGGCCGGGAGCAGCTCTTTGATACGAACTGGATTCGATGGTTTGGTTGGGCGTTTTCCCATGATGTCGACTTTTCCAGCAGGCGTAAAAGTATCATCAACATACACTGCAGTGTCATCTAATACATATTGGAAGCACTGCTTCGCACCCCAATCCTCGACGATTTCGTAGCACTTTACGCCCTTCGCTGGCATACTCGTCAGGATCTTGTTGCTGGTCAAAGCAACATCCTGCGTAAAGCCTTTGGCTGAAGTGATCTCGAGCTCGTCAGAGTCTGGCAGGTACGTCAGTTGTGGGAGAATATATTGCCAGTCACTTCGCTCAACATTGAAGTCATTTTCCACAAGAATGTTTTCGCAGTATGGGGTGATTGGTTCGAAGTGGCCCATGGAGACCGCTCCCCAATTAGCGACCTTGTCTTTCGGGTTTCGAGCCAAGAGGAGTGCCAGCCACTGATACTTTTTGACCACGGCCTCGAAGAAGGCTTTGGGCAGCGTATCTGTGATCCATTGAGCGTACGCTTGATCATTGTTTTTGGGCCCCGAATAGTTTGTAGGATCCTTCATTCGATAGTCGGTGGTCTCATCAACTTTGACCAGCCCTAAGACTCCTGTAGAGGCGAAATAAGCATCCTTTACAAATAGACTAGGGAATCTTGATCGTCGGGCAGCAGCAATAATTTCCAGAGGCGAGTCCTCGGGATAATAGAGTAGTCCACTACTCGTCAAGGTTTGAAGGCAGGGTTCCAAAACTGGCCTCTTGTCGGTTGCGCTGATGGGCGTGTTCCACAGTTCAACGAGCGGAGGAATTGGCATGCCGGCGGTCCCAGAACCAAATGCAGAGTTGTATGCCAGCGAGATCTGACTAGCAAGTAAAGTTACAAAGGTGATGACGGTAGTGGCATTGGGACTGCTGGTTTCTTTGTAGTCATTTCCCACTTGAAGGAAAGTCCTAGGATAAACGACAGTAGCGCCACTAGCATTGTAACTAGTTCCAAGAGGCAAGATCTGACCTTGCTTATCGAGGAAGGCTTGTTGTTTCATAAGTCTACCCTCCTGAAAGGACCACAAAGACCGAAACCAGGCCTCAGAGTCTCGAATGCCGTTGATCTTGTCGCAGAAAGCCTCGATTGCTGTCCTCCATTCTGTGGCAACCCCTAAGCTGGGACTGCCGAGGACATTGGAAAGAATCTTCCAGACTGGTGTGTCTTTTGTGATCACTTTGATTTCAGGGCCTTGTGTATTGATAATCGTTCGAACAGTGTCGAGGTCGAGCAGCTTTGGAGTATTTTGTAGCAAGCCTTCGAGCTTCGAAAGGGTCGCTGAGCCCCACTCGATCTGGGTAAGCCATGCGGCTCCGGCGGTCGCCTTTTCATACACAAACTTCTGCTTATCAAGTTCATGATTGCAGATCGTGTCAAGAAAATCTGGCAGCCACGGAGCGCCAAGATATGGTGGCACCCGGGTCAAGTCCTTGTCGAATCCTTGCGAAAAGTCTCTTTGGGGTAGACAGACCACGTCCCACTGCAATCTATGAACAAAATACTTGAAATACACACAGAAGAGAACTTACCCAAACGAACCGCTTACCAAGCGTAAGGAAAACCTTTTTCACCTGACCCACGGTGACTTGTTTGACTGTCGGAACCCCCCAATTCCAAGCTTTGGCCACATCAGGCGAAACATTTGGGGGGATGTAGGGCAAGGGAAGATTTTCCTTCTCTCGGCTTTCGAACACCGGTCGATAAGTACCGCCCTTATCGAAAGTAGGGAGGTCTATTCGAATTTAGCATGCAGAATAACGGTTAAGAACTGCCTGAGTAGCTCACATTCGCCCCAAGCGTAGGATACCGCGCCCCAGCCCTGCTCAAGGAGGACTTTTGCCGCATAAAAATCGTCTGTGTAGAGGTCCTGAACAGAGATGACCTTCCACGGCCAGGTATTCGAGTCTGCTTTCAAAGTCTTATAATCAGGACCAAGGTCCACTAAAAAGCCAGGGGTGCTGCTTGGTGGAAATTTGGTGTAGTAATCGCTAAGGAACTTGACTGGAGGGGTGTTGTTCCATTGCCAGGCACCATCTTTGGTCAATTTCACAATGTAGGTTGTACTTGATGTTGCTAGAGACATATTGCTAACGAAAGAGGCAAATCGATTTTTTGGTAATAGGTAAAGGGACTGAACAAGTTACATAGCTTTCATTAACGAGATTTCCCTCCTATTTTATACTCCTTTCCCTTACCTAAGGTCCCATTCAAAAGGTCCGACTGCGACCGACGCCGACACTCTTCGTCTCCAGTACGAGGTAAAACGCCACGGTGGTACGTCTCTCGCCCAAGAAAAAGCCATCTGGTCGTCCGGAGGCTTGAATCTTGCCCCGAGACCGTCCATAAATCAGAAGCAGTTGCCACCTCGCTTATCAGCTCACTGTATTTACTTTCCAAAGCTCCGAGGAAGACCTTTCACGCAGCATTGAAGCTAGTATAACCTTGGCTTTGCGCGTGGCTAAAGAATTATCAAGCCATCCCAATCGCAAGCTTGCTAAGGCAGGCAAGTCCGTTTGATTGGCAAGGACCTCGCCTGAATCTTCCAAACATCTGGAAAAAAGAAAGCCAGAACATTTCGTGAATGACCATATCGACTAGTGGTGAATGCAACAGTCAGCAGCATAGTGGTAGCATCAAATGTTTAGCATATGCGTGATGAGGTGTCGCTGTTCGCTTGTAGCCAAACTTGACTAGCGTCGAACCCTACAGCGTAGCACGCTTAGGAGGCCTCTCTGTAGAGGCTTGTGGCAATAGCTAGCAGACCCAAGTTGGGCGGTCCACGGATGCATATTCCTGACGGACGATCGCGTCGTACATAGAGGCTTGATCGTGTGACTTCAGCACGACACCCTATGAGAGCCAGCTGAGAAGCGTTGCGCCACGAATGTTATAGTAGCATAGAATTAGCCAGTTGCGTATTTCTCTTGCTAAGACCGATCTGAAGCTACTGCATGATCTCTCCGCTCATGCTAATTTAGGCAGAAAGACTCTTCCAGAACATCTAGCAGGGAGTCTTAGTGTCGCCATCATCGTCAGTGCCGGATCATCTGTGAATCTAAGCACTGTAAGTAGATCAAAGTCAGGATGTGAACACGAGATGGCTTGATTTAGGATGAAAAAAGGTGACAGCAACGGCGGCTTCGGCCATTTCCCCCGGGCGGCCAACCCGAGCCGATGACTTGCCAAGCCTAAAATCCCCTAAATCCGAACGTCCGGGTTTAACCTACCTTACATTTGCCATTGCTCGAGACGAGCATGGAATGAAGCAATAAGATCGCGATGGAGGGCAGCAAGGGTGATCAGAATGATGCACGAGGTGGCAAGAAAAGTGTGTATCGGTCGAAGCATGAGCGGAAGCCCAGGCTGCTGCTTATGGGCCTGAAGAGGTCAATTGATGCCGCATCGCTCGATGCTATGGAGCTGTGTTTGCTAATGTGCATGCAGGAGTGGGAAGAGCTCCATTTCTAACGTCGTCTTTCGCAAGATGACACCGTCGGATACCATCTTTCTCGATACAACAACTACTATCCAGAAAGAAGCCACCCAGTGAGCAGCCTAATTCTTGCCTCTCGTTCCAAATTGAGCAATGGCACAGTACCTTTATGGATTTTCAAATCTGGGATCTACCGGGCCAGATCGACTATCTTGATCCAAGCTTTGATGCTGAGAGTATCTTCGGTGGTGTTGGAGCAATGGTCTGGGTCTTGGATGCTTTGGACAATTACATGGAGACTGTCAATCGCCTTACCGAGACTGTCGTGCACCTGCAAGAGTCATACCCTTCGATTAAATATGCTGTGTTCATACATAAAATCGACTCTTTGACGGAGGACTTGCGTGAAGATACGGTTCGCGACATCACCCAGCGAATCACTGACGATCTATTCGACAGTGGCCTCGAGAACCCTCCCATCAGCTACCACAGCACATCGATCTTCGATTCCAGTATCTTCGAAGCTTTTAGCAAAGTAATGCAAGGGCTGGTGCCGCAGATGCCAATTTTGGAGTCGCTCTTGAACACCATCACCGCGGCATGCCGGTTCGAAAAGGTCTACATCTTTGATGTCATAAGCAAGATATACATCGCATCTGATACAAGTCCCGTCGACCTGAGATCTTATGAGCTTTGCTCGGACTACATCAATATCATTGTGGATTTGTCGGAAGTCTATGGCTGGCATCAAGAGACAGAGTTCCATGAGGGCGAGCAGTTAGCCGCGTTGCAGTCGCATGGGGCAGAATCCTATGTCAGTAGTGTCAAAGGGTACACATTATATCTTCGCGAGATCAACAGGTCAGGATACTCCTTATCCCTTGAGAAACTTGCTTACTCCTCGTAGAAATCTTTCATTCATCGGCGTCTCGAAAGATCCCAACTTTGACAAGGAGAAACCCCTCATTGACTATGATGTGGGAACATTGCGGGAGACACTGTTGGAAGTACTAGACTATGTTTGAGGACAGAAAGCTATACTTACGGTTTGCGCCTTGGATCAAGGACGCCATCCATCAGATCACCGCTCTCGCAACGATCCAAAGAGGCCGTTACAGAAAGGTCTACGGATCCGACCGCGAATCAAACCGGTTCTTTCATGGATTTTTGAATGGGGATATGCGGAGGTACTCCTCCAGCTGGACCCCCGCACACAGAATCATTACGACTGGAGCGAAAACCAAGCTGAGTCAGCGTTCGTGCGCGTAAGACAGGAAGAATTGCCCTTCGTAGAAAGTGGCCGTTGTAACCCTAGGCTGGGAATTGTTGCGAGGTAGCCAAGGTGCGTCTGCGTATGCTTTGCATATGCATGCAGAATGCAGAGCTTACGCCGGGCTCTTGACAAGCTTATCATACGAGGTCGCTCCACATGTGCGGCAAAACTTCTTACCGTCTGAAGGCTCCACCCTCAGTTTCCTATTATCTGTGCCTGCTCTCTTGCTTGTTATGGCTACCTCTACTTGCAAAGCATAGTGCCATCAAGACTTAAACTCTACGCCTATTGAGATATTACACTGTCTGAGTGACCTGTGTCCCACTAACGAGTTCTGGGGGGTAGCAAGCTGAACTGGCTGTGTCTTCTATTCACATGGCAAATAGGCATGCCATCACAATCGCGATGGCGATTTTAATGACAATTCTTCCAACTTCCGCGGTATGTATTCGTCTCGTGGCACGGCACAGCCGTGAGGCAGGATACGGGTCGGATGATTGGACTATTGTGGCTGCCTTGGTAGAACATAGCCCAACTTACACTGGTGTCTCACTGATCAAGATAGATCTTTGTACTTGCAATGTGTGCGGATTGCCTGGCTGGTTGGTGTCATTGAAGTGTCCTCACAAATTGCATCTAAGCTTCATCACAGCCGCTTCTTTAGGCAATTTAGGTGTTCGAGAACAATTGTGGCCATATGGATATGGGACAAGCAGCGATCCCATTCAAGCCAGGGAACAATCACACGTTCGCGGAATGGTAGTTCACACATGCAGCGTGCATTTTCTATCTTCCAGATATTTTGCTAATATTGATTTCAGACAATATGGGTATTAACGTGGCTTGCGGCCCTTGCTTGTGGCATCACCAAAGTCAGTATATTGCTGTTTTACAGAAGAATATTCCTTGGCAAGGTCTTCATGGTCACCAATTGGGCGCTCATGATACTGAGCGTAATGTGGACCCTAGGATTCTTCTTTGCAAACTTCTGTGCGATCGCTCAGACAAATTGCCTCGAACACGGCTAACATCTCTAGTGGACTGTATACCTCTGGAAAAGAATTGGAGACGTGGTGCTGGAGATCAGAAAGGCTGTATCGATGTACGTGATATTCTTTGGCCTATGGCTGTATCAGATGTTATCCTGGATGGTCCGTTCCGTCGTGCGACGAGGAATGATTTTCGGAATACTGACAGCTGAGGTTAGCATTGATCCTGTCTTTACCGTGGTACCCAGTGTCCAAACTTCAGATGCCACTTCACCGGAAGGTTTCAGTTTGTGGCATATTTCTCCTCGGGGGGCTTGTGGTAGCCGTCGGCATCGGACGCCTCGCAGCTGTCGATGAAACCCTCAACTCCAAGAGTCGAGATTTAAGCTGTGGGTTACGAAACCTTGTCGTACGTGCCATCTTCTCTGACCCAGTGTTGCAGATGTCCAATCTTCAGCTTTCTACTGGGTGGTGATAGAAGCAGGCTTGGGTGTTGTCAGTGCCTGTCTACCGACATTGGGGCCACTTTTCATGGTGCATGGCCCAAGCAACACCATCAATGGCCTCAAGCGAACCCTTCGATTACCTGCCTGGCCGATTAAAAAGCCTAATGGGCGTGATTATCTGCGACTCAAGCGATCCCCGAACAGCAAGGAAGCTTCTGGGCTTTCACTACACGTCTTTAATGCCCAATCACCGAATACCAGAGACCAAGCGGATGACGAAGTCCTGTACGAAGCACTGACTTTGAATCCACTTACCGAGGAGATAGAAGCAGCATCGAGCAGTCAACAGACAACTTCCCATCCATCCCCGGAGGTACACAGTGATTATGACCAGAGCTTTGCGGAACGTCAGTGATGCTACGCCAACACCGACTCAAAGAATAAAAAAAGTTCTCTACACTCCTCGGACCCACACACCTTAACCCGAGAAAGTCATAACACAGTGCCTATTTCAAAGGCGCGGCCAACATCACTTTTGATGACACATTCTTGTCACAAAGATTATTTACGACCTTCGAGAACTATTCCTCTGGTAACAACGTCCCGAAGCACTTAAGACAAATGATGGACTACGTCAGAAGCACCTTTTAATAATAAAAATGTACTGGGACACTCGATGCCGACAAAACGCCTGCAAGATTAGCCTTACGTTCCGAGCTCCGGAGATTTTATGCAATGGTCAAGGATGTCACTGAAAGCCTGATGGGCATAGAGGAAAGGAGAGGGAATATAGAGAATGATGTTGTGTATCAGGAGGGCCGGCTCTAGAACAGAGTGAGACTGGAGTCATGTATAAAAGTCATGTATAAAAGTTTAGCACAGGCAGAGGGCACCACTGGTTAAAAGGGTAATCATTGGTTGCGGCAGGCGGCCTGACAGAGCTGTAGAAGGTGCGAGCGACAATGACCGCTCATGCATATAATACATCAATTTCAAAAAATGAACGATCTTTAACTTCAAATCGAGCACCACTACCATCCTCTTTCTGTGCTTCTACCAGCCCGTCAAATTTTCTCCTAATTACCTATACCTTTAACGTACCAAGCCTCCAATGTCCGCACCAAACCTTCGCGCCCGGACATCAGTCCCCGCGGCTGCCTCTGTCCCACCTACATCCCCCTCCTCGACCACAGTCTCCACCCCGCCCAAACGCTCCGCATCACAGGCTGCAGCAAAAGAAGACAATGTCCGCGTCTCCTTCTTCGACGTCGTCCGCGCCCTCTCGGGCCTTATTCTACTTTCCACGCTCCTAAGCTACTTAATCACGGGCACCTCCTTAACATGGGGCTACAAACCTTCATGGGCGCGGCCGGCGAGGATACGTGCTTGGCTTGTAGGCTCCCCATTCCATCATTGCCCCCTCCTGCTTTCTCCGAAACACAGGCTAACGGATTACACAGAAAGGACCGCTCAACTTGACCGACGCCGAATTATCCCTCTACAACGGCACCGACGCCTCCCTCCCAATCCTCCTTGCGCTCAATGGCTCCATCTACGACGTCTCCGCCTCCCCGCACATCTACGGTCCCGGTGGTATGTACCACGTGCTCTCCGGCCGCGACGCGACGCGGGCATTCGTCACGGGCTGCTTCGACGTGGATTTAAATGGCGATCTGCGAGGTGTGGAGGAGATGTTCATCCCTATCCCCGACAGCCCCCAAAGCGAAACAGGGGAAGGGGAAGGGGGAATAAGCAAAGAGGTGAGGACGGTGAGGAAGTTGCTGAGGGAGAAGGAGACGAGGGTTGCGAGGAAGAAAGTCTATGAGGCGGTGGAGGGTTGGAGGAAATTGTTTGATGGGGGAAAGGGAGGGAAGTATTTCTGGCGGGGGATGGTCGATAGGAGGGTGGAGAGTGGATGGGAGGGGTGGGGGGCGAAGAAGGAGTTGTGTGAGAAGGCGAAGCAGGGGAGGGGGAGGAGGGAGGCTGATGAGGTGGTTGGAGGGTCATGAGGCTAGCGATGAGATATAGACGTTGAGCATTCTGATGGGTAGTTGTAGTGAACGGCAAGTGATGCAAAAGCTGTCTTTCATGCTTCCTAGCCTCTCTCTGCTGACCACATTCTATCGCCTATTCACCACATCATGCCTTCTACTCCCCAGCCGTGATCGCCCGCGTATAGACCGTCAACTTCGAGTGCCCCACCACTTTCTTGATCTGTCCCTTCTCCTCCAAATCGTGCAGGGCCTGTCGTGCGAGACTGCCGTTAATCTTCAATCTATCGACTAGGGTGGCAACGGTGATGAGTCTGTAGGATTGCACGTCTTTGTAGAGTTTGTCGGAGGTGGTTTTGTCGAGGACGACGGCGTGGTTGGCCTTGTCCTTGACTACACGGGGAGATATATGTCAGCGGTACGGCATATGGAGGTAGAAGAACTGGGGGATAGTACCTTTTCCTTTTGACCACTTCTTCTTCTGCTTCTTGCCTGCTGTGGCTGCTGCAGGAGCCTGGACGAGAGGTCAGTCAGGTCCTGCATCAATCAGGCCATTTATTGAAGGGGCGTACCATCTTTGCTAGTGATTAGTGAAGATTTGTAGTGCTGTCGCTCACGATGCGAGGTTTCGTGATGACCGACCGAATGTGGGGTCTTGGCGAAGCTAGTCCAAATTAGGTCGATTTCGGAAATTCCCCTCAATTTGATGTTCTTTTCAGGCAAATTCAAATGCGGACTTGATGTCTTGCTGGGAATTTTCCTCAATATCAAGACCTTTGGTCGAGCTTGATTAATATTAATAGAATGACCTCCTATGGTCTTCAGTATAACTTGCTGATAGGCTAACTATGCAGGAGCCCGTTTTTGTCAGACGCCCGCAGCTCTAGATCCCTCGCATGCATCAGTCTTACTTTCCCAATTTTGAGCGCTATCCATTCCACTTTCTTGCATCGTTTGCTAGTTTATAATACTTTTCTTGTCATGGCGACCTCAGAACCCTCCTCACTGCCACTAGCCCCACCTCCTTGGACATGCAAAGCACAGGCTTGGGTCCTTCCCTTCTTTACGTCCGCCTCAACTCCTCTCCCTACGGACAAGACCCACGCACCCCTCGAAGCTAGTTCTGGAGCATGGATCAGCAAAGAGCACGGTGGAGTTCACAAAGGTGGCTGTGGCTTCGTGCAGATACTCAGATATAGCGACACTCCAGTAGGAACGTATGATGAGCTGTTGGTGATGCCAGGCACCTTCGAAGGCCCTGAGGACGTGGGTTGCAAGGGCAAACATCTCAGAATCACGGGTATTTGGGTCAGTCAGGAAGCGACGTGTCTGAATGGGAGGAAGAATTGGAATATCCCAAAGTAGGAGAAGCTCCTTCGCTATCCTTGACGCAGAATGAGCGTTTGGCTGATGTATATACTAGACATATCGCACAATTCAAATTCAAGCCCACCACCTCAGCTCCGCTACCTCTAAAGGTAGAAGTCTCTGATCCTGCTTCCGATGAGCCCTTTTTCACTGCTACTATCCATCCAACGTCGTATACGCCAAGCTTTCCTTTCTCGAGTGATTGGCAGAAATACTTTGGCTTCCCAACACACTGTTTGCAGCCACCTCTGCCCACGGGCGAGAACGCTGAGGTTGAAGTTGGAACAACACCCTGGATGCGATTGGCGCCGTCTTTGAAGACATCAAGAGCGAAAATCGTATGGTTTGACATGCAGCAGCCAAAAAAGAAGTCCGCAGCTGCTGGCACAGGAAGCTCGGAGGGCGATGCTCTGCTCAAGAGGGAAGACAACTGGTGGCCTGGCTGGCGGAAATGGCGGATGGGTTTAGCACTGGAGGATGCCACGCTGCAGCTGGGACCGCCAGAGTTGTTTCACGCTTCATCGAAGCTATAATCTACCAAGCCCAGGAACTCTCATCCCGAATTCTATTGGGTAAGATGAATTCGTCTGAATTTCGCTTGTATGTCTTTTTCCGTCGCTTTTGAGAGCCCGTATGGTATTAGTGACGACTTATCCTTCAGCCGAGGGAATATATAGTGATCATTGGCGGCTTAGCTTTTTAAGTAGTAGCCACACAATCTCAAGCAATCGCTTGATTTTGTCTGCGATAATGAAAGGTGTCATCAACGATTGCCTCAGTAGTCCCCAAATTCGATCTACCAAGGTCGTTCAAAGTTCCATATCCCATGGTGTCCTCAAATCTGACTGGCGAGAATTCAAGTGAATTTCCTTCGTCGAACATGTCCTCAACGCCAGCTTCATCAATCATCATCTCTGTCTTGGTGTGTGATGCGTTATTGACATGGACAAGTTCTCCTGCAGCCGAGATTCGAGAGACTATAGAGGATACCGAAGAGCTTAGTAGAACACTGAAATTTTCGGCGTCATTGCTTTGGACCCAGGATGATTCCAGCCTCCCAGCAGCTCTCTCTAGTGGAAGCTTAATCGCTAGTGGACTATCCCAATTAGATTTCCAAAAGTGGACCGTAGGCTCTTGAAAAGCGCAGTGAATGAGAAGTAGATCAGGTTGTTGCGGATGCCAATTCAAATGTCTTATCGGAGAATGGTGAATTAGGACTGTAATTGGCTTCAAAGTCTTCATCGACCATAACCATGCGGTTGTAGGTGCTGCGTCCGACCTTGTCACGAGCATTGTCTGGTCAGAGTTTAAAGCCATCACGGAGACACCTTGCTTTGCGGGAAGCGATTTGGTAATTGCAGACGAAGATGGTGGATTTGCAGGATGAGCGGCCAAGGCGTAGCTTCTCTCCATCCCAGCCTTGAGTTGCTCCTCCCAAATTTCAATACCAGGAAGACTGATGGGAGTCGTATGGTGTAATGTCTTTAAAGGATTGAACTAAATGTCCATCAGCTTTTCCCAGAAATCCACGTGGCTCATCTTACCGTGGTCTTGCTTAGCACCGTGACATTGTCATTATAGTCGCCAATGACAAGCAATCCAGACGCCGTCCATTCCATACATCTCACGCCCAGTTCAATCTGATCCGGATCTTGCACTCCGCTAAATGTTCTGAAAAGATGCCCGTCTGCCGTGTAGATTTGAACTCTGTGTCCTACACTTGCGATGTCTCTGATAGCAATCCAACGCCCATCACGGCTCCAGCGAACCTCCTGGGCATCGACCGTTGAGAGTTCTACACTTTTCAGTAATTCGAAAGTCGCAGGTTGAAGCAAAAGTAAAGTATCTTGCGCAGTCGTTCGTGTCAAAAGAGCTAGATGACCCGTTTCTGACCTTATATCAAAGCATGCCACGGAAGATTTTGGATCCCTGATTTCGGATCCTCGCCTCGTGATGAGAGACCAGATGGTGAGTTTGACGCCGAAATCCGAGAAAACAAGTATGTCACTCAACGAATGTCCAAATACCACGTTGGAAAGTTGGCCAAGATTTCCAGCTGCGTTGTCAACAGAAGCTTGCCAATTCGGATCCTCAGTGCAGTATATTCGCACGCTGTCCTGATCCGCGAGCAGAATTCGCTGCTCATTGGCAGTACGATCTCTGCTACTACGCGACCATTGGATAGTATTACATTTGATGACAAATTCCGCTGCTAATGGCCAAGATACGATAACCTCACTTGTCGCAGCAGATCTAACGAGAAGCCGGGACTTTTGAAGCGTTGCGACTAGGGAGCCGTCTGGGGAGGGCACCGCACTACGCACAGCTGGGAAACTTGACATATTGTGCAATTTCGTTACTCTATCATGTGGAATTTGATTGGGGTCATACAAGAGGCATGATGGGGGACCTCTAAGACGTTGTCATCGGTTCAGTCATGTTAGGCGCGAAGTAAACAATGACGCAAAAGCGGAGTTGGCGCGCGTCTATCCAATAGCCCCTTTCTAGCATTACATATCAGCCACAAAAACCCACTGCTCGATCCATTTACGAGGGGAGACTTTGGTGGTGTGTCAAATAGGAGATCTAATGCGCTTTTGATTTCTTTGTCATTCAATCATAGCCGCCACGTAATGAACAAATGACTAGGTCACCTTTTCTCTCCTCTAATCATGTAAATGAATCCATATCGAAGGAAGGTAGAATTGATCAATGTAGAGCAATACAGGTCTCTTCGTACCTCACAGTCACATCCTCGCCGCTGAGACAAGGAGACCCCCTTTGCTGCAGTACGGTGCAGCTTGTCGTTGGCCTTCTTGGCATCATTGGCTATATCTTTAAAACAACATCCTACGCGCTGTGAGTTATGGTGGGTTTTGCGCGGTCTGGAACGTCGCAAAATTCTCTCGTAGTCGCTTTGAGGTACTTGTCAGCAAGCATAGCGATTTTCGTGCTTTCGTTGCTTTCTGCCCTCATGTTCATGCTTCCTAGACGTCAGGAAGGCCCGCAGAAAGTAGGAAGGCCACTTTCAGCTTGCAATCGCGAGCACCTATATCGGAATCTCGCCTGTAGCGACACTGGTTGCTCTCAAATTTACTAGCTCAACCCGCGAACCAATGTCATCGATATCCTGATGGCTTGATAGGTCTTCATAAGCAAATCAAGGTTCGTAGGCGATGAGGTGGTGCTTCTGTCTCTCGTCTCCAATCTTCGAGAGCTAATGTAGGCTGCAACTCCGATTATGGCACAGCTACATTTTCATTCTCATGCTTTGTTCGGTCAACGCGCCTAAGAGTTTGCGCCTTAGAGCTTGCGCTTTAGCACGTTCAGGCTCTGCAAACTAAAAGTGCGGCAGAAATTGCGTCCACTGAACAGTTGCAAAACACCCTGCGGGCAATAGCCGGAGACTGATGACCATCTCTATGATTGTGATCATACGTGCGCACATATACAGGGAGCCTGGAACAAAAAATAAGAGGTTGGTAGGCCATCGGAGCTTATAGCTCCCGAGAGTGGTGAGCCCACTGGTCGTAAAGCCCTCGGCCACAATGCTGACTGCCTCGACTATGCAATAGCTTCCCAGAAGAACGGTCATTGACACACAAGTCCAACGCCATAGCAGCAGCTCTACCTTTGTTGGAAAGCCAAAATGCCAGGCAACGAGATGCAAGAGCGAGAAAGCTGCCGTAGGAAGTGTGACAGCTAGAATCATGCTGAGATTGTGAAGTTGCGGATCGCGGTCGTTTGGTATGTGCGGGAGAGGTCGCTGCTGCATGCACCAGAGCTCGTTCAATGGGAACTGATTCGTTGCGTTGAGCTTGGATTCGACAAAGTCCAGTGGAGTGTCCCGATAAGATTCTTTCGCCTGGTCACCGGCCAGATCCAATACCTGCCGTACGCTGCGTTGCAGGTGAAGCTTGGTAGGAATTTCGATTCCTAAAGGCTTTTGAAACCAGAAACAAGCCGTCGTTGCAGTGCAAGTAACCAAGGCTACGGTAGACAGTTCTAAGACTGTGACCGGTAGGTTTTGTATGCCTCAAGCAATGACTTCAGCCACCAGCCAAATAGCCTGTGAACCTGCAATCACCTTTGCAAGCCTATCTGCCTTGCTCTTGTCTAATATCTCCTTCTTCGTTATGGTGGGTGCAGCTAGATGTCCTTGCTCAACAAGATAGTGTATCTGCTTTGCAGTGACAGGGAAAGGCACAACATCTTCAGAATGAAGCACGAATCCTCCGCTATCAGCGTAGAATGCATGTACAATTGTCCAGTCGTGGCGACCCAGGCGCTGCACATCGATCACTGATCTTTTGGCTGAAGCCCACTGGCCGCTTGCAAAGAGCATGACCAGCTCAGGTGCGAGAATAGTAAGAGTCATCCATCGAACCTTGCGGAGGAAAATCTTGACCTCAGAGTCTGTCTTGGCAGGCACGTTCAGATGCAGCATCGCCCAAGCGCAGAGTGCAAGCGTAATAACACAACTCCATATTATATCGAGCGTTCCGCGTTGATTAGGTTGACTAACCCATCCAAATTTGGCTTCGGTCTTGCTCCAATTCTGCGTGATCGTTGTGTTTCCGGAGGTCGCAAGAGCAGATACAGCAGTTGACATATTCTGAGGCAAACTCACAACTATTCAATTCAAAAACCAGAGTAGGGTCAGATGCCTCGATAAAATGACCAAATCGCTCAAGGGAGGATGACTATATTGTGCTGAGCTCTTATCAGGGCGAATTTGACTCTTATCTCTCTCGAAAGATATAGTCTGCGCCGTTGGGGGCACAAACGGAAGATTCACGAGACTGAAACTGGCTAACAAGCACATGCAGCTAAGTTATAACTCATGAGTACTAAGGAGACGTCGAAGGGCTTACTCTAATGACAATGACGAGACAAGGATCTTCGCTGCGGTAGAGCTGACCCTTATGCAAACTGCAACCCAACTGTTATGGCCAACGGCCCAGGAATAGATTCTTGAAACAAGGCTATATCAGCCAGGACGAGGAGAGCTCTTGCCAAGGCGTGTATTTCCTGCGACTATCTTTAGGACTGGAGGAATGGGGTCAGCGTTTAAATCCAGCCATTGGCTTTATGTCTCTTTGGCTTACTGCAAGGCTAGCTCTGACAGCGTTTAGCGAGGCGCATGCCTTATATCTGAATAACTGGTGTCGCAGATGTTTTCCATCACCGCGTTATACATATCTGCTCAATTCCAGATATAGGCTCATTTTCAGTTTCTTACGAAGGCGAAAAGGGACATCGCTTTCGGCTCTCGCTTACTAATCGAGCCCTGGTTTGATCCATATCTTTGCTGCCCTTGCCGCTGAATACCTGCGGACCTACTTCTGCGAATATGTAGCCTTGTGGGTGATACTTGTCACCATCATCGCCAGGCACCCTATATCCAAAGAGGCGCGAGATCCAAGCCCGCGGTCCCCATCGTCGCATCAAAGTGGGCTTTACATACCAAGGATGTGCTAGATAGTCAGATAAGGCGTAATGACGTTCCCTGCTATCAGGTGTAGACTCTATCCAGCGATTGCGCAAGATATAGGGTCTGGGTAAAGCTAGATGACGAAGTAAAAGCTTCCTGATCTCCAGAGCGCCGTTTGTAAGACGGTGATATATCTGAGGAGAGTCAGGATACCTATGAAACTATTAGATCAGTAGATGAGGGCAGCTCGTCATGCGTACATCATTGACCGACGCAACCGATGTCCGAGGAATACAACTATAATCTTCTTGTAGATATAGCGATATTTTACGGGCCATGTAGGCAGTAAATAGTTGAATTGAGAATCTGCAAGCAGTTTATTAGTACCAGCAGGTATCATATGCGCCTCCTCGTATTGATTGCTCCAGTCTTGCACTTCGTCAAGCCAATGCAGGCCGTCTTGCCATCCGTTTGCTGCCGAAGGCAATTTTGTATATTCAATTCTCATTGCGTCACCCATATGTTTCCAGAAGGTATCCAAAGCACACCTTTCCAGCTCAGTCAAGCTTCGCCATTCATACCGATTGATCCACCTCAAAGGTTCAAGGGCTAAGATGCCCAATGTGTAGAGCATATCATCATTACTGATCTTGCCAGACTTCTGATACTGAGCATGTAGAAAGTTCATCCGAGCTATTGCTTCGATAGCTCTTTCTGATGTGGGTTCGTTCAGCCCAAGTTCGAGCAGGAGGACCCCCGTGTCAGCAGCGCGCTTCGATGCAGTCTCAGCATTCTTGAGTTCTCCTGTAGCAACGAGAAGAGAGGATATCGTGGGTATGCCATAGGTCTAAGCGCTGGTCAACCGAAAGGAGCAGGACTTGAAAAGCTTCTCATTGTCACCCACTCTGAATAGAGCTACTACCATCGAAACGCCATAGAGACTCGGGAATTCAAGTTCCGCAAGTGCTTTCAGAATGGACTGCGCATCCGCCGCTGTTAAGTCACGAAAGCCTTGTCTTCCAGCTGGTGCGTATCTTCTCTGCAAGCTTGTACCTCGTCGGTAGCGCAAGGTGCGAACAAGACAAATATAGGCCAACAGACCTAGCGAGATGACTGACTGCCATCTCCATTGAGCGCAGAACGCTAGGAGACTCTGTATCATCCAGTGGGTTTTCGTGCATTCAGATTTCTAAAAGCCAAGCACTCCAAGTCGAATAATGTAAGGTAGCGTACTGTGGACTTAAAACCGGCGTCACGTGATTGATATTCGGCGACCCCTCGCCCATCATACTACACAAGGATATAAAGCCACCGTATATATTCTTTACACAAAACTAGAACAAACTGCGGAGATGGACCAAGTACATTCAGTCAGCTTGATTACAAATGGTAGTTCCTGACTGTACAAAAGTCACGCAAAGGGAGAAGTTTCCCAGCCACTTCGCAAATCAATCATAAACACATAGTCGCAAACGGGTATCATGAATATCAGTGCTTTGTCGAGCTCCAGCGCCATCACCGCCAGCAAGTCGAGCTCACTGCATCCCATTCATTCCATTCATACCGCCCATCCCATTCATGTTCGCTGAATTGGCAAAATGCTGCATTTGCGCGTATTGCGCCGCCATTTCCCTCGTCATCTGTTGACCTTGTCTCATTCCTGCCATCTGCGGATTGCCCATTCCATTGATACCTTGTCCCATTGGCATGCCACCCTGTTGACGCTGACCCATCATTCTACGCGTGTTTTCAATCTGCGCCTGCTGTTGATTTTGTATACTCTTGTTGTGGTTATCTAATTTCATACGTTGGATGATAGCATTGGTCTGGTCCATCGCACGGGCCTGGGCTTGCTGTTTTTGCTGCTGATTGAGTACAGGCGGATTTCCTCCATTTTGTTGAGTAATTTGAAACATGACCCGCTGCAATTCCTGTTGAAAGACTTTTTGCTGATGCTGCTGAAAGGCGTTGGAACCTTGCTGTTGAGGAACTTGCGCAATCGGACGTGGTTGGTTAGGTTGTTGTTGTCCTAGATGGTTTGCGCCAGGGTTCTGATGCTGAGGCATACCTGGGGAAGCACCGTTCGGCATGCCTTGGTGTTGTTGCATGCCAGCCGCTGCTGCGTTCTGTGCAGCTCGCATTGCAGCTTGCCGTTGCTGCATCGCAATCTGTTGTTGCATGTTGTGTGCCCCCGTGCCTTGAGGGGACATTTGGCCGTTCTGTTGCATCTGAAGCTGTTGCATCGCAGCGCGCTGCTGTTGATTGTGCATCGCCTGTTGTTGTTGAAGGAAAGCAGCTTGTTGTCTCTGATTTTCTCGCATCGAATTGGTATACTGTTCCGTAGACATTCCTTGCGGCACGTTCATAGGTTGGCCTATGGATGTCTGCATGACATTTGGTGGACTAGCCTGCGACATTCTAGAGACGGGGGTGCCTTGTCCAATGATTGGAGTTGAATGAGGTATGCTGGGAGTAACGTTGGCCATATGCGGAGTTCCATTCATTGGCGGGGTACTGGTACGACTGGGGTTCTGCCTGCTTTGATCACGTAACATTTGTACAGCAGCCCCAGGGTGACTCTGTCGCATCGATGATGGAGGCCGACCAGGACTGCTTCCTTGTCCGGAGGAGGTATGTTGCATTGGCACGCCACCAATTTGTGATCCCATTGCTTGTCCGGGGGTAGGTGAGGGGTTGCTGTGAGGTGTGCCAATGCGTTGCATTGGTGGCGACTGAGGACCAGGCGGATAACCATTTGGCATACTCCCATTCACCTGGGCATGGGCCATTGTGTTCTGGGTTAAACGCTGCCGCTGCACAAGATCGTTCTGTCGTTTTAGCGCCATTGCTTTCTTTTGCTGCATCTCTTGCTGATCCATAAAGTCCTTGTGCTGACGGTTTACCTTTGCTGTCTGCTCGAGACGCTTCATTTCAACTTCGTGTTTCTTCTGTTGCTGCGCAATCAAGCGGGCACGTTCATTGTGGTGGTTTTTGATGTTTTGGATGGCATTCAGAGTCTCGAAGCTCGGCTCAAATGGCGCGGCACCATCTTCATCATTTGCTCCTGACTTGCCAGCGGTGTTGGCCTTTTCGTCCATAATCAGCATAAAGGCTTGTTCCTGAGCAGCAATCCTCTCATCGGCCGCTAATTCGGCAACCGTTCGTTTTCTAGTCTTTGGGGATGGCAACTTCTCTCTATGCAAAGGACCGGTCAAACTTTCTAGAACCTCATTTGCTTGACCAAGATCAGCTACAGGATCTAGGAACAAGGGCGGAGCGGTTGCTGCAATGATTTTGCTTTCGAATCCTTGAATTTCGGCGCCAGATATTGACATCTTCTGTCTCTTGGCCGGAGGGACTGAAGCAGATGGTGTTGGAGGAATCGCGGAAAGGGGGGTTGGTGGTACAGTCCCGGAGGCTGGTGTCCGTGGTACATTTGTGCCTTGCCCTTTGCGGTTCCCTTGCCTGGCATCGGGTGTATTTGCCTGAATGAAAGCCTCTTCTTGTATTGATTGAGCAGTTGGGAAGAGAACCACGGTGTAGATTTTTGGCTCGTGAGACTTGTCTTTCTCCTTAGAAGAAGATAACTGAGTGCTGGGGATAGAAGCATCCTTCGGGTCATTTTCTGGTCGTTTCTGCTCAGGAAACGGCATGTACGGGGAGGGCGTCACCCATTGTTCATAATTATGTATCGACAGAGGAACATTTGTTCCTTTCGACTCAGAGCCAGATGAAGAGTTGTTTGTCTTATTGCCTCTATGATCTTTCACCTGGACAATCATGCAACCTGGAAATTGGTCAGCATAGGCTGCACGCTGTGCGTTAGAACCCTACCCTCGTAAAACTTGATTCCAGCACTCATTAATTCCTCAATCATGTCATGGGGCACTGTTTGCGACTTCAAATGTTCTAAAACGATTTTCATCGGGGAACTGTAGGAGAAGCTCCCTGGCTGTTGCTCAAAGCGGAAATTCGTCGGGTGAAGGTGAATAATCAGAGAGGGTAATTGGTTGCGATACTTTTTAAGAATGTATCCAGGAGTTTTGACTTTAATTTTGTTAGCAACAATGATTATGTTTCTTTCAGCATCTGGATTATAGATGTACCATATGGTTCAGGACGCCTCTTGGCTACTCTCCGTTCTCCATCTCTTCCAGGTCGACCACGTGATACATCCCCAGGCCTCTGTGAGTCCTTACGTCGCTGACTTAGACGAGGTTGCACGCCGTTAACAGTGGTTGAGGCGCTGTTCATTGTAGGGGTCGGCGGAGCTTTGAAGCCAGACGGCGGTCTTTTCGAGCTCATAAGAGGTGAAGGCGAAGAGTGTGATGATTGTATTCCATTCGTCTGGACGGCAGGAAGTGGTGGTCTTTTCATTTTGTTGCTTTGGTGGGGCGCCGTTGGCTTGGATGCGACAGCAGTCGCCATGACCGAAGCAAATACGAGGGTTTCCGGGTAATGTGGAGGTAGCCACCAGCAAGATCCGGAAGGGCACCGAGGACTATCGACAAGCCCAGAACGTCTGAGCTTGACCGCGAGATTGTCGCATTTGAAAGTCTATTTGCTTATCGAGCAAGAGGATCCTGGCCGTGTGATACGCTCCTTTGATCGGCCGCGCGGCAATTAATAGCAAATAATCGAAGCGCGAGATTGAATGCGAAGTTAATTGTTGGATGGTAAAAATCATAGAGATCGGATGGAGGGGGGTTGAAAGGAGTCTACAGGTCGGCAGACCAACGCTAAAGCTCGGCTGACCAACGCTAATCTAAAATTTTTAGCGGATATTCAATTGGTCCGCCGAGGTTAAAATTATTAAAGTTGATTAATAATCGATTAAAACTAAACTTTAAAATAATAAAATAAAATATTAATCGATTTCTAATTGTTTCTCTAAGAATTTTCTTAGCAAATTCTTAAGAAATTCTTTAGAGAAACAATTCTTAATTGATTAAGAATTAATTAAGAATAAATAAATTATTTCTCTTAAGAATTTTATAGTAAATTCTTAATAAAATTTCTAGAGAAATAATTTATAATCGATTCTTAATCAATTTTTAATTAAATTTTTTTCAATTTAAATAAAAAAAGATTTTAATCAATTTAAAATCGATTAAGAATTGTTTCTCTAAAGAATTTCTTAAGAATTTTCTAAGAAAATCCTTAGAGAAACAATTATTAATCGATTTTAAATCGATTTTAATACTTTAAAAAATATTTTAATTAATGAAATCAAATAAGCTCACCGGACCATAAACTTAATTAGTATAAGGGATTTATTTATACGCTAAATTTTTAGATTAGCGTTGGTCAGCCGAGCTTTAGCGTTGGTCTGCCGACATGTAGACTCGGTTGAAAGGGCATTGAAGTAGTAGATGTACGCGGAAAACTTCCGCTTCTATACCTGAAGGCTTGGCATGTTATCGTAGTCTCAAGGGTCGACAATGAATCATGACATGAAAGCTGTTTCCTACTGCGAGACAAATTTGGTATTAGATACGCTGACCCAGTTGCTCTCTCCATACATTGAAAAACTTTCAGAACAATAGCGTGATATACAACCCTCCAAATAGCAAAACCACCCTACCAGAATCATGCGCCTGTTCTCGTAACACAATACCCTGATCATTTATTTGATTTCAATCATGACCCTTGATCCGTCTCCCCCAATCTTCCCCAATGCGTAGCCCTTCAACTACTTCAATGCCCTTACCCAGCCCGATTCGTGAGTCTTGAAGCCACCATCTGGTTTGTGCGTCGTCAGTTCCTCGCTCGTCCTCACTATCGACCAACCCACCTAAGTATACTACATTAGTCATGCTCCCAATCATTGCGTAGATCTCAAAGGATTGAAACCAAGCTAGCATGAGATAGCTTGCAGCCATAGCATAGTAAGACTACATCAAAATAGGAGTACAATGGTAGCCAGGCTAGCCAAATCTCCGACTTGTACAATTGAGAAAAGGAAGTATCATTCACTTACCGTGCCCGCTCTCGTCGCCTACGACAAGAACAATCTGACCGACCCAATTCTTCATGATGTCTAGCTGTTCGCCATGGGAGCCAGCCAACGATGATTGCAGATATACAGTCTCTGGTTCCAATTGTCGCACCATCTGCACAAAGGCTGTCGGCGTAGTAAAAGGCATGATCATCGTTTCTTTCTCAACAATCACCTTTGCCTGGCCGTAAAGAGTTTCGAACATTTTCGATCTTACAGGTGTGCTTTGAGCTGGGCTGACCTCACCACGACTTTGAGCGTCTTCATGTCCGATGTTAGAGTATGATGATGACATAGACTGGGTCTGCTGCTCACTCGAGGCTAAGGGATGCTCTTTAAGTGTGGGGTCGTAGATCAAGACAAAAACGCGTGTATCCTGATCAACGTGATCCGGCAAATGAGATAGGATAGACTGCCAAATGTAAGCTTATAGATCCACTGAATGATTCACCATGGTCTTACAGCATGCTCTTGATGATATCCCGCATCTTCCTCATATTGATGATCCGTCTCGGCAGAAACGACAATCACTACTGTCTTCTTCTTCTTCTTCTTCTTGCTTGACTTGCTACCTGTCTGGGTCTGGCTTATGATCGTCGCACTTTCTGTGTCACGTAACTCAGGCCCTTTTCGCGACGAGTCATTCTGCGAATCTGCTTCCTCAGACCATCTAGTGTGATCTTCATAGCCACCTTTTTCCTCCTCCGTGATCGAAGCCAGGGCACCTCCAACAGCAGCACCAGCAGCAGCGACACCAGCCACAACACGCTTACTAGCACCGTCGAATATCTGCTGCGGACTTGGTGTTCGCCGTAATGCACCCGATACCCTCGACACGATGCCATCGTCCCCGATTTCGCGCTGTTCCGGATCGGGGCCGTAAGGGGTCTGACCAGGAGGTATGTTGTCAAGATTAGATGGTGGGGGGCCCGAGTAGCCACTTTGAGGGCCGAAGCCTCCTGGAGGTCCTTGTGGACCAGAAGCGCCGTAGCCGGTGCCAGGTGGTGGGCCATAGCCATCTGGTGGACGATCTCCTTGTGGTGGAGGGGGGTAATCGTGGTCATCATCGTCATCTTTGCGCTCGTTCCAAATCCATGCTACTACGCCTGCCGTCGCAATGGTCACGGTGACAGCTAGAGGAATCCAGTGTCCCCATGCTGTTCGCCCAGAGGAAGCACCATATCCCTGTCGGCGGCGCGTTTCATAGCGCTCGTAGGAATAAGGCATGTCATGAGATGACTGGAGGAATCGTCACATCGGTAGGGATCGAGGTTGGCCCTGACCTCAAGTGGATTGATGTTTACGCAGGTTGGTTGCTAGCGACGGGAGGAGGGCTGGGTCAATCTCTTGGCATTGCAGTGCGAACAGGACGTCCTACCTATATAATTGAAGTTCTGAATTGCTCACTCAATTAGCCCACATCAGCGAGAAACGAGCCTTACGCAGCGAGAATGCCTTCACCTGGCATCCAGGCTGTGATATTATGTGGTCCAGGGCTCTCTCTAAATACCTTCACGTCGAATCCTGAAGAATTTCCGAAAGCTTTGGTCCCTATCGCCAATCGCCCAATGGTATGGTATCCGCTCGATTGGTGTTATCAAATGGGCATTCACAGTAGGTCATTCCATTTGTGTGTGCATAGTCTTCTCACATGCATGATCTCTGCCTACCAACATTTCATTACACGTGAAGAGAACAACAGGGCAGCAAAACACTAACTTGATACACAAATTATGAAGTCTTGTACTAGGAACCACTGACTAATCAATTTTGACGAAAGAAATTCACCTCGTCACACCACCATCATCTGTCCCGCCACTGGAGGCTGCCTTGTCGCAAAATCCTCATTTGACTTCCTTACCATCACCTAAAGCGGATATCGTTGCTCCCGCGGGCTTGACACACACAACAGGTACGGCTGAGCTTTTGAGGTTACCGGAGATCCAGTCAGTCATTACCAAAGACTTCGTGATACTGCCGTGCGACCTCGTATGCGAAGTCCCAGGAGAATCACTGCTCGAGTCGTGGATAGTGCAACAAGGCTCCCTGTTTAGTGCACCAAATTCCGCCCAGGAGGAGAGTCTTCGGAGTATAAATTATCGTCGCGGAGATATTACTCGAAAGGGTGCTTTAGGTGTCTGCTTTGAGACGCAGGGCGAAGATCGTGTGAAGGGTGCCGAGACTGATCTCATAATTACTGCATCGCTGCCTCAGCCTGCCGCATTGCCCCCAGCATCCTCATTACGTCCGCATATCTCGAAACTTGTGTACGCTACACCGACTGACACACTTCGCGACATTTTACAGGAAAAAGGCGGCTTTCCTGTTCGTAGCGGCCTTATTCGTAAGCATGGTCGTGTTAGGATACTGACAACCCATCGCGACTCTCACGTCTACTTTTTCCCACACTGGGTGCTGAGCATGATCACGCGAAACGAGAAATTTGATAGTATTAGCGAGGATGTCGTAGGATGGTGGGCGAAAGGAACTTGGCAGACCGGATTAGCAGAGAAGTTGCACATGAAAGAAGCACTGGACGGGCAGCCTACTTCTTCGCTAGGCCATGCAGATCAGAGCCAGATCAGTATTAACAAACTCAAGAACTTGATCAGCACACATACGAGCACATATACTTCACGACATTACAACGGAAAACCCACATTTCAACCGCCTTGTATTCTATCTTACGTGCATCCGAGCGGTTCGAATCAGCTCATAAGGCGGGTCGACACGGCAGCATTACTACTCAGCACATCGATTAGGCTTGCGGCACTACCTCCAACTATCAGTCCGCCTGCAGATGCATCTCCGACCCGGCTCTCGCACCCTACTAAGATCTCGGCGGACTCTTCATTGATTGCACCAAGATCTACAATTGACGAGAAGACGAGCTTGATAGCACCGAATACCTCAATTGCTACTCATTGTACGATCAAGTCTTCCTGCATTGGCGCTAATTGCCTTATTGGGGTAGGTGTCAGGATCATCAATAGCATATTGATGGATGGCGCACAGGTAGATGATCAAGTATCCCTGCAGGGCTGCATACTAGGCAGACGCTGCACCATTGGCAAAGGGTCGAAGTTGGAGGGCAGCGAAGTCCAAGAAGGCTACCGGGTCGAAGAAGGAACGGTCGGATCTAAGGGAGATAAATTCTGCGCCTTTGAGGGTTTGGATGGTGTGGATGACGGTGGCAATGAAACTGACCTTTCTTAGATCCGTGATCGACGGTAGATGTCGAGCACAATTCTAGTCATCAGGGTCGAGTTGCAAAGCGCCAGAAGAGCTGGTATTTGGAAGGATGTGGGGCCATTTGTTCTATGGACTTGTTGAAATCGATCCAGCAGAGCCAAGCGTGGCGTGAAGGCTTCTATCGCACTGAGCTGGGACAGCAGGTACAGTGTCCCTGTTGGCCAGTGCACAAAATCCACCCACTATCTCTCAGACAATCAGGTTGGTCGACCCGGGGGAACGAAACATATCAAATTACTGTCACAGGACTAGGAACTTAGACTTGCATTACATATGTCGCTGCAAGCCTCCCGCATCTCTGCCTCTTGTGGTTGGCTTTCATCGTTAGCACATACCTGTGCTGAGACATCAGCCTCTTCTGGCTAAATCGATCTCCATCTAGTGAGACGTCAACCACTGCTGACTCGATGCCCATTCCAATCTTGCCCGTACACTCGGAAAATTGACTAATGTGACAGCTCGAACGTCCACTGTCAGTTGAAAAGAAGGCTGTTGGTTTCTAATTTTGCAATGGAAATTTGCAGGTTTCGGCTCGAAATGCTGCTTTTCAATACTCCACAGTCATCCTCAGTCTTGGTGCGGACCGGCTGCGGTCCGATGTCTTGTATGAGCACAGGCCAGAGCCTTTATGGGGGGCGGGATCAAAAAGAGTCGTTCCTCATTCCTGGAGCCTTGTGGCAGGTTGCATAATAGACAATTTCCCTTGACATACTCATGAGATCCTCCAAAGTTGCTTCCATTGAAATCTTTAACAGACGCCAGATAGAATAGCTTCATTTGCTCAGCGCAAGAACTCAGCAGCAACATGGTTCTCAGACATTTATCTGACGTTGATAGCAGCATGCTGACTCACGACCATAAACATGACTTTTATGGGCAGGTTCAGACCATTGATCCAAGAACCCATAATCCATGTATGGGCTCTGCAAACTTTCCGTCCAGCGGTCTATTTGCTCCAGCGGAGCAAGAAATCTATCCTCCCCAATACACGCATCAATCTCGTGGTGAGCTCACATCCACAATCGGCGACCATGTCCACAATGTCTCTGAAACGTCAGCTACGGCGAAACCTATGCTTGGAGTGCCTCAAATTACCACGCCAAAGCTTGGTACAGACTCGCTGTCTCAAGGTACAGCCTATTCTCCGACTGCGTACTCCTTTGGATCCGTATCCACGTCTCAAAGCTTTCATTCGGATCCTCAAACACCGATCACACCTCCTGACAGCGATACCGCCCCGTCTACCTGCCCTTCGAGCCAACAATCGTTGAATGATAGCGATTATGAGCTCGCAGAAGCAATTGAATCTATCCACAGCACCTCTCCTTCATATAGACAGATGGCCAAGGAACATCTTCAAAACGCCTTTGTGCCAGACTTCCGGACCTATGAGCACTATCATGGTAACATGATCTCAGGCATAGAGCGTTCAGATCATCTCCACATGGCCCTCTCCTTTGACAGATCTTACGACGGTTGTAGCCAACTTCGAAAAGCGGTCAATACTGAGAATAACAGGTTGTCACCAATTGCACTACCTTCATCATGCGAAACCTCGCCTTTAAGTCTGTATAAAAATTCTCTCGACGATCTGGGGTTCCAGTCAGTAAACCAGCTACTTCCACAGCAAACCCTTGCGTACCCCTCACCATCGGACAGCATAGCTCCTGCATTTTTATCGCAGGATAGCACTTACAACAAGTCGAGAGAATCTTCATCTATCGACGACATTGATAATAGCTATGTGCAGAACTCGTTTGGAGATGTGCGCAATGAAGCGAGTTCGGAAATCGCTACGCAAAAGCTTGACTCTCTCGCTTGGGATTCCTCAGCAAATAAAAGAAGATTAAAAGCGAGGTACATAAAGCGGCGGAAGGGTTTTGAGCCGAACAGATGTCAAGGGGTCATTGAAGGTAATATCGAGAGCTCAGAAATACGCATACCCTTCATTGGAAAAGAATCCACTAAAAGATCCGAGAGAACATACGTTTGCACTTTTCCTGGGTGTCATGACAGGTTCGATCGAGTTGAGCACTTAAAACGCCATAGAACTGTCCATGAAGATGAGGAGGACAAGATAAAGTATTCCTGCTGGGTTTCCCATTGCCCAAAAGAAATCAAGGGCGGCCGACTAGACAACCTGAAAGCGCATGTGAACAAAACCCATTGTACACCCTCAATCAAAGAACCCTCTCCTGAAAAAACGCCAGGCAAGAAATCCAATATAAACGAAAGGCTTTCCATGTTGGCGATGCTAGAACGCTACGATTCAGATATTCTAAATCAGAATTATAACAAAAGTTTGCCCACCCGCCCTTATAGTCGTGACGAGGAAGGAAAGCAAATAAGGAGTCTCGTTACCGGATGGGTACTGCTCTTGAACACCAACCCTAAGAAGCCGAGCCTTACCATCCATCATGAGTCGGAAAAGAGGACCGGCAAGCGAAGCCAATTATGGACTACCACAGGATGGAACATTCAGGAAGCGCATTGCATCAAGATTCGAGACCTTGCGCCCGAATATGATGGCCCAGCAGAAAATGTGTACATGTCAAGCATTGATCCTCGAATGAAGGCGCTGTATGCGACGGATGAGAAAGACCAGCTAACGGTGGCCGACTGCAAACACCTTGGCGTCTCGATGAAGACGACACGAGATGAGATGGGCCTTCAGCAATTTGACCCGAGGTGGCGTAGGATATGGGAACTCAGCCCTGAAGATGCGCTAAAGGAAGATGTTGAAGATGAGTGGATAAGAGGCGGCGGCGGGTCGCAAGGTTGTCGTGAAAAGGGCAAGCAGAAGCAAGACTCATTGCTGCGTAAACCGGTTGCGGCGAGAAGTCGAGGCCTTGCCAACAGGTGTGAAAATGACTGCATGAACGGGCTGCCTGAGCATGCCTCTACACATGACTACTCATCCGCAATGCCTTCGCGCTCGAGCCGAATAGCTACATATGTTTGATACGTGCTCCCGAGTCTACGGAGTCAAAATTGTGCACCTCTCTGGCTGGTGTTGCTTCGCCATTCGTTTCGACCGTCACATAGATTACAGCGAGCTACTCGCGTCGACATCGACTTTTGTTACGCAGGTGTGGTTGAGCCAAAAGAACTTGTGGAGAGACTTAATGTTTCGGTATGTCGGTCATGATGAAGAATGGGAGGTAAAAGTATGAGCCTTGAGATTCCAGTATCGTTCATCCAAATGTATTATGTAGAAGTAAGTCTGTCGCAGATCACTTTTTGGGATTGCGTTGGGATGTACTCTGGGCAAATTTAATTCATCCAATGTGTTCAGACCATTATCTCATATTTACGAAAGCGTCCTTCCGCGAGCCTCGTACGACCACTTGTAGTAGGTCACTCGAGCGATGAGAGGTTCTCCAGAGCTTTCCATCGTTCCCGGCCTATTCGACAGCCCTCATACCCTCAAGAACGGCAAAAGATACATCGACCAGGTCAGGATCTCTAATTGTAGAGGAGGCTGCTAAAAATACTAGGCGCCATCAACGCCAAGCCGTCGACGGCATCCCTGCACTTCGCTTTTCCCTTCGACCACTCACATCGCAGGACGCCCTGACTACAACTCCTCGAGGCGCTGAGCATCTTCTCGGTCCTCCTGACATTCAAATCATCGACCCAATTAGCATACCTTGCTCCCTCGAGCCTCTGCCGTGACCGTCAACAGCATGCATCGACTCAGGGACCGATCCAATCGTACCTCAACCTTCCCCCACCGTCTGTCCGCTAATACCCGGAACCTTGATGCGTCTGCAGGACATGAGACGACCTCTGATTAGGTCCAGGCACGGTAATGGCTGGATTACGGGCCTGGCGTCTCGCTATAAACATTCAGTCAGAGCCTCAGATGAACGATGAAACAGTCTAATCGTGCCCCATTGGACAATCTCGCAGTCTCTTGCATGATATATATAGATTCAGATGACGGTTGGTGAGGGGTAACAACAATCATATATGTCCAAGAGCCACCTGGTCGACTTCCCATCCTTTGCTCGTCCGTTGCACCATTCTCTTCACCTCGTCGTTGCTGGCTCAACCTTTCTCTTTGCTCCCTTCCTCTATTCCCACCAGCATGTCTTTCCGCGTGATGACCCCCAAGCCCTCGAAGCCACAGATGACGTCCCACTCCACGCCAATCTCAGGCTATGGGCGGAGCCCGAGTCTTGACCCTCCGTCCTTCACCACTGACGACCTCGCTACCGCCAAGTACATCAGGTTTTCGAGGATGCTAGAGTGGCTCCGTATCGCTCTTGCCATCACTACCCTCGCCGCAGCAACAACAGTCACAGCGTGCGCCGGCGTTGCATTACGAACGTACTCCGACACTCGTGTCCAACCCGAGTGGCTGCTGCCTGTGTGGCCACACAACGTCGACTTGCGGCCCACGCACGCAGTCCTCGCATGCGGTATCATCATCACCATCTTCAGCCTTCTATACGTGATTGCTGCTTTCGCTCCATTGGTACGCAATTGACCCAACCACAAGCAGAATGTTTCATGCTAACAAGATGGCAGCCAAGCAAGACGCGCAAACTCAATCTCGCCTCCGCCTTCTTCGCCATCGTCTCCTTCATCATCGCACTCTTCACCACCATCTTTGCAGCGGTCATCGCAAATAACGTCGCCCAAAGCAACTCGACAGGCACGCTGAACTCATGGACATGCAAATGGCAAGGCATCGAGGAGCACGCCACTCCAACCAACTTCAACAAAATCTGCAACAACTCGAGCGCATCCTATGACCTGGTGGTCTTACTCGTGGTGATGGAATTCTTGGCATTGGTCATGGTGGGCCTCGGGTTTGCCGTTGACAAGAAATTGAAGGCAAGCGCTGCGCGGGGAATGAGTAAGGTTGAGTTGGTCTAGATGGTCACATGTAAAGCACGGAGTTCAGAAGGCTGGCGCTGGAGTGAGTGTGCCTTGATGATGTCATTAAGATGCAGGCACAGGCATCAACGAGGCTGGACTGCAGAAATACGGGTCTGGGCCATTGGGGTCTTTCGGGTGTGCATAGAATGGAATGTAACATTAGGGTACGAATATGACGAACGAGCATAAAGTCAAAGGTCCATCATCCACCTGGCCTTATGAATGGATCAATTGATGACAGTGACGTGTAAAGCCAGGGGAAGAGTGTGAGATTCAGGGGCTCTGTGGAGTAACGTTGTGCTCTGCCGGAGTCCGTCCCTCGGGTACCAGAATCATTGCATGTTCTGGTCTTGGCATAATTCTGCAGGCTTATTATCTTGTCGATTTCAGATTCTACACAGAAGTTTCTGTCAGAAGAATTGTTGAGATACTTATTACGCGGACATTATGCATAGGAAATTTCTTGCAAATCCCCTTCGTTAACGATATATAGATATATTGTTGAAGTACCCGCTAAGTCCGTGTAATCTAGACCCGCCAGACCCGGCAGATTGACTTTTGATAGTCGATTGGTGCAATTTCGACGCCGAGAATTCATCGCCACCCTCCCAAGCCTCCATCATCAGTCATTCGGGTCAGCAACCTGTCTCATCAGCCTCGACCGTGCCTCACCCATAGCATGTTTTGCCGCGTATTTCAATCAGCCCTCTGAATCTTTTCCCCTTGACTCCTACCCTCCTAAACAAACATATAAATGTCCGCAACAGCAACCATGACGACGACTGCCCTCCCCACAATACCTACTGCCGAAATCGCCCTTCACAAGACTCTCAAATCGTGTTACGTGACGCTGGGCCCGAATGTCTACGATGTCACAGACTTTGTGTTGGAGCATCCGGGAGGAGAAGAATTCATACTCGACCATGCTGGTGAAGATGTCTCAGAAATCATGCAAGACACTTTCGAGCATGAGCATTCGGATGTCGCATATGAGATCCTCAACGAAAGATTGATAGGCCATGTCGCCACGGAAGCCATGGTCGAGGCAGCTGTCGAACACGATAAGCCAGACGATATCGTTCCGCCGCTTCCAAACACAACCGGTACCGCAGTCATCAATGGCAATGGTGCGGCGAAAGAGGACTACGATGCGCATGGAGTATTCGCAAATACGGGCTTAAGGGGACCAGAGGATCTCACGAAAGAGACGGACGCAAAGAAAGACTTCGCACAACATCAATTCCTTGACCTCGACAAGCCTCTCTTGATGCAAATATGGCGGAGCGGATACTCAAAGGAATTTTATCTCGAGCAGGTCCACAGGCCACGATACTACAAAGGAGGCGCCTCAGCTCCCTTGTTTGGAAATTTCCTCGAACCGCTCAGCTTGACCCCTTGGTGGGTCGTTCCCCTCATCTGGCTGCCATGTGTCGCATACGGAACTTGGGTGGCCAACCAAGGATTCAATACCCCGATACAAACCGCGGCCTATTGGATACTTGGTCTCTGTATATGGACTCTAGTTGAATATGGTCTGCATCGAGGCCTATTTCATGTTGATAAGTGAGCCAAGCGTCATTCATCAAGGCAGACAGATATCATGCTGACTCAGTGACCGTGCAGATATCTCCCAGACAACCGAGTCGGCATCACAGGCCATTTTCTCCTTCACGGCATCCATCACTACCTTCCTATGGACAAGTATCGCCTTGTAATGCCGCCTGCGCTCTTTGTGGTCTTAGCTACGCCCTTTCTCAAGCTTTCGCACACAATATTCTACTATGACTGGTATGCCGCAACAGCAGTCTTCTGCGGCGGCATCTTCGGATACATTTGCTACGATGAGACCCACTATTTCTTGCATCACAAGCAGTAAGTCTCCTTATGTTAGACTTTAAGCGTGCAGTTGATACACTTCTGAAGATTACTGACACGCCTGCAGACTACCAGCGTACTACAAGCAGCTTAAGAAGTACCATCTACAGCATCATTACGCCGATTATGAGAACGGATTCGGCGTAACAAGCCGATTCTGGGATACCGTGTTCGGCACCGAACTACCTGACGCCCCACCTCTTAAGCTGGCTAAAGCTGCAAAGGCTGCTTAGAAATCTTCGATGTTCCTCTGCGAGCTAATTCTACATTCGTTCAATGCATCGATTGGCGCAAGGCATGACAATCTAGCATGGTGGGTTCGGGGCTACATAGAAAGCGCTTCGACTGTCGCTCGTGTATTCTGATTCGTTCTTTCTTTATAAATATTGGGGGATCGGGCAAGCGAAGTAATGAATTTGTTCAATGAGCTCAAGCCAAACGCGTCGACGTCTCTCAATCCGCATTGTTGCCCTTGCTTTGCATGAATGTGCCAAGGCTGATACTGCAGATCCAGGGGCACCAGGGGGCTGAGCTTCCATTGAAAATTGGCGCGAGTGTCGACCCTTCATTGACATTTTGAGTCCGAGTAATACTCTTGGACTTCAAAGGCTTAGACCCGCCCGCTGAACAGATCTCTTGAAGGCAAGACAGTCACCAAAATTTGTTTGAAGTGTTCACGATTACATTTCTGTTAAATTAGCGTGAGCATTTTATATGTATCCCAGTTCTTGGATGCCACCAGATGCTTTGCATAAGCACTAATCTGGACCTCGCCCTACACACCAGCGGTGCTAGCGTCCTCGTACGGTGGTGGCTGCCCTTCAACTTGACGATCGCTACTATATCCTATCACCGGGTGGGGGTCCGAAAGAATCAGGCTGAAATTGCATTGACAGCGACTCTCGATCCTTTCCTATCTCTTCACAGCAAACAATCTTCCGGCTGGACACATCAGGGTGGATACCTTGGATGTATTGAGTTTCGATGTCAGTGAGACCTGGCCATAAAAACGAAAACTGGCAAATTTACCTCCTTTGACGACCATGTCTTGTCAACCAGGTTCAGAGCTAGTGTATTCCCCTTTCACGCCATACTCACAATCTGAGTACTTTAAATACACTGGGGGGACGAACAATGGATGTTGGTGGACAATCATATGTCTAATTGCGCAAGCGGATGAAGCTCGAAAGAAACAATTCGACGCCATAGCTCTTGTGATGGGCTTGGTTCCACTCACACTCAAGGATGTTGCATGGCCAGAGCGCCGTGTGATCGCAGTATCACGCCAGCTACCAGCAATAGTCGAGGCGATTGTACGTGCATTAGGTGTTGTACCTTGGAACGACGCAGACTTCTTTGCAAAGCAACGGGCGATGTCTTCGTCAAGTCTCTACCATAGAGCCATATCCATGTCCTACAAGAATATTAGACTCTCTTTATCCATGTGTACCTCGGGGCTTGTTGTCACATACGCTGCTCTTGCCGTGATCGAGGTGTACTCAAAAAGATCGGTTCTTGCGTGCGAACGTCCAGTCTTCATTGTCACGTGGCACCTGGGTGCGATCGTCCCTGCGGCTATCGACACGGCATGTTCAAGACCTTCAAAGATCACTCCTCTATCAGAAACAATTGTTCAAAGCGTGACTGATCAAGCCCTGGTCGACGAGAAACCTCGTGGAACAGATCAGCCCGGAATATCGACGACTGTGAATACCGGAGAAGTAATTGCTCATGGAGTCACTGCAAGCGAGCCTCAATCCTCCTCTTCAGCCCCCACGAAGCCACCAGCACCAGCTCAAACAACGCTTCCACGCCAGTCTAGCATCCCCCTCGAAGATATTTCTCCCATCCAAGGACGTGGCAAACCGTGGCTCGTCCAGCTGGTGTGGGCAGTCTACTACATTTGTGGCACACTATTCTATACATCGATTGTAGCTGTCACAGTAATCGAGTTGTGCGTATGGGTTATGACTAGCATAGCTGTCACGGCAGCAAGCAAGCTCCTCGCGTTTTTTATTTGCACGGCCTTCGAAAAGAGGCGGGGATCTACCCAAGCAGACGGCGGAGAATAGCGTCCGTGGCAACTGGAATCTGTTATGTACATATTACAGTAATCTCGAGCGTGAAAATAGGAAGGTACGCGTTAGCCAATTGTAAAGCTGTTTATCATCCGCAGTACTTATTGGTCTTCATATACGAGGTAAGAAAAGCGTCCAATGTACGCTCTGAAAAGAGCCGCTCAGCACAGCTCGAAGTGAAGCAAAAGCTTCTACTGTAACAAATATTCGAGAAAGCAGATAAAACACAGCTAAGGGTCCAATGAAAAATATATGCCCATACGCATTAACGCGGTTGTCAATCTGCAGGCAGCATGTGGACAGAGATTGCGTTTCCCATTGTATAGTGATCGATTGGCACAAACGCATCTGCGCAAAGCACCTTACCGTCAAAAAAGTATCGCCATCATTTCAGGCTCTGCGCGTTCGTTGGTCCAGCCGACATCAGAAATTCAGGCAAACGGCACATTCACCGAGGGGGAGCTGGGCTATGTGCACGGATACGTTCACTGAGCCTTTGTAATCATATGCACCTAGATCTTCGTTCCGATCTCTCCATTGGAAGAATGACTGCTACCCTCTCTGCCGGCTGAGCTTTCTTGTTCAGTGTAAGGCGGGACGACTTTCAATATGAACAATAAGGACTAGCGCAAGCATCCATGCCCGTTTCGGACTAGCACTGCCACGCGTCAAGTTGTTTCGACGACGCGGCCCAGCAGCAATGCTCTGCTCAAAGCCTCACTACCCCAACGTCACCCACTCAGATGAACGGGCTATATCTCAAGGCTCTAGCAGAGCTATAGGATTCTAGAATTGACGATGTCACCTTGGCAAAGCTTAACCACTGCTTGGCTGATTAGGATCATCGACCCCGCAAATTGCTCCCGTTGCTTCGAGATATTCTTAGATGATTGTAAGGGCTGAGGCACTGTCGTCTCAAGAGGCCGCAAGACATGAGAGCGCAGCATTAATGAGGCTGTTCCCCTGCCGGCGCCATATGACTGCGTACGTGTTGTTTTACGTCAGCCACATTTGCTTTGTCGTTTCTCCTTCAAAAACCAGTTTGATACTGCTTTTCCTTTCCTTCTGCCATTTCAGACGGCAGGTCACAAGATAAAGTGTCGTCCTTTCCTCCCTGATCCTCCAACATCAGTCCTTCCTTCACTTCCAGATTGTCCCATTGTAGCACAAAACCAGAAAGCAATGCACAACTCAACCCCCCTCCTCCTCTTCACCGCCCTCCTACCCCTCATCTCAGCCCAAACAACCACCCTCGTCACCCCAGTCCCCATCCAATTCTACGACTACCCGTCTCCGACCCAAGACTTTAACGATACCTCCCTCTCCCCCGACCACAAACTCCTCTCCGACATGCGCTCCTTCCGCGCCGCCCACAGAACCGAGTCCGAATACTCCCTCGTCACAGCCTTCTTCGCCACGCAGACCGCCATCCCGTCCCGGAGTCTGCAAAGGGCGGAACAGAGCTATGCGAGGGAATTGGCGACGGGGAATACGAATGCGGTGGCGCCTATCGTGACGGTTCTGCCGGAGAGTTTGAGGAGTTGGGCTAGTAGTTATTATGCGGCGTATGCGAGTGTTTATGTGGGGGATTTGGGGAGTGAGACGTATGTGATTTCCTTTCTTTGCACCGTGATGTCTCTGTGTGTTCCATGTGTGCGGCAGGTGTGTGTCTTGTCTAGGTATTTGTGATTCGGGCCCGCAGCGCAAAGCAGCAGAGAAGTTTTGACAGGATGTTGTATACTAACGCCGCTTTCCCCACAGAGCCTCAAATAAAGCCATCCTCGACTCAGCTTCCTCCCGCGCCTCCTCACGTTCCGCCGAACGCGCAACACGGACTCGGACTCGTACTGGGGAGGGTGAAGAGGCGAGTGCTAGTGCTAATGCTACCAGCGTCACCGTATCGAGTAGTGGCAGCTCGGCGAGTGGTACGGCTGGTACGGTGAGTGTAGCTGCGACGACGACTACGGCTAGTGAGAGTACGAGTGCAAGTGCAAGCTCGAGCACTTCAGCTGCTGCGACGGGAGGTGCGGAGGGGGTGGTGGTGGGAAAATGGTGTTTGGCGGGCCTGGGTGGGGTGATGGGGGCGATGATGGTGTTGTGAGAGGGCATGAAGGGGAGTTTCTGGTGTGGTGGAGGGGAAAGGGGGAAGTTTCGGATTGGGGAGAGGGAAGAGAGCGGAGAGAGGGGGCAGTGGAGTGGACACTCTGTTCTAGCTCTGATGGGGTCTTGGGGGTCGAGTTGCTGCGGAACTTTCTTCACAGGTGATCTAGGATGGGTTCGAGTTCCTGAAGATGAGATGAAAGGCACTTGATCTGAGTGCTTGGTATGGGTTTCTAAGGGAATATGTGATAAGCACGGCGGATATTCTTAGTCTTTTACTTGTAAATTCAGCTTCAACAACGGAATGCTGTATAGTTACTCTCTAGATCCTATCTATTAAGGCTTTCCGTCTCGAGGATATGTCTGACAACATTGGCATGGATAGCTGCATCATGTGACGGCGGTCGCGCGCCGAACCTTCTTTCATGAGGCAAATATTCAAACAACCAGAAACCTTGAAACTCCACGATTCTTTTGTTATTTGAATCCCCTAACAATTTCTCTAAATCCTCTGTTCCTCAGTCACAAAATTACAATGCCTCCAGCGCTTCCCCCACAAGACGATGATGAGGCCTACGACTCCTCCGCCGATTCAGATTTCGCGGGCTCCCTCTCCCCTTCCTCTGGCGGAGAAAATGAATCCAGCGCAGATGAGGCCGCAAAGCCCAAAGCGAGGGTTCAGAAACGGAAAGTCGACGCAGATGGAGATATAGAGATGGGGAGTGGAGACGAAGGCATTATAGCGCAGGGGCGAAAGAAGAGAAGGAAAAAGGGAAAGGGAAAGGGCAAGGGCAAAGGCAAGGGTAAACAGAAGGAAGGCGTTGAGCAAGAGGGAGACAACGATGATGATGAAGAGGGACCTGAGGGTATACGTGTACGACTACGGAGTGGTCGAGGAGGGTGAGTACGGGTTTTGGACTCGCAAATAGACCACTGGCTGACGGCATACTCTGCTAGACAAGAGAGTTCGAAAAAAAAACACCCACGACATCTCAAGCGACTGTTGATGTAGATTCGGTATGGGCACGGATGAACGCTCCCCAGACGAGCGACACCGGCCCCCCACCACCTCCATTAGAAACCGATCCCGATACAAAGAAAGACCCTACTGCCTCTACATCCGCAGTGGATGGGGTCACCCAACAACCTTCAACCTCACAGCCCACAGCTCAACCCGAGGAAACTATTACAATCCCCAACACATACACCTTCGCCGGCACAACCTACACCAACAGCAAAACCGTCCCTATCTCCTCCCCCGAAGCAGTCGCCTACCTCAAATCTAAAGACAAGGAAAAGCCCCCTCCATCATCAACCCACCACCGCCCTCTCGCCCGCAAGAACCTCCTCGATCCCAACCCCACCAGCAGCATCAAAGGCGTTCCTGCCTCCCGCCGCGCCGATCTTCCCTCCACCATCGGCGGCGTTGGCGCAATCGAAGTGATAGGGGAGCAGAAAGAGAGCAAAAATTGGAAGTGGAAGCAGAAGAAGGATGTTAAGCTAAATACGGTGGAGAAAAGTAAATTGGATTGGGAGGCGGAGGTTGAGAGGCAGGGGATTAGGGAGGAGCTGGATCGCGCGGAGAAAGCGAAAGGGGGTTACCTGGGTAGGATGGAATTTCTTGGGCGGGTGGATGAAGGGAGAGAGGAGAGAGAACGGGCTGTGAGGATGGCGGGGAAGGGGTGAGAGGTTTGTGGTGTTGTTCTAAGCTTGAGCTGTGGTTTGCTCCACGTTCGGGGTTACCACAAAGTTGCTGGGTCCGACTTTTCATGAACTAAAATCCGCCTGTAGGCGATACACGGCCTGTCTGGAGCTACGGGATACAATGAAGGATGTATCAGTCACTTTCAGCAGAGGGTAAAGGGTCTTGTCCGTCGCTACTATTGGCACCCATCTTCGTCTCCCATACGAACTCACTGGCGGCTACTTCCCCTTTTTGACAGAGTCTGAGATCCAAGCTTTATGGCTAATGATCATGGGCTTCACCGAGAAAACATGACCTGGCTTTAAGAGCAGTACGAACTTATGGGATCGATACGTGGCTATCCGAAATTCGGTAATTTATCGAGACGAGGAAAGTGCAACCCAGGGCCTTGAGCCTGCTCCACCTCGTTATCATGCACTTCAGCTCCCGGCTTTGACGGCTTTGATGTAACATTCTTTTCATCAATCATGCTGATTGAATACATTTATATGACCAAACTTGGATGCCGCACCTCAGTCTTTTGGGCTGATCATCCTGCGACATTCGTCCAGAGAGCTCACACTGCAGAACACATCCTTTACACATGATGACGCTCATAGTAACTCTTTTGAATACGCTCTCCACACAAGTCCAACTATGGCTTCTATACCGGCTCTCAGGCGCAGACACCAGCACTACATCTGTCACAACCATTACCTCGAAAGTACCACCAGTCGCAGCCGAGGAGAAAATCGATAGCAACGACCCATCTCCCCTCACGTCGCCCTTTGCTAAAGATCTTGTTGATAGAACCAACAAACTATTCACAGCTCCAACTGAAGGGGTCGCTTCAAACGGACAAAGGAAAGAGAATGCCCCTCCCACGCATGGCAATCACAATACTCAGCGAGACGACTCGACAATTTCTGAGACAATTCAAGCGCTGCCACCCTGCGTTCCACAACGCTCCATTTCACAGCCTCTCCCATCACGCCCTCAGCCTTCGTCGATTTCAATTACAGCTCCGCAGATACCAGTATGTCCCGCAAAGATTCAAGTGATCAATCGTCCCAGGACGTCTAATTAATGTCTCCTGCAGCCACTTCGCCGACACACCTCCACCGCCTCTCTTGAATCCATCCGCGCACTCACTACTTCTTTTCCTCCGCCATCACCCACAGTCAGTCCCCGCAAATCCTCCCTCCAAATTGTTCGTCGCAAACCTGCTGCGCCGCCTTCGCCAAAGCTGCGAAAATATTTGGGAGGACACCCCTCGTGCGACATGATCTCAATGCGCTCCGCCTCCCTCCCACCGGTTCTCGAAGCACACTCCTCAACCATTTCCCTCGATCACGCCTACAACCAACTCGAAGGTCGCATCAGTATCGAAAGCTTCCACAGTCGTAGCCTCCGCCGACGCGGTTCTTGCTCCAGCCTGCTCAGCAGCCTGTGTAGCAGCCGCAACGCAAGTGAAGAAGAGTTACGCATCAATGGCCCCGACTTACACGGCTACACCAAAGTCATCCACAACCAACAAATCAAATTCATCATCGACACCTCAAGCTCCATCTTCCCCCTCCATACCAACTCAGACCGCTCCTCGCCACAATGGTACGATGGCGCAACCTCTACCGCCCCAAGCTCTATTCACGTCGAGGACAGGAAACAAAGACGAACAGACGACACGACGCGCGCTTCAAGGAACAGCGATGGTTCCTTGCGCGTGGATCTAGTAAGGGACGAAGCAGTAATGGATGCACAGGAAAGGGTGCATTGGATCCGCCACGCATACAAGGCTTGGAGGGGCGAACGACCTGGCGTGCGTGTCACGCGTGCGGTGAAGAATGCAGAAGTCGAGGAGACTAATCTTGATGGGACTGGTGGGGAGAAGACGGCTGATATGCAGGCTGCCAAGCGGAAGAGGGCTCGGTGGAAATATGGAGGTAGGGAGGAAGGAGGTGAGGAAGGAGGGGGTGGGGACGGGGAGAAGAAGAAGAATCCGCTGCCTTGGGCTAGGATCTTCTTTGATGGTGTTAAGGCCGGGGTGGTGGAGGGGTATGAGAGGATGGTAGGCTGGGTTGGGGGAAAACTTGTGGTTTGGCAGTTGAGGAGGTCTATGAGAGGGTGTGAGAGGAAGAAGGGGACGGAATCGGGAGAGGTAGAAAGAGGGAGAGACGTGGGGGAAGGGGCTTGATAGGCTTTAGGCAGGTTATAGAAAACGTATCATCACTATTCATATCGATTCTTTTGCCACTATAGTCCACTCACGTCGAAAGCAGCTCCCAGAGAGTTTCAGACAGAAGCTGGCCATCAATTGCCTCCCGAAGTAAAAGATGTGTGAGGTGTGTGAGGGATAGTGAAAGGTGATGTGCAGGAATGATGGCAAGGGATGCCTTGCGGATCCCTTTCCCCGGATTGAAGAGGATATAAATGTGTTGGATCCGTGCTACAGACCCCAGGCTCGTCTCGTCTTCCAATTTGCTTCTCGAGTGTGTGAACGACAATTGCTAGCTATGACCGCATGCGATAGATATCCATAGGCCGGGTAGCGAGTGTGATCTCGACCATATTGCTGCTGCTGCGTTGGGTTGACCAGTATCGCTTTTTGATAGACGCACGTTATTTGTTGCCTCGGATGCGATCGACGTTTCTAGGCTGCTTCTTCTGGTAGTAAGAGACTGAACATATGGCCGTGTAGATTTTGGGTCTAATTTTTGATAAAAGATACCGAAATTTGGATGTTCTGCGTGCAAGGGGAATCATGGGCTTATCAAATTTTCATCCCGCGTTGTCCTTTGATTCATGTCAATATAATCGTGCCGAGCTAAGCCATTCCTCTCTTCCATCTTCCCGTTGTAATCTGTGGGAGGATTCATGGCTATGGCTTGACAGCCTAGGTCAGCTTTTGAGAAGGAGCTGGATCCGCACGCTCTACTCCTTACCCTACCCTTGGGGCTAGAGATCTGGATGAGAATTTCCCCCGCCATTCGAAAATTGTGCGGGGAATGGTTGGGAGCTTGCTCGTGAAGCGTTAGGGGGAAGGTATGATAGGGTTCTTATTTGGGGAAAGATTATATGTGCGGATGTGAATGTGAATGTGAGAACTCTCCCCCGCTTTTTTTCTGATGGCTGTGTGTTGTAGGTTGAGAAGCTGGTCAGATGGTGTGTTTAGAAGCGAGAATTCAGTTGCGGAGGAAATGAAGAGGAGCGGGTCTTTGGCTGGTGGCTTTTCGCTGGCGCCGCTTGGATATGGAAAGTTGTCCTTGAAAGTCGAGGGTGTTACGAGCGAGGAGGTTGAAGGGGCGAGGGAGTGTTTGTGGAGAACTTGGGTGGGGCTAGGGAAGACGTGGGTGAGGATTGCGAGTGCTGCTGAACTGGAGGGGAAGGTGTTCTGCATTTCGAAGGCGGTAAGGGAGGAGGTGGAGCGTGTCCTCGGGACGCGATTTCTTTGGGAGGTGGATGAAGTGAGGGTTTTGAGGCGATTGGGGGAGAGGGCTAAGGGGGGTGATTGAAGGGTGTTGCATCTATGTCGTCTTCGAGATTTGTGTTTGTCCCAACGTCGAGACCATGGTGCCGTTCCGGAGGCTCGACTTTCAGGATAATCCGATAGCTGAGGCATTGGACATGTGTGCGAGGTTACGGTTTGTGCTGCTGGAAGTGAACGTAAAGCCGAACCTTGTTTATGATGATTACGATATCATGGGAGATCTGATCGTTGGAGCTGTGAAGGGGCTGAAGAAGCCGAAGCGATCGGTGGTAAGGGTAGATGCTCGGAGCTGGGAGACTACAAGGCATGTGGCTGAGGAAGTAGCGCATGAGCTTGAGTACGAGAGAGATGTCGAGGTGTGCGACTGCTGCGAGACTGCGAGGCGTATGGCCGAGGAGCTGAAGTATGCATTCAGGGACGAAGAGGGTGTGAAAGTGTGCTGCTAGAGACTGCTTGAGATACCTGCGAGGAGTCTCATTCTAGTACGTCTATAAAATGGTAAGCCTGGATGACTTGTGAGCTTGCGATGGAAAAGGGAAGTGATTCTGAGAGTTGTAAAATTTCATTGTTAATACAGTTGAATCCCTTTCATGTATCCCTTATGCCTACATCTCTACCTATCCTGCATTGCTGCTAGTCCCCTTCTTCCTCTCGTATCTAATACCCGCAAAGTCTGAGACTGCTTTTGTACAAGAAACAACTTCTCATATGTTGCGACAAAATATTTGCCTACCTTTGAAACCAGCCTCAAGGTGAGGCGTATCCAACAAATGATACCTTCGTCCCCGGTCTGGCGGGATTGTTGACATAAGAAGATCTTGCCCAATGATCAGCGTGTTGGGTGATATCGCGCTGAGTGCTGTTCTCCAAGAATGTTTACCGCCTTGTTATTAAATGTGATCATGATGTGAGTCGAGTTAATGGTGTCACCGCCCGAACATAGCCATGAAGCTCTTTCTCTTCCCCACCCGCTGCATCTTCATAGCTTTCTTGTCCAGCGCACTTGGCTCAATTGGCATTGCAGGTAATGCCGGGCACCTGGGTGCCGAGTTGTATGATTGGCCATTCATCGTCGAGACAGTAGACATCGTAGGACTGGGCATTCTACTCCCCGGCATGCTCTGGCTCTTCGGCACCAATGATAATGCTGGTGGCTTCTTCTGCGTTGCTCGCCTGCTCGGTTTCCTCGGCACCGGCTCCGCTGGCAATAAAGATATCTTGCTGTCATTGTTCTGTGTGCGCTGTAGTCTTTCTATTTGCCCGGTCACGGTAAGGCCGCCAGTGGCGATGTAATCGTCTTCAAGGCCGATGAATTTCACCACTCCTCGATCGGGCAGAACGCCGAGGGCGGAGGTCATGAAGGATTGCATGAGGGCGGCGTTGCGTTTGTTTGTTGAGGGCATGATTTGAGAGGGGAGGGCGGTGATGGTCAGGATGTAAGCGGAGTCAAAGGAGCTGGCAAAGAGGAGGCAGGCGGAGTGGTCGAGTGTTATGAATATTGAGGATGTTGGGCGTTGAAAGCGTTGAGAAAGGTGTTGGGAGAGTTCATTGAGGAGGAGGAATTCGTCTCTGACCTGTTCGAAGGTTCGGGTGAGCGCGGTAAATACATGATTGAATGGTTCGAACGTACAATGACGTTGGTCTTGATGTCGGCCATGATGATTGAATCTTTGTGTACTCGATCTCGTGGGTTGACCAATGGCTCACGATTCGCAAATGTTTCAGCGTAATACTGACTTCGTTGTCTGCTGAGCTCTCTGTGCTGGGGTGTATTTTCAACGCTTGAAGCGGTGGAGAGGTCTCCAGGCGTGCCTCGCTCCACCACTCTTACCGTGGGGCTGTCATCCATTGATGGCAGTGAGCTAAAGACGTGTGGCAAATGTTCTTCGTCCGAGAAGGTGAAGGATGATTTGGCGGGCGAGACGAGGCCTTGATCGCGTTTCGTCACCACATAGGGTTGCTTGGTGGGTAAAGGAAAATCCTCGGCGGTGGGTGTGCGCCGGTGGGCAAGTTTGGCAGGCAATGTGTCATGCCCATTAGTCCCCGGTCCTAGCATGGCGAGTGGCATTGGTGTTGGTGGCAAGTGATGGCGGGGTCACCCGACCTGATTGTATTCAAATCTCTAGATCTGGTGGGACAGGGATAATTGGAATTATTCAAGACAATTACTTATTTTGTAACGGAAGCAAGGGAATGGAATGCTCGTGCACAGGAATAGCTCAGGTAAGGAGAGACATGGTGAACATTCTTTCCCAGACCAACACGCGACATCGGAATATTAAATACGAGAAATGCAGACGAGAAGCAGACGAAGGGCTGCCTCAGCTTTCATAAAGTTGGCATGGAAGGATCAATTGGACATGCTAGTGTGCATCAGGTGAAAGCTGTTCAAGGGAGTGACAGGATGCAAGTTCGTTACACGGCCTCTTCCTCCTGGTTGCTGTGTAGAGAAATGGGCAGAATAGTGGTGGGAGTAAAGGAGATCTGCGCAACGGTAGAGAGGGCACTAACCGCTTCAATGCATCGACTACTGTAGAGTACTAGTGACTGCAGCTCTTTTACCCAATGAGGGACGTGTCTATATCCTTTTCGGCCATCGTTCTGCCACCCGATGTCAGTCTAGCCGCAATAATGTCCAGAAGCGAGTTTCATCTTAACCTTTAACAATCATTATAGCCTCTCCCACTAAATCTGTCGAGCTCTATTAGCCAGGCACAAGATCTACCAAGCATATCCTCGCTTGCGCAGTAGCTATATATCCGCGCTCTCGGAACCAGAGAGTCTGAGAGACTTGAAAGCCGCCATGGGCCAGAACGGTCGAGTGAACTGCATTTTGCGGACCTACAGCAGGAATCTACCGTGTCTTGTTCCTCCAAAAGTCAATCGACATGAAGCAACCAGTCAGCTGAACTTCAGGCACGGCCGCATCCCTTGCAGAGGGATGAATGGGTGGGGGAAAATAAGCACTTGGGGGAAATTCTTTCATTCGAGGCCTCTTTTAGTGCGTCAGAGGGTCAGAGCTACGACTGAGAGTTTGGCTAGGCCCAGAGGCACATCCTGGGAGGGAGGAAGACATCCGTCCGCTCAGCCGCTTGGGATCCTCAACGTCTTTCGCTCAATTCTGACTCCTCAGCTTCGAAGATCAAACTATATGCCACGAAGACTTCGACGGCCACTTGTGATGTTATGCTATGACCAACGACAGTGAATAACAGCTAGAATTCTACATCTTGTAAGGCTTGGGTACGAAGGTGGCTTGAAACATCGTCTCCGTCGTGTTCCTTGATGCATGAAAAGCACGTCGCCAAAATTGTCTACGCGGACATGCTTGCTTCTTAAAAACAGTATCTCTTCAATCGAAGAATTTCTATCAAAATACTGAAGCGCAGAGTTAACCTCTGACGTAAGATTTCTCGAAGCGCAATATCTATGACGCCGACATCTGAAAAGCCATTATGTGGCTGCATGCGCTTCTTCACTTCCCCATTCTCGCTTTGCATTGACTCTATACGTTTTCAGAACCCATCCATTCGTATTCAAGAGACATTTACCCGACTTTAAAGCAAGTTTCGACATGGACGGAGATCATACCGCAAAGACCTTTGAGCAAGGTGCCAATAAGGCTATGGGGCAAAACGAAATGACCAGTGGCGTGCATGAAACAGTCAACCAGACAGTATGCTCACATCCTCCTATGAGGCATAGGCAATATCCGGCTAACAAGCCCTGAAGCCCGCTGAGGGTGAAAAGACTACGGGGCACGGCACAAGCATATTTGACAAGCAGGGCGCTGTAGGCAAGATGTTCAATGGTATGTATCGAATTTACCTCCTTGGTCGCCATCCGAGAATTAGTGGCTTACAATTGTTGTGCAATAGCTGATGGTGCTCTCGGTGGCACTGCACAAAAGGTTGGAGGCCCACTCGACAAACAGGGTGCCGTTGGCAAGCATTTCAATGCTGAAGGATCAATTGGTGGAATGGCACAGGATTTGGCCAACAAGCAGCAGGATCATTAGGTATTCTTTCTCGACGACAGTACCCAATGTCCAAGTGACGAAAGTAGCATAATTCTACATTAGATAATCTATGACTATGCTCGTCAACATTAGATGCGGGAGCAGTGGACCTCTTTCTGCATCAGACACAACATGGTCAACGATTGTGACGCATGAATACATCGATGAGAAAAGAACAGTGTCTCAATGGGTGGCAAACATCTCTGCACTTTCATTGATCCGCCAGAGCACGTGACCTTGAATGCCAAGCCATCATGACTCGCGTTTCGCGACGACGTAAACAACAGAAGCCCAAGCGACAACTCAATCAAGACATCCAGACATACCCAAAATGACTGACACAACTCGACAAGCCGATGCGCTCTTAACAGACCATTTCACATACACCCCCCTTGTGCGCGCCAACCCCCTCTCCCCCACCACCACATCCCTCCCTCCACTAACACACCCCAGTCCCTCATCGACGACATAATCAACGCCGTGAACACCATCGTCTACCAAGCCCTCGACGCCCTCGAAGACGGCCTCCTCAAAGTGCCCCCCGCCCAACTCGGCTTCAAACCCACACCCACGTCCCAAACCCCCTCTGCCGCCGACGCAGCAAAAGACGAGATCGAAAATGGAGTGCACCAATTGGAAACACTGCTCGAAAGCACCGTGGACAAGGACTTCGATAAATTCGAGCTGTTTACGTTGAGGAACAGCTTGAGCGTGCCGGAGGATTTGGGGGGGTATATGAGGTTGAGACATTATGAGGTGGGTAGAAGTCCCCTTCATCCCCCCCTTCCCCCAAATATCCTTCGAAATGAGGCCGATGGATGCGAAAAGAGTTCTTTCATACAGCCAGCTGATCGTGGAGGTGATAGGACCTTCCCCTTCCCCTCCCCACCAACACACTCACGCCTGAATCCATCACCTCCCTGCACCGCCAGGTCCAAGAGACGAAGAAATTGAATCTTGCGCTGAAAGCGAAGCATGCGCGCAATGGGGCTATGATCGCCCAATTACAATCCCTCCTTTCTCCTCCACCACCTCCTCCCTCTGCATCCCAAACTCTCGCTGGAGACAGCAAGGCGCCTGCGCACTCCCTCGCTTTTATTACTCAAGGGTCTCAAAACCCCAGCGGACGGGAAGGAGGGATGACGACACAAGCGCAATTCGCCACCTCGCAACTTCCCGCCCTTCGCGAGCTTGTCGCTAAATTGAGGCCGGAAATTGAGAAGCTTAGTAGACTTGGTGAGGATGGGGAGGATGGGAAGAAAGAGGAACGGAGACGATATATTGAGAGTGGAGTTAGGCGGGTTGTGGGGAAGAGTGGTGTCGGCGGTGGGGGTGGGGTTGGGGAGGGGGATTTAGGAGGAAGGGGTATGGTTGGAGAAAGGAGGGGACGGGAGGAGGTGGAGGGGTTGGAGGGGTTGGTTAGAGGTGTTAGAGGGGAAGGGGGTGGGAGTGCTGGGGAGAGGGAGGATGATAGGATGGAGATTTAGGGGTGGGTTTCTGGGAGTCTAAGGACGGACATGGGTGGAGTGGGCGCCTGTATATTAATGGGGCATTGGGTGATGATGATGATGAGGACCTCGATTCATTTATTTGAAGCTGTTTGCGTATTGGGGTATCTCAGGTTGTAGACGCAACAATTTAGCCACCCTCTTAAATGCATCGTCGTGCAATTCATCACGCCAACCACCCATCTAATCCGCTCTGCTTTTTCTTCCGACGGGCGTCTTTCGAAGCGTATCCCGGGTAAAGAATGTTGACCGGGATCAAGCGTGGCTTTGGCTCCTCCTCCACATCCGATCCTTCTCCATCTTCAATTCGCCGCCTCTTGCTCTTTCCTTGATTTCCCATCGCTCGTTTCTGGTTGGCAGCTCCATGCGGCTGTGAAGGCGGACTCACTACTCTCATGGGCAGCCCCGCCTCCTCTAGCACTTCTTTCGTTTTCTCCCACTCAACGGCGAATAGACCGCTGTTCATTTTCACTGCCCATATCTCTCCAACGGTATGCTCACTTCCTCTCTTAGCTGCGATTTGCCCTTTGAGATCTTTCATGGCGCTGCGTGTCGCCTCTAGAATTTCTTCTGGTTTATCTTTGTTGCGGCCGTAATTGTAGGATGTGAAGAGGCAGGCGATGTAATGCCAGGACTCTGGTGGCTGACGACGTGGTTTTGGCCGAGCAGCATTTTGCGTGTCATGAGATGATTCAAGTGCATTCGAGCTTCCATTACGGTCGTCATGGGAATTTGCGGTGCCATTTATAATGGTCGTATCTTCAACATCTTCGCTACCTTCATTTTCGTCTGTATCACCCTTCACGCTTGATCCCTGCTGCTTGCAAAGATCGATGAGCAAACACGTGCCTAAAAGCCCCACTTGATGGCCTTTTAAGGCGCTTGCTGGTGTCCGACTGCTGTTAGGGATTTCCATACAGTGGCTTCGGTAGTCATCATAAGCTTTCGGATATTTTGATTTGAATGCTGCCGCTACACCGGCTCCCCAAGAGCCTCGAGAGTTGCAGGCGTGTAGAAGGACGGAGTGGGACGGGGCCGTGAAGATGTCGCCGGTAGATTCGGTGATGAGGGGTTGAAGCTTGGGTGATGGAGGAGGTGGGGTGCGTGTTTCCATCTTGCGTTTCATCTTGTTCGGTATTATGGTGGTTCGAATGTCAGAGGTTGGATGCTCAGTTACGAAGGCTCCGTGATTTGGGAACATTTGGTTCTCGGAGGGCTCGGGTCTCTTGTGTGGAGTGGCGGAGAGTGAAGTTGAGGTGGGTGGGGGGTGGCTGAGATTCACAAGAGAACACACGTGAGTCCACGAATGGAATACAAGTCGGTATGTGGGGCGCCATGGTTATTGAAGTGTGGTATGGGTCACAGAGGAAAGTGTAGTGACAGCGGGAGGCTGCCGCCAAGAAAAGGTTCAGGCCTCGGCGGGCATGAGCTGACCACGCTCCTTCCTCCCTACACATCTGGAGGATTTCTGTATAGCCTCTTTTCCTTCTCAGAGCAGTGGATGAAGAATCAGGATCTTAGCCCTGGCCGATCTAAATGATCGACCAGACCTTCCCCACCATTCATTCCCGTCCCCTGAACCTTCACTTCCCCGCAAATCTGCCTCCCGCTGGTCCCCTATTCCCTAGCATCTCCGCCTATCGACCTTCCTCACTGGTCCGAATACCAGCGACCACTTGTTTCCCCTCTCTATGAACCCTCTTTGCCACGTGCCGTCATTGGCACCCGGAGCATCAAAAGAGATAATGCGCAATGATGTCGTCCATCTCACAAGTTGCCTCCCTGCGTCTCCATGCATACCTGATACCCGCTTATCGTCTGCCCATCGTACCTTCCCAGTCGCGCAAACCACTCCATCATGTCTTCTGACAAAGAAGCCGCCCCTGTGTCTACCCTCGAGCCTGTTCCAATTCGCGACGAAAAGATGGCCGTCCGCGAGACAGCCTCCGACGAAGAAGAGCGGTACCTTGGAAATGAAGCTTCCGCCTCCTCCTCTCGCCCAAGGCGAGAACCCCCGGAGCTTATCCAGAAGATGACAATACATGAACGCGCCGCCGCAGAGCAACGTCTGGTCCGCAAAATCGATCTCTGCATACTGCCCACCCTAATTCTCATGTACATTATGAACTACTTGGACCGAAACAACATTGCTGCAGCTCGATTGGCTGGTTTGGAAGATCCAATATCAAAGGGTGGATTGGACTTGTCGAGCACGCAATACCTGACGGCGTTGAGTATACTCTTCGTTGGCTACCTGCTCATGCAGATACCGTCCAACCTCTTTCTCAACAAGATTGGGAAGCCCAGGCTATACCTCCCAACATGCATGATCATATGGGGTGTGATATCTGCAGCAACAGCAGGCGCACAGTCCTATGGCGGATTGATAGCAATTCGATTCTTCCTTGGTTTTGTAGAAGCAGCTTACTTCCCTGGCTGCCTCTTCTTCCTCTCTTCATGGTACACGAGAAAGGAATTGGGCTTTCGCACCGCCCTCTTATATTCTGGTAGTTTGCTATCTGGCGCGTTCTCGGGCTTGATATCAGCGGGTATCACCAATGATCTGGACGGCGCAAAAGGTCTGCGCGCTTGGAGATGGCTTTTCATCATTGAAGGGGTGATTACGATCTTCATTGCCTTCGCAGCGTACTTCGTCCTGCCAAATTTTCCGCGCACGACGAGTTGGTTGACGGAAGAAGAACGACAGTTGGCAATATGGCGGCTTGACGAAGATATCGGTGAAGATGACTGGGTGGGCAGCACGCAGCAGACTTTCTTTCATGGAATGAAACTCGCCTTCCAAGATATCAAAATGTGGAATCTGGTACCTTCGCCCTCAATTCTTCCTCATTTGCCCTTACTAACAAAGCCTCAGATGGTCCTCCTCTTTTGCTTCGTAGCATCTGGCACCGTAACAAACCTCTTCCCTACCATCGTTGGCACCCTCGGCTATTCCGACGTCGTCTCTCTCCTATTGACCGTCCCTCCTTACGCCCTTGCTGTCATCACAACATTCCTCAACTCCTGGCACGCGGACCGCACAGGCGAGCGCTACTTCCACATCACTGTCCCCTTGTACTTCTCTGTCATCGCTTACATCATCGCCGCTACAACAACAGCAGTCGGACCAAGGTACTTCGCAATGATGCTCATGCCCGCCGGAGTGTACACAGGCTACGTAGTCGCGCTGGCCTGGATATCGAACACTTTACCTAGACCACCGAGTAAGCGGGCGGCGGCACTAGCGGCCATCAACGCTGTGAGTAATGCGAGCTCGATCTATGCGAGTTATATGTACCCCGAATCTGCGGGTCCGCGTTATATTGTTGCTATGTCTGTTAATTGCGCTACGTCGGTCATCGCGATCATTGCGGCGACGGTATTGAGATTTACGTTGGTAAGTCTAAATAAGAAGTTGGATCGGGGTGAGCCCGTTAAGGGGGCTGTGAGTGTTGGGGAGGCGATTCCAGGGTTGGCGAAGGAGAGGGGGTTTAGGTTTGTGCTGTAGTGTGTGCTGGAAGGTAGTGAAGAGGACTAATGATGAGCTTGAGGTGCGAGTGAGCTTGATGTAGAAGTGAATTATGTACCATAAGTGGCAAATCTCAAACCTTGAGATCTTTGGAGGTCGCTTCATGGGACCCAAAGTACAATTACTGGTGACAACGCATCAACAAAATTGCCTTGAGAAATCGTGTATTGTTATTTTCGAGGGCCTCTCTTGGAAGAAGTCTGATTGAGCAAGTCGCGCATGCTTCGGGTCGCGAAGTGCCCGCGATATTGTTCAGTATGTCTCAACTGCAAGCGGGCTCGAGATATCATCACGTCGTAGCCGCCTTGAAGCCCAACGGAATATCCCCACAATTATTGCAGTAAAGGCATCAATCGCAATTTATGCTCATTGTTTGGACCTTCAGGGCCCAGGTAACCCCTTGCACGTCATGTCTACTGCACGGTATCGTACGCACCAGCCCGCTGTCAGCATATTATAGCCACGACTCCATCACCGTCTCCCCACACTGCCCAATTCACTCCTCCGCCCCATCCCCGAACCCAGCTCCGCCCTAGGCACGCCCTGCAGCTCGTTCGGTCTCCCCACCCCGCTGATCTCGTGCACCACTTGCCCCGCCCACAGTCCGTTCTCAATGGACTTTGGGTATTTATACCCCTGCTGCAGGACTTGCTCGTCGGAGTCTCGACGTCGTCGCATGTAACCGTTGCGGTATAGGAGGATGATTGTGATGAGGAGGAGGGCGCAGAAGAGGGCGCCGAGGGCGATGCCTGCTTTGGCGCCGGCACTGAGGGGGTTGGAGGAGCTGGAGGGGTCGGAGGGCGAAGTGGATGACGCCGGGGGAGGGGCTGGTGGTTGGTGCGGGTGGAGATGCTGAGGTCGAGGAGGCCGTGGGTGTAAGACTTGGGGAGGGCGAGCTAGACGTGGAGAGGGAAGAGGAAGAGGACAAGGACGAGGACGAAGAAGAGGATGTTGATCCCGTGTTCTTTGCTGAAGTCGGCTGGATTGCGGTCATGGTTGTAGGAGTAACAGCGGAGCCTCCGAGCGAGCTGACCCTGTCTAGCCCAAAAGTCTTTGCCTCCACTGAATCGTCTGATGTGAGGTCGAAGGTAGGGGTGTTGGCGAAGTCGTCGCCCGAGAGATTCTCGATCTGCATGTGGCAGATACCTTGTTTGTCGTATTCATCGTAGTCGAAGGAAAGGGGGTTTGTTCCGTTTTGGGGGACTTGGTCGTGATAGACTGTGAATAAGGGCTTGCAGTGAGCAATCGGTCTTTACGAAGTGGAGGTGTGTGGTTTGCTGATGCGGATGAGGGGAGATTAGAGGGGCTTACCGTATGTCGATGATTGCTTCTCGGTGTGGCTGGGCGCGCACCACAGGTTCATCCACGGATCGGCGATGGTTGATGTCCATGTGAAGTATACAACGTCTTTGTAATTGAATGTGAGGGCGGAATCCAAGGGATCGGGATAGACCCAGTTTACGATGCAAATACAAGAGGGTACCTGAATGCTTAACAGAATAAAAAGGGTAGTGATATGGGCTGTCTTCTGGGAAATACAAGGAGCCATATTCGGAGAAATTAGCGGCTAGGTACCAATTCACAATTCGCAATCAGCAGAATCAGAAGACATTGTTTTCAAGAAAAAGAAAGATCAATGAAAAGAGAAAGAGCATGCTTGTTGGAGTCGCGGGAACAGAGCTTCGAGGTTGCATCAAGCTTCAGCCTTATTTTCTAATGAAAGGTGACTTGCATGCCAGCCTTACTACATGGCATCCTCTGCTTGTGATGCCGAGCTTTTTATTGAAACCGTAAGAATATGTGGAGGTACAAGAGAAGACAAGGTGTATGAAAGTGCACAGTAAGCAGTACGTGGACCAGTGCTTCACCGCACAATCTGCAACGTAATTTGTACACAGACTTCATACAAACTTCATACAGACTTTCTGCAGTTGTTCAAAGATAGATGGTACGATCTTGTGACATTCTTTAGGAACCACTCAACATTCTGGTCGTAGATGGATGGCTATCAATAATGCTTGAGAAATTGCTGGGCGGCTACGGGGACCAAGTTAGGAGCCTGCACCACACTCGCTACCCAGCGTGTGCATTCAGTCTGGGCATGACCTCCCCACGGCGCGTCCATCTGGCCCCTCGAACAGATAGATTTCCACCCTATCATGTCTCCAACAAATTTCAATGCCGCGAAGCGCAAAGCGTCGACCGCATTTAAGCCTCCCCGTCCTTCCAACAAGACTGCTCCAAAATCCAATACGAAACAATCCGCTAACGGCCGACGTAAACACGAACGTGCCCCCCAGCTCATCTCTTCCGACGACGAGGATGATGACGACGATGACGATGAAGATGATCACTTAATGCAATCATCAGTTTCCGCACACTCCTCGAATCGTGAGAATTTGGACCAGCAGTCGGACTCTCAGCCAGACCCAACGCTCTCCTCAAGCAATCCACCACCCACCATTCCCCCAGCGTTGCTGACGAAACTGCTACATCATCATTTCAAAGACAGAGATGGCGTCAGTGCCGGAGATGTGAGGATAGGAAAGGACGCTATGGCTGTTGTGGGAAAATACATAGAGACATTTGTACGAGAGGCGATCGCAAGGGCAGCGTTTGAAAGACAGGAAGAGATTGATCAACGCGTGGCCAAAGGTGGTAGGAGGGAGGTTGGCGACGACTTTCTGGAGGTTAGTATCTGGTTGGGTTTTGAGGCATTTGGAAGGCGCGAGCAGCTGATGTGGTTATTTGGTTAGGTTGAGGATCTAGAGAAGTTGGCACCACAATTGTTGCTCGATTTCTGAGAACTTCCTCCAAGTATGGAGGTGTTCAGCTTCATCTGGAATTGATGGTGCAGGTTTCAAATCACTACAGCGAGTATACCGAGAGATTGAGATGCTTGAAGGGCTCTCTAGCTTGGTGGCCTCGAATCAGTCACTGCGATTAATTGGGGCGACAAGCATAAGCGAGGGTTCAGTGAAAGCATGTAATCTGTGTATACGGCGACATTCTATTCACTTCCTATCCGTCTTGCTTGGTGTTTCAGAAGCTATACTCACCGCTCCAGTTACGGGTTTCGCCTTTGCCCAATTCCCGGTCGCCACCAAAGGCCTTAATTTATCGAGTTTTGCGTGGATCTCAAAGGCAAAATAGGGCAGTCGGTTGTCAAATGCTGCCACTACGATAGTCAAATCTTCCAACGTGGAAAGAATGTTGCCATAAGTGAAATTCCACCGAGCGGCGTTTGGGTTGTATATCAGAGAGATTGAATCAAGAATATCGTCGTCCGTACAATAGAATTCCTTACTTGGATACTGGTCTGTGATCTTTGCGTGGGCTTTGTCGAGTTGAGCCTGGATGACATATTCGCAGAACATTGCAGTGGTTGCGAGGCTCAATATCGATTGAAAGGGTGGCGAATAATGTGAAAATACGTACACGAGACTACCGTGCCCGGCGACAAATGGATCGGGGGGATATGCTGATATGCTTGAATTAGGCAGAATCGTACCCGTCTGGTTGATGCTTGGATAAATGAGAGGCCGCCACTGTCCCTGCGCCAACAATTGCATTGTAGGTCGTCGCAAGATATCAAAATTAAACGGTGGCACTCCGTCTCTAAATGACCTGGCTTCCCTCGAAATGTTCTGTAACGTCTGCGAGAGCAGACCAAACGTCATGTCCCAGCCTGAATAGTTGTCCAGGATCAGATGGAAGCTATTTGGTGGTTGCTCGATACAATCAAACTTCTTCGAGGGGTAGATGTCGGAAGGCTTCATCTTCCAGGCTTGCATATCCTCAGAAAGTTGTATGCGACAAATAACAATCGACCTCTGGAAGCGTAATAAAGTCGTCAATGGGGTCGAATATCTCGAGAAGACATAGAGATAATCTTCGAGCCAACGGTGCGACGGGTCTGGTGGAGCCGACACATTTGTGATTGCTCCCCTGATGACTTTCTGTGAGCCTATGCCATCAATATCATACAATTCTTATGTACTTACCCGTTGGGCTCCATCATTGGAGGTAGATGGCCCAATGAAGATGTCTCATTGGATTCACCGCCCAGTGAAGGAGGCAGACGCGCTGCATTGAGAACAGTAACGAAATGAGGCCACAAAATGATGCTGAGCCAAATCATCTTCTTCCACATGGGGTGCTGTGAATATCAAAGGTGAACCAAGGTCGCCATTGCTCTTCAAGTTGAACGCCATCCTGAACCGTGTTTCACTAGATCTAAAGATTTCGATGAGTGAAAAGCTGGAAATACGGGGCCGTGGAGTGCGCCAATACCAAAGCTGGAAATGTTTCGAGAAAATGTCTGGCACGCTCATGCACGAGCCTGCCTTGCCTACAGCCGACGGTCCGGGACCCTATTGACAAATTTCGGACTTCTTGACCTGAGACCTTTCGGACTGTCTTGAACGACAATATGCATGGTCCTGCTGTGGCTTCATCGTTGGGGGGCGCTGTAAGAGCTGTTGTTGTGCATCTGCGACAACTCGTCACGACTATGAGTAGATGCTTGACAGGCTCTGTCGGCACCACTTGATGCCCCGAGGATCACCGCAACAAGCACACTGTTCATCCGCGAGACACATCCATGTGCTTGACTCCACTCCGCTGCGCAGTGATCTCTGACTTACTGATACTAGCATACCCAACGTTGAGACAAATTTTGCAGAAAACATCACCATCCACATTATGCTGCTTCATCGGTATACATATTTTGCTCCTTTGACTATCATATTGAGTCAAGCACCATCCATCACATCTATCATGGGCTTTGAGACTTGTGATCACGACAAAGACAAAATTGGGCGCTCCACATCTCTAGATTTACCTCAAAACTTGCGGATCCTTTGAAGGTCTCAGTGTTCCCCTCCTCTTCAAATCTGTCGTAGTGGGACTGCATATTCGTGCTTCCTACTTAGCTCTCCGATGGACCTCATTCTCGTACATTGCCACCGCGAACTCGCTCATCGGTCTGCTTTGAACAAACCAGCTCTTCTTGACTTATCATAGCCTTACCAGCAACTGGCGTGATATTTTCCATTCACCTCACTCGTTTTCATACGTCGGAAAATGTAGAATATGTTCTCACTCAAGCTTTCATTCACATGAGCGGGACGTGCTGCGTTGATTGCATTCCCACGTAAGCAGTGAAGGCGCTCTTCAGATTACGTGGGACTGCGAGTGCGTGCTAGATATTCGCAACTTACCACCGTCTCTTCCTTCCCTTTTCTTATTCTGAAGCAACTCAACCAGTGAGGTATCTCGGTGATGTCCTTTCCTCTATATATACATATATGCTTTGCGTCTTACGTGGCATCAGAGAGAATGCTACGAGATAATCTGCTCGCGTACCTCGATATAAAGGGCAATCGCATGTGATTCATGGATTAGTGCTCGTCCAAATAAGGATCCATTCTATTTCTCGGACCCTCGATGAAAACTATTCCTCTTATGCTCGTTCTTCTCAAGCAAGACTGACTGGGTTGCTGGGGCTTTAGCAAGAAACCCCGTGCGACCACCGCCACCTCCCTTTCCTCCTCCAAGCTCAGAGCCTGAGAGCTAGACCTACGCGATACTCTTGTGCATGTACAAAACTGTGGCTAGATCCATACACTGATTCCAAGCACTTGAAGATCATCTTGGCTATGCTCGAAGGGTTCAATCGATCAGCCTACGACGTACGGATGGGGTAGCAAAGTGGTTTTAGGAAGAGAGCTCGAGCTGATTTCGACCTCCAGCTATTAATCAATCATTATGACGAAGACAACGATTACGTACTTTTTTAAATAATAGTCCAACCTTCTAAAAGTAATAGTCTCCCGCCAGTACCAAAGACTATGTAAATAAGGGAATTGCTATATATCAAAAACGCTAAAAGCCTCTTTCTTTAATATAAGAATATATTCACGATACGTGCCATACCCCAACCTAAGGTCGGCAAATCACGTTCAATGGAGAGTGCATATGGAGATGCGACCCTTGTTGTGAATCTTACCGGCACGCTCGTTGTCGAAGATGCGCTTTTTCTGGTTCAATGTGCGACGGATATTGGCAGAAATCGAAATAAATCAAAGTAAATTCGTCTATTCTCGCCGAGACTTGACTAGGAATGACTCTATGAATTGTTCGCTGATGTCTATCAGTATCAATTACTCTCCTTGAATGACCAAAGAGACTTCAACTTATCCATGGCGATATGCTAAATCACAAGCCAATGAAAGTCACGCACTGGTAAATTTCCTTTCATCGCGTTCCTCTCGTGCTGTCTTTCAGCTATCATAGCGTGCTCATGTGTTGGCTTACACGCGGGCATGAGATATATTGGTTCGATTAGCACGGCATCGATAGGCTAGGCCTTCCAATCCTATTATGATTGATGGCATAGTACTCACACTTTGCTTGACTATATCAAACCTGCAGTGTTGTAGATGTTGTCGTTCCAGGAAAGCTTTCTTCGACAACACGATGAGGCTACCAGATATTCGCCTAATCTTGGCTCTATTTCGCACTCATCTTGCGATCCTTTGTAAGGTACATGGAAAACCAGCTTTTCCACGTCTAGTTGCCAATCCCTCTTACCAGAAAACCCAAGCACGATACTTCCAACTCGTTATCACGACAGAAGTTGATATCCCCATAAGTCAATTTGGCAAGCCACATTTGGTCGACGCTTCTCTAGCTACGGAATTTACTCGAAGAAAGTCACAAGCCTTGAAGGCTATCGAAGTGGCTGTATCGCAAACCCCGGCTTTTACCCAAGCAGGTTCTTCACAGGTGATGGATCCTGCAGAAGCTTAGGGCTCCTCGCACTGTCGAGCGCGAAGTCTGTTGCTGTAACTTTTTTTTCTCGTCTTTCACATCTAGCTTACAATCAATTTGGGTCATTACAAACCGTCAGTTGCTCGCTAAAGAGTCCACTCATGACTTTAGAAAAGACAATGACGTGTCGATTGTACTAAGTAAGCAAAATAGCATTTCAGATGGACAGCAAGTGCAAGCGGAATCTCCTCATGCCCGGCTACTGACAGCCTCCTCGCAGTACTGAGAACTAGAGTGACGAGACCTTTGCACGAGAGCAAGCCAATGAGATAGCTAAAAGCTATACAACAGATAGTCGCGGGAGAAGATTATGCTTGTCAACAGGACTTTTGTGTTGCTTGTTCTTGCTTGCCAGAAAACAAACCTCGATGCACCAATGGCCTTCAATAGCGTCCGCTGGAAACCATTTTTGGTCACGATCTTTTGAGATTGTAATGATGAGGAGAAGGTACAGAGACACCAGGAGAAACAACCCCAGGAAATTATCAACGTTAACAGGAAATGAAGAAGGTTTGGGGTATGCGTCTGGACAGCTTGCGACGGAGACGAGGGTCTCTTTCCCGAGGATCTTCTGTGCATATACTTGGGCGTTGGTGGTGAGGTAGTTTTGGGCGATTGCGGCGACGGTTCCGTGGCCCACCAACCCCCAGCTGTGGACTGGTAGGATGTAGATGAACGAAGGGAATAGAAGGGTCGTAGAGAGATAGATTTTCTTCGGGACTGAAATTGAAGAATTAAGGAAGGAGTGTCGAAATTGATGTTATATTTTGAGAACGTCGGACCCGGGAAAGACACTTCTTGGTTGATGGACGAGGGTGATGGTGTGGAGATTATCGTGCATGATAAGAGGTCTAGACTTACCTGCCTACTTTGTTCTTATCGGTGTACAGGCAAGGCGAGGCCGCGAGAGATGTGACGATAAAGCCACCGGCGGTAAAGATGCGCCACACTGCCAATTAGGGGTCAGAGGTTCGCTAGTCTTTTCACTAATGCGGGTTAGAGGGGTCCGAAGTAGAAAGTAGCCATAGATCTATGCCTTTTGTGAGATCGTTCGGCCGGAAATTGGCGGGGATGTGCCGGCATCATATAGCGGAGCTTTGTCTGCTACTCCGCACATCCCGTTTCTTTCTCCTCTGCCTGTGGATAGAACGATTGAGGAAAAAGCTCTGCTGACAGTGCTGAGGACGAGTAGAGCCGCCACATCAATGACGAGCTTGGCGCTCATAGGTCAAGCGAGAGCTGAAGCCGATGGTTTCAGCACGCGGATTGTGGGCATCGATGTCGTAAACGTCAGTATTACGCCCTAGGGGGCTGGCGAAGGTGCATTGGCGAGTCCCATGTTTCACATCTCATATGTTGTATTCTCATTACGGTATGGAGATACCATATCATGACATATCGCATTGTGGAAAAGTAAGCCTGTCTACCGGCGACGTCCAGACGTGATTAGCACAAACATCAGCAGGACCGATTGCGATGCACGAAGAGAGGTAACTCAACTTGCCACAGAAGAAAGACCGTGCGAATCAGATTCAGATATGTGGATCCAATGGCAACCTCACATACATCGCATTAATTATAGTGCCTGATTCTCATCTACCAACCCTCTTGACTCCTGGTTCCCGGACTGCCTTCGAGCTCCTTTGGCAGCTGTCTCGTCTCACACATTGCATCAAGTTCAGCTTTGGACCACCGCTTCGAATTATCTTCCATCTCCGCAATAGGGCTCCATTGCTTGGTCCGTTGAGTAAATCCTCTGGAAATCTTGAGGCGACGAACAAGCAAGAAAATAATACCAGCCGTGAACAAGACGCCAAGGAGGATTCCGAGGATTATGCTGATTTTGGTTATTGGAGCATGCGCGTGTGTAATGTCTGTCGTAGTTTCTGCGGCCGGAGAAGCGGTTATTGCCCGGCTTGTGGAAGCGGATTGCGAGCGCTGCATATCGATAGATACAGTTTGAGCTGTGAGGGTGGTCGCCGCGAGATTGAAAGTTGTGATTCGTGGTGAATTTGTCGAAGTGGTACTGATTATGGCATTCGATGACGGACCAGCGTTTTGCATGAGATTATCATTCATGTTGCTACTGCTGTTTTGCTATTAGCTGTTTCCACAGCTAGGAAACCGCTTTTCAAGAAACCTACGCATCTGTATTGTCTGGTGATGGCTGGCAAGTTACCTGAGAACATCATGACTTAGTTTAGAACTCGGCGAGTCTTGATTCTAACACATACGACACCTCCTTGGCTGTTGATGCAATCAGGGTCCATATACGCCTTTGTCGGGTCGATGATTACTTCTTTGCTCAAGGTCAATATTCTCATCGAGGTCTGGCATTTCACCTAAGATGATCAACGTATAAGCTGCTGGATGCCTAAGAACGTTTGTACAAGCTCTTACGGTGCCCAAGCCGTCGCTGCAATACGTTCGGTATATGTCTGCTACAACGGGGGCATCACTTGCTGAGCTAGAAATTGGTGCCGTCATTGTGGTATGGACTGAAGTACACGGGGAGAAGATCTTCCCAAACTTTGTCCTGAGGCTCTTCAACAAGTGTGCGGCGTACGATATGGCCTTTTAAGACAGGAATGCATCACGGACGCGGCCTTTCCCCCCAATAGATAGCGTCCTGCATGTTTCCACAAGTAACAGCCACGGAAGAATGCATCTTGGTGGCTGTTCTGAGCAATGGGGCCGATAGACTTGGATATTGCATCGAGTCCCAACCACGCCTTGCCCCTTCGGACAGGCTTTGCCTTAGCATGCACCTCCGCTGTAGGTGGAGTGTGAAATGCACCTTTTTCAAGGTACCAAAGCGCTTAAGTTGAAGTTTTCGACGGTCCACAGCCCGTAGTTGAGGTAGCTTTATGCATGACGATTGGGGGCCAGTGTTTCATGATGAGGAGATACACCTGTGAGGCGAAGAGTTGAAATCCACCAGCTTTTAGACAGCCATGATTGTTCCTGGACAGACTGTCGTCAGCTATGTATGTTTGGGGTCCATCGTAGTGTGGCGTGTTGGATCGCTTTATCGGAAGGGTTTCCAATTGGCAACTGAGGAGGTTGTAGAACCAAACCGGAGGGTGTGCTCGGGCTGGGAAGCATCATCTTTTCATGTGCATAGGCATTACAAAGAAACGACCCGAAAGATTGCTTTTGATAGTCACCTGCCTGCTCCTTTTTGGGTGTACGTTCCTCATCAATGACAAATATGTCTTTTCATCAACCACAGATCACCTCTTCAACCTCCCCTCATAAGCCCTCCAAGCCGCCCGTCTAAACCTCTCGGCCTCCGCTACCCTATCCTTGGCCTTCAGAATGCCCCGCCCCACAATAACAACATCCACCCCGTCCCTCCCTACAACCTCCTCTGGCGTCCTCCACACCTGCCCTTTCCCGTCCCCTTTCCCCTCCTTCCCCTCCCCCTCATCCTCCAACCCCACGCCCGGGGTAAAATTCACAAATTCCTTCCCCGTATTCAGACTTTCCTGGCAAATGAACCCGACCACGAAATTCTTGTATTCCCTCGCCGCCTCCACACATGCCTTCGTGTACTCCCCCGTCGCTAAATTCCCCTCACTGCTCATCTGCGCCAGCAACAACAGCCCCCGTGCTTGTGGTGGTGGACCTAACTCAGCCAGCGCGGAGGGAATGTCCACGTCCTCCGCAGTGTCTCCGGAGGAAAGAGGGTTTGAAAGTGATTTTAGCAGCCTAGGTGGTGGGGGCGGGGCAGCGGACTCATAAGTCTGGGAGATAGTGGTTGTGGCGGTGGCGTTGAAGGAGTTTGTGCGGTGGTGGCGAAGGACGAGGCCTTCTTCTTCGTTGTCGTCATCGGGAGTGAGGGGTACGTTGGTGGATGGTATGGAGGGTTGGGCGTGTTCCAGAAGGTTAGGATCTGAGCCACCACTCGTTATGGTTGTGGCTACTGTCTGGTTCAGGGTGGTGAGGGTTTCTTGGGCGGCGGAGTAGAGGGCGGAGATTATGGAGGGTCCTGGGAGGAGGTGGGCATTGGTTAGGTGCGCCCAGTGAGCTATGCGGAGAGGACCGCGGGTGTATTGGGATTGTAGTGTGTCTGTGGGGATACATGTTAGTGGTTGAACGAAAGGAGGAGTGGGTGGCGCATACTGCCGATGTCTCCGAACTTTCTGTCCTCGAAGATGAGGAAATGTTTTCGCTTGGATACATCTTGTAGACCTCTGATAGTACGTTCGGAGAAATCGTCGATGATATCTGCATGGGTTTTGAGCACGCAGATGTAGTCTCCTATCGTCTCAGCGAGTTCCAGAAGCTCTGCAGTGGTGTGCACATCGGCGGAAAGGGCGAGGTTCGATCGCTTAATAGAGATTAAGGTGAGGAGGTAGCTGGCGAGGGAAGAGATGGAGGGGAGCTCGGCGCGGTCAGCATATGAAAGAGCTTGGATATTTGAGGTCTTGAGGGACATCTTGGCAGCATTATTGAAGAAAGTTGTGGGCGATATCAATTGACTTTAATACCGGCTACCGATGCCGTGGCCGAAGCCCAAGCAGAGAAATGCAGTTAAACGCCTTCCTTAATAAGTTAATAGGCACGCTCAAATAGCAAGTTCTACGGCAAATGCACCGACGCGCGTCTGTACAGTCATCGTCCACCCGGCCCTGAATTGCATAGGTAAGTGAATGGTATGGGCAATAACAGTCTGAACACGGTTATCATCGAGGCAGGACACATGCATCCAAACATATTTTATGTCACACTCAATCCTATCCTGCACAGGTCTTGCTTGCCGCCATTGAGCTCTACCTGAGTTCCATCGCTATGTACCGCTTCCGATTTAAGTTCAGAGATTGCCTCCCATCGTAGATTCCTTCAATGGATCTTCTAATGATCAAAACGCCGCGCTCATTTCCATCCAGATTCCCTCCATGCCATGCAATGACACGCTGCTTCAACGTCTCCTGTCAATTCACCCAGCCCCTTGCCATGTTCCTCCCTCGCTGCCCACTGACCGCCTCCAATCTTACAGCCCAAAGCACAATCTCCATGCTTGTTCCACTCTGTGGATCAAACGCCCTTCCCATCCTAGAACTTACAGATCCCATGCCGTATTCCTGCTTCGCCTGCACTCGTAATCTCCACTGGCCGTGCCTGATGATCCATTCACCGAATTCGTCGAGGCTACCTCTTCGCTTGCGTTTCTTGCTTGGTGGTCCACCAGGCATACTACTCCCACTGGTTGCGCTCTGGAATTGCCTTGGAGAAAGCCTTGGTACCGGTGATTGCGGTGGCAGCGGAGTGTTACTCCAATCCTCATGTTCTGATTGACCCGCGCTGCTGCCAAACGGATCCATAATATGCTCTTGGCCATCAAGCATAATGTGTGCGTCACCGCCGATGTTGATCTTGACGCGGTCCTCGCTCAATGGTGTGTTGGCTGGGCTTGCAGGTGCCGCGCTTGCTCCTCCACTGCTCATCATCAATCCTAACGGAAGATTCGATGGTAAATTCATCTTATCCGCAACAGTCTGGAAGAGGGAAGATATGCGCGCTTTTGTGTCGCCGTGGAATTCGGCACGCATAGATCGAAAATCAACTTTGGTTTCCCACGCGCTGCCGATTTCGACGATTACTTCGTAAGAGGTTTCGTCTACAAAGGGGCGGGAGTAGTGTACCCAGCCACCAAGAGGTGATTGGTCAGAAGGTAAAGGGTCGGAGTAGAAGGAGACGCCGGATTTGTGGATGTCTTCCAGGCGCATGACGATTTCCGTGCATGAACGAGCGGCATTATAGGAAATGTCGTGTGCGAAAATTTGGTGCATCAAGCCCTTAAAGCCGTAATATTTGCAGTCACTGAGGAGAGCAGCGCGGTGGTCAGGGTCGCGAATCGTAATCGGATAGCCGCGCGAAAAGTTGATGAGATCAGCGAAGATCTCAGGAGAGCGGTTGGGTATACTTTGAGGTGGAACAGGAGGTGGGCGCATTAACCCACGAGATTCTAGGCCGGGAAAAGCATTCTCTCTAGTACCGATCATGCCAGAGAAACCGAGCGTGAAGAAGTTTGAGGAATTCCCAGGCCCAGAGAAGGTGTCACGTGGAATCTGAAAAGGAACACCACCGATTGTGGTGTAGATGTCGGACTCGAACAACTGGGAAATGAGGCGCGGCAAGGAGTAGAATTGGGCGTCAGCGTACAGTCTAACATAATGAGCGTTGTCGTGAGGAACAATGTAGTAGCCTATAATCTTGATCAGCCGCCTGCGTGAAGCTTTTGCTAAGAAAAGGGATTTGACCTTGAAGGTGACGACAGATATCAGCAAAGGTCTCAGGGTCGCGATCTATGTAGAGGGTCTTTACAGGTCCGTCGTCTTCTTCATGCTGACGCATCTGCTCCTCGAAAAATGTTGAAAAATAGGAGGGTCCTAGAAGCATTCAGCCTTGGTCTACGTCCATGAGGACGTTGCAACGCACCATCGGATAGAATACTAGCCCCTGACAACCTAAATAGCCTCCATCCTATCTGTATCGCGAATGCTTTCTCCGGTGGCAACGCGCCGTCACCGTTTCTATACAACATCGGATCTCCTTGTCGAAGAACGCCAGGGACTTTGGCAGGGTATTTCGACCCATTTGACGGAGAATCCGTGCCTGATGTTGGAGCCTGTAGTCTTGCGACAGCAGAAGCTTCAGGAGTGAAGTCGTCAAATTGGAATTGATTAACGTCTGTGATAGAGGCCGCTGTGGAAGCATCCTGCACAACGTCCCCAGCCCACATGTCCAAATCACCTCATATTTTTGAGTGAAGCTCCGGCGCGGGCACCACTGGACAGTCAAGGTCCTTCTATTGCGAAATGGAGAAGGCGCAGAGGAGCTGCGCGAGCTGTCAAAAGGGGCTCAACAGTCGTCGCTGTGGCTGGCTGTGGCCAGCTGTGCCCTTGAAGATTTTTCTCGGCCGGTGCTGACTAGAACTGTAAGGTGAGCTGATCGATTGATTGGGCTTAGGGGGCGTAAGCTGATCGGCAGGTCAACGTACCCCTTGGGACGACTCGATAACAAGGTTGTAGGTGGCCTCGCTCGGTATGATGAGTTGAAGTGGGTGTAGGGGTGGGGTATGTCGTTCATCTCGTTTGGTTGCGATGGGCTAGCTGATTAAGGGTACGGACGGCCAGCGCATCTTTGATTGGAGAGACAGCGGATGAAGGATTTGGAATCGGCCGAGTTGGGGGATGGGAAACCCCCGCGATGTCAGGTAGAATAGGGTGAGGCGTTACACATCCGCAGTCAGCCTTCAACCTTGGTTTTGGTGAGTGGCAGAGCCAGAGAGTCTATTCACTGCTCGGCGGAATGAGTAAGGTGGGAAAAGAAAACAGACTCGGAGACTCGACATTCCGCGCCGGATCTAGCCCCCCCACTGTCAAAGTCCACGCTTGAAGCTTCCCCGCTGAGCCGCCCCGTTGGAGCCCTACACCATACGTCATCACCCCCAGCCTTACCTTCGTACCGCGGCAACTTGTCGGAGTATGTGTCCCATTTCGGATTCATACGCCCTACTTGAAGGTGCATGTCCCTTACAAGGTCTTACCTGTTCACCACACTACAATCTCTCATCTTCCAGCCCTTTCTGAGAACTGAAATTCTTGATTTTGAGAATCATCATGGCACCGGTAACACGACAACAGGACCAGAAACCTGACGCGGCGGCGGATGAGGTGAAGATTACGCTCTACTGGTCAGCATTGAATTTCAAATAGTCTGCGCCTCCTGCATTTAAGTCTGTCTTGTTGAAAAGAGCCATCACCTATGCGATATCCAAGTCATGCTATTTTCTAAGGGCTTGTGGGGATGGTCTGAAACCGAAAGGGCGAATGCCATGGTTTGTTTCATGATGGCTCTAGCTTGAATAGACGCCCCTTTCCCTTTCTTGTTTAGTAATCAGTGTCGTGCTAGCCTCCTGTCTGTCATGCCATCAACTGTACCTGTCGTTAAAAGATTGCTTGGAATGCTGCATCGCTCGTCATGCCTGGGGAATTCGAACTCGACGTTGTACTTTCATCGTCTGAACTTCCTCATCTCCTAATACACACGTTTCCTTCCACAGGCTCGAAAAATCACGCGCCCACCGAATCCTCTGGCTCCTCGAAGAACTCTCGATCCCCTATGAGCTCAAGACCTTCAAGCGAAAGAACATGCTTGCACCCCCAGAATTCAAAGAGATCCATCCCCTCGGGAAAGCCCCTCTCATCACAGTCTCCTCCCCCGCGACAGGCGACAAGCCAATCGTGATCGCCGAAAGCGGTCCGATCGTGGAATACCTCCTCGAGCATTTCGGAAAGTCATTTCTACCTAAGCAGTGGAAGGAGGGAAAAGAAGGTCAAGTGGGCGGTGAGACAGAAGGGTGGTTGAGATATCGATATTTCATGCATTATGTGGAGGGGAGTCTGATGCCTTACATGGTGATGGCACTGATCTTTCGAAGTATGTTTTCCGCCGCACCCCTCTCTTCAGTTCGTTCAAATTGAGGAACACTATCATGCAGAGCAACACTGATCGTGAAAATCCAGTCTTGCGCGAACAATCTCCCTTCTTCATCCGGCCCCTCACAGCCATGCTCACCGGCACTGTGGAGTCGAAGTACCTCCAACCAAACATGGCCAACAATCTTCGATTTTTGGAGTCCCAACTTGAGACCTCTCCAGACGGTGGGGAGTATTTATGTGGGCCAGATATCACGGGTGCGGATTTTCTTATCAGCTACCCCGTGCAAGCGGCGAGGGAGAGGGCTGGCTTGACGAAAGAGGCGTATCCGAGATTGTGGGCATATGTAGAGAGACTAGAGGAAAGAGAGGGGTATAAGAAGAGCGTCAAGAAGATTGTCGAGGTGGATGGTAAGTGCGATTTCGACTGGTAGGACAGCCTTCGAGCCCAAATAAAATCTGGAGTCAGTGGCATTGTCCACGTGCGCCAGTCCTAGAAACGCGACAAACCCCGCGTGAGCCGGTACATATCATTGCCGATATCTTATTGAGTCGGTATGGCAAACATTACTGAATTTGAATGGTGCGGCTTGGGAAGATGAGTGCAATGCGCAGACCACGTCCCCTTGCAACGATATAGATGGTTTCTTACCTTATTCTTCAATGTACCTTCGCGAATTTCTGAAACATGTTCACGAACGATTCTTCAGGGTTGCCCCCGAAAACTCTTCAGTAGCGGCATTGACATCGCTTCAGCCTTGGTATTGTGCATCAAAAGAGCCATTTCCCAGCCTAATCATATTTGATCTTAAAAGGGCTTCCACAACCGACCTCCTCATCAGTCTATTCTAGCCCCTTCCCAATGGACTATCCACATACCTATCGCCCTTCTACAATTGTGGGACAAGAGCCCACAGTTGCCATGTGGACTAGGTCGCATGGCACGGGGAAGTTTTGAAATGTATATGTGTATGAACAATTAAGCCGAGGCATGACAAAGCATGACATTCTGACTCCGCATTTCCTGAATTGCGTGGATGTTGTAGCTGAGAAACAGGAGGTTGCGACTCTGCTCCATCAGGGGCAATTGAGATGCCAAGATAGCGAGACGCTAGTCCGTAAATGGGCTAGTAGCATATCGAACTAGTTCCAATTCCATGAAAGACCGCAACCTGCGTTACAATGATTTAGAGGGCTGAGAAGCTTGAAAGTACTCTGGCTAGACTACTTTTCTCAATTTGTCGGTCGATACAACCATTCCAGCACTCTCTTCCCCCGATGGCATCGCCAAGGTCTCCCTTCACAACGGGGGCACCGACTTCTGCTCTAGCCTTGCCACCTTCTTCGGCGGAGAAGCGGAAACTGACTGGAAGAGTATTCTATGAAAGCCTAGGGAGTCCGAAAATGGTGCTAGCACCTATGGTGGACCAGTCAGAGTTCGTACGATACGTTGCAGTGACATAAATCAAGGACATTCTAGCTGACGATTGAGGGAAGGCTTGGCGCATACTCACTCGCTCTTTCATGAGTGTTCACGACTCAAAACAGCTCCTGGCATACACACCTATGTTTCATTCTCGCATATTCAATGAGACGCAAAATTTTCGAGATCGACATTTTCAGCCCTTGCGGGATGATTCGACGGCAGCAGAGCTTGGAAAAGATCCCTACTTAGATGGAAATCCTCAGACTGATCGCCCTCTCTTCGTTCAGTTTTGTGCAAACGATCCGGATGCACTTCTAGAAGCTGCTCAATACGTCCAACCCTATTGCGATGCAGTTGATCTGAATCTTGGCTGCCCCCAAGGAATAGCAAGGAGGGGAAGTTACGGTGCCTTCTTACAAGAAGACTGGGGTCTCATACATACGCTCATACACAAGCTTCACATCGAATTAGACGTGCCTGTTACAGCCAAAATAAGGTTATTGGAATCAAAGGAGAAGACACTTGACTATGCAAAGATGATTTTGTCTGCGGGAGCAAGTATCATAACGGTACATGGAAGACAGCGGGATCAAAAAGGACACAAGACGGGCCTTGCAGATTGGTCTGTGCTTCGCTTCTTGCGAGACCACCTTCCTTCAGAGACAGTACTCTTCGCCAATGGCAACATCTTGCAGCGTGATGATATTCAGACTTGTCTTGATGCCACTGGCTTTGATGCTGTTATGAGTGCAGAAGGTAACTTGTATGACCCCACCATATTTGCTTCTCCACCTGTATCAAGCAAAGAGGACCGGGAGTATTGGTATGGGCGCAACGGAAAGGGTGGCTACAGAATGGACGCTGTCTTCAGACGCTACATGGACATCATATACAAATACGTTTTGGAAAAGCCACCACCTGCAAGAGAACCCCTTGCTCTGCCGGCTGACCCTCAAGACCTGGCTGTGAGATCTCTAGATGCCTTTTTGGAGCCCGACGATGATGGTCAGCCGCCGGAAAAGAAGCGAAAAAAGGATCGTGAGGCGGGGAAACCCAATTCACCCAACCTGCTAGCCATGCAACCTCATTTATTTCATCTCCTACGACCGCTAGTCACCAAGCATACCAAAGTCCGAGACGCGCTTGCAAAGTGTCGCGCAGGTGACATACAGGCTTTTGAAAACGTTCTCAAAATGGTTACAGTCGTAGTCCGAGAAGGTCTCCTGGACTACGAAGCTGACCCAGCAAAGTATGATGAAACCCTCCCATTGGATGAGAAAGCGCTCAAAGAAGCCGAAATATGCGATGAGAGCTCTCTAGCGACTGTTGGGAGATGCAGGAGACCATGGTGGATTTGCCAGCCCTACGTGAGACCTTTACCGAAGGAAGCACTGGCCAAGGGCAGCTTGACGATGAGTAAGCAGGAAAAACGGAAACTAGAGCAGGAGGCTTCTTTGCCAAAGTCTGAGAAGGCTGTCAGCAAGTCTGAACGCGAGAAGATGGATGAAAATGATGGCTTGGCGGAGAGAGAGATGCCTAAGCAAGCTATGGTCGCTGGATAAAGTAATCGGGCTGCGAAGATCTGCCAAGATGCGGCTCTATCACAAATGCCCTTTTAGCCATACCCGTTCCTTTTCTCTCTGCCTTCACCACTAACTTTCACACTCTGGCTCTCCCACTCCTTATGCCTTTTTTCAGCGGCCATCACAATCAGTTGCAGAGTTTGCCAGAAGCTGACGTACAGGCGCTTGAGAAATTCTACTTATGGTGTGTTCTTCTAGCTTATTTTCGACTGGCTCTTACTGATACAAGAGTACCTCGGCGGCATCGCCCTCCTTTACAAGCCGGTCCTTAGTTTTCTCAGCGACTGGGGATGGCGGAAGCCGAAGGCAGCCCCGAAAGCAAACATGAAAAGGAGCCAGACAAGAATGAGGGACATTGCGCGATTGTCCCGTCCAAGCTCCCTCGTCGTTTCGAACCTGACGTGGTCTCTCGAGCTCCAGAAATGGACCTCACACTTAGTTATCTGATTCTAGGGATCATTATTGCAACACTCTAAGTTCTATTAGCTCATCACCTGCTCTTCATGTATTGAATTCCCAACTTTTTATGTTGATTTGGATATAGCCTCTGGCAAATGGCCAAGACGCGCAAGTCTACCCCATCAAAGGTGAAAGAAGACCAGAATGAGATAGGATTCGGGCAAACTTTGCCCATCTTACTGTTGTTGTCGACGTATTTTGTCTATTAAGAGACTGCTAATGGTAAGCACTAGCCTTGAAGAATGAAGTCTTGGCTCACAGCGTAGACAGACGTTAGAAAGCCTGGCAATCCTATTGTAGAGTCAGACGAAGTTCAGTAATTCAAATCAGCGGCATCGAGGTATCCCAAGAAATCCAGTAGCTCTCGTGGTCCATCTCCGGCACCTCCGCGGCGGATGGATTCGGAGGAAACGTCTATCTACCGACCCCCAGAGCAACATTCTAGCTTCTCGCGGCGATCTACATTTTAAGCAGCAGGTCAAGAGTGATGTCAATCCCACTCGTTGGAGGAGATCGCCCGAGTAAGATTGCTAGACCACCTGCCACAATCGGCCATAAAATTTCTTCGTAAGTGGCCATTCCCTGTCGCCAACTGGTGTCAGTTCCCTCGACCCTTTGATAGAAAGACCCTACCCAATGGCTCATCGTGAAATCGAGCAGACTGTGGAAGTCTGTTCTAGATATCTTGACTGCCAAGCGTGTTGATATTCTTCTTTGCTGGCTGACCATTCGACCGGAGAATTTTGGCCACCAATGTGATCTTAGATTTGCGAGTCTATTCCAATCTCATCGCCAATCTTCTCCGTCGACCCCTCCACTCATCTATCAATATGGGGCTGATGTAGCCGCCCTGTCAAGTTTACTATGCGCCCTGCGTCGGCTGTCTTCGGCCATTATTGAGCTGCATGAGCGTCGAAACTTCTGTACGATTCCACATTTTCAATTCGTGTTCCATTGTGCGGGCTTTCTACATCTTATAATCTAGACTTGTGTCTGTCAAGCGATAAGAACGATGCCCGGCTGTACAAGATTTACCTTTCCCTCCGCGCAGTGAGCTCATCATTCCCCGTACAAGCTGACTGATGAACCCTCCTACAGCCTTCAGAATGATAGTGCAATGGTTCAACAGACCTCCAGGATACAAGAGCCTGCCATCTAGCGTCCTGCTGAGGTACATGGGAAGATGTTTCTGTTCCTAACAAGAAGCCGAGACACAGCAGCAAATCATGATCGCTGGCATCTTCGATTACCGCCAGCTAGCGTCCCCTTCACAGAGGCAGCGATTGGCAGCAGCAAGGTAATAGCGCTCAAGCTCTGAATAGACCTACGCAGGTAATGGGGTAGTATCGTGTTCCCAAGGACGTATATTCACTTGCTCTACAAGCAACGCTTCTCTGCAGGCCTTAGCCTTCATGTACTTTGCCATGCACGATCGATTTTATGACTTCATGATCTGAACACCTTTTCCGTTCCACACCAACCAACCGTCCCTTCTGCCGACCTGCAGCGTGAAAGATGACACAAATGTTCCAGAATCATGTTTTCTGCTATCCGATGCTCTGTTTGCGGGGAAATGATCTTCGCTGCGGCCCTGATAATAAGCATGCACGTCTCCACAATTCTTTTAGCCATGCGCAGAGCTTGAATTTATACCTCCACGCAGTCTCTTGAAAGCCCCATTGTGCCATTTCGGTCCTCGTCGGCGTCGTTCAATGCCTCTCTTTAACATCATCATTGGTTAGGCGCTTCGCCGGACGCACGAGGATCTCCTTGTTCACGACGATCCCCGAGCTGACATTTTCATCCTAGCTCGTTGTTCTGAGTTCAAGGCTTCATAACCTGACCGAGAAGACAATCATGAAAGTGATCCGTGCATATGACGGCTCCTTTCTATCGACGCTAAATTTCCTCAGACAAACATATATATCCACTGGTTTACGTCTTCGGCCAGAGAGCGTCTCACATTGTTCATTTCTCAGAGTCTTTCAAATCAGCATATAATGTTGTGCATCTTGAGCTTGTTTTTAGTCGGGTATGGAAGTCTCATCAGGGCTCAAAATCAGTTTGCGCTGAAACCAGCACCTGACCAATGTCATACTGTTGTCGACTGTGGCGGTGACTCAGGTACACAGATCTCCCCTTCTCCTTTTCCGAAGGCTAACGTGCCTACTGTCCCGGCCACAATCACTTCTATAACTACTACTATGGGCAATGGAATTCAACCAACCGACACTCTCACCTTAACAGAGACGCCGACAGAAGCTGGCGGCACGACGACCATCCTCGTCGTTTTGCCCGCTAGTACTAGCGACGATGCAGTGCATGCAACCCTATTGCCAGGCTCTACGGGAATTGCTGAGATTCCAAAACCTGAAGATGGACAGCCTGATTCCATATTCACCGTACCTGGGGCTCCGAAACCAACGAGTCAATCTACCGTAACTATCACCAGAATCCCGGACGGCCTACCCCAGCCAGCAAAAGCAACACTCCTTCCTGGCCCTCCGCCAGTCCCTGGTGGTGATGTGACATCCATCTACGTTCCTGGCGCCGGTGAAGAATTTGCGAAACCATCTGACTGGACTTGCGCTTGCGCCACTGCCTCTGCCCAAGTTGTCACAGTGACACGCCAGCCCGAGCCAGGGCCAACTGTTGAAAGCAAATTGCCCGACGGCAACCTCACGACTGTTCCAGCTTCCAAATTCCCATGCTCCTCCGACGACAAGAACCCTTGCAAAGGCTCCCAGGTCCAGCCATGGTATTCGTTTACAGTTGGCTGGACAGCTGATTTCCCTCGCCCTGGCCCTCCGAAGCCATTCTATACGACCTCAAATTTTGAAACAGATACCATTCTCACGCTCACTGATGATCTGTATCAAGCAGAACATTTCAAGGTGACTATGGATGAGGAGGTTATTGGGGAGACGCATGAGAATGGGTGGAAGAATGATAAGATTTATTGTGGAAAGAACGCGGACGAATGCATGGCAAAAGGATGGTCTCACGGTAGTTTTCTGATCCCGAAAGGAAAGCACGATTTGGGATTCCAATGGACTGAGGGAAAGTATCAGACGGAGGCGGGAGGAAACTGGTGGTATGGGGCTGGACAGTATCGATTTGATAAACCTTGCAGCTGTTAAGAATGGAAGCGGACTTGAATGCGGACTTGACTGTTGTTGTTGAGTCTGCGCTCAACCAACCAAGTTCTGGCATTGGAAAACAATGTGGGAGCAAATAGGAGTCTGAGAATACAACCGCAGCTGTGTCTACTGCCTTTATCAAGAACAAATAAGATACGTTGTCCAACATCTCATTGACCATAGCCCCTCTGTAGTGAGACAATTGAAAGCGAAATTCAAGTCACTTTCCTCGCGGTCACTGGAACTTCCCAGACACCCTAGAATCTTTAATACGGAACAATTCTATGCTGATATCTTTTCGTGAGAGACTTCTGGTACAAGAAGCATTTTAAATCACGATAAGAGTAAATTTGTATGCAAGCACTTTTTCATCAGGAGGCCAAATGAAGATTTGTTGGTGGATTGCATATTGGGTGGTGTCCGAGGAGTTCTGGCTCTCGCAATTTAAACTTTATGAAAAGCCGCAGTCTGCAGAATACCCGTAAGAGTCTAGGATGTACTATTCCTTAGCACTGAATTCCAACGTCAGGACAAGTCTGATTGTGCCTTGATGGGCATGCTCGATCTCTGAGAGTCAATCTGATGCTGTCGAGACCTCAAAAGTGACCCGACAATGGCTATAGGCTATTGGTATCGTACCGATGCCATACATGGCCCTGATTTGGCCCAGACAGGCACGCCCTGTGCACACGAAGATTGATGGCTTCGACAGATTTGCCAGCTGACTTGCACGATGAAAGGTCCTCCGACAGCCTTTCGCAGATCTTGCGAGTGTTGCAAAATATTGAGGGAAAGCTAGACAGTTATGATGAGCGCTTCCATCGGCTAGAAGCTTCAAGAGAGCTAGACACCCAATACGATCATGATGAGGACAAGGAAGCCGAGTCTATGCGAAGCGTTGAGGGCTGGCACACTCATCCACCTTCGCCCACTCAGGTTCAGACCACGCTGCAAGACAGCAAAACGGATCCGAAGATATACTATACAGAATGGGACACGAACCATTTCATCGAGGCGCTGCCTCAGGATTTGTATACCGAGTGGGAGACCCATGGCGCCAAGGTCGACCAGATCTTCGATCTTCGCCTGTCTGTGGCAATGGAAAAGCGTCTAGGAAGTTGCTGGCAGATGCCTGATGACGACCGGCTTCCGTTGAAGTTCTTCCGGGCAAACATTCTCAAGACCTTTATGCAGTCGGGTGTGCCAATGAGGAATTTGTATAAAGCAAAGAAACCGTTTGAGAAGGACCTTGCATTCTTGTGTGATTTTGACGATAAATTGCGAAGCCACAAAGGCAATGACTTCGTTGCTGTAGACTTCGATACGTTCAATAATTCCAGAATATATAGGCTTGGCACCGAGGCCATCGGATCCGATTTGCTAGTCAGACTTGAGGGCGCGCAAGAGGCGCCTTGGTCTCGAATCATGTGCGTGCAATACATCTCATTGTGCAATGGAGCTGACAGCGTGCAGCCTTTACCAGGGCGCCGCAACTGGGGGCAGCATAAACCCGGAGCGGAAAAGACCAGAGCAGCCTATTCCATACTTTACACGAAATGACAGAATAAGCGGCGTATGGGATCATATCTCTACTCACCTGCAACTGAAAGCGAGAGGAACCACGACGAATCCCTATGCGACATCCCCATGGACAGGCTTTCACACCACCTTTTATGAGATCCTCGAGACAGCTGATCCTATCGAGAATGAGCTCTGGAGACATGGCCCACTGTACGACCATCCTCTTGGGTGGCAATTCCGCAAGTGCGCTTACACCGTAAGAGGCTTTCTTGCGTGGCATCTGGGGTATGCGACTGACTTCACCAGCTCTACTCACCATTGTCTGCTTTTGAGACTAGCAACAATAGTAGGCTTGGCGAACACTCCAGGTTCTGGACAATCTTGATCCTCTCCCCAAGTGGCTTCTTCAAAGACGGCAGCCGCGCATTTCCTACTCAAGAATTAGGTGTAGGTCAATCACAGGCTCTCGGGCACTGCTTCGGCAGACTCAGTCGGGTAGGTGCTGAAATGAACCTCATCGGCCACGGCTTGGAACGGATCAGTGAGCGATGGACCGACTTCCAGACATACTTTGACTATATCTTGCATGGGGGTGATTCGCTGATGAACCCTTCTGAGCATGACAATCTTCTCTTTGACGACGGCGCCTTTTCGAGATCAAGGAAATACTTCTGGGTGATCGAATGCTTGTCAGAATTTGACATTTGCATATCCGACAACCTGACTCAGTGGGAGCTCTACAAAGCAGCTCGGATTCCCCTAGCGCATGACGCACTGACGAAACTTGATCGCGTCCAGCTCAGCTTCGCGGAACGGCACTGCACCGTTCTTCAGAATCAGCGAGACACGTTTAGGCAGAAGCTGGCCGCAACAAAAGCACTTCGAGATGCCCTGTTCAACGCCAGTGCCGTCATCGAGAGCAGAGCGTCGACGCGACTCGGCGAACATGTGAAGCTGTTGACTTTTGTATCCATCTTCTTTCTACCGCTCGCTTTCACGACGTCACTCTGGAGCGTCAACGATAAGTTTTCCTCCAGCGTCCTCACGTATGTCATCATCCTCGTTGCTCTTACAACGTACTCCGTCATGTTCAACATCGACAGCTTAGCGCAGGGTTTTGGACGTGTCTATGACATCAAGAAGAAGAAGGTTGTGAGGGCGATGAAGAGGGATCGCAACGAGACCTGGAAGCTGCGCGGTAAGCGTTTTGAAGTGTTTCGACCGAAATCAGAGAATCCTGAGCCCTCTGAGTGGTACATTCCACTTTATGCAATGATGCATCCCGGAGCGCTGCTTGGCCTCATAAATGATAGTTCAACCAGCGCGCGAACCCGACACTCACAGAAGGACGCCACTCAACACAAGTGGTCGCGCATGTTTAGTCGACGCAGAAACAAAGATGAAGAGAAAGAACCACCTGATGAGGGGTGGGTCATGTGAGCATGCACACTGTGAAGAAAAAAGAATAGCAGGGAGAAAAAAAAGAAAAAAAAGATGGTCTGTCCTTTGCTAATGAAATTTGTTTACTTACACGAATAATGCAAGGCCGTCGCTTGCACCCTTATCCACCCCAGCCTCCGATCATCCCGCGATTGTTCAGATAAGGAGACTGGGGCTGAGCTTCTTTCCAGTACTCAATGCCAACCCTAGAGCTAGGTGAGAAACTGAACGACTTTTTCGGAGTCGGGTGCCGCTGTCAACTTATCAGTCTTACCTATCGCGAGGGGGGGAGGAAAGGAGGGGGAGGAAAGGAGATACTGGCCTGAATTACGAGACACGAGCTCGAACCCAGGATCCTGGCCTTGACTATTCTCACTATGTTGTGTGTTAGCGCGTGGCTCAAATAGGCAATTGACAATGAAGCGCTAGACATTTGGACCATGTGAAAACCAGTGATATTCCAGGTTATAAACTACCTTTTTTATTGGAAAATCTGGGAACGGGGTATTTCGGTGCGTATGAGTGCTGGTATGATCTACAGCATTGTTTCTACGCATTCGGAGCCCACTGATGTGGTGGCGAACGCGGTGGCAACAGATTTGCGGGTAAAACATAGGACTAATTAATGCCTGGGATTTTGGAGCAAACTTGGGCACCGAGAGACTCTGGGCTGTCAGGAGCCGCTAATACGCATCAAACTTGGATTTCTTGAAGAATTAAGAAGTGCACTGGAGAGGTTTGATATGTTCATCTCGTTGGCCAGCATAGCGTGGTATGGGCAAGCCGAATTCATGAGGAGAAGCAATGCGCCAAGTCTGAAATCTGTTCTCATGTATGTTCGCAACATACGTGCCTTTTGCACTTCTACGACTAATGGCCCTCAAGCGAATGGCAATGCAGACACTCGATCCTGTGCGGCAGAGTGTATGAATTTGACGCATGTGGTGTCCAAAAATGTGATTACTTTAGAGCGCATTGAGGGAGAAAACGCTGATATATCAGGCAAATATAGAACATTGGCACGGACGTTGATTAATTCATGCGATGAAATTCTTGCTCCGTTTGTCACATTCGGCTTTCATTTTTACATGAATATTATTGACTGTCTATGCACCTTTTGAAGACTGTTTACAATCTGCCTTCCAATTGTCACTAGCTCTGATCGCTCTTGCCTTCACAGCGCTATCAAATCTCGAAATCACATCCTGAGCAGCCAAAAAGACCGATTCGAGGTCTCTTCTTGGCACCATGCTTCTTGCGCCATTCTCATATAGTACCATTGCAGCACGCGGTCATAAACTTCATTGTTCGATTAGTCCGATGTGCTATGCTTCTGCTATATTTCCGGGGTTCAAGCGACTACTTTCGAATGCTGACGTAAAGGTTGTCACTGTCAGACATGCCGTATTCTCATTCCTGATGGCGGCGGCATCGGGTCGCAACGAAGTGTCTTATCGGGCTTGACACAGCATCAAGCTTTGTTCCTGTTATCCTTTGAACGCAGCCGTCGCATAGTGTCATGAATCTTATTGTTCCGGAAGCATTGTCCTTTGGTTTGTCACACAACAAGGGCATCCAATCAAATTCGTGATGAATGCTAACGTCTTGAAACTATTGCTGTGTGATCGTCAGCCCGAATTGTTTGACAAACGTCTCAGAGACGCTTGAAACAATGATACTGGCCGACAGAAGGGCCTTATTGTGATGTGTAATGAGGTTTTCGAGGATTTGGCTGACGAATTGGATTTTTAGACAGTATAGGGTTCACATTACACTGGAATATCCCATTTTGTTCTGGTGTTCTTATACAACGCTTAATAGGCGGAGAAGGTTCAATTGTGGCATATCACGGATACCGTTTTCTGTCAAACGTTCCAGCGTGGGAGGCTTGTTCACGTGAGCTGAATACACATACTTTGGTGGAAGACGCCTTCTCGGAAGTCACACACAAGAAAACTTCAGAACATTTAGAGTCATTCTCATCTTTGTTTCCATTCACCATCAAGTTCTGCCGTCCATTTCCATCAACCTGACTCATCAACCGTTACTGTTTAACATCACGCTTCTGTGACCATCAATCTCAGCTAATAGCTTTTCTCTCACGCTAGAGTAGACTCAAAATGGCTTCTTTGACAGTCATGTCGAAGAAACGTTCCTATACAGATGAGCTAGGCTCTGATTCAGCACACACCGAGCTGCCCATGAGGAAGAGGCTCCGGCTGTTGGCACACACCTGTAGTAAATTCCCCAATACTAAATCTACCTCCAAAAAATCATCAAAGGGTTCGAAATGTGCCTTTAAGAATGCCTATCGTTCCTTGGAGAGGTGCAAGAAACGATCATTCGGGGACCTGAATCACCCAAATGAAGATATCTCATGCTCCAAGCAGACAGGAAAACGACGTCGTAAGGATGTAGGTACTCCCAAACAGGCCAAAATAAGGTGTCTCAAGCATCCTCGAGGCACTCGATCTTCCTCGACCAATCTAGCGGCTATTCAACAGAGTCATCATGGCATGAAGCCAAGCCCTGAAACAACGTCTAGAACAAAGACCACCCTCCTGTCTTTGCCCACAGAAATGATTCTCGAGGTGTTTGAAGCCACATCCTCGCTATCGGACGCAGAAGCACTGTCAAACTCTTGCAGATCACTCAACACGATTTATCACTCCAAAAAGACGAGTATTCTGCAAACAGTACAAGAGCGCACGACGCTGTGCTATCCTGCTGCTCTTCGCCTCGCTCCGATACTGTATCCGACAGCAACGCCTGAGGAGATCATCCATGTGATCCATGCTAACGCCGAGGAAACTTTGCAGATGGCTGAGGAGGCAGCCTCATACTTCACTGTGAGCCATCGATTCCGGGGCATAGAACGTCTCAGTCGTCCGTTTCGCCCACATGAGCTAGAACGTCTAGTGGAGGCGTGGTACTTCCTGAAGCTCGTGGTCCATTACATGCGATTAAAAATAGAGGCAGTGCATAACCAAGCTGTTGAAAAGGAGAGGGACGATCTCGAGGGCCAGCTCAGAGAAGAATTCCCAGTTCTTGAACCCTTCAAGATGCACGTCATGAAAGACCTTGTACCTTTCATTACGCATCACATGGATCCATATGTCCAAAAGGACTTGGACATAATGGACCCAATCTGGATGTCGCAAAACGAATTGCTCATGGAGGAGTTCGAAATCTCGACGCTAAGAGCCAACGGAGTTTCCTTAGCAAAGTCGGAATGGCTCCTCGCTCAAGGTTCCATAAACGACTTTCATGATAGAATGGGAATCTCCGATGTGGGGATTGAGGGTAATTTTAGGGGTCCTGTGAAGATTGGAGCTGACGAGAATACTGACAACTATGCTGAGTTCAATGAGAACATACCTCCGCCTAGATTCTGCGGCGAGAGCGACGAGGAACGGGAAGGGAAAGCATTATGGGATTGGTGAGAAACTTGGGAGGAGTTGAGATTTGCCTTGGGGGAAGACGGGGAGTGTTTTACGCTGCTAGATGTTTGTTGCATGAAAGCTGACTGTGGTATGAGCGCCTGTTTGAGAGACCTTCGATTTTCCGGAAGCGCTCGTGGTGAAGACTTTTCATAATGTTCTTTTTTGTAAGACAGTCATCGGATGTGGATAGCTTAGGTTTCTGAAATTGTAATGTTGTAAATTCTAAGGCGATGCGCTCCTCCCCTCGTGCATATCGGTGACGAATAAGCATGAGTAGAGCACAATCTGCACTTTGCGGAATATTGAATAATTCAACGAGATCAGAAAATCGATGGCTATGAACCTGACAGGGATGGTTTCTCCAAATAGCAGACAGCTTAGCAAGAAAAAGAAAGCCGTCATTGCGACAGCAGCAGAAGTTGCTTGCCATGAAGATTCTCGAGGCAAATGTGAAAAAAATAAAAAGGAATGATGCAGCAAGCAGGGATGCAGTATGCGTGGCAGAGTTTTGTTGAAAGGAGCAGTTCATCAGCAATGCAGCACGCTAATTGATTTCAGTGTATTGAGGCAACTTGTCCTGAATCTTCACCTCTTCACTGGCAATTGGGAGCATAGGAATTCATGTCTCAATTCTTTGTTGACCAGTAGCATGATAGATTTGGTCAGCCGTAGAGGATCTTATACGGTAGGCGACAAGAATCGCTATTGCAAAACGCATGGCCACATATCAGGATGACTTGTTCCTCCCTTGCGTGGTTGACATACATTCCGGCGATCAATTGGTGTCGACGTTCCTACTAGTCACATGAACAATATGAAGGATTGAGTCTTCCTCTGTGAGCCATGGGTCTTTTCGACCCCTGAGCTAGAAGAGCACTGGACGACAATGTACCACCTCGCGCGCTCTCTATACCTATGGGCAACATCTAAAGAAGGTTCGCTACATGTTCAACTGGCGACTTGGTCGTGAGCTGATTCTAGCCAGAATACTCTATCCTTCTCCTCGGGCTCGACAACGCCGGCAAAACTACACTCCTTACTACAATAAAAACGCTCTATACCTCTGCCCCTCCACCTACCAAGCCCACTGTCCCTACCGTCGGCCAAAATGTCAGCACTATTGACTTGCCTGACATGTACCTCAAGATCTGGGATGTTGGAGGCCAGCAAGCGCTTCGTTCCATGTGGACAAGCTACTACGCCGTCTGCCACGCCATTGTCTTTGTGGTGGATGGATGCGACATAGGAGACGGCGATTATACTGCTGGTGCCAATGATATGAACGGATCAAGGGAGGTGGGAAGATTAGAGGAGTGTAGGAAGACATTGGAATTGGTGCTGAGCAATCCGGCGACGGAGAGGGTACCGTTACTGGTGCTGGCGAACAAGCAGGATAGAGAAGATTGTGTGGAGACGGTGAGAATCAAGGAAGGCCTAGTGCGGAAAGTGTTCGAAGGGGAAAAAGGAGGTGGAGTCAGAGACAGTAGGGTCCTGCCTATCAGCGCTTTGAAGGGAGACGGGGTCCGGGAAGCGGTGGAGTGGGTGAGAACGAGGGTGAAGTGGAACCGAGAGGGCAGAGAACCGATCATGCGGTAGTAGCATGTTGACAGAGGAGCTCGGAAAGTGTCGGTCCAACAATCTTGGCACGCGCTGTCAAAGCTATTGCCCATGGCAAAGAGTCATGTCGATCATACTCGCAGACTTGTCGATTCAAAGGCCATCATTCTCGACCTTTGATATGTACATGAACATCCATCAAGCTGATGCCCTTGACTGTATTTGCACAAACCACCCAAGACGAAGTGCTCGCTAGGAGCGAGTATGGTATCGTGTCCGGGCCTCGCATTTTCCAAGGACCCGGACAATATATGCAGGGGTTGGTCACATCGCTGGTTGGAACTCCACCAAATTATTGAAAGTCCATGTTCAATAGGCAACCTTTGCTTGAAGCCCCTGATTCACAATGGCGCAGCCTTGTTACCATTCTGTCGATGGTCAGCCAGACTAGGTGCAAGACAAGACGAGGTGGGTAGCCGCGCAAATAAGCTGTATTGGGGTATGAAGCCATTTCCTGCGGGATCCCGACGGAAAGTTGCGCAATCGGCAGCGGAGATGGCAAGCGGGGTTGAGATCATTGCTACTGCCTCAGACGGTGAGCTTCTGTGATGTCTCAATAGTTTAGAGGCAGAGATCATGTGCAGATAACAAGTGCACAATGTCCATAGGCCAAGAAAGGTTAATGCGGCGAATAATGGAAGGTTCTCAACGGTCTTATGCACGCTCATCTTCCAATTATTCACAGGATTGCGGCAAGCGTAGTCTCGAATACGATGGACTCGTGGGACGTCTGCAGCTCGCCCGAGGATGACTTGCAGACCCCAAGTATGAGAAGGCGTCCATCCGGTCTGCTACGAGGTACCCAAGTATTTTCATGCAAGGTAGAGAAGGCGGCGCTCATCAAAGATCTTCCCACCATCATGCCCTGGCGAAGGAGAGACAACAATGCAGATCTCTTAGTGCGGGGCAACGAGGCATCTCAAGCTAAGCTAAGCATTCCTCCAGAGCCGGAGCGGGACGCCATTGTTATCCAGCGTTCTTGTGTCTTTCAGAAGCGAGGAAGGAAGATTATTGAGTGCATAGCTTCAGACGGAGGGAAGCTTGGAGCACTTGCAGCAGCGTGATGACGATGTATGAGACATTATGCTTTTCTTTTTCTCCGAGTTATCCAAACCCTGAGGTGGCCGAATATCTTACCTTAGACCAGGCTTGCCAAGAGATACGTCGATCTCACTCCCATATGCCACTTTGGGGAGACGGCAAAAGCATAACTACGTGGCCCTTGCCAGGAGATCTGGGGGACCTCCCTTTTTTCGACCATCCAGAAATTGCATGTTTCGGAGTGTGTGGTAGTAGTGGGGCGGCCTGCATAAACCCTTATACTTAGGTCTGACCGTTCCCTCTGCGGCTCAGCGTCAAGCATTCCGAGAGGTGAGTAGGCTGCTGCTGCAAGAGCTCCCGTCGGACTGCATATCGAGCTGTGAGATCACCAATTGACGTCGAGACAGAGATACAGAGGCATGGATGGGAAATGTAAAAGCAATGGAAGACAATGATAATTAATTCCCCCAGAATGCCAGGACCATGCACTAGATGGGCGAGAACATGGTGCATTTTACGCCCTGCACGCCAGACGACTAGTCGTAGGCGGGAAGTAACCGCTCTGGGCCTGGTCGGGCACTCAACCCACGTATTCCCACCGCCAATCAGCAGTCGCTTAGGGGCAGTGGGTGACTTGGTACAATTCTTTTCTGCTCGCCCCAAAATCCAAGTGCTCACACCCAACTGCCTGCATCAAACCAAGGCCAGTTACCCTATCACCTATCATCCTCATCTCCTGTTTTCTGTCGGTTCTTTATAGCGACTTCTTGTAATTACTTCGCGTCTTTGCTTCGCTCCGGCCTCTCTCAGTCACCCAGCATTCTTCTCGCGGGTGCCGAAACCCTTGCTACGGCTAATTCGTATCGTAATCTGTGCTATCCTCCAGGGGTTGCCAACCAAATTCCTCTCTCCACCTTTCCATCAACCACCTCTCTCCTCCATCCAGCGTTCAGTAGCCTCGACTGGATGCTCCTCATGACAACTGCCTGATTGAATGCAGCTTCGCTGAGAAGGGCATTCGTCTCGCCACGCTGGTCGTTGTTGTCTCCAACTTCTCAGACACTCGGCTGAAGCATACGGTACAGTCGATCTTTCTTCACTCGTTGCAGCCGCAGTGAGCGTCAATTTATTCCCATAATCACCACAACTTCACTTCGGCCTTTGTCTTTGTAGTCAAATTTACCACCAGCCCCATTCCCATCCCTGGTCATACTCTCACAGTACGTCTGGTCCAATCCCCACTCAATCTAAGTTTCCACGGTGGCTTCAACGCCACTGGAGCACACAATCGTTATCAGCCTTACACATCCTAGACATTGTATACTGATGGATGGGTTTTATATCTACAGGCTTCGAAGCTACCTCTCGAACGCCAGTGCCCTCCCCTCATGGTTGGCCGGCAATCCCCAAAATAAAAGAACAAAGAGTAGGACTTTGGGATAGTCAAGAGGCCTCTGGCCCCTCAATATAGTACACATGATGGCTGCTTTGGTGCAGACATTACCTCATCCATCAGCCTCAACGATGACAATGCTGCAGACGCGTCCTTCCTCATCAGAAGCATTTCAACCCGGATCCCACGGAGGACAACAGCATCAAAGAGGCAATCAGGTGCCCATGAACATCTACAACACATCGGTTGGGGGAATGGCAACTGGAAGTTATCGGGGAAATACGGTTTCGTCACCTGTGTCACCCTTCTCGTTCCAGGGTTCCTCCGTGATGCAAGGGGGTCAAAATCCGTTACGACAACACCCCACTTCAATGGCACATCCTCGATATGAGAGTAGATCTGCTTCTACACCTACATTACCCGTCGTGCAGACTCAGAGTGCTGGCACTCCTAGGCCGCGGCCATCGGCTACGAACCCTTCAACTCCTGTAAATTCTACAAACTCGTTTCCTCCTTTGCAGCATAGCGTTTCCACCGATGACTCTGTTCAAAAAGCTACACGATCAGTCGCTCCTCTCGAGCTCAACCTACCGTCTACTCAGCTCACCTCATACGCAAATGTTGCCAAGGCATCGCCCGATCGGTATCGACGGAATCATCGTCGAGCTGAGACTGCTGGTGGCCTAGCGAGCAATACTACTCAAACTTCTGCGGTGCCATCGGGGTCTGGAATGGCTTCGGTCGGTCATCTCTATTCCCAGCCAAATCAAATCAGTGGTCCACCGGCCGTTTCCACATATCCATCGTATCGGGGTGCTCCAGCACAAAATGCACAGCCATCTAGAGAGCTCAATACGAGCTTGCAATCAAGACTTTCCAGTCAGGATGATATGAATGTCCAGCAACGACAGAATCAACCAGACTTAGCAAAAAGGTACAGAAGGCGGAGTATCAGTAGTTTAGAAGCCAAAGAGTACACTTTACCGCAGTCTGAAGCAACTCCTCAGCCAGTGAAGCCAAAGACGTATGCTGCAATGCTCGCTGCTCCAGCACCTGCAGATCGCAAGGAAGCACGCCAGCCAGCGAAACAGGATCGTCCGCCCTCCTCCCACGGACGTAATGATAGTATTGAAAGTGCTAATACCAACACGACTTCTTCGAGCGCCAAGTCATCTTCGGTATGTTGCCGTGTATTTGATTCCAATGGTACACCTAACATAAGTCTAGGCAAAACGAGCTCCTGACTTTCCCTCTGCAGCCTCTACCGCTCAACAAGCTACACCTGTAGCGAAGAATGAAGCCAAGGTCGTCAATGTCCCTGCTAGAGGGTCTTCAGAGGCCAACAAAAGACTCACCAATCCCTCGCCACTATCGAAGCCTCTGTCAATGAGCCCGGAACCTCATGCAAGTAAAGAATTCTCAGTACCTCTTGAGAAGCCAAAACCAGCTCCGATGCCAGTACCAGCATCTTCATCGAGCGGCATGTCTGAAAGCCCGGCGGCTCAACAGCTGGCAGCTTTGAGCAAAAAGGAGGCAAAGAAGGAAGGAAAGTCTTCCCGCCTACGGCGAGCGTTCTCATTTGGCAGTGCTGCTGAATTACGGAAGGCGTCTACTGAAAATAACGCAAATGCAGTGCGGGAAAGGAACAAATTGCAGAAAAGCCAGTTTGCGGACGAGGAAGAAGAGAAACAAGCGGCGATAGCCCAGCAGCAAGAAGCTGCTGGGTTGGGAGAGAGTATCTATTCAGGTCAAGGCCATTTCTTTACTGGATCGACGGACAATCTTTCCATCTCGTCAACTGCTTCTTCGGCCTCCATGATGATCAGAAAGATGGGCAAAGGCGTGAAGAAAGGCTCGAAGAATCTCGTCGGGCTTTTTAGACCAAAGTCGGTGGTTGGTGTACCAGCAGCAGATTCTGCGGTACCTGAGCCGAGCGTTGCACAAGTCTCGATGGTGACAGTTGAGGCTGAAAGAGAAAAGGTCAACGTCAATGTCAGCCCACACGATCAGCCTGGCGGTGGCACGGGTTTTCCAAAGCTAGAGCGGAACTCTATTGAGGCTACGGCCGTGACACAAGAGGCAGCCCATACATTTTCAGATGCAGACACCTTTCACCGTCGCAGTATAGTAGGAGGTGAGAGAGAGCGTGCCGAGGTTTTGGCAGCCGTTAAGAAAGGCATCTTGAAACGTGAGTGCACCGACTCTGTGTTCCTGTTCAAGGACTAACATAATTGGATATAGGCACAGATTCTAGCAATTCAACACAACCAACAAGAATTGTTGATTCTCGACCACCGAACTTTAATCTCCCACAAATCCCCCGAGTTAATGACTCCCCCAACTCCAGTGCTCCCAGCACACCTGTTGACGAGAGACCACGAGGTCATGGCAAGTCTGATTCTGTGCATATTGAGGGAGAGGAGTATTTCCTTTCGATTCAGAATTATGCCAATGGCTCTTCCTCCAGTGTGCCAGGCACACCTGGCAGAGGTATGAAAGGCATCACATTCAGTCCTCGCATAGTGTTTCATGATACCTGGCCCCCTGGGGAGTATGACCGAAGAGGCGAAATCGCTACATGCAACCGGCTCACACCAATGCTGGCACAACAGATCAAAGAAGAGCTGAACTCTTTTAAGATGGTATGATTTCTCTGACAGCTTCATACCCAAGGTCAAGCTAACGAAAGGCAGGAAATGGAAGTTCATATAGAATCCAAGATCAACACCCACTTCTTCTAAGTTACGCACCCATCTCCCAGGCGGCGTCCTGTGCACTGCCCAAACACCCTCTTCCGTATATTTCACGCTTTGACGAACCGAACTTAGCTTTGGAGATAGCGGCCTGGCTTCTCTGCAACGAACATCTACTCAGCAAAACTCACATAATGACGATCACATGGTTTACGAAGCGTGACGGAAGCAGAAACAACACTCTTCATCAGATCATTGCCCGAACATATATCTCTACTGTAATGGCGGCCTCATATCTTGCATTCTAGGTGCGAGATTCAGGGAGGGGTCATCGCACCTGGCTCCAAATTGGTGCTTCGAAGCAGCGGGTAAAAGAATGGCAAATTTTCATTTTCTTCCTTGCAAGCGAACGAGGAGGAGAAACAACGGGGCGGTTTCTTTTTCTTTCCTACACAATTATCTGTATATGAAAGTTCGCAAGTCGGGAGGTTGTTCACCGTGGCAAAAGTGAGCCGCGTGTAGGCTGATTGCAGGGTACGATTTAAGGCTTGGTTTTGCATCTTTTCTTACCTCTACCTTCTGGTTGCTTGTAGGGATGGTAGGCACAAGGCACTAATGTGAATGAAAATATGATATTGAGCGAGACATCTCTTTGGTCCGACCTTGACTTACCTTTGCCTGTCCTGCTCACAAATGCTAGTCGCACAGCGGTCACGCCCTACTATTTGTGGTATCCTCGCCAACGCAATTCGGAGACATTGGAGTCTATGTCAGGTGCAAGAGTTCGCGTGATTTGAAGGTGAGTGTCCCACCTCGTTGGGATTGGTGGGAGCCGCGGATCGCCGTCAGCATACCTGACGGGGCAACCATTTCTTTGTGAACCTGCAGTGCGTCCCTCACGACACTCCATACCAGACCTGAATTGCGACAACCATCTCTCAAAAACGCTGCCACTTCCCTCATGCTTAGCACCTGTCAACATTGCTGCTCTCAGAATGTCTGCTCCAGCATCGAAAGAGGCATCCTCACCATTATCACCACCATTCACCAACGCATCTGACTTCCACCCCACCACGGGCCAATATCGCTTCACTCCTCCAACACCCACCGCGATCCGCTCCCCATGTCCCATTGTGAACTCCCTCGCAAACCACTCCCTCATCCCTCATACAGGCAAAGGCGTGCCCGCCCACCGGCTGTATGAAGCCGTCAAATCCCTCGGCATCTCGCCCCTCCTCGCCTACATGCTCACATATGCGGTCTACCTTCCCGACCCCACCATCACCGTTCCCCCTCCCCCAAGTCTCTGGAGCCGTCTCAACCCCTTCTCACCCTACTTCTTGTGGAACAAAAACCCGCTGGGAGAATTTGGCATGCTGAAGCCCGAACAACTTGAGCAGTTGTACGGCTTTGACTCCCTCGAGAAGGTAGGTAGCAGCTCCGCTAACAACCACCAGGCCCAAACTCCCAATCATGGATCTCGACCAAATTGGCCGCCACGGCGGCGTTGAACACGATGTCTCCCTCTCCCGCCTCGATACCGCACAAGGCGACAACCACACCCGTCAACCAAACCTCGTGAGCCAACTCCTCGCCACTTCTAAAGACGGCTTGAATATCACGCTCGAGGATTGGGCCGGCCTAAGGAAATTGAGACTGCAGCAACAGACAGATGCGAATAAAGAACTGCATTTCACCAAGAGGGAAAACCATTCGGCGGCGGCGGAGATTGCGTTTTTGTTGTCCGTGTTTGGGGATGGGGAGAAAGTGGGGAAGGAGCGGATGGGGGCCATTTTCGGGGAGGAGAGGTTGCCGATAATGGAGGGGTGGAGCGCTGGACGGAAGGGGGTGGGGGTTTTGCAGGTTAATAAGTTGGCGGGGGAGGTGGAGAAGGCTGTGGGGTTTGAGGGGCAGGGGATGGGGAAAGGGTTGGTGCAGGGTGCTATTGGTCATTAATGTGTTTTGAGGGCCAGGAATTGTTGGGGGCATTGCTGACGGGGCTGTTTGTGAGGTGTGGGGATCGAAGAGCGGTGGCTTTGTGGTCAGGGCTTGGGCTGGACATGGGTCGCTGCTTGCTGATTGTTCATATCATTATTTGCAGAGTAAGCGAAATTTCCGCTCATCGAGGACTTGAGGATATCAAACCAGACTTGCCATTGCCATACGACGTAGTCTCTAGCTTTGATCCTCCTGGGCATCGAGGCTAAACTGCTCTACCAGGCTTTGTGTCAGTGATCTTGCTGTGTTGCGGTCTATTGCATCCACAGGTCTGGCAAACACGCAGGTAGAATATGGGGTATTTGGATACCCCTGACATGGTCAAGTAGCTGCAAGAATGCAAGCCTCGATATATCATTGCTCTTCAAAAGACCGCATTTCATTACAGTCATCATACCTCAGGCGTTTGAATGTTGACAGATTTACAGGAAGGCTTATGGCATGCTTCTCAAACGGTAATGGTAATCTGAGGTTTCCTGACAACATGTGAATGTCTAGAGGGAGGTCTCTCCTCGCCAAAGCTATAACAGACCAGACAAACAACGCTTCAATCACAGGTACGAAGGTTGGCATTCTGATGCTGGAATTCCATTATGTTCTCCCCTCACTTGCAATTCTTCATTCCATTAACAAAGCGAGTTTCATTGTACCTCTCCGTAATCAAGACTCGATGAGAATTAGTCCACATAAAACTCTGAACAATGGCTTGTTGTTTTGATGACAATGATTGTCAGAACAAGAGACATTGTTCAATTTAAACACTACTTATAGACGGCTTCTGCAATTTGATGCTTTGGTGATCAGGTTTTCGAATCTCTATACATCTATACATCTATATATATACATCTATATATATATATATATATATATATATATATTACATCCCGTCCTCGCCAATTACTTCCGGAACCTCTAAAATGATTCTCGAACACTCGAACACATTGAAGGCACGAGGCCGAGCAGTCTCCAAATCAGTGCACAAAGGAGTCCACGAAGTTTGTTATGCTTGGGAGGGTAAGCGGTCACCATGGGAAAACCGTCCTTCAACATCGCTCAGGACATCTGAAGTCAAGGCACTAATTCATAGCCTCAGCCTCCCACTCTCCACACCAATGATCGCAACGAAGATAGCTGATCTTGGAAAAACGTTGACGCGTGGGGAGATGTCACTCACGCCGCGTGAGCTATGTGTATCACACACTTGGTTCGAGCCTAAGTATCTACACACAATGGCTGAGCTAATTTCATCAGAGCTCTGGGAGCGATCTGAAGGACTTTACGCCTTCCCCGAGAGCAGTCTGAATGCCGATATTAAGCAGATGCTTTACAAAACTCTTGTGGAATACAAGGCTATCTTCAGAGTCAAGCCCCAGAAGAGCAGCGTTGAATTTATCAAAACGCCAGCTGAAGCTTGGAAAGACGGGAAAAAGGGCTCTAATAGAGCAGACAACTGTCTAGCCTGTGACCTGAGTCGATTCATACGCGACAAGAAGGCTGTGGATGCCATTTGTACCCTTTGCAAAGGTAGAAAGAAGAAGGGCTACACATGGCCTGAACTACTGGCGTTCCTTTCACCAGTGGAGTATGGAAAGAACGAAAATTGGCGTCGAGAGTTCATCAAATCGAGCCGCCATGTCACTCGAATGCGAAGAAAGATCAACGTTTGGAGAGATTGTGGCGGCGACGCTTGGATCAATGATCTTCGGAAAGCACAGGAATGGGACCAAGGTGAGGAGGTCCCTATCGTCTATAGCCTGACCCGTGATTCTGAACTGAGGGATATGGGTTATTCACCACCCTTGAGTGGTGAGACTCTACACAATGCTGCCGAAGACAGTCCAAAGAACGACCCATTCGATGACGAAGGTGAAGAAGTTCCCTTCTCACTTCCACCAAAAACGCCAGCGAAACACGACAATCCTCGCCCACCTTCCTCTCAGCATCATCACTCAACCACATCTAAACATACCAGTGACGCCCGCTCCTCTCGAGCACCGAGCGTGTCTCATAGCAAACACTCCTCTCGCCCCTCCCGCTCCTCGAGCGTATCCCACCACTCCCGCCACCAGCAGGAAGAACTCCTCACACCCAAGGTGTTCGATCCTCATCGTTCATCACACAAATCACACACTTCCAGCCACGCACCCTCCTCGCACCCATCTCGGACAGAAAGCGTCGCTCACAGCAAACACTCCTCCCACTCCTCCCGCCATTCAACATCATCACGAACGTCCCGTGCCTCCAGCGTCTCCCATGCTTCGGGGTATCCGCAACCAGATCTCCTGACGCCTGCGAATTTGCGACGTCATGAATCAACGCTTTTGAGTGAGGTTTCTGGTCATACTATCACACCGCGTCGTGCTGAGCCCAAAGCTCCGATGCGTAAGTCTTGTGCTGCTGAGAGTAAGCGCGAGAGGGCTTCGACTGTTTCGACGTCTGTGGCGTATAGGGCGCTGCATGGGGAGTATGTGTGATATGGAGAGTCTGATATGTAATGTATGGTAGAGTCTGATTTTACTTGTGGAAGTAGCGCTAGGGTTCATGTATAAGGCTAGCACAATAATAGATGATACTATCTTTTTAATCTTGATGACCCCTGTTCCTGCTTTCTTTTCTCTCTCATTTGCTATTTGCTGTTTCTTCTGTCTAACTCACATGCTTCCTATCATCGAAATCTGATTCTACGATCCCTATTGGACATGCTCTTTCACCACCTGCCCCTGTCCCTCCACCTCTCCGTCATCTCCCAGCTCAACAACAGTATAATTCCCCCTTTTTCCCCACCATCCCCATTCCCAGCCTTCCCCGGCACAAACCGCGTAGACAAAAACACCACCTTCGCACCTGTCGGATCCACTACCCCGCCCTTCCCGCGCGGATAGCACGTCTCCATCAGATCCTTGACTGCGCCGAACAGGCTCAGGTATCCGAACTGGTCCGTCGAGCGCTCGCGGCCGGGGATGTTGTCGACGTAGATCTCGCCTGGTGATGTGCGGGGGTTGGGTCAGTTTGGGGGGTTCGGGGGTACGGGTTTGGGGGAAGGGGATAGGAAGGGTGTGAGGGAGGCATGAAAGGGAGGTTGGGGGAATGGGGAAAGGGGAGGGGTAAAAAGAAGGCGGATTCACATCTATTAGGTTCATCCCCTGGATTGACTCTTGTTAATTTGTAGCCTCGTGGTAGGCCGATGGTGCCAGCGTAAGGATCGGTGTCGACCGATTGGCCCCAGATTGGTGGCCAGTCATGTCGGGGGATCGTGGGTGGGTTGATGGAAGTGCGCATTGCATGGACTGTTTGGATGTAGCCCGTGTGTGTGAGCTTGAGGGTTACTTTCTGAGGAATGGGTGGGTAGAATTGGTGAAAATTTTCTGAGGATCTTGGAGGAGGGAGAAGAGGAGTAGTGGGGAGGATGTGAGAGTGAAGATTGACGTACGGACGGCGCTGCAGTCATCGTAGGGCGCGAGAGGGTTAATGAGGCTTTTACATTCGACAGTGAAGGCAAGCGTTAATGGAAGAAGGTAGAGATGAAGGAACATGAGAGAGGTGAATAGTAGCATGGTAGTCAGATTGATGAGGGCAGGGTCAAGATTTTCTTCGTAGCAAAGAGAATTGTGGGGGAGACCATGCGGCTTTGGCAATTCTGCATACAATCTTGTGACATTTGTAGGGAAACGCGAATTGTTCTTCCATCATCTGTCTCTGTTGAATGCTAAATGAGGACGCGGCAATTCGCTTGATATCCCTTAGTAAGATATCATTCGTGTATATGTGCCGACTATATGCGGGGTGCAGCAGGAGTTGCCCTAGCATCGGCGTCGCGCATGTAGAAATCTGCACCTCTTTTACTCGGCGAGCGCTAGATCAGCGTGTAGATGTCCGTATCTCTGTAGAAGGGCAATTTGCTTGCGAGTCCAGATATCATAGATTGCTTTACGCACAATGGTCAGCCGATTATCACGTTCTGATCACCTAGAATCCAGCACTGACCTTTTGACACTCGATTTTGATATCATTTGATGTTTGAATCCAGGCAGTGTTGACTTCGAGGACCGCCGGATGAAGTAGAACAGTAGCAGCAGCATTGGTTCTTTGTCAATCCAGCGTGGAAGACAAAATCATTTGGATATAAATTTTGACTCGACTGCACGTACCCCAGACTCCGATGGAGGTTGGCATGGACTTGCCATTTATATAGCCATTGCACGTTGTTAAACCACCCAGATGCAGCAGTCACATCATTCCTGAGATTTTGGGCGTGCTAGGGAGGATTGACGTTGACGTCGGCAGTTCTTCGCTGAGCTTTCCAGGTACTTTGAGACTGACCACTGCGATCCTTGGTCGATGAGGTGAGGGAGATCATCGACGCCAGCCTCTTCCATCGACCACTATCTGTAAGGATACGAAATATCAACTACGGCTGAGCAAAGGTCTGAACGAGCTTCTTTGTCCTGGCAAATGCCATCGTAGTCTCGAAAGAACAGAATTATTAGCAAAGAGAATAATTGGGCGCTAATCATGCTAGTCGTAGCAAAAATGTAGATATCAATTGGTCAGAGTACCATTGGGAATGAGGGAGTATCAAAGCTCAGCGTACTCTCTAGGAAAAATGGGGAACAGCCTGGAGGCTATGATTCTTCTCCTGTTTCGAGCCAAGCTTTATCCAGTTCTCAGGTAGAGCGACAGTGCTCTCACCTTCCTCACAGGTACATTGCGTCTCTACCTGAGAAGCGAACGGTAGGCCAAGTGAGGCTTTCCCATATCAGAATAGACATGGGCTAGTGTCTTCTATACCGCAAGTTTGCGAACAGACTCGGTCTACATTGTGGATCCTGCAATCATGGCCATGCAGTAGGTCCCAATGACACCGAATACCCTTGATAGTTGTAATGCTGAAATGCTGCGCCACTTTGGAACTCGCGTCAATCAGCGATTTAAGCAGCTCATACGGTGTTGGCGAATCGAATAGGCAGCGTTCAGAATCATGGTCCGGGCTCAAATCGGCAAGCCTGTCATTAACTAGCACTGCATTGAAGACAAGCCTATCATTAGCATTGCTCAATCGAGGTTGATGCAACGCTCAAGTTGCAATTTGCTATTACACCTGGGTTGGATGGCAGCCACGAGGCATACGGGACTCAAATGTGCGACTTAAAGGTTGCATAATGCTGCTGTATGGATTGTCGAAAACGATGTCGAAGTCTTGAGACCTGAACAAGACTCCTGATTGCTCGAGTCTGAACCTAGTAGCAGCACATGCGTTCTATCTCATAATCTGTGCTTAGCCTGGTGTAGCTGACGGTATAAATCATATTGCACGGTTATTCGAATCGACTCACTAGTGATGCTAGCTCTCCATGCACCAGTGAGGCAGCTTATGCCACTCATGTTCAAGCGTAGAGTTGCCGTTGAGCGTACGCACTAGCTTCACTCAAGGCAGCAGCAGGCTTGGCCTATGTGATTGCTGCATTGTAAACAAGATTCAGCAAAGTCCATTGTTGGAACCATTGGTGATATACAGCTTGCATAACTATTTTTATCACTTATGCAAGTCCTCGCAACAAGCTGTGCCGAGCGCCAAGCCACTTGCGCCCCAAGTGCGGAGGCCTTCCGGGTGGCTTAGAACTTGACCTGGGAGTCGGCCGCGTCAGCATCCGCAAGAATTGGTAAGACTGAAACTCTCTGCCTCAGCCAGACCCTGATCCCTCATCACCATCGAAAGAAAGAGGGAAAACATCGATCAAGTCGAAGATATCTGGCCTGGTAGCTGTCGACCTTTTCCCACAACGTATCTATCATTCCTGTCCGGTACGTGGTACTGGGTCGGGTTGCAAGGCACTTCCGCTCGCTGGAAAACGGTCAGTGTCAGGGGAAGGAACAGCAGGGAAGCGAGAACTATCGACTTCGTCAAACAGGCACAACTCTCCTAGTCTCACCACCTACATACTCCGATTACGCGTCTCTCGCATGACTGGGAATATGGCTACTATCAAGTCTGAGGATCTTTCTGCCGGGCCTACCAACTGCGTAGATCCCCTGGACATAGAACAGTACCTCAATCCTGAAACCATCTCATTCTCAACGCCCTCCGTCTCCCCGACCCCTTCGTCGATAAAATCTTCTATTGAGACTACTGCGACGGTCCCACCACAGCCTTTCATGCCACCACCGGCCGAACAGGTGTTCTCTGGTCCGAGCCATCAATACGAGCAGTACCGACAACAGTCGAGTCTGCCTGTTGGTGCCGTTGCCAGTACCTTTGCTCTGAATGAGTCGAGCAACTTCTACGATCAGGATCCATATGACATGATCCCGCCTCATGAGATCTATTATGGCATGAATAGCATGGACGACTACATCGATTTTGGCTCGAACTCAGGAAGAGGAGTGGATATGGACATGGATTTCAACACACCACCATCAAATCTATCCCAGATCAATGATGTCAGCCCAACCGCTGTTGGGGATCATACCTCACCTCAGTCTTCATCTTCCCAACACGTGCGCGCGTGGCCCGGGATGCATCAGCAAGCCGCTCAACAAGCGAAAGCCCAAGCCGAGGCTCAGCAACAACGAGAAGAGCAGTCTAAGCAACAAAGCGTGTCGAACTCTCGTGCTTCTAGCTCCTCTCGCCAGAGCGGCCCTGATCCTCACGTTGAGGAGAGCATCTCACGCCTTCTCAACCGAATGAGACATAGCAGTGTCTCTTCTTCGCAAGCTGATGACCAGCTCGGAAGCAACGGGGATGGACGTACCGGGCGCACGAAGAAGGATGAAGAAGACATGGACGAGGACGAGAGATTGCTGGCAAGTGAGGAAGGAAAAAAGCTCAGCAGCAAGGAGCGCCGACAATTGCGAAACAAGGTTTCTGCTCGAGCTTTTCGATCGCGAAGGAAAGGTATTGAAAGATAAATGATTTTCCATTTTGAGCTCGAGGCTAATCAGAAAATAGAGTACATCGGCCAACTGGAAGAGGAACTGGCTTCAAAGGTCGCCGACGCGGACAGATTTCGGATCAAGAACGAGCAGTTGGTGGCTGAAAATACTCGACTCACGGACCTCACTCGCATGCTGCTCTCATCTCCTCACTTTTCAAACTTCCTAGAAGAGCTCAGCGCCACTGGCGGGGCTATGCCTAGTTTGAGCCAGAGCATCAGCCAGCGCGAATCTCAACAGCGACCACAATCGCAACCGGGACAGCAAATGCCAAAGGATGCTAATCCAAATTCACACCAACATAGCAGTATGCACGTCGGTCTGGCTATGATTCCAGAGGAGCCATATGAATCAACCAACCCGCCTAGCAATGCGTGGGGACCCAGGACAACGGGAGGGTATGACCAACAGGTCTACGCTGTCACCTCACTTCCCGAAGAGCCTCTCATTAGCACCAGCGCGCTTAGCGGCAAGTCAATTATCGAGCCTCTCTCAACTTTCGGCAGCGCCAAAGATGAGCTACCCGAGATCGAAGCAATTCCTGGAAACAAGTTGGTTCAATTCACTTCAGCCCCACAATCCAATGTGACCCACGAGGGTGCTGCAGAAGTTCCCGAGGATGACGGGACACCCGACATTGACGAGTCTGATCCGGTCCTCTCGCTATACGCAGATCACCCTACGCCCTCAGCTCCTCTGCCTATCCCTCAAGAAGATCTTGCGCCCGAAGACAGAATATTCGGGAATTTGCCACTGGAGAAGGGCTTTAGTCGTCTTGAGCTGCTGGTCGGAGAAGAGGAATCCGAAGAAGTACGGAATACTGTTACCATGATAAGGTTCGCAAGATTACGAGCGGTGATGACTACTCTGGGGGCAAGAGTAGATGCACTGACGGGACACCTTTGAGATGCGGCGATGGCGATACGATGCATACATGTGTACTTTAACACAAAGCGTCTAGGTTTATTTTACACATGCTTCTCTCATAGCGAACGATACACTTTTAACAACAAGCCATTCCCCTATCTCCTTCAATTCGTTAATCACTACCCTAAAAGTTCAATATGGGGTCTCTCACGTCAAGGTCTTCACAAGCATATGCAAGCTTGGACAAGGTCTGGATATAGCCTGACCGGAGTATCCATATTGACTTCGCTTCAAAGCAGAGGGCGAGGCATTGGCTAAGCTCGGTCGTGCTGCTTGCATGACGTTCCCTGGGAGCAGTCTTTTGCCATATATGATTCCACTTCGCTGACGTGGTACATCGTTATCGATTCGATCGCGAATAGCTAGCGCCAAGAGGCACAGGTGACAAGTGACAAAGGCCAGCTGCAAGACTAGCGGACAGGAAAGCGGAGGGAAGAGGATCTGCGCGAGCCGTGAAATTACGGATGCTCCATTTAGAAGTGCTTAGCTGGAAGAAGTCTAGATCAATGCTACCCCGTCTCCGGACCTTGCATTTTTACGAATTCTCTTAATGCTGTTCTCACCAAACCAGCCACCCACGCTTTGCCCCCCAACCCCCCCATGCAATGAGGTCCACACCTGCAGCAAATATCCCGACAACCCAGATCTGGGTGGGGAGAGATCGTGACTCGTCGCCACAATGCCGAATGATCGACCTCGTAACGTTCTTACGGTCGCAATTGGGAGAGAACGCCTGCGAGTCTGAGCAGACAGCTGAAATCCAAACCTGCAAAGCGAGAATTACGCTACCAGGTCATCCAACCAAGCCTGCTTTGCTGTTTAGTGTCCACCAAAACGGATGAGTCTATCGCCCATGCGGCCCCCAATCCCAGATCTTCAAGCTCCCACGACCCAATTGCTTGCTTTAATTTCGATTTAGCGCTCTTTTGCTGACTTAGGTTGGTAAGGCCCAATCTGACCAAGTCGCAAGGTTTACGGGTCAACCGTGTCGTCAAATAAATGGCTGCCAGCATGCGGCTTATACGCCGTCACTCTCTTCGTTTTGTGTTTCATGCAGATAGATGTGCAGTCGCTGTGCACAAACCAAGCGTTGGGCTGGCTGTCTTTTTCGAACCTCGCATTCAAGAGGTGGAGGGACCCACGGGTTGCTGCGTCTTCACGTTAACGTGCATAGAAAGCCTGTCTTCTTTCCTGCGGCCGACATTGCGGCTCTTTCTCCTTTTCTGCTGATGAATGGTGGGGGAGAAGACGACATCAACAGGCGATGACAACACTTCCCCGGCGAAAACGATAATCTTCAAAGGGTCAACTAGAACCATCAACCTAATTAATCCTGTGTGGGGAACACCATTGCGTTACGCTGAGCCAGATTCATGGTGGCTGGTATTTGACCGTGAAGATAAGCGCAAACAGCATTCGACAGTTGACATCTGGATCAACGAACCCGTTTGACAGTCAATCGGATTCGCTCCTTCCCAAGGTTGGATTGAGGCTGCGCTGAATCTAACAACAAACAAACACCTCAACCCGCGACAAGCCGCCGACTTGAGCCGCATCGCAAGACATTGGTTGATTTCTAGCGAATTCACCCTGACACTTTGACACTTAGTCGACAATCGCATTGCCACAAGTCTCGAATTGCCCATGTACGAGACCCAGCCCTCGACCTCCGTGACTGTAGCATCGTATGCACATCATGTCTAATTCAACGACACTCATTACTTTCATGCTGTATGTCCCCATTGGTAGAATGCGCCCGCATCTGATTGACAATCCCAGACACACTCATGCAGATGTATATTCAGTCGAGATCTTCGGGTCTTGGGATAATTTCGATAGACCGTACCAACTTTCACGAGACAAGCGCAGTGGAACTGGTCAATGGCGGGGCTGTCACCGTTTCGACAACATCATCTGTGACGGCGACCTCTCAGATCTCTCTCTCAAGCGCGATGGCGCCCTCAAAATGGGTGGTACCTATTGGTATTATGTGCGTAATGTGTCGGCTTTCCCCTCCTTTGTACGTGGCTTACGTATCGCAGTATCGACTCAACGGCGACTTAGATTATCATGACCCCAAAGAGCCATCTACTACCTTGTGTCCATCACTTCCAGGCCAATCGGTCAATGTCTTGGACGTACCGGTACAAAGCACTTCGTCCAGAGTCTGCACTCCAAACGGCTCCTCGACATCATTCCATGAAGCAGTATTCACTCTCGATCCAAAGGATAAGTACGTTCCGTTGGGAGTCAAACGCGCTGCTACCACGTCGGCAATCCAACAGCGAAAGGCGCGCATGCACGAGGAATCTCTCGTTGGACCTGACGATCGGCCAGAAACGGCTTGCTCGACCTACGAAGGGCCTTCTTTGCAAAGACAGCGCTCGCTACAGTCTATCTTCTCCAAATTGAGGAGAACGAAGTCCACAAGTTCAAGTGAGAGAACTACCGCCACATCAAGGACGGGTACTTCATGGTCACGTCGACTCTTCTCTCGGGCGAGTAGATCTCGGAAAGGATACCCTGACGACGAGGTACCAGACATACCAGAGGTCCCTAAAATACCAGACGACGTGCTATGTCTTGCAGCTCAGTCCACTCCAATGGTGGCAAATCAGCATCACCCTCTACCTGTGGAGCATGTGAAGAACCCTCCCATGCAAGCCGTCGATAAATGCGACACATTGGTCACACCGATGGACGGGACTAAGGCGGTCAATAATGCACCTCAATCGCTCGGGTCAGTAAGGCCTAGAAGTGATGCTGAGCCTAGCGAGAGAATTGTATCAGCAGTATATGATCTACTACAACCGCTTGATTCACTGGCTTTAAGTAAGTGTAGTACTTTGGGAGAGCACAGTGAACCATCGGAGCATGACGAGGGTGCCCCACGTGGAAGCGATTACCGGCAAGCGATGACCGTTGATGACGATGCACAAGATAATGTCAAGGAAGCCCAGACCGGGCACACTCTTGGACAGTCGTCGTGCTCGAATCGGTCATCAGCGCATGAAAACGAAGAAAATTCATACGCTGAATCATCATCCTTATCATATACCAATAGCGAATACTTCTCGCCTGGCCTTACCTCCACCAACACTGCTACGTCAAGGCGGATGTCCTCGATCTACCTCTCCCAGCCAGAAACACCTCGGACCTCTGATTTCGATGAAGAAGCTGTGATGTGGGACCGAAACTCGGATCCAAACCTTGGCACAAACTATAAAGAGCATTCGGATTTCAAGTATCCTCAGTATCGCGCGGATCACGCCGAATCCCTAGTACTTACATCCGCAATCTCATCCGAACCAGAAAACGACGACTCGACACCTAGATATCATGGCTTTATACTTCCTGTACATGATTATGCCTCTGCTGTCACTCTGAAGAAGCCATCAAGCCGCCACGACATCAAACAAAGCATCAGTAAGCCAGCTAGCACGCAGCAATTAGTCGAGTCTTGGAACGATGGCGTTGAGCATCGCTTGGTTGGACTTCCTGGACTGGTCGACGACCTTGGTTACCTTGGCGACTGGATCACTTGATGCACAGGCTCGTTTACGCGGACGACGTTTGCGTTCTGCGACAAGAATACTTACATTTGAAGCGCAAAGAGTGGGTGAGACATCCGGATGGTACTTCCGGAACCCTATGTCGGAGAATAACTATTCGATCCTCTCAAACTACACTTACAAGCGACATCGTTCAGTGTTTGCCACCGGACATACGACTCTACATTATGAAAGCTATAGACCACTTTTTTTTACTAGCACTTTTAGCGATATACGACGAAGCGAGGTGTTCTTGGGGCTACGGTACATACAATGCAGGGAATACACATGCTAGCGATACGAAGCCACGAATACTGTAATACTAATTATACCTGGCTCTGACTCCGAAGAGAGCATACTGTAGAATAGATCAGCTATAGGCAACATGCCCATTATACGTAAACATAATTCAAAGTATCATTGAGATCAGCCTCTCCGTACCTTCGCGTGCAATTTGCCTCAGTCCTACTCCGAGCTCCACGATACAGCACAGCTGAGCCCGGACCTTGCCAGTTCACCAGTGGTGGTGGACTTGGTCTTAGCTCTACGTCGAAACGAAATGCATGCAAAGGCCGAAGGAGCCTCACGGACCCGAAACACCATGGCTTGTTGAGGTTCCCACTTATCTTGAAAGATCTGAAGGCATGGGCCCACCCTTATCTCTCACGTTCAATGGCGGTGAAGTGAACAAGGTGGCACTTTGATAACACTGTGGACCAGTGCACTATTTCGTTAAGCCGCAGCAGGCAAACACAAGCTGGGGAAGGACGTTGACAATAGCGGACGGCGAATGACGATCTGCAGTCTTCGAAGCTGCTCAATTGACTTTTAGGAAGTGAATCCGAAGGAGCCGATCACGGCGTTCATATGCTTGGGTTGTGACTGCTAAACAGCGACGGGTATATCATTGGGGGAGCCACAATCTCTTATCTACAGCACCTCGAGGAGGCGCAAGGGCGAAGTGAGAGGCAGGATGTCGACCTCTGTTTGACGATGCTGCCCCGCAAAAGCAGGCACCTGGATCTCAAACCCATATCACTATATCCAGAAATCAAGCCGTGATGGTGTCTGTGCTTAAGTTTCAGTGTCGCGTGCAAAGATGTTCCAAGGTGAGGAGAGAGATCAGTACCAGGCCCTCAGATGCGCGATACCAGAACCCTGTGCCTCCACGCGGTTTCTTTTCGACATCGAGGCAACGGCGAAAACGATAATTCCCTAGTGCTGGATTGGAGCTTCGTGATCTGCAGGAAGCATCGAGAGGACGTGAATCATTGGCCCGAGCGATTGGGTTGACAGTGCCGGTTACGAAGCCGGTGAACTTGCGAAAATGTGCTGTAGCCGTTTGAGGTGGAGATGCTCGTGCTGTGGTGGGTGTGCACCAGCCGTACTGCTACTACTGATTATTATAGTTGTTATTGAATTTCTACGCAATTGTTGCTTCCCTTCCGCTATCGTGGGCTGGTCTGGCAGTAATCTCCCGGTCCATGGTGCGGGCGTCGAGCCTTTTGCCCAAACTCAAGCTCAACCTTGACTTTACTTACTTGTTGCGCCTGTCCGCCTCTTTTCCTTCTTTCTTTCCTACTTTCTTTGCGACGTCCGACCTTCAGAGTTGTGTATGATATAAGGCGGGTTTCCCTTTTTTCGGGGCGGTTACCTCTTTCCTTTTTTTCGGTGACATCTTCTGGTTGCCCTATACCCCGCTATAATTCCATACTCAAGGGTCTAATCAGCTGGAAATGCAACGAGAGTCTCAACATTTGCTGGCACTTCCCCTCCACTCACCCTCACCGCCTTCGAAGAAGACGTGGTAAAGTCTGGTGTACGTCTCCGCGGCCAATCAAAGAACCATTCGCTCGGCATCTCGAGTCCTTACCGGCAGGGAACTCTTATCATCGTGCATTAGTCACCCCTGCCCCTCCACATACGATAAAACGCATATCCTCCTTAGGAACGGACTTTTCGCATCATCCCCAATTATCAGCACTGGACGTTCCCTCGTGAGCTGCCGCATGATCGCGAACAAACTCCGTCTCATCGGGTTGCGCAATGTCAGCAGCCACTACTCAGCCCACTCCATACGCCCCTCAGTACCAGCAAGCTTACACGACTCCACCAAACTCCCAAGGTCATCCGCAATACAATCTCCTTCAGCAGCAGCGACATTACTCGCCGACTGCGTCGCACCCACAAACCCCGTCACCTAATTCGCCCGCCTCACCACAGCCGAGTGCGCCCAGCGCAGAGTCCCTACCACCTCTACTGGCTTCGCGTCCGACGAAGCCCCCGCAGCTCCCTATAGATGGGAAGCCTGCCTACTTGCCAGCGGCGCTCAGACCTACAGACCCCCCGCCCCGTTCCCAACCGCTGACGCCACCACGAAGCGTTCATGGCAGTACAGATAGTCTGGCACCAAAGGGCACAACCAGCCGCCCCGCAAGTCGTCGCTCTACAGCCGATTCATCGCTGAAAAAGACCTTTGGCAATATAGAGCACCTCTCGCATATTCCCTCTGACGACCTCGAGGTAGCCTTGACGAAAACGAGCGACATGCCCGACCCTTCCTCAGCTCCTACCCGCGAGCATTGGAAACCCGATGTCAACGCCTCCATCTGCGACTTCCCAATCTGCCAGAAAAGCTTCGGCCTCTTCGAGCGTCGTCACCATTGCCGACACTGTGGAAATGTCTTCTGTAACCAACATTCTGCCGAGCGTATACCTCTTGATCAAGATGCGGAGTTTCACCCGAAGGCCTCACTGGTGAGGTCGTGCGAGCATTGCGCAAAGCTTTTTGTGGGATGGGTCGAGCAGAGGGTGGAAGACTTGAAGTCTCCGGACGCTGCTACACCGAGGAGGACCAGTCCCATGGCATTGGCAGCAAGAGCTTCCCAGCAGAACCAGGCGGACGTTCACAGGGGCACCATTATCTCGGGCAGTGTGGGCGGAGATTGGAGTACTTTTTGAAAGAGCAGGTTTTGAGAGCTACACTTCGTCTACACCTCCATGAAGACGGGGAATACACAACGCCATCGTGGTCGAACTTGTCGACCATTTGCGCATTTGATACAGACATGGCGTGATTACCCAGAGGTCCATGAACCAATATTTGTACCACAATACCTTCAACATGATGTCAACTTGCTACAACACCGTATGCCAGCTCAACAACCAAACCACTATTCACACCACGATTTGCTACAACTTTCCCAACCATTGACGATTTATAGAAGTACCATCCTCGGTCAACTTTCGATTTTCCTCCTTATATTTGCATTCGCATCATGCATAGTGATACCCAATTTTGCCAACGACTATTTTCGACCCTCGATCCAGATTCGACCACAGTCACGACATGATATAGAGGGAACTTGATTAGGCGCAAAGAAGGCGTCGATACCGGGATCGGCAGGGTTTTTTTCGGCATTAGAACAGTTGCTTTTTCTCCACATTGCTCATGGAGTTTTTGAGAGCGGGGAGAGCTTGATGAGGGGAGAATGAGCCACGAAGGAATTACGATTCGGATGGGGTGATTTGTATCTAGCAGGCTGATTGAAGAGACGTGCGATGTAGCTGTGGCTATTGCAATGAAGAGCTTCAGAGATATGTGCTCACAGATTCTTCTGTCCTTTTCTACATGCTGTTTTCAGAAGACGAAGTAATATATGGCCATCAGCGCCGCCTTTCTTCGGACCAGATAAGTACATTCTGTCATGAGGGACCGATCCAATCGTTAACAAGCTCCTAGGTGAGGCTGAAACTCTTTCGACCCAGTCCCAATCAGGAAACTAAAATTGCGGAACATTTGCTTCAGCGTATATTAATTCTCCGTTTCTCTGTTGCTCCATCCGCTTTCCAGTTCTTTATTTCCTATATTTCCGATTTATCAAAACAGACGATTGCACTACCCACCCCCTATTATCATGTCGCAACAGGTTCTTTTTGATATCTCCAATGCGCCTCCCAGAGCTGTGGGTCAGGCCAGGCGACACCACAATGGACGCAAGCGAAAAGCAAACGTTAGCGCTCGACGAAGCACGAAATACCGTTCAAACCGCATTGTAGACCGTTCGGACCTTGTTATTCACCAAGTAAATGAGATGAGCCGTCGGGATACATCGGTTCCGGAAGGCATACCAAGTAAATCCACCCAACTCAAGGAGCATACTTCACAAATGTCGTTACCTACTAAGGAATTGTTTGACTTCGACTATTCCGCACAGTGCGAAACGACCGTAACGACGTCTATACGATCCAAATGGCTTGAAAGTCGTCATTTCATGAAAAGCCAAAGAGTTTTCCTTAGTCTCAAGCATAGTACAAGCACATTAAATTGGCGGGCTATTCACCACATTTTGTTTCCCAATTTTGAATGTCAGATGACCGGTAAGATATGGAAGCTTGATGTCGCTGAGATGTGCTCACAGGAAATTTGCAGATAGCTTCCTAGGTGGCCTTACAGGGTATGAACCATATCTGACGACCTACGAAATATATCAAATCAATAAATTTCGCATCGTAAATCATGAAAATTTACGACGTCAGCTCCACAGATTGGTAGTCGAGGTCTCTCCCTTACATCAGCCTTCATCGCTGCGTGACAACCAGAACTACTGTCTTCATAGGCTTGTGAACACATTCAGCACCGTATCTTCATTTGACCCCATCTTCTTCAAGTTCCCGGATCGAATCGGTGGACACAATCCTCAATCTTCTCTTAAGTCTGGGTCAACCTTCACCTTTCGGAAGTGGATGCACGACAGGACTACCGATGGGTCGGTAATATCAAACGAGGATTACAGACAGCAGGTGAAGGCTACGCAGGCTCTCAAGAACGCTAAGAATGCTCGTACTGAATATTAGCGCCTTTGACCCTGCTCCAAGAACTTTCTCGTTGCTACGTGATCGCTATGACTCAAGTCGGTCAGACCTGGTCGGGTCGCCTTCAAATTGGTCAATTGCAAGGGGAAGAGTACGAGGCCATCTTCTCAACATTTGGGCTTCCGATTGATTGATTTTGTCTTATTTATAGACGCTCAAAGGTTCCTAAGCGATACTATGTGACAGCATCGATACATCGAGGAGGGTGTCTAGGCGGCCATCGAAACTCACCCCAAATTGCACAAGAGCCTGGCGACACAAACGCACTACTAAACAATACAGCGGCACGGCTCATTCTGTGCCCTTTGCATCGATCGCACTCGTCATCGTCCAGATTATCTCAATCTTTCGATGTTGGATTCTTATTGGCTCACAGAATGAGGCTGACGCTAGAACGAATCTGGAATCCAAGCGACATCTTCGTGGCCTTACGTGATCCGCGAATTGAAAGTTATAAATAGGAACTTCTTCCACACGAGTCTCCATGCATTTCATTATATCTACTCTTACTAGTTTTGAATCAATGATCAACATCAGCCCTTAGAAACTCAAGGCTTCAGATCACATGGCCAACTCCGTACTGGCAAGTCTCCTTCCACATCAGATCCAGTGACTTCCTCATCAACTGTCATTCTACTAACACATGCTCTATTTTTCTCGAAGATGTTTCAAAAAATTGTCTTTGGGCTCGCTCAAGCGTCAGCAAGGTCCAAAGGCCAAGCTCTGCGCTACAATCAGCCTGACCGATCAGAGGAGGAAAAAAAAGAGCATAGTAAATCTCTTCGCCGCCAAAGGTCGAAACACCACTTACACAGTGCCACGCATTCTTTCGCCTCAATCGACGACATTTCTAAAGAGTTTGACATCGATGGCAGTCACGATCATTCTCTCAATGCTACAGCAGGCTGTCACTTTGAGGAAACCTTTGAGGACATCAAGATATTTCTAGATGAGGGTATACAAGACACGCCAATTGCAATTCATAGGGGTGACTCGGAACCAAACATAGATAGCTACGTTCATGTCAACAACAGCATGGATTTGGATTCAGACCTCTATGCCGACGAGATGACTGCACAGCCAAGGGGGCTGCACCAGCTCACAGCTGAAGATGCTACGCTCCAGCGAGTACTGATCGCGCTAAACTTGAGTATTGAATCACGCCCTTGGGGGTACATATACTCTTATCTCTTCTTCCGTGGTCGTCCATGTGATGAGTGTGAGTACCCTTCCTTTCGTTGAACAAGAGGATTTCACTGATGCTGCAAAGTCGCTATGATAGGTGCGGGGTCTGACATGCCACCCAATATACGAGAGCTCACTGCCCAATTCCGCTCAACTGTCAAGGCAAATCCCAGAATCTCCAGTTCGCCAGCCGAATTGGCAAATTTCGACTGGCAACTCCGAAGCCTTTGGGCTACAGCAAGAGACCTCTATTACGGTGAATCATCCAGTAATTATGTCCCTACTCACATCCCGCATGTAGATTCGGGATTCTCAAAGTTGGCTGAATATATCGCTCAGCTTCAGTACGGCTCCCCAACGTTATACTCTCATTGTAATTACTGTGTGAAATCCCTCTTTCCCCCAAATGTATCTTGGGAGGAGGGCTTGGTGGAGCTGCAAGATCCATACGGCATTAATTCAGGGCATACAGGGTCTCGTTTCACTTTCAGTAAATGGCTGCGAGATATGAGCACAAATGGATCAATTATGAGTGAAGGAACGGGATGAAGAGGACAATGTGACAAGGCCTACGACTGTCAAGCGCCGCTCTGCAGTAGCTAAGAAACGAATACCATTCTCAATACGCCAACCACCAACCACAAGTACACTTGACTGTAGCCCAATAGACATGAGAGTTTTGAAGCATTCAAGGCTTTTGTTAGATGAGGCAATCGCCGGAACCCTGAGGATGAACATGGAGTACGATTGACGTGTGATAGGCAAATAGGCGCCTCCAATGGAACAAGTTTATCGAGCAACACATTCTTAGCCCATTCAAGGTCCCACGGTCTGGCACTATATTTATCAATTGGTTTCCTAAAAGGGTTATCTCACGTCAGTCATCAAACTTCGCCCCTGAACTAGCGCGCATTAGCGACTCTTGACTCTGCTGCAGCGACTATACTACAATAAGAAACCAATTTGAAGTACAGTGGCTATAAGTCATGGCATTATGGGGACTTGAGTACCTGTCCTTCCTTTCTGATCAGAAGTATCCTACCTGGAATTACGATTCTCTACGACACTCATCTTGCCATATACCCCTTTCAAGGTCTCTGCACACCTCAACTGTTCAGGTCTACAGGCGATTGTAAATCATCCCGAGAATGTCTTCTTCATTGCCCTGTCGCCCCCTGCCAATAAGCTCCACGACGGTTTCGAGCACTCAAGGCGAAGAACCACGCCGCATCCGCATTGCCAAAGCGCTCTGTCCGCCGGGTCTGCAATGGATAACCGTATACAAGACCTTGTTCCTTCATGATCCCGTCGAACATGGTTGTCAATACTTCGATTGCTCCTACGAAATCCCAATTGCTAATGCAGTTAGCTGGAGATGACTTGCCCACGTCGACTTCAACCTTACCCACGAATATCAAGCAGCTCATCAAGGATTTCAAGTCGAAGCATCCCGACACTAACGAATTCCTACACCGCTTGGGATGTCTACGCTTCCTTGCAGTTCGGGACCTCTTACCGCCTGCTGAGCAGGCACTGATCGATAGCCTCGATGCCAATGGACTCGAGCTCGCTGAATACCTTCACGGGCTCTCCTTATTTCGTATGAGCGCTCCTCCCGAGCGTGCTGACGAAGAGATTGAAGGTCGGAGTCATCACCATGACCACTTGGACTTGAAGTACTGGCGTAAGGCCGAGAAGGCTCGCCTTCGCGCAGAGCGCCTTTCGGGTACGGTCCAAGAGGCAGGCTCGCATGAGGATTCTATGCATGCTTTCAAGAAATGGCTTGCATAGATGACCAAGGATCGGCCGATGACATCTGACTCGGTTGAGGGTAAAGCGAGGAAGGCATTAGGATGGAGGTGCCGAAGCCCTGAGCCCACTCTCGGTGATAGAGTAAGGCAGCTGATTATGACAGCGAACGCGTGGAGGGCAGTAATTCAGGGACTTCATGGTTATTGACTTCCTATTTGAGTAGCCGAAGATGTTTACATTGCTCGTCAGGCGCTATCCCAGCGTCTGGATCAATCTTACAATGGTATTGCCATGAAATCCTTGGTTTCCAGATTTGGAAAGCAAATCATTTCCAGGTTAGGTAAGGCAGATCAAAGGCTGGTGTGGGTACACCTGGCGGCCTGCAAGCGAAGATTGTTAGCGGGATCTAGGGCGCCTTCAGCTCCAGCTCCCGCATCGACGATGTGCGTGAGTCTAAGCTGCTAAGGGTAAGCAATTCATACAACATCACCGGTGCCAATGCAAAGCATTGATTACTTGTTCTGGTAACCTATTGCCGGATTGCTTTCGGGCTACGAACTCAATCTTGTCTCCTGCTGGTGTCCACTTCTTCTCAGGTGGTCAAAACCGCCTCATTGGACACCACATATAGGCTGCCCGATCCCGCCCAATTCTCTGTAGGTCCTTACAGTTCCCAGACCAGTGATGAACTCCTAATTTTACGGCTCTTGACCTTCCAGAGCCTCAAAGTGTCATCGCCATGTCCCAACAAGTATTCGCTATGCCGTCGGCTTCGGCTAGATCGAAGGGTCAAGCCTTGAGGTTTTTGAACCCTCAGAAAGCAAGTAGCCGGCGTAGAGATCGTAAAGATCTTTGGCGTCAGAAGCAGCGACAGCCTTCCGCGACATCAATAGGCAACTTTGATTCAAATAGGACAATAGAGGCGCAATCCGATTTGTCAAAGGCGGACTCTTTAGTTGATGACAGACCGACTCATGCGGGCGACGATCACGAACTACTTTCATGTCAAGTCCAAACGTCCGAGTGCGAATCGAAAATCACGGATTGTCTACAACAATGGTTAGACGATGACGCGTACTGGGAGGGGCTCTCGGATGCGGAGAGGGTGTCTCAAAAACATTCAATAGCCCACAGGATGTCAGATGACTATTTGTGTTATCGTTCTGCGTATGAGATGCTTTTTCTTGAAGCACCGCCCCCTAATTTAGGTATGAAAGTCAATTTTTCGAAACTCAATTTAGCTAACTTCTTACTGACTCCGTTTCGATGTTCAACGGCACGGCAGATGTACCGGCTCCTTTGAGCGACATGATCCAAAATATGATACTCGAGTACAAAGAGACATCACGTTGGACAACTCTTATAGCCCGAATATCCTATAACTCTGGGCGGAGAGATTCCTGGAAGACATTTTTGTGGGAAGACTCCTTCGAGTACATGTCCCAGAACATTCTCCGACTGCGCGATCCAAGTTACCGAACGCAGTATAAATTGAAATCACATGAAATAAGCATATACGACAATGTCCATTTTCGGCTAAACGCTAGACTGATCTATAATCACGCTTCATTCAAGGACTACAGCATAGCATGTGAAATGTTTACTGCATTCACAGCATGGCTGCAAGGTAGACTTGGAGAATACAAAAAAGATCTAGAAGAACTAGAAGGGGAGCTCGACTTAGGATTGGAGCTATGCCAGGATGCTCTCAGGGGATCGGACACTCAACATGTGTGACTGGGCTGGCAATTAAAAGATATCAGATGGAAACTGAGTCACTGAAACCACAGCCAAAATACTTGCAAGCGTCACACACTCAGAAAATCAATAGACTTAGCGATGAATTTAAGACATGATCGAAGAAAAGTACTGAAGCGCAAATCCTGTGCCTACCTTCTGCTGCTTTCCGAGTCTTGTGTGTTCAACTACCATGCCAGCCGAATGCACTCCCCATCTGCTCTGAGTCTAGTAGATTGTCTCGATTCGATATTTTCGTTATTGGCCATGTAAACCCAAGCCTTATGTCGCAACGCCCTTGGCCTTCGTGGATATCTTCATTTCCTAAGTTGAAATTTGGTATTGATATTGCATGAAGGAAGCTGATGGTATAAACTCCAGGAGTTCATTTGGGCGGGACCTGAAAGAGGGCAAGTGTAGGCGGCGTTTCTTGGCGTGTGACTCGGCAAGTCTGCGGGTGGACTCGGCCGTCAAGGGCTGTTCTGCTTCACCTCAATCTTCCTGGTGGCAACGCATTGGTGTCCAAGTCCAGCTGCTGCGTCACCAGGTATGTGAAGACAATGCTGTGACGGTCTGGCATGAACGTCAGCCAAACGTGGAGTGATCGAGGACTTAGCGCCTTGAAGTGCATATCTGCAGCATGCTCTGAACAGACTAGCTAGCATAACCCCGCATATACCATTCCATGCCTTCCCAGTTGTGACGTGTGCTCCTTTTGACGTGTGTATCCAACATGACGACCACAGAGCTGAATTTGATAGCGCCCCTCGAAACACCTCTGCCTGCTCCTCGCGAGGGAGAGGTGCTCACTGACGCCCAGTGGACTACTTTGTTGGCCATTGCAGATACCATTGTCCCGTCAATTGAAGTCTCCTCGGAGAAATCAAGTCACAACCTGACTCTGACATCCTCTGCTTGGACTGAGTCTGCTCAAAACATCAAAGATCGCCTTCCGGCAGACGCGAATGCAAAGACGACGGATATCTACTTTCGAGAACAAGCCAGCAGCACCCAGGGATTTCAGGCACTGCTTCAGAGGATTCTGAACGAATACTTACGTGAAGATGCGAAGAAAGGCATTCGGGTCCTCCTATCGGCACTCAAGTAAGCTCGAACTACCTGCACAATAGCATGAGAAGAGGCTAACCCTCGCTAGTACAAGAGCAGGATGCCTTCTTATGACTGGCTCCACTACCTCCTTTCATCTTCAGCCAGTCAATGTACGTCAGCAAGTTCTGCAGAATTGGCCTCACTCATACTTGTCGCCCTTACGAGATGGTGCCAAAGCATTCATCGGGATTATCCTTGTCACATGGACTCGGACAAGCCCAACCCTTAGTCAGGTGCTTGGCTTCCCTCGAGCCCCAGTACATGGCAAGCCGGGTCATGGTCATCAATACAGCTTCATACAATTTCCGCAAAGCGACGAATATGAAACGTTAGAGACAGACGTCGTGATTGTGGGAAGTGGATGTGGAGGCGGCGTTGCTGCGAAAAATTTGGCAGAAGCAGGGCACAAGGTCATCGTGTGTGAAAAGGCATATCACTGGGGTCCAGAGCATTTGCCGATGTCACAACAAGACTCTATGGTTCATCTGTTTCAGAATGCTGGCATGATATCCTCTGATGATGGGAGTGTCACATGCATAGCAGGCGGAGCGTTTGGAGGTGGAGGTACTGTCAATTGGTCAGCCTCTTTGCAGACACAAGCATTTGTACGAAAAGAGTGGGCTGAAGCCGGACTGCCGATGTTTACGTCGGGCCAATATCAAACGTCTCTGGACCGCATCTGCGAGCGGATGGGCGTCTCCACAAAGTTTGTTGAGCATAATGTCAACAATAAAGTGCTCAGCGAGGGTGCGAGAAAGCTTGGATATGCATATCATGATGTACCGCAAAATACAGGGGGCAAGCAACATTATTGTGGATACTGCACTATGGGCTGTGGAGCGGCAGAGAAGCAAGGCCCTGTAGTCTCCTTCCTTCCGGACGCCGAACGTGCGGGTGCACAATTCATCGAGGGGTTCGCGACCCAAAAGATCCTCTTTGGGAGCGTCAACGGTAAGAAGACCGCGATTGGCGTCGAGGGCACCTGGATCTCGCGAGATAGCAATGGTGGCGTCAGCGGCAACGACCGTACAACTCGCCGTGTTGTGATCAAGGCGAAGCGTGTGATCATCTCTGGAGGAACTATGCAAAGCCCCCTTCTACTGCTGCGTTCCGGCCTCACCAATCCACATATCGGGCGCAACTTCCACCTACATCCTGTCACCTTCGTCAATTCCTATCACCCGGATCGACCCCGCTTCGATCCATGGGAAGGCGGTATCCTCACCACGGTCGTCGACGAGTTTCAAAACCTCGATGGCAAGGGTCACGGCACTAAGATCGAATGCATGACTATGCTCCCATCCTGGGTTCTCCCCTTCCAGACCTGGCGGGGCGGGCTCGATTACAAAGACATGTGTACGAAATTACCATGGATCACCTGCCACCTCTCGCTGGTCCGGGACCGCGACTCTGGCCGTGTTTACCCGGATCCCGTCTCTGGAGACCCAAGATTCGTATACACCCCCAGCGCATTCGACAGGAAACACATGCTTGAGGGCATCATCGCAGGTGCTAAGATCGCTTACGTCGAAGGTGCGAAGGAGATCTGGCTTTGCCATGCAAATATGCCCGTCTTCGTTCGCCCCCCAACCGCCGACGATGAAGACAGCGAAGGCGTCAACAACCCCGCTTTCCAGGCCTGGCTCGACCAGTTGAAGAAAGTCGGCCTGCCAGTCGGTAGCACGGCATTTGGGACTGCTCATCAGATGGGCACTTGCCGAATGGCTGCCAGTCCAAAGGACGGGGTCGTGGACCCGACGGGTAGAGTTTGGGGAACCGAGGGCTTGTATGTGGCTGATGCGAGTGTGCTACCTAGTGCTAGTGGAGTCAATCCTATGGTTACTACCATGGCGCTTAGTGATTGGATTAGTAGGGGTGTGGCGAGGGAGATGAGACAGGAGAGGGAGGAGATTGGGGAGGAGAGGGCAAAATTGTGATGTCTGATATCCAAAGGATGATTATGAAAAATAGCAACCTCTGTATGTATTATGAATGTGTACAACACGCAAACATATCTGGTAAGGGATGGGTGTACTGAATTTGTCATTGATAGTCATTGCCACTTGTTCTGACATGACTATCATAGGAAAGCTCAGGCCTCGAAAATCTTCTTGGTGAACCCGTATCGCCATTCCAGGGCTGGCCATCATTTATGCCCTACGAGTAAACCATTCCACTTAGGGCTGATCCACGGGCGCTCCCGCAGCCTCGTCGCTAGGCCTGCCTCGCCCCTGGAAGAGCATTCTTCCTCCTCTCGTCTTCCCCTATGATCATTGACGGAGCAGGGAGTTGGAATCTTTTATTGTTTAGCTATTACGAAAATATCGCACAAGGAGATGAGGGAGTCCGTCTGGACGAGCGTAGTAGCCATAAAGGGTCATTTGCATGATTGTCTGCATTATTTTCCACTGTTCACGCTAGAAGCCTCAACGCTTGATGATGTGTGCAAACATCGACGCATATTTGATAGTCCCTTATATGTCAGACTCGCTTCTGTGGCAACCTAAGATGCGCCAAAAGCGGAAAGCGTGATTACCACAAATGGGTTATTGCAACAGTAGCAGGCCTCCCGACATTCCAGGGCGAAAATGAATCTAGTTTGTCTGAGCGTGATTCTTTCAAACTGTTGCGCGACGATTCTGTTACTGTGTATCCGCAAAAACGCATGTTTTGGTGAGATGCGAGCCTTTCCTTGAAAGGATGATTTCTCTAAAGAGATCCAAGAATGTTCTTTGTTACTTTTTTTGTTGCGTTGCTCCTCAAGATTACGCATTGTGAGCCTTGGGTTTTGCCTCGCTAGTAATTGGGACCCTCGCAGCCTCAACAGCTTCTCATTTCCGGAAACACTTACCGCCATATCTACTGGAAAGGCTTTGACAATACTCCTACTTCCGGCAAACATAACTTGTGGGCCACGTTTGCCGACTAATTGGGCTACGTAACTCTCGCCATCGTCCAAGCCCCTATCAAGTCGAGCTCTACCACGATCTGATTCAACAGCTTCGCAGCACCACTATCAAGTGCCTCTCCAATGGCTGACCAAAAGTCATCTGGGTCGGCCATTCCTAGGACTTAATCCTCGGCACGAAAGTGAATGCCAATCACCCTAGCGACGCTGAATACTTTGTCCAACCCGATCTTGCCGTTCTTCTGCCTAATCAAAACGCTTTATCTGGTGGACCCGAAGACAAGTACGTACTAGCAACCTCTTACGATCCGATTCGCTTCCCGCCTGTGCCATACACGCCAGGGTATCTGGTCGCCTCTAGTGAAGCCGGCCAATAATCCAGATCCATGATACGGGCCTGGCGGGATTTTGAAGTCTCATGCATTTCTAGCACAGCAGAATCTGTAACGTGATCTGTCGTCGGTTTGGGTGAGATTGGGCTTCTCTTATAATGTATTCTCTAGAATGAGACACTTTAAGCTTACGAACCCTACCAAAAAGACTAGTTTAAGTAATTCTGACTGTTGCAGTAGGCAACATCATACTGTGATCAGTGCGATAGAGACGTATTAGGAGAGAGTGGTTAGGTTTTAAAGCCATCAGGGAGGCTTGTCCCCGGCTGATTAAATCAATCAAAGTGAATCCATCACGCTATGCGGCCCGTCGCTATGCTATCATTGATACTCCGATGCCCTTTCCGTGCCTACTAAATTGGGTCATCTGCCTCCTCTCCACTCTCCTCACCCCCAAGATGCCTCCTGTAAACTCGCGGACGAGGTCATCTCCCGTATTCTCCTACACCAACGCTCTGAACACGCCGTCTCACCCCTCTCACCCCTTTGCATCCGCCACCAATTGATCAATGATCCGTTCCGCCAACATTTCGTTCCCCTCTGCCTCACAATATGCTGTCAGCGCCGCGATGGGCGCGATCCCGTGATCGGCGTGCTTAATAACTAGCCGCGTTGCTACTGCCGCAGCGAGACCGAGATCACAACTGATCAGGTAGGTCAATGACCCTTCTGGTGATGACTGGAGAGCATCCAGCGCCGCTCTCCACACCTTTGCGGCGGTCTCCTCGTCCTTGGCGCTTGTCGCTGGCTCGGCGGATTGACTGGCCGCCTTGAAGGTGGCAATTGCTAGAATTATCCGTTAGAGAGCTGATTTGAAGCACCTACAGAAAAGACTTACGGTGGCGGATCTTCTCCGTGCGCTCTCGCAACTGGAGGCGAAGTTTCTTGACGGAAGGGCGGAGCGAGGGAAGCGGCATTGCTGCTTGCTGGTTCCTGGGTGCCTTGGTTGCTGGTCTTGGTTGCTGTTTGCTGTGGCGTCGGAGAGAGATGGATTGTCTGGCTCTCTGGCGTCTTTTGTGATGCGTTCTTGTCGTTCTTTGATTGTAGGAAAGCTGGTAACTTGCTCTAGAACAACGGGGAAGCACAGACGAAGACACTGCAATGCTGGTTTTATCAGGAACCGAGACGATTGCAAAGATCACCCAACTTTGTGCGCGACTAACAAGCGACCTCGACGACACAGCAAGGCGAGGCAAGCATTCACCCATATCCTGGGCTTGGCATGGGTAACGGGGAAAGAGACAGGGAAGGCACACACGTGCGCTGGTATCGCCCGCGATACCGCAGCAAAACGAGCACGAACAGTCGGAGTCAATAGCTGAGTACATGCTGGGTAGCCCCAGCACCTCGCTGACGTTCGAGGGATCGTGCAAACTCACTGACATAGATGTCAGGAGCAATCGTCGTTGTGCCTTCCCCAAGCGGTCGATCCTTCCCGTCTCGCGGCGGGTAAACTAGCCGCCACCAGTCTGGTCAGCCTTATTCCAATCCTTAGTAAGGGGCTCCGGCTAGCTCATTGCTGTTCAGCACTTACCTATATATATTTAGTATGATAATGGTCTGTCGTTGAAATGGCGTACACCGTCCTCCGTCGGACGCCCTCTCCGGAAGTCTACATTCACCTCCGCACAGTCTGCCTCTCACCGAAGACAGTAGAAGCTGCAACGAAAGGCCTCGCAAACTCCCTGTTCTCGGTCCAGATCCTCAAATCGGAAGACTCCCTCTCCTCCTCGAATCCAGACTTCCCAAAGGAAGAAGATGTGGTGGCAATGGGTCGAGTCACAGGCGATGGTGGTTGCTTCTTCGAGGTCGTGGACATCTGTGTCCTACCAGAACATCGAGGCAAGGGACTCGGCAAGCTCGTCATAAAAGAGATCAAGGAATGGCTCGATGAGAATGTGCCAAAGAGCGGTTTTGTCAGTCTGTTTGCTGACTATGATGCTCATAAGCTCTACTCTCAATTTGGTTTCAAGCCGTACACAATTGGCACCGGAATGATGATTCAATACTGAGCGGACACCTTTGTACGTGAACAAGAGCATTGGTACAGACATAGGCCATTGCTGAGTCTCCTACACTGGACGTTTTGAGAGGCCTATCCTCGTCGCTATCCGCTTCCTAACCCAACGGAAGGTGTACTGAAAGTCTGGTTTTGACATGGGCGTGAGATGTGTGATGAGAGAACCAATTGGTACAATTAAATGATCGTTATCGAAATCACCCGAGGATGTCGCAAAATTTATGACAGCAATGTGATTGGGTGTCTTTTGAGTTGATTCGCCCTTGCTGTCTGGTCTCATGGTGAGTAATCGCGAATGTGGAAGTCTATATCTTTGTCTGGTGCTTGCGCTCTGGGCACTGTATCTCCCTTGTCATAACGAAGCTTTGCAACCTTTACACTTGGGCCAGTTTTCACACTCAGGTAGAGGTCAAAGTACAGTAAGCCATGCACACGAACGTGAGTCTTGATGTTGTCGATGGGACTCAAGCTCATGAAAGTGAGTTACTTCCGTGCTACAATAATGAGATGTTGCTTGTGAGACTGCTGGCAAATGCTTGACTTTGTCACGGAGACGTGTTCGACCAGCATGAAACTCTTCCAATCTCCATCGATTTATACTCAGCGAAACTTATACGTGAAGACAACTTGCGGTGCTCATTGGCTTGCCTTTTCTTCAAATGGAAGTATAACATAATCAGGGTCGTCCTCACGTCTGGATGTTCGAATCAACAGCTCAGGAGACTGTGGGAATTCCACTGGCTAGTTTATCACAGCCTGATCACCGATCACAAAAAGGACTGTCAACGAAGATCTGCGTCTCGTTTGTTTCTGTGCTTCGCAGAATGCTGCATTCGTTCTGCTTGTGGAAGAGGTAGGACTGAGGGATGATGTCGTTATCTGCACCAAGAAGACGTTCGAGCTAAATGTACTTCTCCATCTCTTTTTGAATCAAGTTTGATCCAGCGGGACCGTCGGCTCTATCGCTCTCTAGCGTAGGCTGTGATCGACGTCTCGCCTTTGTGCGGTAGTCCTTGGCGATGATCGGTCGGACTTGCCAGAGGCGGCTCAGTCGTAGACAAAGGGAAATCATTAGCGACGTAGCACAATGACTACAATGAAGCAGAGCCAGAACAACGTTCGTAATTATTTCCTCTTGCTTTGCTTCAGCTCTTGTCAGCTCCAGACAATGCATTCTGGTGGTAAGTCTTGTTGTGATTGAGGGGATCACCACAGCCAAGTAGGACGGTCGCACTGACAGACCAAGGAACAGATCAAGCTGTGCGTGTCTGCTCCGTGACATCTCCCTACATCTATAACTATCTTCTGGAATGGATCAGGCTCGAGGTTGGAAGTCCCTTTGCTCCAGCAAGTCTGTTGTGAACGCTTCGGAGACGAAGGTGATGTTGGCTCGAGAGACCGACGAGCAAGTTGTGGGCCTCCAAAAAGGTGAAAAGATAATGATGCTGATATCCAGTGCATGCAAAGCACTCAGAACCATCAGAGTCCGTCCTCAACAGAAATTCAGTAGTGGCTACATGCTTGTCTCGCGGAAAGGGAGCCTTCGATGAAGAAGAAGATCTTTTACCGCTAGAGGTGGCAACACTCGCGTGCCGGCAGCCTTACTATCATTGTTTTTGATATCCCTTAGTGTCAAGCTCCCTTGACAAAGCAAACCGCTTTCACGTGGTTTCATGATCCCCTAAATTTTTCACGCACAGCTACTATCTGCGTACACATGCTCAGCAGATTCTCATCTTCCACATTCGAATCATCCTGATCTTTACTTGCAAACCTCAGCTTTCCGGGCTCCCAAAGGGCTTATAGACGATAATCTTCGAGTGCCTCCAATTCGTGCAGATGGCACCGTCGCAGGGAATAGAACATATAGTTCAGGACTACACGGAGTGGTTTCGTCGCTCAGGTCAACAACCAGAGGGAAGCTTTTGGCGACAGCCGTTGGTAGACGCGGAATGGGATTGGACACGGAATGCCGGTTCCAGGAGACGTCCTCCTCCATACGACTCGACAGCTCTGTTCACGCCAGAAGAGATTGAAGATGCGATGGAAGACGACGGCAGCGAGTGGGCTGGATTTTCCGATTCTGTTGATAGCGAATCAGGTCTCAAGGACGAGCAGGACGCTGTCAAGGTAGAAGAAAGGCAGGAAGAAGTTAAGGTAGAAGTCAAGCAAGCAGGAGTCAAGGTAGAAGACAACCAAGAGGAGACTGAGAGCCCTGTTCCTGAGCCGGCTGCAACAGCAGACTCCTCGCCTTTGTCAACGGCTCCACCATCACCAAGAGAGCTTTCAAATATTCCACAGACTGTAAACTATCAGACTTCAACGGCACACTCTTCGCCTTTATCAACGGCTCCACCATCACCAAGAGAGCGTTCGAGTACTCCACAGACTGCAAATTATCAGGCTTCAATGGCACACTCCTCGCCTTTGTCAACGGCTCCACCATCACCGAGACAGCGTTCGACTACTCCACAGACTGTAGATTATCAGGCTTCAACGATACACTCCTCGCCTGTACCCACAGCTTCACCATCAGGGACATCCCCTCTGTTTACAGCACAAAATAATGCAAGAGATGAGATTCGCCAAATGACCCTACCAGAGCCAGAAAACCCATACCTCAATGCTTCAAGTATCCAACCACCCAATCCCGATCTGCCTAAGCTCTACCCAGGCGTCCCTATTGGTGTCTTTGACGGTACGATCACGCAGCAACAGCTGAATCAACAAGGCTCTCCACCGTTACAGCAGTATCCTTTGCCAATACAAGGTACCCCTTTTTGGCAGACGCAAGTTGCTACGAGCCCATTCGCCAATGCAAATGAGTACGTACCGGCTCCGCACCCCTTCGCCTCAATTCCTCCGAACACATTCAACCATCAAGGCGAGCCCTTCGAGCCAAACACCGTTCCAGCTCGACAGTACCCATTCATCCGCACCCTGTCACAGGAAGATGTCGACCCTAGACTCATCACAGTCTTCCTCAATCCACCGGCGGATTCTCTTCTCGCACATGCCGGCGCCCACCACAACCCTACGACAGGGTGGGAGATAGATGACTTGGCAGGCCAAGGATGGCAGCATTTACAGACAGGTGCTGAGCCTAATGCGGCCGAAATTGCCATTCTCCGGTACATCCCGGTGAATGGGCGCCGTGTTGGGAGGATCCAGACGGTGAACGGGGTCTACAATCTGCATCCAGAGGACCCAAACTTCCTGGGGGAGGCAAGTAAGGCACAATATGTGGTCCCTGCGCTAGAGGGGACGTGGTATAGGAGGCTGCCGAAGGGGAGGTAAGAGGCGAGAGGGGATGGAAATGAGGAGAGACGTGGGAGAAGAGGCTTGTATTGCTGGTAGAAACTGATAGCAAGGCTGCAATCGTCCACCACTGTATGCAAAGCTAGCTTTCTTGCTCTTCTCAATATATACAAACGTTGCTTTAAGTCTTTCCATTCACTTCTTGTAGAATAAAGAGTTAATAAGATTGATCTCGTCTGGTTGAAAACGGCAATGCATCCTCAAAGGAAGTACTTATTGTTCATTCGGTTGTTCCCTTCGGTCGCTGCAACCAAGATGGCAATTGTGCAACGTCATCCTAAGCCATTCCATTCACTCCTTGCAGAGTAAGAAGTTATTGATGTTGAGTCCATCTGGCTGAGAACGGCACCTCACCCTCTAAATGAATACGGGTGATAGGATCCTATTGCCCTGTCTAGTCACTGGAAAACATGCAGCGTTGAAGGCAAGGGAGCTCAGGAAATCCTTGACATTGTGCAAAAGAAGTTAATGTTGCCGACAATGTTGGGCCATGAACAGTAAAATCCCTTAGAAAGGAATACGCATCGAGAATTCCATTACCCCATACAATTGCGACAACCAAGACGACGTCTGAGAAAAGGCAGCCAAGGAAGCGTCGTATGAGGGGGGTCGCCTATGAGGCCTCTATTGATTCTATCTTAGTCACATGCCTTCCACCAAATTAGTTTCTTGCTTTTGTCTTCTTCTTCCGACCTTCTTCTCGCTCTTTGTCTAACATGTTCTTCTCTTGCTCACGTCTCTGGTTCTTCTTCTTTGAAGGGGGTATATCATCTTTCATCATATTCGAAAAAGCAGACTCCGGTCGCTCCATTCCCTCGTTTTCATCCCGTTCGCGGTACAACTCCCGCATCGCAGGATTAAATTTTTCTAGGGACATAATGTCTTTGACTTTAACGCGCATGTAGTCGAACGCTATGCCTACTTTGATGTCTCTGTTGGTGGGTGATGGAATTGGTGAGGAATCTGGAGCTGAAATATTATCCTGATCTGGCGTGTTGAGTGAGTCATTGTCTTTGTTCTTTATGACTTGGAGCAATTGGGAAGCTGATAATTGACGTTGGAAACTGGCATGCGGCATGACTTCCTCATCTGCTTCGTCGCTCACATCCTGCGCATTTTCTATGCCTAAGGCCGATTTATCCAGATCGTCCATATTAGGTAGCTTCGAGTATCTCTGGCTGAAATGTGTTAAAAGGATCCTTCGTGCTTGCATGGCCATGCCAAGCCTAATAGCTTCACTCATCGTGCTGTGTTTCTTGGCTATTGCGTCTGCCTGCATGTCGTCGTCAAAAGTTGCTTCGTGCAATAGCACTGTAGATCCTTTGCCGATAGCAGCAAGTTGGTTAGACGGTCGACAATCTCCGCTATAAGAGAATTTGAAACCCGTCGGGAAGGTCAAAGACACGGCGTGAGCACCATGACAATGAGAGACGTCGCAATACTGAAGGTTTGAGAGACCTGTTGCAGATCGGATGGCACGGCGGCTGATCTGTGTTAGTGAACTGGGACTTCATTCATGAGTAAGAAAGATCAACTCACATCTGAGGATGCTTGGCAGTCATAAATCCCACATCGATACCATTCCATATCAGTGAATCCTCTATACGATGCTTTGAGTGAGGGGTCACTAGTGGTATTATATGATTGTACCCAAAATCTTCCACAGACGAGTACTCATGCAGCCAGTTGGCCATTTCTGGATTTGACACCACGAACAGTTTATTCATAGTAAGATTGTCAGCTATGGTTGACGGATCTCCACCTTGAACTTTCTCAAAGCTGCTGCTGGGTTTGACCGTCTTGTACCAGGCTTTCATCACTGATGTAGTGCCAAGATGATGGTCAGCGTGCAAATGACTTATCCAAATGAGTTTTAGGTCGCTCAAAGTCGCCTCCAGCTCTTCACGGCTGTACATTCGTTGGAGCTGTCCAAGCGTATTTTCACCACAGTCAAGTAGGTATGTGCCATGATCAGGTACCCTGAGAAGTGTTGCAGAAACATTACGATGTTTGGAGGGGGTGGAGGAGCCAGTACCAAGGCAAATGATCTCAGCATCTGGACTCGGTAGATCTTGACTTGAAAGCTTCCTTATGTAGCTCTCTGATGCTATGATATTTTGAGCTTCCTTGGAATGCACGAGAACCTCTTTCGGTGTCTCTCTCTCTACGAGGCCTATGTCGAGGGCAGCTCGTACGGGCGCGTTGTCTACTGCAATGGTGGGTTCAAGGTGAAGCATTAAGCCTTGTTTCGCAGCAATGAAAGCGTTGTTTCTACTTGTCGCTTTAACCTCATTGTGAGGTGTTGAGCTTCGGAATCTGGTGAGGGGAGGATAACGATCGGGATCGATCTGGTTATGTCTGATTGACTCTATCGCTGCCGATTGCATCATCATATCGCTGTCACAAACATCAGGAGATGAGACAATATGCTGCATGTCGGCACGCTCCTGCATGAAGCTGAGGAGTCGCTCGTCACTGACAACGTCTGGACCTAAAAGCCAGATGAAAGCTCTTACGCCAATCATGATATCTTCCACATTTAGCTCGGGTCTCTTTAGAAAGCTTGGTATGTATTCCTTTGAAGGCAGGTCGACTATTACAACGCCGCTCCCCTCTTTAGCTGGTTCCAACACCATCTCAGGGGTGACGATCTTGCCATCTTGCGACGCGACACTTTCTCCATTGCTGAGCTTAGAAAACAGTGGACCCGGCTTCACTCCTAGTCGTTTTGCTTCGGCTGGACGAAACTTGCCGCGCTGTTTTTGGTTCCGTAAAATGTAAGACGTCGAGAGCGAAGAAGGTTCTGTGGGAGGCAAGGTCTCGATCAAGGCCCCAGGCCATGCTGTACGCACGAGCACCTTTATGTCAGACACATCAGAAGACTCACCAGGCAAAGGACCGTTGTATCTGGAGAGCTTTTTCGTTGCAGGATCGCGGACAAAGATGTTTGCAGGCAACTTTACTTCACTTAAGGAAACCTCTGCCAAACGATCATAACGCCATTGTGATTGAAACATCTCTGTCACTATATTTTGACGCAATGCTTGATCTTGGTGCCATTGGTCTGACATCTTGATCAATTCCCCCGATTGATCCGTCTTGGAGAGAAGCTGACCATCCATGTATTCATCCAAACTTCTCTTCCGTGGCGACTTCGAGTGCTTGTCTGATTCGATTCGATCTGTCATTTCAGGCTTGATCGACATTGCCCAAAGTCTGATTCTATCGTCCTCGTAATCAGGTCGCCATTGCATCTCAGAAGACTGGGTCGTTTCCTGGAACTCCTGAACTGTAATAGGCATACCTTGGCGAAAGATGAATCTTCTAGCAGTAGCCAGCGTATGGGCAAGGTTACGGCCACCATGGATCCTTAATGTAGAGTCTTCCACATGAGCATCCCTGCTGTTCAAATCCGAACCAGCACTACCTTCACTCCTGCTCATCGCGGCTTTTTGTTTACGGGTCTCAGCTTTCGAAGCTGTGGCAGCGATCACTCCGTCTGCCATTGTCAGAATCAAACCCATCAAGCCACCCGTGTTGCTCCATTGAGTCTTCCCTGTCAAGAAGAAGTCTTTGACTTTCAAGAAGCGAACGCCAAAGTCCAAACCTGCACGCTGCATCCCCTCATGGATGTGGCCAAAAATGTAGCGTTGGTCATCGAAATGTAGGAGCAGGGCGGTGCCATCGGTCTCTGGCCCGGAAGTGCTGAGGAATTGTATGTATGACTTCATTCTTGACGCTGGGTATCCACCGGGCTGATATCCCTCGTGGAATCTTGGTTTGAGCTTGAATCTGCCGCCTCTCCCTTCAAGAAACGATCTACGGAAATCAACTTTCTTGCTGTCGGGATCTCTGGATTGCGTTCTCGGAGGAATCTGTGGATTGCCCTCTGTCCGTACAGGTGTAAGATGAGAGAATGAGATGGCTCGGCGCGAGCACCGTTTTTGAGGACGTAAGAGGAATTTGCAGGGTCGAATCCGAATACTGATACTCGAGCATTTTAGCAAGCATCTTGGAGACTTTCGGATGACTACATGACTCATCAGGCCTTCAGTAGCCGAGTTGGAGGTGTTAAATGCGCCTGCAAGCTGTATCGTCCATCTCCAACATCCACCGCATGATTGGAGAACCCAACATGGTGTAACACACTTGCAGCTTGGAATTCTTCGAGGCAAATTCGGATGCGACAATCTTTCATCGAGGACACAGTGGTCCCCTCGGTCCCCTACTTTGTGTCCTAGATGCGTTTAGTACGCTGAACGTGCAAGCATTGTGAACGTTTGAAATCTTGTGGTAGAAACTACGAGATGCTTATCGCCTACCCGACTCATGCATTTGGAATAGCATGGATCTTGCGCAAAATGACGCGCCCTCCAAGCGACGACATGTTGGGCTCGGGATGGACAGTGGCGATTGGACTTTTGTCGTCGGAGGGGACATGGAACCCCTCTTCAGAAATCTCCGTGACCTGCAGAATCCGGCAGTGGCCTCATCTGCTCGGGCATGTAAGGAGGAACACCTGCCACTTCAGGAAGGAGCGAAAATCGGTGCTCTCCGCAGGAACAATTGAATCATAATGATAAAGATACATTGTACTCTTTCATTCATTCCATTTGACAGCCATAGCATTCTCCATTCTTGGTTGCCATGTTTACTAGATTTCTACTCTTTCTTCTACCTCTTGTCGGCGCGAAGTTCGCAGTGACACCATTTGGGGCTCTGCGCAGGCCGGAATCGCGTCAATTAACCAAAAGAAATGTTTTCACGGACTCACTGGCCAGTGCTGAAGCCGAAGACTTACCATACACAACTTACAACCTCTCCGTTCCCATTGACTACTTTCACAATGAGTCCAAATACGAGCCTCATTCTTCCGACAAGTTCAACCTTCGGTACTTCTTCGACGCTCAATACTACAAGGACGGCGGCCCTGTGATTGTTCTTCAAGGGGGCGAGACCTCAGTCACGGACCGCATACCCTATTTACAAAAGGGAATCGTAAGTATTCTGGCAAAAGCCACAAACGGAATCGGAGTCATTCTAGAGCACCGATACTACGGCACCAGCTTTCCCACCGAGGATCTATCGATAGAGAATCTAAGATTCTTGACCACAGAACAGGCTTTGGCAGACCAAGCCTATTTCGCAGAAAATGTGAAGTTTGAGGGATTGGAGGACAAGAAGCTTAACGCACCTGATACGCCATATATTGCATATGGTGGATCCTATGCTGGTGCATTTGTAGCCTTCCTCCGATTACTGTACCCAGACATGTACTACGGTAGGCAAAGAACGAAGCAAGATGGAATTGAGCTGACATTTTCAGGCGCGATAGGGTCTTCTGCGGTGACCGAGGCCATCTGGGATTTCTGGGCCTACTACGAGCCAGTACGGAAGTACGGTCCTCCACTATGTATCAAGAACACCCAACTCCTCACCAACGTAGTGGACAACATCTTGCTGAAAGGCGATGCCAAAACTACGCAGACTCTCAAGTCTGCTTTTGGCCTCGCAGACATTGTTTACGATGATGATTTTGCTAATACGCTCTCTTTTGGTATTGGTGGATGGCAGGGCCGCAACTGGGATCCGGACGTGAATAGCCCTGGCTTTGATGAGTACTGTGGCAATATCACCGCCAACAGCACCATATATTCATCAAATTCAACACTTAGCACTACTGCGAGCTATCTACTCTCTGCTGCAGGTTACAACTCTACACTGCTTACTCCGTTATTGAATTACATAGGCTACATCAACGCCACGATCCCCGGTCCTGCAGCAGACGCCAACGAAACCCTGAATCAATATTACACTAACCACAATGCTACCTTTTACGCTCAGGATAGCCTCGCCGATAGCTGGAGGAGTTGGCCATACCAGTATTGTACACAGTGGGGCTACCTACAGACTGGCTCGGGGGTTCCCTCGGATGAATTACCCTTGATTTCTCGGCTGCTTACCTTAGACTACGAATCATTGATCTGCCAGTACGCTTTCAATCTCACAACACCCGCTGATACTGAGGCTATCAACAAATACGGCGGGTACGACCTAGCGTACGATCGTTTAGCCTTTGTTGATGGAGAAATTGATCCGTGGAGGGGCGTGAGTCCTCATGCTCCTCAAGCGAGACCACGAGAGAGTACCACAGAGCGGCCATTCATCCTGATCGCGGATGCTGTTCATCACTGGGATGAGAATGGACTGTTGCCAAATGAAACCACTCCAGATTTGCCGCCGAAACCCGTTGCGGATGCTCAGAGCCAAGAAGTTGAATTCGTGAAGGCGTGGTTGGCCGAGAGGAATGATGTGTCGATAATAAAGCAATGACTTGCTGGAAGCTTGCGTCCGGTTGCAAAAGGTCTTCAAGCGACTATACCGCGGTATCCGTGTGTATCAACCTAGCGTGGCATCGTTTTCGCCTGACCACCATTCCTAGGCCTGAATGACCAAGGAATGTCTCTCGTGTAGACCTAGCACTATACGAATTCTTTGCATCCTGGTCTTTCCGTTCGCTTTTGATCACGTGCTCTGCCAACATCTTTGTTTCTCAACTCAAAAAGCGATTTCCTAGAAGCGCATGTCTTATGCTCTTAGACATGCAAAGACGTGAGGACGTGGTTTGTAGCCGAAAGTAATAGGTAGCTGAGATGTTTTTGTCTGGAAGGAGGTAAGGGCAGTGGAGAGTATATCAATGCTACCTTTCAAAAGGACGCCAGTGGTTGCCATATATCGGTATTCTCCGAACTCGAACCATCAATCAGACCGCCAGATATTTATCTCTCCTCGCAGCGTTACCTTTTTAGACTTCTCTGATTACTTATGGTTTCCAAGCTAGGTATTCCTGCTTGCGCAAGTCGCCCGCAACTAGTTGGGAAGGTAGATTGATAGTTCAACTGTGGCTATGTTATCTATTTTCAAGCTCCTCAGCGTGTTACAAAGACACACTCACGGCTCGCTCATACGTGTACTCAGATTTTCTATATATTTGAGTTATTGCAATGCTGAATATATCGTTGGCTTAATGATTTCCCACCTTCTCTAGTGATAATAAACCTGTTCCACGCAAATGCCAAGTTGTATAGACGTGGCACCGTCATATTATGCCTATAAAATTGATTGAGAAAAACCGCTGTCTAAAACGCTTTCAGCAATTTCTACCTTTTCTTTAAAAACAAAGTAATATCAAGTCGAACATTTAGTATACTAAATTAGAGTGCCCCTTCAGGCTTTCTATGATAATTCAAAACAGGCGCATCTCAAATTGCTGACCAGTTCGAGCGACAGATACTCGGCTAGGAAATACTGCACATAGCCTGCTGCACCCTTTTCAACCGGAACTTCGACGTCTCTAGAAGAGCTGTGCCTTTCATCATAACTGGGTTTCAAAGACATTAATAAATCAAGCCCGTTCTGTTTTCCTTCCACCATGAAACTATCTTCTTTATCTGTTACAGGTAATGCAATAACCCCAAATAACATCGACCTAGCTAGACCTTGTCTGCTCGAGCAAGAAACCCTTGCCTTAGCGGCAGATTTATTCCGCCGGAACGCACGTTGGACCACTAATAAATCAGGGTCAATATTCGCCAGGGCTGCTAGGGAAATAACGCCTCTTTGCAATGGCTCGCTAGACGGAGAAAGCATTCATTGAGCAGGTTAGGAAGAATCTTCTTCGAGTCGCGACTGACTCGCCTACACAACAGCATAATTCTTCAAGTCTGAATTAAGAGGATCACGTTCCTGTTTTCCTTTTAGGAAACTGTCAGGCATTCCCTACAACCAAGTGCTATCTGTCTTGCCTCATGATATTCTTTTGTATACCCTCCCAATCCATGTCTGTCAACCCGATGTATGCAGGCGCTATGCTGAGCCCGGTCCACATTTACTGACGGATGCTGTTAGGCAAAGCTGCTCGATGTACAAGCCTACTTCAATGGCTAGGCATTTCAATTGTCAGGATCAGTCCCTCTCAATCAAATCTGCTTGGTGGTTTTTAAAGTCATTGGCGAGTCATGGTCAGTCGAACGATGACCGCGCCATGTGCTATTCTCTTGAGACAAAGGAGTGCCCTTATCCTAGCTCAAATCTAGCCTTGTTCTTGTCAAATTGAAAATCGAATGCCATTGAATAAGAAAGGGCCATATGGTGTGGACCGACTATCGTCCAAACCATTGTTCCACACATGCCTGAAATTTCAGCGTTGCGTCCTTAATGCGCTCTAAAGTGATCAAAATCCTGGACCCTACAGGCTTCAAATGCATGATACAATGTTCATTACAAGAGATCCATCCCTTTCCACTACGCCGCACACTTACTGGTACATTGATGCATCTCCTCCAGAATCCGTGGTTTGTCGAAGCCTTCTCTTTCCTTCCTACCACAGCTCCAATCAGTTTGGAAGATTGATTTTTCGACCAGGTCCCTCAGAAAGGCACTAGAGCGTGAGGCAGGGGTATTTTTGACGTCATTAGGTAGCGACTGGAGTTCAAAACACCCCCATCCCACCAGGATCTGGCTGTTCCGCGAGGAAGACTGTATGGGGAGTAAATGGTATCACAAGCTAGTATGCAAAAGCAAAAACGAGATGCAATTCATTGGTGGCTCACCGGTATGTCATTGTTCTATCTACTGCTAGTCATAAGGATACAGGGTTGGTAGAGCCTTCGTCAGGCTAGAGCCTGGTTCTGGGTAATGTTATCTGTTGCTAGTCATGAGGATGTGGGTTGCTAAAGCCTTCGTCGGGCTTTTAGCTCTGAGTAACGACTGTGGTTTTGATGTTGTTGTTAATGATGCTCAAGATATTAGTGTGTCAGTGTCAATTGTGCATGCGTATTTGGAAGCCTTTGCTAGGCCTACAGCCATTTTCTTCAAGATTCAACCTTCTGGCCTTTCATTACTTCCAAGATATGGCGCACCAGCTCAGCCCCTGAGAGAGGCTTCAGGTTCAATGCTCTCCAGTCTACCCGCTCCGCCGGTTGAATGGTACCTTGGTACCTAACCCAAGTCCCGAATTCCACCTCGCCTCCTTCGTTTTCATCACCGCTGAATAAACAGCGGTTAAGTATCGAAATAGCGCCCGGAATCGCCTTGCTTATGTTGCGAAGTATCTGATTGTGTCCATGCGTTCCCTCGGTCGTGTAGTGATAGACGTTCACGACGCTGCTCACACAACCTAGACGCCGGGTACGACCAATCGCTTGCGCTTCTATGCCATCGCTAAGAGGGGGCTCGAATAGGTGATTGTCGTAGCACAGAGATTGGAGGTTCAAACCAGTGCTGGCTGTGGCATAATTTGCTACTAGGATCATGCCTTGCTTGGGTTCAGTCGTAAAGACCCGTTGAGCCTCCTCGCGTTCCCTGGATGTCATGTGCGCTGCGTACATTAAAGTAGAGATTTGGAGGAGTCCGAAGATTCCGTAGAGCCATATTTGGGTGGCAGGAGAGTGACACCATATGATGTGCTTGCGCTCGTCACGACAGACCTAGATAGAGTAAGCTCGAGGTCTGGTAAAGCCTTCTAGAGCTTAGATATTCCGGAAAGGCTTTTCTAAAGAGGAGCACGTACCTGTGAGCGAACAGTTTTAAGTAACGCGCGCAATTTCGGGGAGCCTTCGCATGCTGCTGCGACGATTTCGAGAGGATCAATGGGTCCTCGCCGCTGGTCATTATGTCTTATCAGCCCGATCCATTTGCGTACGAAGGCTGCGTCAGCCGTGATGGTCTTCATGTCTTTGGCCCGCATTTGGGTCCGACAGTCGAGCATGGGGAAATGTACCCATGTCGATGCCAGGCCGAGGAGGCGAAATACCCCGAGATTCCATTTTAACTTTTCCTTCCCTGTTATGAGACCCGACGATGCTTCTGTGTCGAATCTGTCATAGGTTTGTTTCTCGGCAGGGGTCATGTTGCATACGATTATGAATGACTGAACCCTCGGCATACGACTCCCTATAGGTTCTCCGGTGTAGAAGGGCACCTTTGAAGCGTAGGTCCTCCTGAGAAGACATTGGCGGAAGACCATTGCAAGGCGGTTGCCTTGCGTGGTGTCTGGGATTGTAGTGGGAAAGATGTAGGCTACTGCAGCCTTCATAGTCATCCTCAGGCATACTGCGGGATGGGTGTCGGGCAGTGCGTAGGGATTAACGTTCTCTTTGACGTTCATATTAAGCAAGCTTGCCTTTGACCATAATTGATCGTGATCCTTTCTCTGTATAAGCTTGAAAAAGCCTCTGAAATCTGTGACGTCGTTGGGCATAGGAGTCGCCGTGACAAGTATGTGAAATTGTCCCGATAGCCATTGGACTGCGATCGACATTTCGGCGTCATCGTCCTTCAAAAGGTGTGCCTCATCAATGATGACGTTATGAAAGCCTTCCTTCAGAGAGAATGGAAATGCTCCATTCATGATCTTCTTTCCAGGTTTACTTATAGTCTTGCCCGTCATCTGCTTGTACCAGCTAGCTTGCTTGACCGGTCCATTTCGTGTCATCAGTGTCTGCGGAGTCGTAATGACGACCTTTCGTGCATTGTCCTCAACTTTGAGGTCGAACAACGGATTGTTCAATGTAAGCGTCTCATCGATCTGCGTCTCTTCGTCGATATCAAGACCCTTTCCCTTTTTGTCTCCCCAATATTTGAAAATCTTGAAAGTATCCCCTGATACTGTTCTGAAAGCTCTAATCCATTGAGGAACAAGGTGGCCAGGTACGACTAGTAGTGTTGGACGTGGGGGACTGCGCTCTAGCAAAGGCTTCACCAGCCTAGCGTTGTGTCTCTGAAGAGCATCAGCAAGGGCACTGGAAGGCTTTGGGGAACCACTTACAGCTAAGAGATAGCCGATGATCTCCCATGTCTTTCCCGCTCCGACCACGTCTGCGATGACACAGCCTCCGGCGACCGGGTTGCTTTGGAAGTCAAAAATTGCCTTGATGGCTGGAGGCTGCCAAAATTCTAGCTTTTCGGAAATCGGCATGCCAGGCATGCGAAGCAGAGATTCCTTGTTTGAAAAGGGAATTCCAAGCATTTGACATGATGCCGCGAGATCCTCTCTTTGGTACTCTAGGGCATCAAACCATAATTGTTGTCGGTCGTATTCCGCTGCTGTCGCCGCTGTCCAAGGCTTAAATTCAAGATGGTCCGCATCTAACTTACTCAAAGTCTCCTGGAGCCAAGCTGCATCTGCAGTGTTTGCGTACTGAGCGATCATACCTGTCCGGTCTGGTAAAGGGTTCATACCCCGAGAACGGATGTACTTGCTCAAAATCTGATCAATGGCTACACATTGCCAGAAACGTTGTGAGAGATCCATCTGGTCGCTTTCGTTCTCAAGGACCATGCGTGCTATGTTAGATAAGCCTTCTCCGGAGCTCTTGGGGGCTGTCGGGTCTTCGCCCTGGTCAGTGAGATCCAGGTTGACCCCAGACTTGAATGCTGAAGGCAATTGATTCAGAATGTAGTCATCATTCAAACGAGCTTGCTCTGCATCCTCCAGGGAGGTGTAGTCGGATCGAGGGGTCAATACCCTCGACCCCTCGTCAGAATCGGAATCGTACATGTCGTCATTGGGGTTGTTCCAGGGATATCGGTTCCCTTGTTGAGGCTGCTGCTGGCGCTGTTTTGCAGGTGCCAGCTTATTCTCACAGAGCTTTGTGCACGCCCAGATTCGGGCATCCACATCGGATTCAGTAAGGTTTTTCCTGAAAAATAGGCCATGTTGGGATCGTAGATTCTGTAACCGCGTTGAGTAAAGATGCCAAGCATACCAGTCCGTCGCATCCCACAAATTTCTGTCGCTGTGAGGGTCGGAATACTTTGTCTTTCCGTTCTTTTCGCCCTGTGAAAGCCTTACTTGCACGGTCCTTAGCCCAGGGCCACGCGCCCGAGCTTGACGAAGCCTTTGTGCTGCAGCTTGCGAAGGAAGAATGACATGTTTCGCGATTTGGGTGAAGTATGGTCGCCAGCGAGTTGATGCAAAGAAGACACTCAGCTCAGTGGCGCCCGCGAGGCCAATTTGCACTGCGAGGGCTTGCGTATCAGTGTAAGAATACTTACCAGCAGCTTCTGCGGCGGCCATAGTGGACTTTGGAAAAGGCTTCGCTTTTAGCCTTGAAGCTACAGTACCATGAATAAAGGCTTTTCAGATCAGGTCATAAAAGAAGATGGGTCTTGTCTGTACGGTGCAGCCTTTGCTAGACAAGCGCCATGAAGCAAGATCGTAAGCAGTTCAAGTGGAGGTGTGTCAAGTGAGAAATCAAACGAGAGGGATCAATGAGAAACTGGAATCACCTTTCGGTGGCGGGGACTCGGGGACTACGAAATCACTTGAAATTCACCGTACCGAGCATTTGGCATGCGCTTGTGAATTTTCATTGTGCATGCATAGAATTTTCCTGTTCCTAGGCAGGCTAGGCGGGAGACATTTAAGCATTACGTACGACACCAATTCACATGGAAAAGTGCCGATTTTCCGACACTCACATGTGGATCTGACGATGATTCTCAGGTTCTTCACAATTCAATATCATACCGAAAGTAGCTTAGCGTCCTGCACCAGCTACCCTCGTGCATTGCATCAAAAATGCAAAACCCCAAGCCGTCGCCTGGTACCTATGGTCGAAAATTTCCTTAACATTTAGTCATCAGTAATCCTGCACCTTACAGAAAACTTCAGATGCAGAGGGTGACGTTGAAGGTATCATTAGGAAAGCCTTCCTCCCTCACTACGACACTTGGAAGCCATCCGCAGCCAGTCCTCGTCGTGGCAGTTCGTGACGGCTACCTTTCTGGGGGTTCAAAAGACAGGCCTACATACCCAACGAGACTGATGCTTTGCGATCGCTTCGAATGTTCGTAAGTGGAATGGAGTCCATATCATTACGGCAGGAAAAGATGCTGTGTCTGATGGAAGTCTCTTTCACCGCACTTTGATGACAAGTCAATAGTCCCCTTCGCATTTGATTGGGATATGCGACTGTCGGTGAAGGGCGGCAGGTACTTGAGATGGACTGCATAAGCTGCTCAAATCGAGAACTGATGATTTGATGTGGTAACGGCGTCTACTTCTATTCTCACACATAATTCCAATTTTCGATTGCATCACGCACTGTCCTGTAGCTTTTGATTCCACTCAGGTTTACACAAAGTACACCAATGGGTATATCTTTCATTGCTAGAAGTCCTTTCTATCTCGCTCTTCTTATTGAAAAAGCCTTCACCATCCCAAGTCTGCGTATACAGTCACCGGGCTAGATCTCGCGAACCCTTTACAAGCCCTCTCCTCAACATGGCCTCATCTACGTTCAACTTTGACATGGTGGTACTTGCAGTGGAAGAACGTTCGCATGGTAAGGCGCAACTTGACGGCATCAGGGCATCGCTCAATTGTGGAAAGAAATTCCCTTTCATGAGAAACGCGAATACGTCAAGGCCGTGTTTACAATAGGTGGGTGATCTGAAGCCTTCATCAAACCCATTAACCGATACACAGTCTATGGCCCTCACAACGACACTGTAGATGTACTCTTGTATGAAATAAAGTATGCTTATTTCATGACGCATGCGTGGCGCTTAGGGATCATTGGTAAAGGTTGACAAGTCACAACCACACATAGGCTCACTGACATACTCTAGGGGATGAGGAAGAAGATGAGTGGGAAGACATTGAGTGGGACGAGGACATTCGAGAGGAGCTGGATGAAGACCTTGATTGTGTCGACGACATCGACATCGACTTCTCGGTCGAATCAGCATAGACTATTGGTGGGATATCACGGCTCGTGGTGCAGGCTTGACAAAGCCTCCTATGTCAGCATCTAGCTATGAAAGATTACAAAGAAATGAAGGTATCATCAGGCCAACAACTGCAATGCTTGTTCTTGAACGTGTGAAAATTTAGCAACCCTGTCATTATGTGCTCCATCTTTTGCTTTTCAAAGTCGCTCTGTACTGCCGTGATTTAGCCTTTCCCGCGCGGTCTAAGTGATCTCAATTGGTTGACCAGCTGTTCCAATGGCGGTCGCGATGTAGGAAGGTGGTGAGGGAGGGTGATTTGAGGCGGTGGTTGCGGCCGACGAAGATGCTTCGCGATTGGGGGAAGGCTTCTCCATGCCATTTTCGTTGTCAGGTTCCAACCAGTCACTCTCAATCTCGTCCCCAATATCCTGTTCGTAAGTCGGTGCGATAGGGCTTTGGACGACAGTTGTTGGATGATATGGATCATATAAATCCTCACTGATGGAGATCTCGTCAATCTCCTTAATCATTTGGTCGTAATTAGACGCGGGAAAATTCGCTTTTGAGCAATTCCATGGCCAAGACTCGACGAGACAATTGTTCAGAGTTTCATCTCTATCAGCTAGGCTTGTTGGAAGCCTTTTCCAACCAGTCCTCAACTGCTGCCTGTGGATCTTGTGGCCGAGGGAAAAATTCAGAGGATGTCGGGGGCAGCAAAGTAACGGAACGCCTAAGAGATCGCCGCCGTTCTTCTTATTACAGCCTTGCCAGATGCACTCTAAGAAAATTGTTTCTGTGCAGTCCACTTGAACCCAGCAACTATTACACACTAACCACATTCTCACTGCGCGCTCACTGAAAATAGACCAACAAGTCCACCAATCCCAATTTCTTGGGATAGTCGTTCTCGCGAACGGCCAGGGGCAGTCGTCGTGCGATCGGGACAACAGCCTGCCAAAACGACATTCGATGGAGTGGACAAGTTTTGCGATTCGCTCGTGCCCATTAGGCTTCCAACCTGGATGAGGGCTAAGAAAGGGTATCTGAAGGTGACGCCACGGTTCTGTTTGTGTGTCTGACTGGCACACAAGGCCTCTGAATTGCCCTGTGATAGCTTGAAGCTCTTGATCGTTGACGATCATCTTTAGGCGGCTTGCCTGTTTCATGGGCCATTGAACACCGGACCAATAGATTTTGTCAAATTCCGAAACCCAGAAGGCTTCTGCGGTCCGACTCCACTTTGCCTTTTCGTTGTGTATGGTGTCGGAACGAAAATCCTTGATCAATTGCAGGAAGGCTGGTACGTACGTCCATTTTAGCCGATTTATGAAATTCGCGGTAATAGCGATGTTATCTGGTGTGTGAAGGCCAAGCTCGTCTCTCCCTCGTCTGGAGAAGGGAAAGACGGCGTCGGCACTGGCTGCAAAAGGATTCCCGGCACGCGTATTGATCGTACATCTGTCAGGTCGGAGTAGATTAGTATAGGCGTCCCGCCAAAGTGCTGTGGTTCCATCTTGTTGCAATCGTGAGCATATTTGTTGAAATTCAAGGCTCGTGAAGGCTTCATCAAGGCCCAATCTGTCGCACTCGCGTTTATGCATTCCTCTCAGTCGAGATATGAGAGCTGAGCGTTCTTCTAGCAAGGCATGGGGAGCCGCGACTTGCTGATTTAGCTGAGCGGCGTTTAGCTCGCGACAAGAGTCGCATTCGTGAGAGTCACCATCGAAAATAGTCTGTTGGCAGAATGTAGGGGCATGACAAGTTGTGCATAAATGAAGGGTGGTTTTCTCTGACTCCTCATCACAGGTACAGAGCAACGGTTGGTGTTCCGGATTCTCATTTAGCACGTCCGCTACCTGACAGGCTCTCAGCCATGCCCGTTCTAGGTCTCCTGTATCAAAGAATATCTGATTCAATATCTGCAGGATATTGAGAAGTCGTCGCTTTGAGGCGCCTGAGAGAACGATATCGGAGAGCATTTCTTTGACCTCCTTCGGTAAGTTCTTACGAGGCATGATAGATGTTGCCCCGTCACGTAATCCGACTCTGTAAAACGCTCTGTTACGATAGAGCCCTATAGTGTCTGCAGTTGAATTTAGCTACAAGACGCTTCACCAAAGGCTTCCTTACCTCTGTGAGTCGTTGTAAAGTGACCTATAATGCGTTCCGCCCAATTGCTTATTTGATCCTTTGTACCAATCTTATCTTGCAACTTGAATAGCACGTACTGAGCCACGTGGTAGGCCTGTCTCTCTTGGGTGGTCAAAGTCATCTCATCGAAGGATTCGTTCTCTGGTCTACGGAAAGTATGCTGGCTGGGTATCTCTGGTATAGAAAGCTTTGTATTTATGGATGGTATAGGAATATACACCGACACATGAGACTTGGCTTGAGGATTTCCTTCGGCATCATTTAGAATGTTGGTGACGTCTACGAAAACGATGTCTAATTCGAAAAATTCGAGATTGTAACCACGTCTCGATCCAACACTGTTGAAGGACAAGGGTGCATTTGGCACTACCTTTTGGCGAGCAATCCTAAGCAAACAATTTCGGACCTTTTTTTGGGTTGGCGTGATGTTCCCCCAGGGCCACTTGTTGTAAAGATCGGCGAGTATGCTCGCCGTCTCGTTGACTTGCTCCCTGGTGAAGGCTTCGTCAATCACCTCCTCAAGATCATGAGTTGAGCGTGCAAAGCCATGGGGTAGTCTATGAGGATTGCGATTGTTGTCCTTAAGACAGATGACTAGGCTTTCGTGAGGTGCCGGCTTGGAAAACCGACGCCGACTAAAGAAATCACCACTGGAGGAGCTAGCGTAAGGAACCCAATCATGACGGGGGTTCTTCGGTAGTTCCAATAGATTGGAATCCATTGCCGTACTCCACCTGGACGGGGATGACGATGTAGCAGGCAAATCACCGCTTGCCAGCAATGCATTGAAGCGTGCATAGTTTGTTAGCTGCTCTGAGGTCTCCACTACGATCGGTGGAATGACTGTCCGGAAAGAGGCATTGTGAGAATCATCGAAGAGTCGACTGCAACCATTGAGTATGTCCTGAAATCTCGCATACTTGGCTTGCGTTGTGGGCCTAGATGGAAAAGGCTTCCTCATGCCTATCTTCCAGCTCAAACGAGGCGGAGTGCCTGCAAGCGAGATGCGATTCCGAGTTCACGATGTAATGAAGCAGACTTGAGGGCGCGAAGAGACACGAATCTGATGATGCCAATGACAAGGATGATATGAGAATGATAGAAAGCAGTGGAATTTGGGTGATGGGATGCCATCCGCAGGACGCTAGGAATCGACGATGCCTTCCGCTCGCAGGCACTAGAGGCCAATTGAAGCAACGCATGCAATGGAAGCCAATTGAAGGCAACGCGTGACGAATGAATAATACCAACCGATTATTTCATTCCAGACTTCGAGTTGCTCAAAATTGCTTCGAAGCGCATAATTTCAACAGGTCCTCTGAAATTTGCCATGATCTCATCCGAGAGCCTACCTTGCCTGTGTTTTTGCGAGCACGCTGTATCCTGATGCTGGCGTACGTCGCAACTTACGCTCACACATTGCACGGCTTCCAAGAAATATGTGCACTTCTTGATGAGGCCGCTCGGCCCATTGAAGCGTATGACGAAGGCTTCTTCAACCTGGAACATCTCGGGCATCAATTGACGGCGCTCTGTGCTTTTCAGGACTTATTTGAGCTGCAGGACAATGGGGAACCTCGAGGGAACTCACAAGAAGACGCATCCCTAGGTCTACCACGCCTGCCTTAACCATCGATGCCAGCAGACTAATGCGCTGCAGAGCCCCTCACGCCTCCGCTTCCCCCATGGCAGCCCACCACTTCCGACTCCTCACTCCCACCCTCACTCCCACCACTCTCTCTGCCAGCCTCTGTTCCATTACCAGCAGACACCGATTGCTCCGGCTGTCCACCATCTTCAGCCTCTTGCGACACCCTCTCGCGTATTCTAAAAAGAAAGAGACGCAGACGCATTTACAGCACAGACGGAAAGAGTGAGAGAGTCCAAGGGGATAGGAGGACACAGGACATGGGAGCATGCATGGACGAGAGAAAGGATGACAAGATCTAGAGACGCAGTAGTATGAGGGAGGAGTGGACGTTGAAAGGGGGGAGCTAGCTCGGGCCGGATATGAGACCCTTGACACACATGCTGGTCGTTGCCTGGGAAACTACTAGGCTGTTTGGCAAAGCCTTCTATGTGGGTCTACATCCCGGCACACAGCTGGGCTTCCTTCGATTGGTAGTGGGTGACTTTTGTGATGGAGAGTGGCCTGACGAAGGCTCCTCCCAATCTATCTCGGTGTACACAGGTGCGAGGACGGTGCTATAGACGTTGTATGGGCTGGCAAAGAATGGCTTGGGACGATGGCTTTGGCTCGGAGCTGTTGCATGACTATACCTTAAGGGGTAAAGGGAATAGATTTATACACGGGCATAATAGTAGCTTATCGCTTGCACAAATCCCCACGCCCTCCCCTTCCTAGCATTTTTGAGCGGATATGTTCGGAAAGTCTTTCGTCCGATTGGCTACAGGCGTCTCCACTTTACTCCACCTCAATTTCGCTTGGACGTAAAGTCGTAAAAACCGACTCCTGGGTTGCTACTGTGGACAGTCTGACGTTTTGTATAAAACATCTTTCGACGGCGATTTGGACCTGGGTATACTTACCTTGCGAAGCCTTCCGTGCTCATGAAGACGGCAATGCAAGCTGGAAGTCCTGCATTGCACATCGCGGAGACGACTGGCTTTTAGTTAGTTTCGGCTACCTAATTCGCGGAATTTTTGATGGTCCTCCTCCACACGGAGTCTTTTCATTGTCGTCGTTGCCTAGTGCACGACATCAAAGAAGAGAATACTTTCGAGGCTCGTAGTAGCCCACTACGTAGAGTATGAAGTTTAAATTTCAAGGACGAATCAATTATTTTATGGATATTGAAGGAGCTTCCACAAATCGTGCTTCGCACGCGAAGCATGCGAAGCTGAAGCATACGAAGTCATGGTGTTGTGAAAGAGACAGGGACCCTTCCACACCTGTGGTTTGCTTTACGCCTACTGAGGACCAGCATTATCTTCGGCCCTTATCCGTGTCCTTTCGAAATTTCGAAATGGCTTGGGTCGTGGCTTCCACCATTCTCTTCGTCAAATAGGGATGACCTCAACAGCCCAGGAATCCAAGCCAACCAAGGTCAGCTTCAAGCCTCGAGCGAGACAGCGCGCATTTGCTAACACATCATAGATTCGCATGCCTCTCCTGTCTCCACCATCCGTCCTTCCTTTGTCGTTGCAAGCCTCCTTACCACTCTCTCAGACATTGATGGGGAAGAGCGCAAAGAAAGATCCAGTCCCCACCACGGATCATGATCATGGCCATCAGAAAGAGAACGACTTCCGTCTATGATACAAGGTCCTCTACGTATTCCCAAGGAGGCAGACCATTCTGCTGTGCAACATGCCTGCAACAAATCTCCGACGAGCGGTGAGGTCTGTAGCCACCCGCTCAGGGATATTCACTTTGAGGCTGTTTGTGGTTGACGTATCTGGTTCGATCGCGATGAAGCATTCCCAATATACCACTTATATGTGCTCGCTGTCCAAGCCATAGGACATCGTTCAAAATTGATATCTTGCTACAGCCGAAACATGTTTCTCATTGCAGAAGCTGATACAGGTGCTTCTTGTCACAACGACAACCGGTTGCCCAGCACCATGACAAGCCTCTCCGTTGCACTCTCCTTAACTCCAGCCACCATGAGCTTTCCTGGTAGCACCGATGTCTCTCCTTTCTATTGTTCCCACAACATCAGCAAACCTGCTTCTACTACATATCACCGAACATTATTGACACATCACAATCGCGCCATGGCTGCTCTCCCCATACGCCATGTTCCCAAACCCTCTTCTTCCCAAACCTCTCATTCCACGCTCAAGCCTGGCCCGCTCTCCCCGACGTTCCTTCTCAGCACCACTCCCTCGAGTGATGCAAAAGACATCACCTCCCTCCGCCTCCACGCCACCTACATTCGAGACACGCTCGTTCCACTTCTATCTAGCGATCGCGACCTTCCCATCCAAGAAGCCATTCTCCTCAGAAACATTCTTTCGAAGATCTCACGCATCTCGCCCATCGCGACAGATATGCTTCGCCAAACACGCATCGAGCGTGCTCTCAAGATCATCGCGACCTCCGGCTCCCCATGGCCAGCGGATACGGTGCGGCAGGCTAAAGTGATCCTGAGAAGATGGGAGAAAGAAGTCGGGTTTCCACTCGACAGTATTCGAGCAGACCTGTTCGGACGTGGAGGGCGTTTGGAAGGCCTGGCCCCAGCCTTCCAACCCGTCGCACCGGGAGACCAGTTTGTCATAAGGGATGTGGTAAGTACACTCAGTACATTGTATCAGCGGGTCGTGTGACAAAGGACGTACTTCTAGCATACGGGCATTGCCCTCTCTCTCACCGCCCACCGAACGAGACCGCGTCATGCAGAACAGGGCATCTGCATCTTACGCCTGGCGACTGGTGGATCAATTCCGCAGCTATGTATCGAGACGCTGTGATAAGTCATCCAGGAAATGGAGGGTTGACATATGACCGGGATAGGGCGTATGCAGTGGTCATTGAAGGCCCAGAGGATGAGGAAACGGTGTCCGTGAGGCATGGAGGAAGAGGAGACAGCGACTGGGCCCCCAAGTATCCTCCGAGAGAAGTGGAGGGAACTGAAGATATCCTGAGGTATAAGGTTACTCGGAAGGATGCGAGGGTGGGGAAGGGTGTGTTCAAGGTGATGAGAACAATGGCGAGCCCAGATGAGGACAGAAAGGTTGTAAGGGTGTTCAGGGCATGGAAGACTGTCTGGGAGAATGCGCCGCTGGGTGGTGTGAGGTATGAAGGATTGTGAGTGAAGTTCACGCAAGAAATCCACTTCAAGGTGCGATTTATTCGTATGTCCAAACGCTGACCTGCGACAGGTACCGTGTCACAAATTACTCAATACGACTTTCGCCACCCAACGAATGGACTTACATATTTACCCTCGCACGCGAAGAGGCGCAGGCACCTCTAAGCACTATCACGCACATACCGACGCCGGAGCAGATGGACGACTGGGAGGACTACCAGGCAATGGGACGACAACCGTTGAAAACTCCGCAATATGAAGTCGCAAGGATACACACAGGCATGGGAGGCCTCAAATTCGTCGACGAGAAAGACGCGAACGAAAGGGACAGTGGATACTTCAGTCTCAGGAATGGGTGAAATTCCTATGGAACGCCGGGTATCATTCTTTCAGTGAAGCATAGTAGCGAATATGTAAGAGCAAAAATCAAAGAGCATCGTCACACACACTCATCTTCTGGCCCGTACAAAGCTATTGTACGCTCATTTCACCTCATCAATCGTCTCCCTAACCTGACCCCCCGCCACTGGCTCCTTCTTCCCAATCTCCCCAGCACCATACCACGCCACCATCGCCAATCCCAAAAAGGCTGCGATGATGCTGAAAGTCAACGCGACAATGCCCCTTGGTGTGAACCCATCTGGCAATGGCGCCGGACTGACATTCTCCCCCTTCAAATCAAGAAGGTCAACAGTATTGCCAGCGGCGTTACCTGCAAAAGGCAGCCCCTGGTCGCGACAGATCTGGTAATGGTCCTCGGGGATCTTCAGCGTCGATTGCAATTCCAAAGGCGCCTCGATCATAGAGGCTACAAGCCCCGAAGCGACATGCCACTCCAGATGGCAATGGAACAGCCAAACTCCCGGATTGTTCGCTCGGAACCTTAGCACGATATTCCCATTTGGGTGCACCATAAAGGTATCCCTCTTCATCGGTGTGGCGGGGAAGGTCTCATTGTGCACGTACACGCCCGCTTCCTCTTCGGACCGCACGACGGCTTGGAAGAAGTGCCCGTGTAAGTGGAAAGGGTGTTTGCCTGGGTCGGCACTGTTAATTATCAGTTCGACGACTTCGTCTTTCTGCAGGATGAAGGAGTTGCTGTTCGTGCCGTAGATTGTGGGGTCTGTGGCGAATGTGCCGCTCGAGAGGGCCGTGTATAGGGTTGGTACTTTGGGGCGGACATAGGTTTGCTCGTTGAAGAATGCGCTGAGAGGGGGGGTTAGTTGTGGGTGTAGAGGGGAAAGGGGAGGGCAAGGGGGGTCTTACTAGTTCGCGCCGTCACCGAGGTTGTCCATCTTGAAGTCGAGCGTGATTGAGTGGTCGACCTTGTCTAGGAGGGGCTCTTTGTCGTAAGGGACGAGCTTGAAGTCGTCGAATTCGTTGAACTCGTCAATGAGAGTTGGTTCGGGCTTTTCTGCGTCATTGTTGTAGACTAGCCAGCCTGTGACGTTGCAATTAAGGCCGTCAGGGACAGCGTCGAAGAGATCCTGGCACGGTCAGTAAGTTTCCCAGCTTCTGTGAACTTGTGTATGTACCTGGTCCATGCTTGACACGAATGCGAAGTTGCTCGATGCATCATCTTTGGTGGTGACGAGCACGCTGTATCGCTGTGCTGCGGTCAAGTAGATCATGTCCGCTTCTGCTTTCTCGGTGTAGATACCGTCGACTTCTACGATCTGCATCTTGTGGCCTTCGATCCAGAAATATTGGGCTGCAAAAGCACCGATGTTGATGATGCGAAGCATGTAAGTCTTGCCAGGCTCGACGGGCGTCGTCAGATTCTGAGTCTCGTTCATCAACGCACCGTTGGGTACTGGCTCCGCTCCTGTTGGGTTGGTGACACTGATAAAGCCGGCCATTAGATCGGTCATTTGGTCGTGGTACCAGTCGGACAATGTCAAGACTTTCTCTTCGTCGACTTCGTCTTTGTAAGGCGACTCAGGGTCATGAATGATAAGTGGACCTCGAAGACCATCCGGATACTGTCCTGCGTTGTGTGAGTGGTACCAGTAAGTGCCTGGTTGTTTGATCTTCCGAAATCAGCATCTCTTTATGCATTTCCATGAGCCAACATACCATGAAATCATATTTGAAGGTCTGTCCCGGGCCCACAGGACACTGTGTAACAGCGACCGGCCCATCCATATGAGCTGTGCCATTCATGTAGAGCCCATGGAAATGCAGGCCAGTGGATTGGTTGCCCAGTTGATTATGGATATTGACGATGATTTGGTCATTGACGTTGGCCGTAATAGCAGGGATAGGCCATTGGCCATTGATCCCAATGACAGGACGTGGAAAGGCATCATCAGGGTTCGCCGTCACCCAAGTGATATTGAAATCGTACGTGACTGTAGCAGCACGTGCAAGCGAACCAAAGGCGCAAAAAAGGAAAAGAAGCAGAGGACCCATCGTGCGACGGACAGAATCTATCAAAGGAGATCTTTTCAAGCCGTCTCAAGAAGAGCGTTTCTGGTCTTTGTATTCGTCAATGGAAGATAGCCTCCGACAGCACCTTACTGCGTTGACCCGATGCTGCGATCAAGAAGGTTATCTCAGGATCTGATAAAAGCCTGGACGCACGGAATCAAGCAAACTCAAGCAACGGGTGGAAATGCTTTGTCCCCTTGGCACCGGGTCGTCCGTGGGAGCGATCAGCGTGACCTCGCAAGCCTCACTGGTTCTCCGCGTTCGGCGTGTCAATCGAGCTGCCAAATGAGCGCCTTCACGGCCGAGATTGACTCCGGATGATGTGACGATCCAGGATTTTGGAGTGGTAGGTATGAGCAGTCGGCGAAATGCACCAATCGTGACGTCTACGTAGCGAAAATCCTCCAGTCGAAGGTCAGAATACGCGGAGATCGATAGAGTCTAGAAATGGCTTGCCCCCACGGTGCAGGTCCACACGGTCGACAGACTCCTTGGCGGTTGGCGCTTGATTATTCATACCACGGCATTGGAAGCTGCCGTTGGGTGGAAAGCAGACGAGACTCCACAGGCAAGCTCTGGAGACGCACACAACGGCGGAAAGAAATGGCTCGAGAGATGCCAAAAGGGCAGCAACAGCAGACTTGAGATGATCAGAGCAACGCACAATCAAGAGATTTCTGACTTTGACGTTCTCAGAGGTCCTACTAGCCAAGAGTTGGGCGGGGAACTCAATATTTCCCGTACCCAACCTACCGCGAACCATTTCCACTTTTTCGTAATAGCCACCGACATCGGCCGTGCAGTAGTTCGAAAGCGGCAGAGCACAGTCACACACATCATCGAAGCAACGACGAGCACGAGACCCTGCAAACCTGGCGATTCTGCCAGCATCAAGTGCATTGTCAGCATTAGCGCACCATCTGGAGTCTCCTAGCGGCTTTTTAGCTGCCGATGCCCCTCCAGCCCTTATCAATCTGATCAGATAATTTCCGCCTGCCCATTCCCATCTGTTTTTTGCTGCAAAGAAAAGAATATCAAAGCGCAGAGAGCGAAGACCGACGAAGACTCAAAGCAGGATACATCCACTCACCATCCAAGGTCAGACAACGACCTTTTGTGCGACTCACCTCTCGCAATGCCGAACGTCTTCGCTACCCCAGGTAGGCCCTTCATTGGCACTGCGCTTTGCTTCTGGCTTGACTGACGCCCCGAAAGTGTTCTTCATTACCTTTAGGGAGACCCTGGAGACCTCCATTATCGTCTCTGTCCTCTTGGCCTTCTTGAAGCAATCACTCAGTACGCAAGACGATCCGGTTACATACAAGAAGCTTCGTCGCCAGGTTTGTATTTCGAGGCATTCATCAATCTTCTCATGCATGCTGACGTTCAACAGGTGTGGTATGGCGTCGGCCTGGGTCTCATCATATGTTTGATTATAGGTGCTGCATTCATCGGCACCTTCTACGGCCTTGGGGCAGACCGTTGGGCTGCATCCGAGTATATCTGGGAAGGCGTTTTCGCTATGGTCGCCTCCATCATCATCTCAATCATGGGCGCAGGCTTGCTCCGGATCTCAAAGCTTAAGGCAAAGTGGCAGGTCAAGCTAGCCAGAGCATTGGAGGCCAAGGAAGGCTCCAAACATGGCGCACCCCAAAACCGCTTCAAGAACTGGTGTGTGAAGTATGCCATGTTCCATCTGCCATTCGTCACTGTTCTCCGTGAAGGCATCGAGGCAATCGTCTTCATTGGGGGCGTTGGTCTGTCTCAACCCGCAACTGCGTTTCCTCTCGCAGTGATTTGTGGCTTGGCAGCTGGTATTGCTGTCGGCTTCATTATTTACAAGTGAGTCGACGCCGTCCGATTTATCGCGTTAGAGCTGACAATCCATCAGAGGAGGTAACATGGCGTCAATGCAAATCTTCTTGATCATCTCAACATGCTTCCTCTACTTAATCGCTGCCGGGCTCTTCTCCAAGGCCATTTGGTATTTTGAGGCTCACAAGGTAAGAAAGCCTGGCTAATCTTTACGCAATCATCAGCTGACCTCCATGCGAAGTGGAACAACGCGATCGGTGGAGATGCTGCGGAGACTGGCGTAGGCGCAGGCTCGTACGATATTCGACAAAGCGTGTGGCATGTCAACGTAAGCATCTTAATTGCATTGCGCTTCCTGGGGTGATAGTGGACCAAGCTGACCAGTCCCTTAGTGCTGTAGCCCTGAGATCAATGGCGGAGGCGGCTGGGGTGTCTTCAATTCGTTGTTCGGATGGCAGAATTCAGCCACATATGGCTCTGTTATCTCGTACAATCTCTACTGGGTGGTCATCATTTGCTGCTTCGCCTTGATGAGGTATTCCGAGACCCGAGGTCAACTGCCATTTAGGAAGGCCAGTACCGTTTCCACTGACGCCAAAGACTCCGGTAGCAGTAGCGAAGAAGAAGGCACCATCCAAGCCGAGAAGACGGCTGCAGGAAACGGCGCGACTAGCAATGTTCGGAGTGTCAAAGCTTGAATTGCCGCCGTTGAATGTCATTTTTTGGAGTCTGGAAGCAGTATAATCACGTATTCTCTTGAAGGCTTCTATGGCATGATTGATATGCGAAAAACGTATTCCATGGGCAATTTGCCGTGTTGAAAGATCACACTTTGTGATTTGTCCAGAGATGCTCTCGACCAGGTAGCTTATTTTGTAAATATTAGCTTCCAAGCATGAAGTGCCAGAGCCAACAGATCGTTCATTCTGATCACATTACAAGCTCGTTCTAGATATTCGACGGAGAGCAAACCGTGAGCATAATGCAGGCCACCAGACAAGGGAAGAATGGTCCATGTAAGAATGTAGAAGCTTGGTCGAAAAGCAGAAGCTAAGGGCCTGAAAAGGGCGGTGTTCCGCGTAATGCGATTTCAAACCTCTCTGATTGGTCAGATCCGTCCAACCTATAGAATTTCAAGCCCTCAAGTTCCCGACGTATCACCGTCTGGTGCCGACCGTCAGTTCTCTGACCTGTGGGTGACAACATTCGGAGATGGATTGGCCATATCCATGAGAACATACTGAGAGAGCTCGCCCAGCCTCCAGGCGACGAGCACCGCTCTATTGCCGCAGCAAGGCTGACTTCGAGACTGGACGTACCGATCGACTCAATAGACTGTCATTTCGATCTATTCAGATCTGTCCATCGAAACTTCTATATCAAGCGTGTATTGGCGCACACACAGTCATCCCGTAGACTCTACGACCTCCCCTCACCTTCCACCGAAGTCCACCAATAGCCGCTCTGGTGTAGCAGGCTCCATGGGTCAGTCAGACTACAGCAAGAATGGTGAAGCGAGGAATGCAACAGATGAAACACCTAGTGCGAGAGACATCCTGGTGTGCATACAGGATGAGCGATTAGCATTCAAGAAAAGATATCCGTGCTCGAGGTCACTCCTAAGACAGAACAGCAAGTACTTCGATAGGCTCCTAGATCCGGACAAATTCGAGGAGGGTCGCAGAATAGAGCAAGAGCTACACGAGCGAGCTGCTGGGAACGGCCTCGCCCATGAGAAGCCGTTGCCTACGATCACGGTTTCGGACCTCCCCCTTCTGTTCGAAAGACCATCACGTGCAAATGAATCTGATTTAGCGGAGATACTTACTCTCTTCCTGCGAATGCTCCACGGTGTTCAGGTCTCATGGCCATTCTCTGGAATCAAGGAGTTCCGTTCTCTTGAATTTCTTGCAAGGCTAGCTATCATCGCAGACTTCTTCTCCGCGCCGGATATTCTTCACGGTTTCGTTAGGAAAGTCCACAACAATGAGCGAGCTGCATATAACGGTCTTTTCGGTATGAAAAATAAGGTTCCTGAAACCGTTGTACGGCAACAGCTGCTCATTGGAATACTGCTTAGTTTCTCCCCCTGGATTTGGTCCGGCAGCAATTATTTAATCTGCAAAGGGTCTGGTCACTGGTCGCAATCATCACAAGAAGACACTCGGAGTGATGACGGACAAGTAGCCTGGAACATGCTCCCAAATGGCATAGAGGGTACGTCAATGCACCAAGTTTCTGACCTCGACTGATCTGCTGCCCTAGAGGAGCTTTTTGCCCGGCGTCAATACGTCCTTCAGACGATATCCTCTATCCAATCTCATTTTGTTGGCCTCTATTCGTCAAAACTCATTCAATGCAAGAAGGGCTACGCCAATTCTACAGAATGCGACTCCTTTCAACTGGGGGAGATGATCAAATTTTTCACCAGGAAAGGCAGCCTACAAATGCGAGATATGTATATGCAGCAAGAGGCAGAAATCTACAATGGCGATATGCGGGATCTGATAGCACGACTCAAGGAATGTCCTAAGTATCAGATTGATTCTTATCACCAGCATTGTGGCGCACGAACACGAATACTGCCTATCCTCGAAGCGCTTCAAAATTTCCCTGACTACGGCATATGCATGTCCTGCTGGCAAACTGACCGCACAAAAGAGAGTTGGCTTGACAATCCGAGCGGTGGCTATTGGACATTCCTATCTCGAGGTTCGCAATTCGGGCCGAATTGTGATCACAACGGGCAGAGCAAGCGCATGTACACAGCAGAGACCCGGAATTGGACGTCATTTTGAAAGTTGCACATTGCCACGGCCTTTGTTGTCACTTTTGAGGCGGAGTATTACACTTTTCACTCGGCTGGAGAAATATTGTGAGGTTCATAGAATGCAGGTGACCCGATTATGAGACAAAGGAGGATTCCACTTCGATAAATTGCATCTTGAATATCCGAGCCAATTCACAAGTCCTCATTGTGTAAGCTTTGTTCAATTGCTGTGAGACCTATGTCCCACGGATCATTCAACGAAAAGCCTGAATTAACAATCGGTCTCTCGAGCTGCCTTTACCCAGCCTTCCCCATTCTGCGAGCTCAATTCAATTGCTGCAAGATTTGTGTCTATGAAAATATTCAACGTATATCTTGAAATGGAATCAGTCGCTAGACTGTCCCGCTAACTTGATATGGCTGGAGAACAGACTTGTTTCATAAAAATTGAAGGAACCTCTATAAACTACGCCTAGAACTAATTCAGGTTTAAGATTTTTACCTATAAGCGAGGTTTAACAATGAAAAAGCTAATAAAGGAGAAGTAATATAAGGTATACTCAAAATCATTGAATAAAAGACTCTTTCAACTATATTATTATGATCTAGATTACGTCTCTCCTATTAATATGGATTTAGCGTTGTTAAGGGATTAGCAAGTATTATAAACTACTCTTAAATAAATGTTACGGATTAAAATGCAAGCAGGAAGGGATGTCCCGATTAGGCTTAGCTCAGCCCTACCCCACTTGGCATAAGGCTTTACTTCTACTATAGCTTCCTATATAGCTTTTAATTAATCTATTATTAATTAACTACATTGCATATATTGCTTATTAAGGCTTATATCTAGTGCGTTTCTTTATAGCAAAAGATATTTAAATATAATTAGATAGGATAGTTAATATATAACGATTTTTACTAGGTATTTAAATTTAAGTAAAGTTTTTATCTAAGATAAAGCTAATTCTCTATCTTATCTTTTCTAGACCTTAGAAGCTAGTTTTTAAGTAGATTACTATTAATTTTCAATTAAATAAAGATTTAAAGTAATTAAAAAGTTATTATAATCTAGATTATATCCCTCTTAGTTATATAAAAATCATAGTATTAAAAGCTTAGCAAATGTCGCAAACTACTCTTATATAAGAGTAAATATATATAGATTAGAAAGTTAATATATAGCGATATTTATTAGATATATAAATAGGATTTTTGTCTAAAATAGAACTAGTTTTCTATCTTAGTTTTTTTTATCTTTCCTAAGCCTTAAAAGCTAGTTTTCACCCCTAAATAGATTTTTAATATTAAAACTAAGATTATTATTATTATTATAACGTCTAAGTAATAATATTATAAAAATAAAATTTACTAAGGGCTAAACAATTATTAGTTCCCACTTTTAATTTTAGTTATTACTATGTAGCTAAATAAAAAAGTAGTTAAGGATAGTTCTTATATATTTAAAAAAAACTATAAAAAAAATAATAGCTATATCTAAAAGAAATAGTAACTAAATAATAAACTTAAGTAAAAATAGATAAAGTTCCTAAGCTTATTAAATATAATATATTATAATAAAGAATAATAATTAAATAAATAATATAGTTAATTAAAAAACTATCTTTAAAAGGTTAGAAGTTAATATTATTTATAAATAAGTATATAAAATATTTAAGCTAAATAAAAAGGACTTAATAATATTCCTTATTAAAGTATAATTTAAAAGGAATTAAAGGAAATAAAAGACTTTAATATCTAGGATATTAATTCCTTTAAATAAGTAGGAAGATATTAAGTATAAGAATTAGTAGTATAATATATATAGATTTAATTATTTACCTAAGCTAGTAATAGAATTTTATTATTATTACTTTATAGTGTTGCGACCCTAGTATTTAAACTAGTAAATAGTATTAGCTAATTTAACTACAAGTTAGCAAGTTAGTTCTCTTAAAATATAAATAGCAGTTAAAAAATAAATAAAAGCAAAATAATAAAATTAAATTAAATTATAACTATTTTAAATTTTATAGTAAAAAATAAAACTTATATTAAATATAAGGAAATTTATTTAAAAAGGAGAATAAGAGGTTTTATATATATAATTTTATTTAACTAGCTTAATAGTACTTAACTTTTAATTACTTTAAGTATACTTAATCTAGAAGTTACTTAGTACTTTTAGTATTTAAGTGTACTTAAGTACTTTAGCTATTTTTTCTTTTTTTTAGTTATTTTTCCTTATAGCCTAGTATAGTTATAGTTTCTATTTTATAGCGTTTATTTAGTTATATTTATTATATAAAGTTATAATATTATCTTTTTTTTAAATATAATTATCCTTAATTATTAATTTTTTTAATTATATTATATAATCCTTTAATAATAGTATTTAACGCTATTATTATACTTCTAAGAAAAAAAAGCGTTATAGTCGTTATATTATTATATATTATTATAAAAAATATATTTTTTGAAATTCTAAATATATAAAAACTAATTAGCTAGTTCGCTATATTAAGTATAATAAATATAATTGAAAATGCAATCTAGCTTTTCCTAAGAAAAAGATAAATAAGTAATATAATATTCTTAATAATTTAGATAAGCAAAAGCTAGCTACTTATTCTAAATTGCTATATATTTATAAAATAAAATAATTTTATCTAAAAAAGCTAAATCAACTAAAGGATTTAAATATAAAAAATATTTTAAAAATAGAAAAAAATAAGCATTATAAAAAAAAGCGAAAATAGCAATCCAATGATATATATTTGTCGATTTTAGCTTTTAGATTAGATCTAGCAATTAATAATCTTTTCTTTTTTAATAATTTTAACTTTTTTTTTTTAATTAGTTTAATAAATAAGTAAAAGCCTTATTTGCTTTTATTGTTAATACTAGCGGAAGCGTCGAAGCTTCCTTATATAATTAAATAATAAGTATTTTTCTAGTTTCTATATATTTTCTTTTTCTAGGTAATCTTTTTATTTAATAAAGTATTAACTATATTATTTTTCTAGTATTTTTTTAACTTTAAAAATATTATTTTTTTTAGGTTTATATCTAAATAATATTGGAATTAATTTAGTGTTTTTAGCTTTTTTGAAAAATAATATATAGAATACTAAGTATATTTTAGTATTATTTAATAGTTCTAGTTTATAGTTAATAAGTTTTTTTTATTTTCAAATTTTAAATAAACTAACTTGCAAGTAGTTTAGTTTCTTACTTAGTTATTTTGTTCTAAGATTCTTTATATAAAACTATACTTTATCTTTTTTTTTTTTAGCTAAAGTCTATTTATTTTATATTTATTTTCTTGTTTTTCTATTTTAATTTATACTTTTTTTAAAAAGTTTATAATATTTTTATATATATATTTAAGTTTTAATATATATTTAATAGCTTTTATAAGCTTAGTAATTCTCTTAATATATTGTTTATATTTAAGTTTCTTTTATAATTTATATAAAATAATATTATTTTTATAGTATTTAATATTAAGTTATTAAGTGCTAATTCTACTATAAGCAAAAACTTTACCTAATTGTTTTAATTCTAGTTTATATAATATTATAAATATATTTTTAATGTTCGATTTATTTTTTCTATTTATTTATTTATTCCTAGGTAGTATGTTATAGAAAGTTTCAATTTAGTTCTAGTCTTTACTATAATAGATTTTTAGAATAAAAATATAAATAGCTTATTTTTATTTAAAATTATTTTTTTTAAAGAATCCTTTAATTTTAATTACTTTATTTAAAAATATGTATATTAATTATACTATATTATATATTTTATTAAATAGTATTATTATAATATATTTAGTATATTTGTTGACTATAACTATTATAGTATTATATATTTCTTTAGTTCTTAGGTCCTATAATAGTAATAACTTTATAATAAAATCTATTGTAATATACTGCTATAGAAAGTCTAATAAGTATATTTTCTATAAATAACTATATTTTTTATAGTTCTTAGCTTTATTTCTTTTATATAAAAAGTATTCCTTAATATAGTTATTAATTGCTATTCTTATATTTAATAAAAACTAATTTTATCTAATAAGTTTATATATTTTAACTGTTTTTAAATATTTATATTTTAGATCGTTATAATATTTCTATACTAGCTTCTATAAAAGTTCCTTTAATATATAGTATTATTGTTAATATTCTAGTAGTTTCTTTTATTTTATTTTAATTTATTTCTAAGCCGTTTTGTTATTTTAATATACTTTTTATACTTAGTTAATAAAATTGTTCTTTATTAGTATATTAACCTATATTAAATATAGTGTTTTGTTATTGCTTTATCTAAATATTGCTACTATATATTTATATTTTTATTAGTATAGATTTAGTTGTTTACTTAGTCTATTAGCAATAATATTTTTTTTTAATATATAATTAATTCAGAATTTATATTATACTAATAGTTTTACCTATTTAGTTTATTATTAGTTTAGTTACTTTATTATTATAAAATATATTAAGTTCTTATAGTTTATAAATACTTTAATATTTTCTACTTTTTCTATATATATTCTTTATTATTAGAATATATTAACTATTGCTATTAATTCTTTATTATAGATATTATAGTTTTGTTTTATATCTGTTATTTTATATAAATAATATACTATAAAGTGCTATTTATTGTTTATTTTCTATTATAAATACACTTTTATTATAATATTTAATATATTAGTTTTAATTCAAATTGCTTTTCCTAATTAGAAAATTTATAGTACTAAAATTCTAGTATATTCTTTTTTTAGTTAGTTAAATGCTTATTATTGCTTTTTAATCTAGTTATACTCTATATCTTTTCTTATTAATTTTATTAAAAATAATATAATTTATAAAAACTTTTATATAAATTTCTAGTTAAAGTTAATTACTCCGAATAATAACTATAATTTTTTAACTATTATTAGTTCTAGCTAATCTAGTATTGCTTATATCTTTTCTAAATCTATTACTAAGCTTTTAGTACTTATAATATATCCTA